ACCTGTCAACCCTGCCAACGTTGTTGAGTTGTAAATTATGATGCCAATAAAATTTAAAATGCATTTGCAATAACAATTTTAAATCAAATATTGAACCAAAAAAATTTCAAATTGAATTAAAATAAAATAAGAAGATTTCTATCATTATCGTCGATAGTAACAGCCACAGGTGTTGTGGTAGGTTATTTCAACAGTATTTCCGTCGTTATTTCGTTCATTAAACCTCCATTATTAGAATATTTAACATGATGCTTCTTCCGGCTGTATTTTGTGTCTTGGTGGATTCTTTTCGTCAGTAACTCCCGACAGTATTTTTTATCTCGAGTTTTACCGTCGGCTGTACCTGCGGAAACAAGCTTGAATCACCTTCGAAATAACAGACCGCAATAAGGAGACACTACTTATGCACAATATGCATTCAATAAGCTTCATTTACTACCGACGATAACTATGTAAAATACAGACGCGATTCTCTGCTCCTAGGTACATCGTCAGCTCAACTATTGTCGTCACAATCGAATAAATTAAATTTAATAAATAACAATAATCGAAATAGAAAAGTTTTACCAATCGGCTGGGTTTGTTTCTTGCTTTCCGATTTGATACACATCAAATCCAATACTTTCTAATTGTTTACCATTCAGAATATTTCTTCCATCAAAAATGTAAGCTGGCTTTTTCATCAGTTCAAAGATTCTCTTGTAGTCATACGTCTTAAATTCATCCCATTCAGTCATGACAAGGATGGCATGAGAGTCCTTAACAGCTTCATATGGATCTGTGGCACAATGAATGTTAGATTTGACAAGTTCGCTCTCTGGTGATTCTTCAAATCTGGCACTAAAGTCGCCCTCGTAACATCCGTTCATAATACTCTTCATGTCATAACGAACTTGCTCTTCAGGCACTTTAGGATCATAAATGTGAATATTGGCATGTTCTTCTAATAATGCCTTACAAATATAAATACTACTTGATTCACGAGTATCTGCAGTGTCTTTTTTGAATGCAAAACCTAGAACGGTGATTTTCTTATTCGATACAGTGTTGAATAACTTGTGAATGACCTTCTTGGCAAATCGTTCTCTTTGATAATCATTAATTCTAACAATTCCATAGAAATAGTCTGCTACTTCTGGAAGATTGTAGTGTTCAGCAAGATATACCAAATTCAAAATATCCTTCTGGAAGCAACTACCACCAAATCCAACACTTGCTTGCAAAAACTTTGAACCAATTCTAGTATCCTTGCCTACCGCATGAGCTACCTGAGAAACATCAGCTCCTGTTTTTTCGCAGAGAGCAGAGATGGCATTAATAGATGAAATACGTTGTGCCAACATGCAGTTAGCCACTAATTTGCTCAACTCGCTGGACCACAAGTTCGTAGTAATAATTCTTTCCTTTGGAACCCAGTGCTCATAGACCGATGACAATGTAGCAATAGCTTCCTCACTTTCACCTCCAATGAGTACTCGATCAGGATTATTCAAATCACTGATGGCTGTTCCTTCTGCTAAAAACTCTGGATTAGACAAGATATCAAAGTGAGCCTTACTCTCTCCAGAGGTGAGAATTTTCTTCAATGCCATTGAAGTTCTGATCGGGACTGTACTCTTCTCGACAATGATTTTTCGTCCGTGTTGAATGGCGTTTCTCAATTGTCGTGCGCATAATTCAATATATTTCAAATCTGCTGCTCGACCCTTTCCGATACCGTAATGTTTGGTTGGAGTGTTAACGGAGAAGAAGATAATATCGGCATCAAGAACAGATTCGTAATCAGTCGTGAAATGTAAGTTCTTTCCTCTTCTTTCAAAAACAAGCTCATCCAAGCCAGGTTCATAGATTGGTAATTTATCACTGTTCCATTGGTCAATTCTCTTCTTGTTCACGTCAAAGATAACTACTTGAATGTGATGGCATTTGTTGGCAATGACGGCCATTGTAGGACCACCCACATAACCGGCACCTACACAAGCAATCTTTCTAACAACAACCGAGGATGATGAATGAGTGGAATTATTGTGATTCATGGATGATGTGATGGCTTCTGTGGAGGGAGCTGACATTTTTTTTTCGTGACGTTACCTTTTCTCAACGCACACTCTCAGTTTTCGTTGGGGTTGTCTAATTCGAGAAAAGGAAACAAGCTGTTGCTGGGGAGTTCTGACAAGAACATCAAGAAAAGGTTAATGAGCAGGACACTTCTTCAAACACTTTCAGCACTCATGAACGCTTACATGTGAATTCCAACCCAGCTGATGCCATACAATGCGTTCCCAATAAAAAGTGAACTTTCGTTTATGGTCACATGAGGTATAACGTTAAACGAAATTGTTGTTGGAAAAGAACGGATTTAGGCCTAAAGCTTTAAATATTAATAGTAAGTTTCGTTTGGAGACCAGCCGATTCATGACGAACTTGTTCCCTTAGCTCTGATATCCATAGCAACATCGGACCCGACTGTTGCCGTCTGCTGACTGCGATTCAACCAGCAAGCAATAAAATCAAGAGCGCACGCTCAACATCTGACTTCATGGATCTAAAGTGGTAGTCACAGATGTGAGTGAGCAACGAATTAAGGAAACGCTTGATGAGATTCAACAATTGGGAGGTATTGCCATTGGAGTGTGTGGAGATGTTTCCAAACAAGAAGATGTCGATCGTCTGTTCCAAGAAACTCTCTCACAATTTGGAAAATTGGATATTCTCGTAAACAATGCAGGAATCATGGATAACTTCATTTCATGTGGAGATATCACTGATGAAGTCTGGGAAAAGGTAATGGCAGTCAATACTACCGGTCCCATAAGAACAATGAGGAAAGCCATTCCCATCATGTCCCAAAAGAAGAATGGAGCGATCATCAACATTGCATCGTTGGGAGGCCTTCATGGTGGACGAGCAGGTATTGGTTATACCGCAAGCAAGCACGCACTGATAGGAATGACCAAGAATGTTGGTTTTCATTATGGTGATCAAGGTATTCGTTGCAACGCCATTGCTCCTGGAAGTGTTCAGACCAATATTGAAGTTAAAAATCCTCACCGTTGGGTGCAGTAAAGATGTTTTTGGGATCTCAATTAATGCCCCGTCTTGGACAACCATCTGAGCTTGCTAAGGCCGCTTTGTTTTTGGCTTCCGATGATGCCAGCTACGTGAACGGATCTGTGCTAACAGTAGAAGGAGGATGGTCTTCTTTTTAAGATAGGATCCATTGTATAGTAAATGCACACAATTTCGTCAAACAGCATGTTCGCGCCTTTCGCATACAACACTCACTTTAAAAAAATTGTCTTTGATATTCAACCAGCCCTCAATATTATTGTCCAGACATGGTTGCTTCCGCGATTGTACCTGGGCTCGGGATTGGATATGGAGTTGTTGTATTTATTATTTCGTTGATTTGTGGTTTTTCTTTGTGTTGTTGCTGTTGTGTGGTAAAGAAAAAGAAGTCAAAAACGTAGGTGTTCCAAATGCTGCAATTTTCAATTTACATGGAGCTTCAAAGCGCTGTCATTTTTCTTGCCTTGTTCATTCCGATATTTATTTTCCTCTTCTTTTTGCTGTCTCCAAAGATTCCGTTAGACAATTCCACCGCAAGCAATGTTTTGCTCGCGTCAGCTCAGCAAAAAGTGGATAGCTATTATTTTGCCAGATATGCTTTCGTTACAATTGCCATTATTGGAGTCGTTTGTTTTATTCCAATCTATATCAAGATGTTTGTGTTCATGCCCAAATATGCAAAGCCACTAAACCCATACAAATTGAAGGAAGATTAATCTTCTTTGCTGTGTTGAGGTTTTTCCGAATTCTTAGACTCCTTAAGAGACTGATCCTCAAGCAATTGAATGATTTCTCGATCAAACGCAAATAACACTTCTGGCAACACGACATATCGAACTAATCTGTACATGGAGAGCCAAATAATGAAGGCAAAAACATTCAAGTATTGTTGGAATATTAAATGAACAATGGGTAATCTGATTGTTGGTTGACCTTCAGAATTACTTGTTTCAAACCATGAAGTGAACATGTTTGAAAGTTTGGTGATGGAATAATGTCTGAAAAGCCCAGCCCATGCGCTGTACATGATAACAATGGATGTTATTGCCATTCTGCTTTTTTGGCTGATTGCAGGAATTCTATTAAGTCTCGCAAAGGCCAAGGATCCAATAGTTGTAAAACAAAAAACCTTATATAATGTAGGGAAAGACATGACTTTTGATGTATATAAATCCTTGAGAGAAGTTTTGTCTCCAGCGCTTGTTTCTTTTGGTTTTTCTAACCATTGTGTCAATTCATCATCATGAGGAGCCGATTGTGCAAGTTGGGATCGAAGTGGTTGCGAAGAGCACTTTTTCAAATCTACTAAAAACATTTCTATCATTTGTTGTAGTGTTTCTTGGTCATGTGGATCGTCTGTCAATTGTTTTCCCTTCAAAGACTGAATATCATGTAAAATTTTGGTTTCATAAAACTCTTTTGGATAATAGCCCACTCTAATTAAAGAGCGAACACTTGTAATTAATTCTTTAAGTTTTTGAATTTGTGTACTGTCCAATGTTTGAGATGATTGATGCTCTTCATCATTTGAAATTAGAAAATTTTGTTTCATCAATTCATTAAATTGTTTCTTGTAATAAATTATTCCAATAAAATTGGCAACTAGTACAATTCCTCCCCCGATAAGAAACAAATAATATAGTTTTGGGAGTGAATTTGCAAATGGGTGAGTGGAATTTTGGTTTGGCTTTGGATTGGCCAATGATGTGGTGAGCAGAAAATTTGTCGAGTTTGCTCGGAATGTCCGAATATTATTTTCATTATTGTGAACTCTTCCCATTACGACGTTGTTCTTTGCCAATAAGATGTTAATGGTGGTATGAGGTAATGGATGTTTTGCGAGCACCATCAGCGCTCGTCTCTTATCGGCAATACTCTTTGTTTCGCAATGAATCAATTTCTTCATTTTTGTTTGCGATTTCACACGCTCAAGAATTTGCGTCCTCATCAAATGATTGATCAACAATAAGTATTTGAAACCAACGAAAAGGTAATTAATTATTTTACTTTTATCACTTGTAGTACTACTAGTGTTTTCATCCATAAAGAAGTTCAACAAATCCTAATTGATACTCGTTCACGTGGAAGAGCATAATATTTAAACATTTTCCTGTGTTGATGTTGACTTTGTTCTTTCCTCTAACCTTCGATTCAGTTCACCCCGTAGGTCCGTTATGTTATGCTTTTTAACTAGCTCTCCTTTCAAATACGCTCTCCTCATCTTGTTCATGTTGTCTTCATTTAAACTAAATTTTGTATTTTCCGATGATGAAGTAACATCAAATGTTTGGTAAGCAACTCGTCATTCACTCCGTATTAATTTCCAAATAAAACATACTAAATGGTAATACAATCTGTAAGTGCTTGCAGCTCATCTTTACACTTCACTGCAATAGACAATAATTTGTCTTTGGAGCAATCAGCAAAATTCTTGGACTCCACTTTACATTGTTTCATTCCGTACTTCTTGAGTCTGAGCTTGAGAGCTTCATCTGCTTGATTAGGAACTTTCTGTTTCAATTCCTCTGGACTCATTGCATCAATCTCTGCAGGATCAAGGTTTAGATGAAAGCGCTCTCGTTGATTTTGCATTTTTATTTGTCTTGTTGTCTTTTGAGAGCCAATTTTGAAGATTTTCAAATTATTATTATTTCGGACATTCATTTAACCTTCATAGTCCTATTGGTTTTCATGACTTGTTGAACACTTTGGAAGACGGATACCCTTGTTTCGTGAATATTTTAATCATCACCAAGCCAGTTTCTTTCGTAAACGGGTCGATAGCCTTTTAGTGGTCCCTCCATAAAGTTTTGTCTTCTCACCAAGTACTCATGTCGTTTCACTTGGTCAGGATCTAAATTTCCTCTTCCCCAATTACTATGTGCTGCTTTGTCTTGTTTTTGAATGTCATCGGATGCGAGTTGGTTTACATCTTTCCATTCGCCGTCTACTTTAACGAATTGTGTTTTTGCAGAAATATGTTGTGATTCCGTATGCACTCTCTTTGGAGTGATCATACAAATATATCCGTATTTATCTAGAGCCTTCTTCCATAACTCTTCTATCATCTCATCATTCGTAACAGGTTTATACTTCCGAAAATTAGAACGAATTTCTTGTATCAAATTTTCTCTCTTTTGAGCAGTGGGTATCAGCAAGGATTGCTTGAGCATCCTTCGGTACAGGCTTAAAACATCTCCTTTGGTTAGTCTTTGGTGCATGAGAATACAGGGTAAATGATGATAAACATGCAACACGTGTTGGTAGTATGAATTCTTGTTGAATAGCAATAAATAATTTTTTGAATGAAAAAATGAAGCGACTGCTTGGCAATCACACTCCACCTTCCGAAGATGAAGGAGGCATGTTTAACAGCACAAAGAAGACCAAATTCAATGATTCATCTATGGTTGAAGACGATTCAAGTATTTTGTACGAGGTAAAATCAAGAAAATTCGGATTGCCTGCAAACGTGAAGAAATTTTCAAAGGCCGGAATTCAACATGGGATAGCTTGGGTTTTGGACAATGATAAATTATTTGTTTGGGATATCAAAAAAGGGTTGGCCAATTCTAGGTTCGCTCTTTGTTTGGAGAATGTACCAATGTCAGAGACTGTGCCTGGAAATTGTTTTATATCGCTGATGATTCCATCATCACAATCGGAATCAACAAATTTCTCTCTATTTTTTTGCACACCCGAAGGCAAATACAAATACTGGTATGACATTAGCTTAGAAGATGAAGAATCTCAGTTTAAGTTCGAAGTTGGAAATCTGTTAAGAAAGCTAAACTTTTGTTATGATTCCCTTTGCTTGACTTGCATTGCTCCAAATCAATTGAAGGACAATCACTTATATTTAGGAACAAAAACTGGATATTTCTTCGAGATTCATTGCTTACCAAACGGAGAGATTGATGTTACAACTCAACAAAAAGCCTATGGGTCTCAAAACGCATCAACTAACACTTCGGAAGGCCTTTTTAGTTGGCTTACGTCATGGAACAAAACTACTAGTACTTATAGTGAACCAGAAGCCGTTATTTCCATTAGATCCTCGGACAATTATTTCTTCATTTTAACTGAAAACAGTCTCTCCAAATACACAGAGCAAGGAAAAGAGGTAAGCTTAACATGAAAACATTTTGAGTAATTGATAACATCATTTGTTAGCTTTGTTGGAGACGTGAGATTCTTGCCGAGCTAAAAAAGCTTAACTTTATGAAAAAGTATTCATTAAGGCTCATTAACATTGCCTATGACGAACCTCAAGGAAAAATATTTCTGTTGTCTTGGTGTACACCAGAAGTTTTTGACTCTAACCATGTTCCTCTTGTGAACTATCTGGTATGGCCTCTTCAAATTCACGATAGATTTATGGACAAGTTTATTGTCGAGTCTCCTGTAACTCTACTCTCTGTTGACTACAATGAAAATAACGAGTATATTTATAACAATAGCCAGATGGTTTTTGAAAAAGAAAAATTATTTGTTTCAATTCTTGAAACCTTGTCGGTTTTTGAGAGAAACAGAATGATTCAACAAATTGAGGCACCAGAAATCTTGTGTGCAGGATCCATAAGCATTGCTGACATATGTATTATTAGTAGAAATGGTGATTTGACACTAGTGCAAATTTCTCCAATGAGCGACTCAGAATCTGACAAAAAGACAAACGATTCACAACTCTATGACCAAGATTTGGATAATACTCAATATGACCCTGAAATTAGTTTCGCAAATGTTGTTTTGGGATTATTTAGAAAGAGAAATACTCAAATAGAATCAAATGCTAATATTAGATCCGCTGTAGTCAAAGCTTGTGAGCTTTTGGTAGACAGTATACCTCTATCAGGAAGCTTAGTTATACCTATTGACAGTATTGATCATTCTGTTTTTTCAGAAAAGATGTCTATTCTTATTTCAAAAACTTTGCAGAAAAAACTGGAAGATTATACTCAATTTATCATTTATTTACAAGACTGCAACATTTTCCAAGCATTATCAAGACAACAGTTACTGCAAGTATTCGAATATGGAGAGAAAATCTTTGTTTGTATGAAGCTGAGAGAACTTCAAAATGAACTGGGAGGTTATCAAAAGAAAGATTTTGATATACTGATTGCAGCAATGAATCTTTGTAAACAACGCAAATTACACTCAAACGTTGAGAATTTTTACATTGAGGTGTCTAAGGTACATGAATTCATTGACGCGATACAAACTGCTGCAAAGAAAAGCAGCAGTGTGACACTCGTGAATAGAGTGTATCAATGTTTTATTGATGGTATACGTGGCTTCCGAGAAATGGCACATACTACTCTTGGACTAGGAGACATATCGAGTACATGGACCTCAGAAAAATCTGATCTAATCGTTAATCTTTTTTATGAGCAATTTAAAAAGTCAGCAAACGCTCTGAATGAAGAATATCAAAATTCTGCACATATCCTGAACCAAATGTTTGAAATTGCTGACTTTTTGTTTTCTATTTTGAGAGATTTAAAGCAACAAGATAATAGCAGGTTCCACAGCCTTCAATTTGAACAAAAGAGAGATGCAATTATTTCCACCTTTAAAAACAAGAATGACATTGGTGACGTTTCTCCTAAAAGCTTTGCCTTGACCTTAGCTGAAAAGTACAAGGATTTCAAACATTTAATTCAACTTACAGAAGAGAGACACCCACTAGAGTCTGAAAGAATTGCTCAATACTCTATTTATATTAGAAGGTTTAATGACTTTGCATCATATCTATTTTCTTACTTGAAAGAGTCTAAACGATATCATGAATTACTTGGGTATCAATGGAGTATCAAATACCCACAACAGGTTGGAGCAGTAGTTGAATCTGATGCTAACTTGAGATGGCTTCATAGTATTCAATTGGGTAAATTGGATAGCGTTCAACAATCACTGACTGAGCTTACAGATGAGCCCTCCAAAAACATTTTAAAGCGTGATTCTTTAATTACCATGAGAAATAGATTATCACTTTTAAAGCTCGCTTCTTTGGCGTCTAATGATACAAGCAGTGCTCAAGATCCATCCTATTTTCTCAAGTTAGTGTTCTATCAAGAGAAACTTGCCACAGATTTTACTCTAGAAACTTCGAACAACAACTGGACAAAAGAATCATTCCAAGGTGCTGTAGAATTAATGATATCTGTATACAACGGTATTCCATCTGACACCAACATTATTAGAGAAAATCAAGAAAAACTTTTAGAGAGGCTTAGAATTGCGTGTGATATTTACTGCATGTGGAGAGAAAGAGAGGGTGGAATAGATGATGAAACTCAGTTTAACATTTTGCTCAACATTTATACAGCTGCCTTTTACGTTTCTTATCAATTATTGGCAATGGTAAATGCAAAGAATATTGTGGATGAAGAAAAGCTCATTCGTGATTCAATTCTCCATAAATTGATACAGGAAAATACTGGTAAGAGCTCAGCTGCTACAGAACAACTCAAAAAACGTTTGCTTTCTTTCTTTTCTAATACCTTCTCAGAAAGACATGCAGCAATCATACAAAGCGTCTTCGATCTTGATTAAACTCAATATTTATTCACAAATGTCTATCTTACAACAATTCATCAACAACCAAGGCAAGATTTCCGTTATGTTTGTCTAGTAACTGTAAGTTCTTGGTCGTATCAGTGAAACCCATGACTTCAAGCATTTTGAGCTGCTCAGCATAAGGCGTCTCAACAGGAGATTGCTCCTCTTGTTGAGCAACAACTGGTACTGATTCTTCAGCAACTGGTTCTTGTTGCACTGCTGGTTGAGAGATCATTGGCTCTTGCACTGCTGGCACCTCTGTAGGTTGTGGCACTTCCTCAACTGTTGGTTGCACAATTGGAACTGGCGAGCTGTTGGTTGGATTTACCCAAATAAAACCCGATCGTTCAATAATGTTTTCTTCGTTTTGAGCTGGTTGTTGCTGAATTGGTTGTTGGATAGCTTGCTGTGCTTGTTCGAAGGCCTTTTCTTCTTCTTGATCTTGTTCTTCTTCATGTTCAGTAACTCGGATCAGTTCATCAGATGATGATGGTTCAGTTGAAGAAGATTCCGAAGCACTTGCTGATTGTCTTCCTTTGAAAGCACTTTCAAATAAATCACTTGTTGCTTCAGCAGCATTATTAAGCAATGGAGTGATTGAATCAACAACACTTGTACAGAAATCTTCAACTGCCTTTTCAAACTTCTTAACTTCTTCGTTAGATCCGATCTTCTTCAATTCTTGATTGATTTGAGAGCAAAATTCTTGTCCTTTAGAAACAAGTTGCTTCTTTTCCTTGTTAAACTTTTGGACCAAAGCTTGTTGCTGTGTTTTGTAATTGTAAATAGCCTTCATCCACATATTGGCTTGTCTAATCTTGATGTTCGGAGAACAAATAGCCTTGCAACAATACCAATCATCTTCGTTTCTGAGTATGGCCCATTCATTATCACTATCACAATATTGTAAATCTAACTTGTCATTGGAGATTTGTTGTCCCAACTCTTGGTAAAATTCAACGACTTTGCTCTTCACGTCTTCTAACGTTGATGAAGGGAGTGCAGTGAATCTTCGGATGTGATCCTTGGAAAGATACAACTTGATGATCAAGTTTTCTTGTTGTTGATCGTTTGAAGAACTCATTATGTAATGTTGGTTGATTTTAGATGGACGGCTTCTTGTTTGTGCTAATCAGAGTCAAAAAAATATCTAAAAGCAACAGCTTGCAGTCTCGTGTGTGTCGAGTTTTTTTCTTGTGTTTTATTTTTGGTAAATTCCAATTCGAAGATAAAGACATGGAATTGGAAGGAATATTAATTAGAACCTAAATTATTCCATGTTACCACGTGTCTGCCCCGATTTGAGGTTGAGAAGGAATTGAATGAGTGGAAGATGTTTGGATGTCAATTTCAATGCCAAGTAATGGAAAGTAGATTTCATAGGTCAGAGAGGTTCAATATTTTCATTTAACTGTTCATCTCTATGTACAATGTGAACTCAACTCCCATTTGGCATGGATTCTGCATGGCTTCAGCACACAACTCGAATCGTGCAGAACATAGCTCGGAACATTGATACCACCCGCCTTTTACCCTACAAAAACGGCTGTTAACCGCCACTAAGTGTACAACTTTAAAAAAAACGACTCACATGATGGAGAGAATATCATCTCTCAGAGAAAACCCAACGAACAATAGTAGCGTCATAGACTACGATGGAGAATCCGTGCATTCCAAGGGCTCTAACCACTCAAAAACAAGCTCGGTGGTTTTAGGAGGAAATACATTGCTAGGCCAGTTTGAAAGCGTAGCCTTCTTCTTTCTTGTTTCCATAAAGCTACCAAAACCGGTTCCGAATTTGCTAGTAGTACTTTTCAATATCATGCTGCTATGGCAATCAACAAGTCTAGGATGGGAATCAGGTATGTGTAACAAATCCAGCAGCCTTTGCTGAATTCTTTATTTTGCTTAATTCGATATTTCAGAATTTGCTTGGGGTGAGAATGGAAAATTAGCTGCAAAAGTGATTGCAGTTCCCCGAACGTTGGGAGCAAACTGGTATCCTTATCAATTATTTATGGCCATTTCCATCATACTGGCCGTTTTAGAAATTATTTCAATGTTGTCAATATATTTTGCATATAAGGCTCTGCATCGAGGAAGCAAACATTCAGAAAAAATTAAGAACACAGTTCGGACTATATGCATATTGTTTGGAGTATTTGGATTGGCTTTCGTCTTCTCACTCACGTCGTTTTGGGCATGTGATTACTCTACACAAGGACTGTTCGAGGATGGTGTGGCCAAGTATGCTCTAAGAAGATTTCCTGAAGTAGCATGTTGGTAAGTACAAACTAAGCTTGGATACCATTGTCAATTTCGCACAGGAACCCACTAAATGGTTCATTTGCAGTAATTTCGTTGGTTTTCATGATCATCCAGATTCCGCTCACTTTTTTGGGGCTTATTTTACTGAGCGACACTTGGGTGAACAAACACACTTGGTTGAGTATGGACAACCCCTTCTTAATAGCAACGTGGGTATCACTAAATCAAGTGTACCTCATCATTTCTCAAGCCCTTCCTCCTCAAGCATTTGTAGCAAGACCTATACTGTACTTAATAATCTCTGTGATCTTGTTTGCGTATTTAGTTTATGACCTACCATTTCATCATAGGATTGTGAATTCAGTATTTGGTGGAGTATTTTTCAGTAGAATTGGTGTCGCAATATCAAGCATCGTTTCATTAGAAGCAAATCCAACCAATTCTGATGATATTGGATTTGGAATATTGTTTGGAGTTGGATTTGGGTCTTTCATTTTGTTCTTCATCATTGGTTTTGCGGTTGTGGAAATTTATTCTCAAGTAATTAGTAGATACGTGGAGAGACGTCTTCGTGGATTGAAGAACGACTCTTTGTCTATATCTTCAAGCCTCAAGGAGCTGGTTAACCCAAGAGCCTTGTTTCACTACATGAAATTTTCTATTAAGAAGAAAAATGACAACGAGCTAATATCTAACTTTATTAAGGCAGCAACGAACCAGAGACTGGAATTAGATACTTCGAATTTGATAATATCAGCACTATATATATTTTACAAATTAGAGGAAGGTCACACCCCAAGTTTTGCTCTTCATCTATTGGCCAAAGCTGCCAAAAAGAACACCAACATCCTCCAGAGATACGCAGTTTATCAGAGAACCAAAGAAATTGAGGCCGATTCCTCTCAAGGCAAAAATTCTCTTGAACTCAGACATATCCTGAACACAGTATCTAACATGCAAGAAAAATTGAGACAGTACCAAAAGCTATTTTGGAAACACTTCGTTTCAAACGAAGAAAACAACGAAAAGGTTTACAATCTTGTGAAAATGATGCATTCGTTGATGGAAAATTCTACTACTACCTACAATAATCTACTTGTTAATTACAATAACAACGCACAGGTGTTGAGAAGCTATGCTCAGTTTCTTGAAGAGTTTTTGTTTGAATCCGAGCTTGCCGAAGAATTTTACCAAGAGGCAAATATACTTGAAGAAGAGGACTCAAAGAAACGACGTTTTTCTGTGGATAGGCAAGATTTCAAAAAGAGAGGATTGCATTCTAACAAAGTTGTTCCCGTTAGCCTAAATGACGAAGATTTGAAGCTAAATGCATTTACAGAATCCAATGAAAATGATGTGGATAACCTTGAATCTGCTAGCCAGTATGGAGATATCAAGAAAGACAAACAAACTATTTACAGGTCGGCGATCAACAAACCTTATGATAGCAAAGCAAAGTTTTTATTTCTTCAATCGCTAGGAGTTGTTTCAATCATAGTTATTTGTATCATTCTTGGGATGGCTTTAGGACTTTCTAATGATGGAGAAAGAATAGCAACAGTTAATGATTTTTGTCAAATATCACCAGTTACATACCTTGCATTGTCGGGAGTCAGATGGATTCAATTGATATCAGACAAAAACGGAACGGACTACTTTATGACTGAATATAAGTCTCACAAAGAAACAATCAATATTGCAAAAGGAATTACCGAGAAAGTGAAAACCATTGTAAACGAGCAAAAGTTTGCAGTTGAGAGCATGAAAAGCTTTGTGGCTCCAATAATTACTATTGATGTAAGTTGTTTTCATTAACGTGTATTTGTGTATGTAACTTTTCTTCATAGATTCCGATTTTACAAACAGGAAACATTACCTCACTTCTATCAACTAAGAAAAACGCTTCAGTGGCTGATATGTCGGGAGAGCTTATGACCATTGTATCAAAAATCTACAACTGGAAAGTGGAAGATTATGCAAACATTTTTCAAAATTACGAATTTCTTTACGTTTGGATGAACAGAATTGTACTTACCGAATCTTTTGAAAAGTTTTGCTCATCCTTGATCTCTCGAAGCGATTCTTTCCTTAATCACGAGAAACAAGTCTTTATTTTTACGTTGGTTGGAGTGCTTGTAGTTTACGTTTTATTTATATTTGTGTTTATTGTGTTCTCCTACATTCATTTAGGAGAGCTTTCCAAGCTCACAAAACTTTTTTCTAAACTTCCAAAAGATATTGTTGGTACAGTGTTTCATAACCTTGAGCAACGATCTGAGGACAAGATTGTTAAGATAGAAAGGTCGTTATTTTCTCCAAAGAGAACAATTTCTGCTTTAATTGGTGGAATATTTGTTGTGACCGTAGTGGCCAGCGCGTTGTTATTATACGAGAGCTTAGACCTTATGCAGTCGTCATACAACACAATGATTAAGATTGACGATGGTGTCAAGGTGCTGCAGTCAAGCGAGAGAGAAAAATTCAAACTTGGTGAATATCTTTTTGGTGACTCTTCAGTATTGGGAACAAACATGAAACAATTTCACAAAGAGATTATTGAACATTCTCAAAATCTCATGGCTGACTGGTTAAACTATAGATACGGAACAATGCAAAATAACTTTGCTGGAATAAGTGGAATATCATCATCAATTGATAGCTTGATAATTTCCAAGCTAAACTGTACCTCTAACGATACTTCTGCCTGCATTGGAGTTGATGATCTGATGGATACTTATAGTTTGGCTGCCGACAGATTCAACGAAGATGCTTTTAGAGGTACTTATTCCAAAAATGAGTTAATCAAAAGGTACAACCAGTTGTTTGCAACATCTGGACTATTCTCAACCAAGATGTACTCAATTTTGACTCAATATGTCAATGCTTTCAAAACTCCAAACAGAATCATTAGTCCTCTAGCTACCAGTATTTCCATATTATTACTTTTAGTGCTGGCTTACTTTAAATATTTAGAAGCTAGAAGATTTGATAATGAAAACCACCAATTACGAAGAATGTTCAACTTCATTCCCTATGACGTACTAGAGCAATTTGATGAGATACGATCTTATATTTTGTACTATTCGCTAACAGATTTAAAGAAAAAGGCAAAGGGAGAGAAATTTTCCAAAACAAAAGCCATTTTGGGTATGTAATTTTGATTTCATTATTAATTGTAACTGATTGTTCTTTAAAGATGCTGCTGTGGACGGTGCCATCGTTTTAAACAGTAGAACTGGATTTATTGACATTATCAATCCAAGTGCGTTGAATATGCTTGGTTACAAACACGAAGAATTACTGGGAACATCTTTATTGTTGTTATTTAGTGAAACCAGCGCAGACAAAATAAGAAGTGTAATTGGTAACATGGCAAGTGCTACCAGAAGCTATGGTGAGTCGTTCGAGCTCGAGGCAAAAAGAAAGAATGGAACAACCTTCCCGGCACAAGTTTCTATGAGCGTCTCATCTTTTGAAAAAAGCAACCTCATTAGCGTTTTTATTAAGGATGTCACTTCCGAGAAAAAACACAACATGCTTATTGAGGAGGAAAAGAAAAAAAGCGATGCCTTGTTACTTAACATTCTTCCTGAGCAAGTAGCTGCTAGAGTAAGTAGTTTCATAGACTGTTACCAACACTTAAACAACACACCAACGACAGTTAAAAGCTGGAGAAACCTACATCAGTGAAAAAGTGGACGATACAACATGTCTCTTCAGCGACATGGTCAACTTTACTAAAATGTCTTCTGGAATGACCGCCATAGATCTCATTCAATTGCTTAACACATTAATTAATGGATTTGATCAAGGTATTAACAAGTATGGGTTAGAAAAGATCAAAACAATGTAAGTTGCATTTATTTTTGTTGAACAAAAGAAACTAATGAACAACCAAAGTGGTGACGCCTATTTCGCTGTTGGTGGTCTTCACAATCAACAATCCGACCACCCTGAGAAAGTTCTCCGATTTGCCATGGATATGTATTCAGTTATTCATGACTACAATGTGGAAAAGAAGTCTACTCTCAACATTAGAGTTGGCATGCACACCGGCTCAGTGATTGCAGGATGGTAAGTGTTGAACATTCAATTCGCCGCATCACCTAACATACACTTATTAAAGTATTGGTACTCTCAAATTTGCATACGATCTGTGGGGAGAAACCGTCACACTTGCTTCCAAGATGGTGAGTATTCTCTGTTATTGTAATTTTCAAATATCACAACTATTTGCATTTAAACCAGGAATCGACAGGAATACCAGGCCGTATCCAAGTGACAAGACAAACCTATGAAAGAGTTTATGACTTGTTTGAATTTGACGAAAGAAAAGGTGTTGAGGTTAAAGGAAAAGGCACATTGACCACCTACATGTTAAAAGCACATCACCATGTTTCTCCAATTCCATCCGAAGAGGAAGTTTTGTTAAGCGCCAGAGAAAAAGAGAATCACAAACGATTAGAGATTCCAATAGTAGTTCAAGTGCCATCCAGTGAAGACTTAAAGGCGCCAGTCACCAAGTCCATTGTGGTATCACCTCGAGAGCCGAAAGAACATGCTGTGTCTTCCTCGGAACTTAAATTAGAAACCAAGGAATAAAGAGAGAGTCATGTATGGATGTTCAATGCTCCATCAACTTTGGTTGTGCTTTGGTGTAACCAAGGAGGGTCCTATCAAGAAGAAAGAAGAATATCAATTTATTCGTCACTGATTAAACAAGAGGTAGAAATGGTCACATTCTGGTCCTCGTTGCTGGAAGTGCTAAAGAAGCTTAAATCCAACGACGAATAGTCTTGAGGTTTCATCTGAATAGACTCAACACTGCTCGATAGAGAAGGATAAGAGGTCAGTCCAGTTAACATACTGGAGGATGTTTTAGGCTTTTCCAACATGGAATCTGTGTCACTTCGTTCTTCTAGTAAAGGAGTTGGCTTTGAAAAATTTTGGCTCATCAAAGAGGCATTCAACGAATTGCTGCTCTCGGATGAGGGTTGAGAGGAAGCATTCACTCGTTTGGATCCAATCGTTTCAAAATCACTACTGTGTCTCAACAGAGAATTCACATCCGATGAGGAATCATTGTCCGATCTTTGAGAAGGCGAACTCATAAACTTGAGGTTACCATTTTCAAAGTGAGGATTAATGGTTGAAGAAATATTACCTCGATTTCTAACTCCATTCACTCGCTTATTTGAAGTAATAGAGGACGAATCAGAAGAATATGGTTCTGCTGTTGCATTCAATAGGAAGGAAGAACCATTTCCTGCCGCAGAAGAGTTTACACTAGATGAATTACAGGACGATCCCATAGCCTTCGAGGTTGCCATGGTTGTGTTCGTCGTTGGATAACTCAAATTCTTCTCCTCTACCACGTAATACGTTGGTGGTAATTGAGTGTTTGTTGTGCCCTCCTTTCGTTCATCCTTTATAGTCGTTGAGTGACTGGAAGGTATTTCGCGTTTTGATCTTGTACTTGGAGAGAGATGACTGATTGTTTTGTTTCTACTCATCTCTGATCCTAAACTACCTGGAGAAGAGCAAGCGTTAGTCGATTCTTTCTTACTATTCGATTCCTCTCGTTTGGAAATAAATTCTTGAAATTTCTTTTGAATCAAATGATTCACTCGTTGATCGACTTTCTCCAAATAATCAAATCTTGAATAGACCTGACTTGTATTCGAAGTATCCAATGAAATGGAAGATGATGAGACACTTTTAGAAATATTGGAAGCACTGTTCGCCGTTCTGGACGCAGATTTCGTTTGCTGTGAAATGTACGATGCAAGATTCTCAATATGTTGCATGGCTCCTTCAGATCTTTCAAGTTGAGATCGTTGTTGAGAGAGAGATTTTCTAATTTCTGAAAATTGTTCTTCATGTTCGTCATGGTGTGAAGAGTTTTGTGAACTAATTTCACTCATGGCGGAAATTTCAATTTCAGAACTATTCTTGCATTTTGTTTTTTTGGATGAATCATCATCATGACTCTTACCATTCGTGGATTTCGAATGAGTATTACTTGCTCGTTCCGTTTGAACACTCATCTCTGAGGTTGGAGCGTTGGATTTTTTCTTTTCCACAGATGGTACTACTTGCTTTTTCCTTGTCGATGCTTCAGATGACTTGTTGGAAACTAGGTGAGGTTGTGATGGAGATTCTGATTTGGTGTTTGTTTTTTTCTTTTGAGAAGAGGAATCCTTTTCTTTCTTTTGTTTCTTTTTCTCCTTTTTCACTTTTTTAACTCGTTTTGTTGATTCTTCTTTTGGAGGTTCTTTGTTGACAATCAAGTTACTTTCTTTCTTGTTAATATCACTTGTTCCTCCCACAGCTTCATGGAGAGAATCGAGTTCTTGTTGTAGACTGGTAATTTCCTTACCCAACATGTGAACATTCAGACCTTCAGCAAAACTAAGTTGGGAATCTTGTCTCGCTGTTATAGGACTACTTGGTACAGCATTTGGTTGTGTTTGTATCGTGTCCCGTTCAACACTTTCATTCGTAGCTGTTGCAAGATTCAACGTTGTTGTAGGAGGTGTGACCGTCAACGGTATTTGCATCGAATTATTGTTGGGGCCTAAGTCAGAAGCTTGGATGGGTGGATTGCATTCTAATATTGTAGCTTTTGAAATATGAGGAGAATCAACAGATACTGTAGGTGCCTGAGGAGTTTGATACATTTCCGAAGCAATCGAATGTCGAGGATGCATTTCAGCAATTCCTGCTGCAGCAGGTTGTGGAGTGTATTGTTCTGGAGGATTCTGTTCGACAAAGAAGTGGTAATCCATTCGTTTACTTTCCTCCATCTTTTCAACTTCGTTGAGATGCATGTTTCTAGTCATGTGCTTCATGTCACTGAAAGTATCTTGACGAGCGGAGTGCAACCTTTGATCTGCAGCTTGTGACAATATATTTGCTTCTGCTTCTTGAATTTGTCCAAGAATTTTCCTTCGTTCTTGAAGAAACTCAATGTTTTTGAGACGTTCTTGAAGCTCTAATTGTCTCACTCTTTCTTTCTCTTCTAACAGTTCTCGTTCGATCTGATCTGCGAGTTGTTGTCGATCTCTACTGGCTTCCAAAATTGCTCGTTGACGAATGAGCCAATTCCTGTGCTCAATTTCAAACTCTGTGTTATGTTTCTTTAAAGATTCATAATTAGTTCTAGCAATGTCAATTTCTTCTTCGCTTCGAGCAATTTTTTCTCGTTGTTTCATTTGAAAATCTACAGAATGCTTTGGAAATCTTAATCCAAGAACGTATTGACCTTTTTGAAGAGGTGAGAACACTCCATACGAAGAAGTAATTGCTCTTTGTACAGAAGATTGAAACGTTGAATGATGCATGTCATAGGCAGAGTGTAAAATCTTGTCCAAATCACAAGCGTGAATGGTGTGGAAGAAATCTTCTAAATCTTGACAAGTCTTGAGTTGAAAGAACGTTTTTCTAAAGTAACTCAAATAAGCGCAAATAAAGTAAAACATAAATGAAGGAGGCATTGAAAAGATGTGATCAAATGCTTTAAGCCACATGTCTGTTGAAAATACTTCTGTAAATACGCTTTTTAACAATGACCAAACATAAATCTCTGGAGACAATCCAACGGACACAAAATGTTCCAGTAATTCATTGTCACTGATTTGTAAAAGAGAAGCCACATAGTTCATCACTGTGACAGGTGCATTTGGGAAAAATTCAAACCATTCCTTTCCCCAATTAGCTACTCTCAAGAAATTCATCATTGTTGTAACCAACTACAAATCTTTCACAAACACACTTACCAAAAAAGGTAGAAACAATTTCAAAAACTGAACAACTACTTTGATTAAACACTTTGAGGAATGGAAATAACACTTCAGGTAAATAATCCACAGTTCCAAATATTGGTGATAAATTTGCCAGTGCAGAAATAATTCGTTGTATTTTTCGAAAGATTGAAGAGTTACTAATCGGATATCGTTTATGAAGACTGTACTGCGTGAAATGAATACCTTTCGAATACAACACTTCAAAGTGGTCCTTATTTTCGGGAAGCTCCAACATGTATCTCCAAATAAGCATTCGATATTTTGAGGGATATTCTCCATAATTTAAAAGTAATTTCTTGAGGGTTTTATGATTGAGATTGAACGCAGAGTGATCCATCTCTTCGGAACTATCCAATGATGTTCGTTGTCGATGTTTATAATGTACGGACATGAGTGCCAATCATCAAAAGAAACAATGGAGTGAGTTTTTTCTGAATGAACATTTTGCAATGTAAATGAAATGCCATATTTTGGCGGCAACTCTTGGCGGTAATCATGAAGTTTTTGGGTCAAAGTCATGTAATAACTAAAGTAATTCTTGGATCATTGGATAGCAGCCAAGAGATCTGATCACTTTATTGATGAGGAAATTTAAATAGATCGGATTTTGGGATTGGATTGACGGATAGAAAGTTGTTAATAAAACAACCTCTTTCTCTATTTCCTTTCGTGTTCGCTTCATTTCCTCGTACTTGGAAATCGCCAATTGCTGTCAATCAAAATCGAGGGTGCTGACCACTCGTGGCAGTGCTCTCTAATTTGAAGACACGCTGCGGAATGGCATGCAGTCCGATTTTGATGAAAAAACTAAAAAAAAATTCTCTCTTTTGATTCAACGACGTTATTCTTCTTCTTCTCATTTCGGAAACACAATTTCAGTTCCAAATAGAGAGAGATTTTGAGTAGTGTTGTTGTTGCAAAGTCACGTGGTTCATTCTCTGAAATATAGTGCTTCCGTTTTTGCTTTTGAAGAACTTTACTGTTGAGCGTGCACAGTAAAATTTCTAGTTTCAGCGTTTATTAAAGAAACCTACAGATTCATCATCATGATCCGAGGAATTTTAGGTTTGAAGAAGAGATCAAAAAGTAACACTTCAGAACAAAATGCTGCGTTACAGGGGAGAGCAAGTTTGGATCTACCAACATCCTCACCCGATATTAGACTAAGTCATGATGAAGGATCAAGACCTTCATTGGACCCTCTAGCCCTAAACGCTTCTTCTCCTAAGAAAAAATCATTTTTAGGTTTTAGAAGATCAATAGACAAGACATCAGAGAACTCTGCATCAAGCAATTCGGATGATTCCAAAAAACCATCGGAAAATACACCCAAGAAAAAGAAGGACAAAAAAGTCCAAATTCAACAACCAAAGGAAGATAGCGATGATAGCGATAATGAATTGAATAATTTGATCGAATCACAACTTCCTAGTGCAAGTACTTGCCCTGTTTATTACTCATCATATTCTGTAGAAACAACAGAGCATACATCAATGAAAGCAATCAAACCCTTCAAATACATTTCAATTGGAGAGATTAAATTACTAAATATCAAAGAAGGCTCAAGCGCTCCATCAACTACATCGGAGCTTTTTATTGTGGCTGAAATGGTTCACGACTTTACATTAACAGAATTTTCATACAAATTACCGTTAATGGCCAAACATGAATTTTTGGAATGGAAAGATTTCAATTTAGAGTTTATTTACAACATGACAACCAAGAAATCATTGATGAGATCGAGCTATTCAATTCGAGACTTGTCAGAATTGGAAAATACACCAGCAAACCGAACTGACCATTTTGACAACTTGATTATTCCAAGCAAGCAAATGATAGATGACTTGACCAAAAATTATATCAGTATCAAAGTTTTTGAAAAAGAACAGAGCTCTAGGGATCATACACTTGTTGGATTTTGCTGTATTGACTTGTTCACCATTGCCCTTCATCCATTAATTGATTTTATTGGAGTTTCGCTTACTAAGGATGAGAAAACTCTACAACCTAGTGATTACATCATCTCCTTCTCCATTTCTACCTCTCTTCATCCACCGACTAAGTCTTCTAACAGTTATTGGTATAATCATGAGGACAGTCTTATCATTCAAGGGCAATATATTTCACCGTTTCCATTTGAGGTCGTACCTAATAATTTATAACAATTGATTAGGATACATTGTTGTATCCTTTTCATTCAAATAAGTTACTCATGATCATGCAGTAGTGTGTCCAATTTGTTCTACAAGGTTGGATGAGTCAATTATACTTCCTATTAACTTGATTCCCATGAATTTTGTTTTGTCGTCCTGTAGAAAACAAGGAAATACTTCTTCCAGGCTTGGTGTTGGGGATAGTGCTTTCAGAATCACACTTGTATAAGCTTCCTCTTCTGGCAACAATTGTCCCTTCTCGTTTTCCAACCTGATTTCATATCCTCTAGATTCTGCAGCAAATTGTCCCAAATCGTACCAGCAATACTCTGCTCTGATCTGAGAAATGTTCTTCATACGAACTTTTACCTCAACCTCACTGTAAAATAAAGTGTAAACTCATCTTGATTCACAACAAACAATACTTACTCTCCCACCTTGATACTTTTTCCTAAATCATGGTAATACTTGTCCAAAATTACTTTGGGTTCTTGAATATCAGCATGTACTTCGACAAATTGAGGAGGGCCATCTTTAACCTTAAATACCAAAGAATGTTTGATGATTTGAGAATAGAAAGATTCAATAGAAACGTTTACAAGGACCGACTCTCCAACTCTTAGCATTCCAAGCTTTGGAGAACATATAATGGCGTCATTTTCTGGAATATCTACTTCCCAAAACAACTCCTGAAGGGAGGTGTTCGAAATCTGAACGCAATCCGTCAAAACTTTTTTCGTTTCCACCGTTCCGAAATCAATACAAGGAGTATCGACTCTCAGAGTTTGTGGCTTTGTCTAGCAAGGCTAAATGAAAAAAAAGCAAAATAGACAACATACTTACAGCTCCTCTTACAAACAGCTCAATGCTGTCAGAATTGGCAATTTCACACAGACAACTGATCTCGAACGACTGATACCTATCACACTTGAGAAGCAATTTCACTGGATACCGTTGTTTGGGTAATATGGAACCAGTTGGAGGAATAAAATCTACAATAATACCTTCTTCCTCGCCACCAATGAGCCATTTGAACGGGGCCTCAAAATCCGAGTTATTGATTAGAAAAAGCTCTTTTTCAAAGATTGCTCCCACCTCTAAGCTATTGAAATTAACAATCGGTGGACTCACTGTCACATTAAGCTTTGAGGTGTCTCCATGAACTCGACAATGAAAAACAGGTACGCTCCCAATAACATCAATTTTCTCAGCTCCAAAGACTGTTTGTCTTTGCTCTTCTTCAATTGAGTCAACATCTTCATCATAGCTTGAAAAATATTTCAAAGGGTCAGAAGTCGTTAAAGAATTCAAAATACTGTTTTTAAACCAAGAGAAACCTGCTTTGTAATAGTAAAAGTGAGGATGGTCACAAGAAGCTGGAATTGGAACGTTATTTAAGAAAAGAATAAAGTAGCCAGAGTAAATACCCAATTCTTTAGGCGTAAATCTAACTTCAAAATTGATATGCTGTCTTGGGTCAATTCTTCCACTGCTTGGCTTAATTGAAAATGGTAAATTTAAAGTATGTGTTTGTACAGGAATGTCCGCATACTCGTTAATGTACCTCCATTCAAAATCAACAGCAATGTCACTATCGTTATAATGAGTTAAATATTGAGGTGGTGATTTTTGGAAAGGATAGACATTTTCAAAACACAACAACGATGGATGGCTTTTTCTATCAAAATTTGTAATGTTTGAAATGGCACAAAGCTCAATATTTGGGTATTGACCGAAACCTTGAATCTTAATTTCAAACACCTGCTCATTATCGAAAATTAAGAAAACAGATTGTTCATGATCTCCGACAGACACTGGCCTAAATGTTATCGTTATTGGTATTTCTTCGTTTCCTTCTAGCGAGAAGTATTTTGGAGATATTATAAATGGTGAGACTTCAATTATTTGTGAATGATCGAATTCGTTCAGAGAAGAAAATAAAAATCTAATGTTGGTAGTTGGATCATAGTCTTTTTGAAACAAAAAGTTCCCTTTTCCTCCTGTGTTTTTACATTTGATTTCCTTACTTATTTCAGTCCCAATAAAGCAGTGTCCTAAATCAATTATTCTTGGAAGTGTTAATAGAGGCCTTTTTCTTCGCCCCAACAATGGAAGTATTATCTCATCCTTAGAGGCGCTAATAATTGAAATTTGTTCAGTATAATCCAGCAATGAATCTGGTTGAAAAGTAACCAAGATCTTGGCCGATAGCCCAGGAGCTATTTTTCCCTCGCTTGCATCGACTCGTTTCACTTTGAAAAACTTATTTGAATGATTTTTCAATCGAATAGCAGTCGGAATTGCAGATCTATTCAATACCTCTACGATCATTTCATATTTTCCAAATTCGTCATAGTATTCAAATACGACAGGACTAGGGATACATTCCAATAAAGCCCCATTATAGGGTTGATTCTCTCGGAGTTGCTGAATGGACCTTAGCTTTTGTGTGTTGTTTTGCATAATTTTTTCAGATGAATGATGAGAAATTGTAATTTGTTTTTGGCGCGTGGACGTTATGATGTCTTTATTGGTCTTCAGTACTGATGTTATTGGTTGCATCCGTGGCTGATGGTGTTTCTTCCTCTTGTTGTGATAGCTCTTGCTGTTGTTGTTCCTCTTGTTGTGCTTCATTCCTTGGAGTACTACTCGTTTGCTCTGTCAGAGCCCACGCTTCTACTTGCTGTTCGTTACGGTTTGAAGATGAGAGAGGAGTCTCGGTGGCTGTTGCTGGTGGGTTTTGTTGTTGGAGGTTTGAATCGGATGGTGGGGTTGAGAGCTCTTTGCTTTCTGATGGTGTTGTGGATGATGATGAGAAAGAAGAATTAAAACCCTCTGTTTGTGGTTGGGATGATGACAATTTAGGAGTGGTAGGTGTATGTTGTTTCATTCGCTCTCGTTGTTGTCGAAGTTGTTCAAGCTCTGGATATCTGTTGTTGGGTTATTATTCAAGAATGATGATCGACAATTAATTGAAAGGATGACATCATAGCTCAAAGGAGAATAAGAACATACTTTTGTTTGGCAAGCTTGTTGAGTCTATTCAAGCGATCCGAAATGTGACCCAGTGTGGTCGAAATGTTAATGACTTTCTTCCGAGAATTTGCTAATTTCTGCAAGTAGGGTGTAACGTTTATAAATTGTGCATCTTCTTTACATTGGTCCAGTTTCTTCGAAAGATTATCAATTTGTTCTGCAAGCTTGGTTTGACTGAGTTGAATTTCTCGTATTTGATGGTCGTATTCAGTTGTGATTGGCTGCCATGATAGTCAATAAATGAAGCATTTGATTGTTGTTATTCCGATATCAATTTTGTTGCAAATTTGAATATAAATCTACTTTAATCATGCTCTACTGATGATCAACACAAACCTCCAACACACGCATCAAGCCAGCAGCAAATGTCTTGTCAGCAGAAGTAGTTTCTGTCATTTTTATTTGATAAAAATCTGATGTCTTGATTCTCCTTTAGTTGAGTAAGTAGTTGCCTGACTCACCATGAATTCGCAACCTGTACAAGCATGTATAGAGATGATTTCCATAGTTAGAGCTTATTTGGAATCTAAATCTCTGATATTTTCTCGTAGCTTTCTCTTCAACATAGAAGGTTTGTGTAGCTGGTCCCTTAATGTCATACTCGAAGGTGTGTATCTTTACAAGAGAAGTGCTGTTTTCATATGCAAATACTGTAAATTGTCTGGGAGCTGACGAGAAATTAGGAGTCAGCGATCGTGGAACATGGTCAATGGAAAACGCGGTGGGTATTATCGGGCTAGCTAGTTCAATAACGACGAAACCAGAACCTCCTAAACGATATCGACATTGCTCGTTAATGTGAATTAAAAAAAGAGAAATACATACCTTTCATGGGCCAACAATTCCCAATGGTTGTATCGCTTGTCAAAATAATATCAGGTCGTTTGATAGAAGAAAATAGAGGCCAAAATCCAGCTGTGGGGTTGTAAGTCGGAGAGTGTTCTACTACTTTGCTTCCCAACGAGCTCAAAGCGTAATCAGCAAGCCCAATCTTGTCTGCAGCGTATTTAGAAAGTGAATCGTCAATCAAAGATTTCATCGAAGGAATAATGTTGTCCATTTCGTCCTTAATTTTAACCATCTCTTCTCTATGGCTCTCTGTTATTTGTCCCAGTCGTTTGTCTAAGACTTTTTCGATTTCTGAAAATACTTTGTCCAATATTAGATCTTTCATGTTGTCCATATCCTTTTGGTTCTTTATCTTAACAGAAAGAATATTATTATTCATATTCTTCTCAAATTCAATGTTAACTCTCTTTTCTAAGTCTGATAATTTGATGTTTACGGATTCTAATAGTTGCTTTTGAGAGTATGAAATTTGGTTTTGAAGAAAATCTTGAAAAACTTTTTTTTGATCTTCTGGCAATAGAGATGTCTTGTTGCTCATGGATTCTATTTGAGTGTACAATTCATTGTGCTTAAGTATAATATACACAAGGGCTACGAAAATAAAAATTATTGAAATGATAATCATTTTTCTTGAAGAGGATGTATCCTCTACAGAATGCTTAGGTTCAGCTACAACCATATCATTGGTATGGCTTGTTGTTGTTGCTTCGAAATTTTGAGGAAATGGTGAGAATGATTTTGTTTTGTCGTTACCATGATTGTTGTTATAGACTGGTAGTGCTAAATGTATGAGTTTGAGAGAGTCTGTGTTACTTTTGGGAGATGTTTTCTTGAAAAGTTTGTGAGCTTTTAAACTTCTTGAACTCGTTGTAGTACGGGATGTAATGTTTTCAGTGTGATCCAGCTCACTTTGACTCGTTTCATTGTTAGCACATCCTCTTTCAAACTGTTCATGATGCTCACTGCTAGTATCATCACTATCGTGATGCTCCTCCACTGTTTGTGTTTTTCTCTTTTTTGTTTCCGAATCTAGCCGATTTTTCTTTCTCTTTACCGAGCTATTTCTTCCGGTATTACGTTTTATATTTTCTTCCAACAAATCTACATCATCATTTTCATCTTCGTTGTTGGTGTTAGTATACAGAGACTCTACGATACCTCCTTGCTCCATACTGGTGCTGGGTTGATGTCCACGCTTGTTCCGAGCATTCAATGGTGGAGAATCGTACGGAGTGGTGGCACTCGTATCAGCCGTTGATGTGGAGCTAGGTTTTTGAGTCAACGAAACCGTGCTCATTTCTCTTGAATTTTTTAGCTCTGAAAATTGATGTTTTGTACAGAGATGTTATGATCTGTATTGTTCAGTACAGAATCGTTTCTGGAACCGTGAAGCACGATAATCTCTTCCTTGCTTTCCACTTTCTCGGTGCAATTCTTTTCGTCATCGCAAAATGGAGCTATTAATAGGAGGCTTTTCGTTTTTTTTTAATAAAAAAATGTCCACAGATACATCATTCTCATTGACTACATTCTCACCTTCCGGAAAACTGGTGCAGATCGAGTATGCCCTTAACGCTGTATTGGCTGGAAGTACATCACTCGCAATAAAAGCCACCAATGGTGTTGTTGTAGCCACGGAAAAGAAGCTCCCATCACCTTTGGTGGATCATACATCGCTTCAAAAGGTCATTCCTTTGACTGATCATATCGGAATGGTATACAGTGGAATGGGCCCAGATTCACGTGTTCTCGCAAAACAAGGCAGAAAACATGCTGAAGAATATTATAGAATTTACAAGGAACGTATCCCTGTCTCTCAATTGGTGAAACATCTTGCCTCTGTAATGCAAGAATACACCCAAACTGGTGGTGTTAGACCATTTGGTGTAAGCTTATTGATTGCAGGTTATGACGAAACTGGACCACATTTATATCAAGTAGATCCTAGTGGATCATACTGGGCATGGAAAGCATCAGCAATTGGCAAGAACATGGTCAATGCAAACACATTTTTGGAAAAGCGTTATTCAACGGACATTGAACTCGAGGATGCTATTCACACTGCTATTTTAACACTTAAAGAAGGATTTGATGGCCAAATCAACAACAAGAATATTGAGATTGGAGTTGTGGGTAAAGATAAGCTTTTCCGTGTATTAACACCTGCCGAAGTGAAAGATTATTTGGGAGAGGTTGAATAAGCCGTATGTCATCATCATTACAATATATTTATAACTCTTTTACAAGATTTGTCGAACCTTACAATGTACATTTACTGTTATTTAAGATTGCTTGATAAAACTCACATTGCATGTTGAAATCTAAATACGTGATCTGTTGATACGATTCGAATATCATTTTTGTGCTTTCTGAAAGAATCTTTTTCAGAGGAAGATTATGGTGGATGAAGAACTTGGTGGAAAGAGCATGTCCACAAAAAAAACCAAAAATTGCAAACCCGCCCAACGAACTTGTAGAGCAAGACAAGTTGCATCTACAACTTCATCCGCTGGAACAAGCCTACTCTTGATAAAAGGCCTTTTATATCATCGTAACAGGAAAGCAGGGCACCATGGGACAGATCTGCTCACCTGCTCATAAAGTAACACCTGCTAATCATGATGCCTATCATGCGGATGATGAGAGCTTCTCGGAGGCTACTGGTACTTCAAAGATGAACAGTACAAACACATCCTCAATACCGCCTCATATGCTAGGTCCAACAAGTGCAGGAGGTACAGCCTTCAACACACGATACTTACAATCATTCTCCAATGCGGCAGTGCAAGATCAGTGGAAGAATGCAACCATCATCAATTTACAACAATACCTTAATGAACACTCAACAAGCAAGGATCTTGAAAATATACTGGTATTAATCTCGTCGGAACAATTGAGATTTCTTCAACTAATTCAACAACGAGGATTACCGATAGAAATTGGGGTTCAAACAGAAACAACAGAGCTCAGACGATTTTGGTCGCATAAAACGATACAGCAAGCAAGTTCGTTCTCTCTGACGAAAGATGATCTGGCTATTGGAAAGAGGATTGAAGGAGAGGACTCTTCTTCAAACGAGGAAGATTATAACATTCAAGTGCGTTCCTCATCAAGATCTGTCGTTCGTTCGGGCTCTAAAAAGCTTCGTCGAAAACGATCAAACGAAGCGAAAATGGTGAGAAGTTTGGACTCGGAAGTCGACGTGAAAGAAGATCTTAAGGATGTAAACAGAGCTTCAAAAAGATCACTTATTATGGCCGAGTCAAAACGATCATTATTGTCAGAAAAAACATTACTTGAAACTAAAGAAGTTTCTGAAGATGAAGACAAGGACGATTCTGAAAAAGAGGCAGATAAGGACGTTGCAAAACAAGAATTAGAGAATTCATTAAACCTAGGAAACGGAGGCGCACTTAGCCCAACATCTGATTCAGATGGTTCTGGGATATCTGGAAGCTCAGAAGGTTCTTCAGGTTCGCCAAAAACAAGAGAGGTTCACTTCACAAAGACTGTTACCACAGGTTATGACAAGGATGGTAAAAAGTTTGTCAATGAATATATCGTTATCAAAAAGATTGGAAAGGGTATGCATGGAAAGGTTAAGCTATGCAGAAGAAGTGACAACAATGAGCTTGTTGCTATGAAAATTATCAACAAATCTTGCTTCAAAGACGCTAGAAAAAAGGACAGGCTAGGTCGACCCATGAAAAGCGGAGACGATTCTAACTTAATGTCTCTTATGAAAGAGGTTGCAATTTTGAAAAAGGTTTCGCATCCTAACGTTGTAGAGCTTTATGAAGTTATAGATGACCCCAAAACTGATAAGCTATTCCTAGTGTTCGAATATATAGAGCGAGGATGCTTGATGAAACTATTATCTTTCGAAAAAACAGATAGAGAGCCATTTTCAGAAAATGCGTGTCGAAAATATTTTCGAGACTTAATTTGTGGACTTGAATACTTGCATGAAAATAAGATTGTACATAGAGACATCAAACCAGAAAATATTTTAATTACCAACGAAGATCGACTGAAAATAACTGATTTTGGAGTGAGCACAGTCTTGGAAGGAGATAATGCCATGTTTAACACAGCTCCTGGTACTCCAGCATTTCTTTCACCAGAGGCATGTCATGTTGGGTCGTATAATGGCTATGCGTCAGATATCTGGGCTTCTGGTGTTACTTTGTTTGTTTTAGCATTTGGAAAGCTTCCATTTGTTGGCTTTAACATTGTAGGCATGTACAATTCCATTATGAACGACGAGCCAGACATTCCCGACATCGCCAGTTCAAACCTTAAAGACCTTCTTGTTCGATTGTTCTGCAAGGATTGGCAAAAAAGAATTACAATTAAGGAAATTAAGGAACATCCATGGGTGACAATGGATGGAACATGGCCATTAGAGACTCAAGTGGACAGAATTGTACAATCGACAGAGCAAGAAATTGCCACAGCTATCACCCTAGGTAGAGAACTTAAAGTTATGGACCGAATGGTGCTTCTTTCAAAGCTGAAAAACCGGTTCAGCAAGAAGGCTAGCAAGGCACGAGATAAAATAAGGCAGAAAAGAAATCAATCGCTGAACCATTTGTCTGATTAAAAAGAGGTCGCACCTTGTTTATTTTTCTTGCTCTATGAAAATTCTGTCCATCAACTCGCTGGTTCTGTAGCAGGCAATGAGAATGGTCTCCAAAGTGTCTGTCACGCCTTCATGTGTCACTTGTGGAATGATACTTTCAGAAATTCCAAGCCATCCCAACACTGTTTGTACCTCAGGGGTTAAATCTCCTAGAACGTTAAGTTTTGGATTAAGTTGAACAGTTCCCTCAAAATGTCTCTTTGAAATACCAAAAATGTTGGATGTCTTCTTTTGAGAGGACGTTTGATCATTGAGTGAAGGAGAGGTCAATGAAATAATGGTTCCTGTGGCACCTTGACTAGACGACTTTTGATGTTCATCCAATTCATTTTTCACTTCATTCTTGTATAACTTGAGTAATCCTTGCAAGAATGTGTATTCGTTCAAATTGGTAGTCACTGTAATTGCTTTTGGGAACTTGGTCTTGAATGTATAATTAATGATATCAGGTAAAGCTCTTGTTTGAACAGAATTCATTGTCAAGTGAGCACCAGGGACTTCCAAAATAAAGGATCTCTTTGTTGGAGGTGCCATTCGATCCAAAACTACTTTTGCCAAGAACAATGTTAAACTTCTTTCCACTGATTTGTCCTCCACAAGTGCTTTTCTTTTAAACTTGAGTTGATAATCATCCATTCCAAATTCTAACCAATCTCCATTGGGATTAAATTTGTCATTCTCTACAGAAAACTTTTCATAAAGATAAACTCTTAAATTAGCTCCTTTAAAAACAATGTCACCCATTGGAACAAGAGAAAGGAATTGTTTGGTTGGGGATTGAATGGTGAGAGATTTGATTTGATACGGTTTTTCATCTTCATCATCCGTGTCATCATGATCTGACGTTTTTGAATCAAAATTGAAAAATGAAACAGATCCTTGCAATGTATCAAGTGCTGCTCGTTTCTTTTCAGATGCCAATTCCTTGATCTTGTAAAATACATAAATAAATGCTGATGCAGATATTTTTGATAATCTTACTATAGCTCCTGAAGAGTTAATTTCTGTTTCCACATGATACATTCTACCGTCACTAGAATCAAATACATCACTAAAATGGAGAGAAAGTGTTTTCAAAGAAATGTTCAAAATTTTTGCAGAATTAAGTTCAATATCAATAAGACTTGGAAGAGCAGTCAATGAAAGTTCAGTAACTCCCTTATAGGTTGGATTTGGTCCTCCTACTTTAAATGAGCGATTAATTCCTGCCACAACTCCATGCATTAAAATGTTTCCTTGAAGTCTTCCAACAAGTTTTCCTTCCAATTTTCCAATATATCCTCCAATGTGAAGAGGATCTCGAACAGTTTCGTTTTGAATGCGACCCTTATCTTTACAGAAGAGAGAAATTTCATCAGCAACGAATTTTTGCTTTCCCAACGTTGGTCCCATATCACTAACAATCTCAAAAGAAGAAATAAGTAGCTGTCCAAATTTAGAAGCTGTGGAATTGAGTGAAATTTCATCCATACTAATTTTCTTTCTCTTTTGTTCCTTTTCTTCTTGTTCCTCGCTTGTCACAGGTAGAGGCGTGATTAGTTTGGGTGATGAAACAATTTCTCCTCTCACAACTTTCAAAGCATTTTTCGCTTCTTCATATTTGTCCATCCATATCGTGTACATGATGAAGAAGTGATTCATTTGAGGTAGACTCACTTCAAGTGATATTTTCTTGACATGAATGGTACCTGAATAGACAGGGGTATCATCAGACCTGAGATAACTTCCAAAACCACTTCCCACGTTTCCAATAATACCTTTCACTGTTGCAATAATAAATGGTGTTGGTGTGAGTGGATGATAACATCTTACAATGACTGAAGGGCATGACATGAAGAGATTCATATACATGGCATTTCCTCTGGTGGATCCTGTTTGAACTGATCTCAATGTTCGACTCATCATGATATCGAATGGAGCTACAAATTCGAGACTTGTGGCAGTTTCTGCAAGTGGAAAGCATGAAAGTTCAAGCTTGAACGGATGGATTCGACATTGTAAACTGAATGAATCAGATTGTAAGGTCACTGCTTCACGTTTTTTGGATTCCTTTTTCACAGATTTTTTAAGGTAATTATCTCTTTCTGTTTTGTTGTTTTTGAGCTTTTTAAATAATTTTCTTGCTCGATGTCCTCTGTACACTCGTTGAATTAATAGCAGTGCCTTAATCATTTTCATCCAAGCTACTGGTTTCGAGGTATCGCTTTCAGAGAGTAAATCTTCGAGTGTCATTGAGCTGGAGTTGCTTCTTCTCTTATTTTCCTCTTTTTTCCAAAGTTTAAATTCATGAAGTGTCTCTAAAATGAAAAAGATGGATTTAGGCATGAGTTTGATACCATCCCAATTCACTTCTACATGAACATGAGTGGTGGATCGATTGGTACTTGTTCCAGGATTTTTGTGAAGTGCAGTAGCAGAGATGGAAGGTAATTTTTCCTCCACAGATATTGAAGTGTCATCCGTGAGCTTTCTTCGAATAATGGTGGATGGTGTTAAATTATGTGCAAGTGTAAAAACACCAGGTTGGATATTTGCAGTAAATAGAAAATTAAACTTTCTACGTGTCAAATCTCGTATCTTCATAGATTCACCTTGTCGTGGAGTTTCAGGTTTTTGAGTTGGAATTTCACTACCACTGATCATTTCTGTGGCGAATAGTTTTCGTTTGGGATTGAACCAATCGTAGCCAAGTTCTAAACCTCTTCGGATGAGAGAAGGAGAAATTCTCAACTCTGGTCCTGGAATGTGCAAAACACCAGAACCATTAATTTCATTCTTGGTAACCTTTAGTTTCAAGCTCATGATGATTTTTTCAACTTTTGCTTTGGTTTTGGCTACTTCATACTCTCCAAGAGAAGGCATGTTAAATGATTGTTTTGGTTTTCGAGCTGGTTTCTCATCTAAATAAATATTCACAGAAAGTACTTTTCCTGTTGCTACCCGTTGACTAGAAACACTATCTTTTCCTGTTGAAATAATAGTGTCCAATGTGGCGCTCACATCATCTTCAGACTCTGACATGGTTGAAAACCCTATTGCAGGAATTATGACTTGCAAACAACATGCTGGTCTATAAGTAGGTCCAGAATTTGTCAAGAAACCATAAAATGGATTGTCTCCAAATGGCATGGACAGAGTCGTATTGGTGATACGAACTACTCCAGAGTTGATAAAGGTGCTAGCATCGCTTGTAACCTTTTCTTTGATTTGATGAGAATACATTGAGTAGTATTGCTCTCCTGTCTTGATTAATGATGTCAGCGCTTCAGATCTATACTTTTGTCGAGATTCTTTCAGCTTTTCAAAAAGGGTTTTCATGGACTGTTTGTAATCTTTAAAAAGGAATAGTCCTTGTTCAATGCAACCAGGACGTAGATATAAATGTGTATCAAAGATATCCACTGTAAAGTTCCGAGTGGATTCATCGCTCTTGGAGGACTGACTGAGTGGTGTGTCAAGGAAGTTTTGAATTTGTAAATTTGTTCTGAATTGGGCCCATTGATAGCAGTCACTAATATCCGAGTATCGATCCTTGAATTTTCTTGTGTTTCCCCACTTAATGTTATGTGTATCAATCATATTTACGTTGAGACCTTTCAACGTGGCTTTAACCTTCATGTTCTCCAATGTATTTGCATTGACGAAAATGGATCCAGAATCTACAACCAAAGCAGTTGATGGGCCAAGAGCAGTAATTCGAATGCCATCGAACAGTATGTTCACATCAAGAGCAAGGTTTAAAGAACTAACATTCTTTTTGGCCTTTGGTAGCTCTGTTTTGATTTTCTCAAGGTCTTCTTTTTCAACGTTAATGTTAAGACTTTCAACAATCTTGTTAACTTCCTTTGCAACTGCTGATTGGATGACAATGACATGATTCAGTAAATCACTAGTCACAACATTTTCCATGTAGTCAATGGCAATAAGCATTGAAAGTATTCTCTTAGTAGACGCTTCATCAACTTGTTGATTTTTGAGACTTCCTGAAATGATGAGTTCAGGAAGAAGGAATTGTTTCTTAAATTCGTTCACTCCAGATGAAGACTTGTTTGGTCCTTCCCATTTGTTAGATGGAGGAAATTCTTCATCATTATTTGACTTTAAAGTAAATGAATTAGGGAATAAATGAACCATGAAGTTATTTTCCAACGTTGGTGTTTGATTAAAGTTAAGAGTGAGCTTACTCAAAGCATATCTCATTTGAAAAGCATTAACAAGTTTAAAATACGCCGAAACATCATTAAGATCAGCCACAACGTTAATAGACGGAATTGAGAAATTGGATAATGTTTTTGAATCCTTGTCTTTCGTTGGTTCTGTTGCTGATTTTTCTTTCTCAATGTTAAATGGAGGTAAATTGGGTTTACGAGCCACTGCTTCGTACCAAGTTTTCACAAAATTTCTGAATTGTACTGAAGAGGCAGACCAAACATCAGCGAATGGTAGATTAATAAGCAATTTGTCAAAGGTGAAATAGGTATGAATATGTAAATTCTCTTGGGCCTTTGACATGAACTCATTCAGTCTGATGTCACTAACTGTTACATCAAATAAAGAAATAAACTCCTTCTTTGGACTACTAGTTTTTTCTGGTGTTGAATAGTTGAATTGGAAGAGAATCTTATTCACAGAGATATTCCCTGAATGTTGCATCACACTTGAAACTTCGCAGGATTTGTTAGTGGACCTTGCGCTTTCTTCCACTGATTCAGATGTTATTGCCAGCATTTGCTCTTCTGTTTGTTTTGGCTGATTGAAAGAAAAAGAAAAATTGTCAATACTTAGTTCGGCATAGCTTCCCTTGTCCATCCACGCCCTTGCTGCAGCTTTTTCAACATGAACATTTGTAAAAACGTGAAGCTTTAAGGTGATTGAATCCTTGGAAACTGGTAATTCTTTTTCAACGTGCTCCATTTCGGAATGAGATGCGCTCACATCATCTTTGGATGGAACCTCAAGCATGGGCTGAGATTTGTGTTTAACTGTTTCCGTTGCCTTTTTCCTTTCCTTTTCTCTGAGATTTTTGATGAATGGCTTGTTTTTTACAATAAGAAACACTCCTAATGCAGATGTAAGAAGTAGAAGAGTTTGAGAATGTACGTCAATGCTAAATTCTTTGCAGTTGATAGACAAGATGAGTGAAACCTCACGAATTTTCTGTGTTGACTCTTCAAAATGCTTGTAGCCAGAATCAAATAGAGAATAGACTCCATGCTCAACTTTTCCTCTCACTAAAATATCTTCTACCTTTGCAATGCTTTTTGTGGAAATTTTTGTCTTGTAATCAGTGGAGTGAACAGCGCAGGATAGTCTTTGTAGATGGAATGAAATATCGGTTCTTAGCTCGATTGAGGCTGATTTCGTTTGTTTGAATGCAGTAGCACTGTCCTCTTCGATTAATTCTGAATATTCATTTCTAACATCCCTCATTTCTTTCTTTGGATCAACCTTAATGTGAACATGGTTAGCTATGTGCCTGTGCATCATTTTTGCTTCAGAAAGAGATAGTGCACAGATAGCCTTGCGCAAGTGCTTGATAGCTTGTTTTTTCTCGAGTACGCCATGAACTGGAATTGAGCCACTGTCATCATTAATGGAGTTGATATTGTTACTCGTCTTTGAGATTTGACTCAGCAGTAATAGATCGTACACATGGCGCAGTCTAACATAATTTTTGATGTTAAGAACCATGTCTGTAATTACTTTTCTCCAAACTTCAACAGTTGAATATCCAATTACCACAATGTCATGAGTGACTAGAATTGTAACTCCAGAATTGACTGCTCCTTGCCTTCCTACCGTACAAGTAAATCTTCCTTGTGAATTTTCTTCCTTAATGTTGTTTTTACCTTGGAAATGGATATCTTGTATTGAAACAAGTGCAACAACTGGAGCGTCAGCTGATAGGTTACATCTTTGAAGGAAATGGTGAGGTAATTCGCTGGTGTCCACGCCTTTGTAATAATTTTTCTTCATGTCCACACATTGAGCCACGCCTCCTAATTCTAAACATTTACCAAATCCTTCTATGGAGTATAGCTCTGAAGAATTTTTCTTGTCATTATATTTGAGGGTTACTGAGCAACCAGCCAAGGCATCAGTCGCAAACAATTTCAGTGAATAAGTGCCAACCATGCCTTGAACTGGAGACTCTTGAATAATATTGGGAACAGAGATTGATTGGATGACATTCACATTCACACATTTCACTCCTCCAGAAAAAACAATACGCTTTTTGTCCCATGTTGGCTTGACTTTCTTCTCATTCAATAACTCCTCTGCTACTTCCTGTTTAAATATATTCTGTGATTTCTCAATGTGATCCGCTGTAGCATGAAGGTTAGAATCTGGTAAAATAATGTACTTCACTAAATTGTGAAGTAATGGAATAACATTTGGAGAAAGGCTAATATCGACATTTTTCAAAAACTCAATATTAACATGTTGAATGTCTACATTCTCTTGGGCATTAAGCTGAGACTCAATTTGCAAAATCCTTTGAATATTTTCTCGGTCCTTTCCAGTTGCGAATGAATAAAATTGTCCTCTGAAATCTGTCATGTTTAACTTTGAATATTTGCTTGCTAGAGGTAGGTAATCTTTGTGTTCTGACTTATCTAACTGTTTGTGTCGTAACAATCTAATTTCAGGAAAAGGAGAGTACATGCCTAGTCTGTGGTAAGGAAATTTTTCTTCCAGAAAGTTTTTGGCTGTATAACTTGTTGGTGCTAAGCTCTCTCGCTCAAATTCACAATTATAGCTATTTAAATATGCTGAATAAGTAGACATGCTTGGAAAACTTTTTGAGATTAAATTCCATTGAGATCGAGCATCCAATGATTCTTTCTCAAAAGTCTGACAATTGTCTTCATGGATAAGATTATCAATATATTCTGTGCTAATTTCCTTTCGATGGTCATTCTCGTAATGAATAATTTCTTCTTGTATAGTTTTTGGAGCCACAAAGACTCTATCATTTTCTTCCTTCAGTTCCTCTTCTTCATCTTCTTCGTCAGCAATATCATAAAATTCGTCCGTGTCTGTTTCACTGGCGTCGGTTTCACTGATTTCTGTTGAGCTTTTTGCAAAAGAGCGTTTTGATAAGTTTTTCCTTTTAGAACGCTTCTTACTTGAGCCGCTTTCTACAGCGCTTCTATTCAGCAAGTTGTGTTGCCTTTCCATGTTATATTGAAGGTCAAAGCCATCCCCGTTCATGTTTTGAATGAACTTTTGCTGTCTAAAATAGTGTTCTCTAAGGTCATGAGTCCTTTTGGCCATACCAACACTCAACCCTGTCAATAATTCTCCTACTTGGATCCAATCTCCATCCATTTTCATTCCCATTTCTCTTGCATGCATTGCTCGAGCGTGGATGGTTGGAATGACAAGATTGAATCTGGAATTTGATGACCCATTGTTCAATGTATCAAAAGTAATCTCCAACCCTTTGTCAACGTCTAATTGCACAAGACCATTGGCCATCGATATGGTAGCAAAAATAGAAACAAAGGTGACTCGGATATCCCAAATGACACACTCATCAAACTCTTCTTCAGAATATTGTCTTCTTGAATAATCTGCTTTTTTAAACGCCATTTCTGGCTTTGGATAATACGCCAACCTCCATTGATACACAAAATTGAGCAAGAAATTGACAACATTTCCAATTTGGCTAGGAGTAATCTCTCCAGAAAGTGCACCAATATCAAAGTGAAGTTTTCTTCTCCATGTTAAGCCATCAGGGTTAGGCCCCATTGGTATTTGTGCATTAAATTTGATGCCTTCACAACCAACAAATTTCTTGCTTTGTCTAGTTCTCTCGTCAAATGCCATTGGTATTTCTGCCATCATTTGACCTAACGAAAAACAGAGATCAACGCTAGCAGGAACATATCTAATGTCCATACTAAATTCTTCTCCCATTAATTGAGTACATTCGTCGCTGGAGTACAAAGAATGAGGTAAGTGAACTTTTCCTCGTTTGATATTAATATTTACAACATATTCAGTGATATTGGAGCTAAATGGTATAGAGTTCAAGTCAGTAGATTGAAGATTATTAATCTGTTTGGATTTGTCGTTTTTGAACCCATTAGATTTAAACTCTGCTGTAGTCATCCAAAATCTCTCTGCCGTAAAATGATCAAACCACATGGTAATTAAATAGTTAATATAATATCCATTGACTAACAAGTTGACATTAAATAGATCAATGTTAATCATGCAACAATCTACATTGTCAGCATGTATTTTTTCATGAACTGTATACGAGCCATGTACATATGCCCGTTCTCCCCATAAAAACTTTCTGGATGGATCATTACTATTTTCAAATATAGGATGATTTGCAGGATATTCCATGTGAACTCCTGGATCTGTAGTAGAATCTCCTTTAATTTCAACGCTAAATGTATATTCTACTGCAGAAGGAGAAAAAATCTCACTGGGAGCTGTGAAAGATATGGCCATGAGAGGATACGTAATGCAAAAGAAATGGTTATGGGATGGATCGTTAGGATGCTCAACGATGTTCAACTCGTTTGTATGCATCTTGAGTGTTGAGTTATATAAATAAAAGTTATAAGTATATACAGAAGGAATAAAATCCAACAACGTTGGTGGTTTTTGATTAGGATAATTTCTCCAATCTCTAATAATGTCCATAATAAATCCAATGTGTTCTGCAATGTATGAAGAATAAGTAATTCATAAAAATTCTAAAATACGTACCTGCAGTATAGTAAACTGTTGATTTGTTAGCTTCTAAATTGAAAATCCATTCTCTTTTTCCGTTCCACTCGGCAGAGTTTTTCAAGACAAAGTGACCCTTTCCAATTTCTGCCTCTCCAAACGCTACTTTTGTATTGCTAGTAACGAGAGTCATGCCAGGGAAGTTAAAGTCAATATTGGTGACAGTTTCATTTGTTGTAAGAGAGGCAAACATATCTCCACTCCAATGAAGAAATGAATTCTTTTCAAATATCATTGTCAATACTTCCTGATTTCCCTTATTTTCTTTCTTTTCCTTTAACGTTTTAGGAGTCCTGATAAAAGGAAACATCCATGTTGTTTTTTCCATAAAGTAAAATTCAACATCAAACTTTTCAGCTCTTCTCTGTCTACCAGACGTTTTTCGGTAATATTTGGCATTTTCGTACAGCGGAGGAAAGAAAAATGCTTGAAGAAGGGCACGCTGATGATCTCCCCAGGGACCGTACACAATTGCTCCTATTTACGTTATCTCAATAGTCAAAAGGCAAATCTTCAATACTTAATACATACCGTCAACAAATCGGTCAAAATGCAACTCTACTCCGTGAGAGGGAGGGGCAAGCTCTGTTGGATTTTCTCTACTAGCATCCACTTGAGGAGGTAGTGGAGACGTTGGCTCTTCTGGAATGACACCTCCTTCTTCATAATAATAAGAAACTCTTAATTTTGTACACAGGCAAACTTTGGTTTCATCCACATTTGCTGACTTATCCTTTTCTATCTCTTTTAAATTAAATACATATTCTGGTTGTTTTTCTATTTTTTCAGAAGCCATTGTTTTGAGTTCGTTCATAAAATCAAAATTAGAGTTTTTAAATATGCTCTTAAATTGTTTTTGGACTTCCTTAATAATACTGAAGAAAAAAGGTCAGAAAAACAATTAACTTGTCATTTCAACTTACTCTTCCTCAACTTTTTTTCTGGAGAGTTCGAAATGGGGAGTGTTATATTGAGGAATGCTTGTGTTCTCTATGAACATGACCTTGATATACTCAAAATTAATGTCAGCCACTAATTTGTACTTGTCCAAATTGCAAGCTGGTTTGTCAAGATAAATGGTTGAAATGGCTCTTCTAAATGCTATTCTCACAGAAACAGGTAATTCACTATTTCCAATAGCTACACAACCTCTTCGGATATCAACACCAACAGCTTTAGCCCAGGTGAAAAATTTTTGAATATTATCCTCTTCCAAAATATCCCGATGGCCTTCATCCTCCGTATCGTGAATTCTGTCATCATTGTGTAGTCGGTCTCCTTCCTCTCCATCGCTATCGCTTAAATTATAATTTAATTTTTTTGAATTAATTTGGTCGTATCGTGACACGTTATTATAAATCAGCCATTCCACTCCATTCAGATAACATCTAAATCTTGACTCCTTTTTGGACTTTTGCCAAGTAGATGTTAAAATAAACCACCAATAAATCTCTATGTATCCATCAATAATGTGTAGTGAGCCATTCTTGGTTGTATACTGTACATTACGGAAAAGTATTTTTCCTCCGAGTGGTGAAAATGTTAGAGATCCAATCGATAAATATTCGTTCAACGTCTTTAATTTCCAATACCACGCTAATTTACAAATAGCCCATGCAAATATTCGACTTGAAAATAGTACATAAATTCTGTATCGGAATTTGAAATCCGAGAGGATGATGATTTTAGAAACAGGATTTAAATATTCAACCAACCACATCGGAATCAAGCATTAGGGACATTTAGCATCATGATTTCAAGACTTACACAATAAAAGCCATCAGTACCAAAGCACAAATGACAAAAACAACCAGCGAGGAAATTTCGGTGCTCGACAAGGCCATTTTTGTTTTATGTGTTTCAATGGCTAACGAAATATCACTTTCTGCTTCGACTCTAATTTACTTCTGATGAAAACTACTCTGTTGAATGGAAAAATTTCTGAGAAGGAGAAAATGTAAGATAACTTATTACTTCCCGTCTTGTTGACAGATGATGGTCTCAACACATCAAGCGTTCTAGCAAGATCCATTCATTAATCAAAAAAAACAAATGCTGAAAAACAAGCTTTTTGCAACATCATTCCCTTGGTGGTCATTGCTTGGAAATCGTCACACAAGAAGAGGGTTTCACTATGGCCATCCAAGCTATAACAACGTTATGGTAAAAAACATATTGGATGTTGCAAGGTGGGCTCCATCCGGCGACAATATGCAAACCTGGAAATTTGAAATTAAAAGTGACAAGGAGTTTATCGTTCACGCCTACGATACGCGAGACCATTGTGTCTATGATTTGGATGGCCATGGATCACATATGGGATTAGGAGCATTATTGGAATGTATTGATATTGCTTCTAAGGAATTTTCAATGAAAGCTAATTTTCACACCAGCCATGACGATGACATGAAAATTAGAATTACTCTAGATCCGTTAGTCCATGCTGATGTAAATGAAAAAGATCCTCTCTTTAAACAGATCAAAGAGAGATGTGTCCATCGAAGAATGTTTAAAACCACTCCTTTAACCTTGCATGAAAAACAACAATTGGAAGAAAGTGTTGCCAAGTATGGATTCAAAGTGTTGTGGTTTGAATCGTTCAAAGATCGACTGGCCATGGCCAAGTTAATGTTCCTGAATGGTCAATTGAGATTAACATGTGAAGAAGGATTTCCAACTCATAGTACAATTATTGAATGGAATTCTCAATTTAGTGCTGATAAAATTCCAGACATGGCTGTAGGATTGGATCCCATCTCTACCAAGCTCATGAAGTGGGCACTCCAAAGTTGGTCACGTGTCGAATTTCTAAACAAATATTTGGGAGGTTCTCTCGTGCCTGGTATTCAATTGGATTTTCTTCCAGGAATTGCTTGTGGAGCTCACTTTATGTTCATTTCACAACATCCTAATTCTCTTGTTTCAACACAAGATTACATTCAAGTTGGAAGAGCTCTTCAACGTTTTTGGTTAACCGCCACACAACTCGATGTGAGATTGCAACCAGAAACTACTCCAATTATTTTCTCGAATTATGTTCGCAATGGAATCAAATTTTCAAAATCTGAAGAGTGTTTGAGAAAGGCAAGACACATCGAAAAGAGACTGTGTGAAATTGTGAATAGCCATCCCGAAGCTAAAAATGTATCAGTGGATGGAACACCACTACAGGAACAGGTTGCATTTGTAGGAAGAGTAGGTCATGCAGAGAAGCCATATGCTCGTTCCATCCGAAAATCATTAGATGAATTATTAATCAAGTAACTCAATAAAGAGCCTAAAAGGAGTGGACAAAAGTGTTAATGGGTTTAGCGATTGCTCTTTCTTAAACGTTTGCATCAGTTCCAATAATTCTGTCCAAAAACACATTTCCAACCTTAATCTTTTTTCTTGAGCAGGATTCATCCTCTTCGTCATCCTGAAAGAATTCTTCGCTGCTTTCAAAGGAGCTTGTGGTTGCGCTACTACTGGTACTACTAGCAGAGAACGATGATTTTTGTTGGCAATCATCTTTGGTAATCTTCTTCTTTCTCTTCTTTTTGCTTGTTTCTTTGGTGCTGTGAGGAATGGAAAATTCATTTTCATTTGCATTCGTTGATTGTGTAATGACCTCAGTAAAGATGGAATCTGAGACTTCTCCTTCAGAAGTGAGTGGAGTAGATACTGGATCCACATATACCTGATTGTGTACATTCTTGTAATGTCTTCTTAAGCTAGCTTTGTGTTTTAACACTCGTTGACAAATATCACATTTAAATTGTTTTGTTTTCAAATGTGTTGTCTTGATATGATCGTCTAAATTTCTCTTGTTGGTATAACACTTGTTACAGTCTTCAAAGTGGCATCGAAACACTTTTTTCTCATTCTTGTGAATGGTTCTCAAATGTGCCTGTAATGCCTGTAAATCTTTAAATTCCTTATTGCAGATGGTGCATACGCTTTGTTTTGGAGAATGTTTCGTCTTGATATGTTCCAATAATTCGTGTCTGAATGAAAATGTTTTTCCGCACGATGGAAATCCACACAAATGTCTCTTTTCTTCATGTTTCTTTAAATGTTTGTCAAGTTTTCCCTTAGATGTAAATTCCTTGCCGCACGATGAATGTGTGCATTTGTAGAGTGAAATGACCACTGGTTCTTCTGAGCTCAAAGTTTGTGCCAGAGATGAATCTTCGAGTTGTTCTGTAATGCCATTAATATTATTAATATTATTTTCTTTCTTTAATTCCTCGCTCTGAAAATCGGAAAATACAGAATTAAATTCATCCAAATCCGATAATTCTAAAAAAGGTGAATCAATAGTAAATCCTTCCTCTTCCATCAAGTGATAATGATGATGCTGTTGATGATCATCAGGATTAAATTCCCGAAGATTTTCCACTGAAATACCTTCTCCTTTTTCCTCATCATGATTCTCTTGTTCAAGCACAGCCGAGTGTTTTTCAAGAATGTGAGCTCTTAGTTGAGACTTTTTATGAAAAGTGCTACTACAAAGCACACATTCAAACGAATTACGGTGCGACTTTCTTTGTGGTGTGTTATTGTTGGTGTTGAGATGAGAATGATTTGGCTCGGAATGCATATCGTCGTGATGATTAATATTGGTATTCTTAGTATTACTATTCGAATAGGATTCCAGCTCTTCAATCATTGCAAGGGATGATGATGGCAATGACATGTTTTTCATTTCCGAAAGCGTTATAATATCGTTATTCTCATCATTTTCCATATTCTCAAGTTGGCCAGTGTTCATCAACAAGACTTCATTCAGCTCCTTCAAAAAATCATCCTCTTCTCCATCATGACGGTTTTCAGTTTTGGAGCAAGCTGTTGTTGCTTCGAACAAAGATCCCGAAGAAATCATTTCAAAGTTTTTTTGCGTTCCAAACGAATTGGAAAAATTCATGAAATTTGTGAAAACCAATTTGTGTAAGGACAAAAACAAGCAGGACGCTTGCTCGGGTTCATGTTATGACGAAAACATGTAACGACGAAGGATCTTTCGTATTGATCCATTGCTTCTCAAATGATGACGAAATGTATTTGATTTATCATGAAATTAAACAACATTTTCAAATGTAAAGTTTCGGTCTTGTCTGATGCAAAGGTGAAGGCAAAATATTTTAATTAGAGAAATTGCTCAAACCATAACTCCTTGGCACGAATGAACAACTGGGCATTTATGAATGTATTTTGAGAAGCGTTCGTTCTCAATGATGATAAACTTTGAGCGACAGGCGGACTGAATCACAAATGTCGATAAACAACTCCTGGTGTGTACAAAAGCTGATTACAAATTTGCCTCTTGAGCTTGTTGAACAGAAACAACAGATCGTAAACAAGCACAACAACTGGACTTCATTTTATAACCATCATCAGTGCTTTTTAATATTACTCTAGCAGATTGTTTTTAATTAAGCAACCAGGTGTCTTCTTTCACAACGTCATCCTTTAAAAGATTGAGATTGGCCCATTCTTCTGGGGATCGTTCTTTTTGTAAGGCAGCTAAAATTTCATCTTCTTTTGCCTTCATGACAATATAATCTTTTTTCGCCTCATGATCGTATCCCATCAAATGTAAAACTCCATGTGTGAGAAGCAGTGCCATATGATGATTCAATGAAATATTCTTTTCTTTGCAATGATTCACAACATAGGGTTGCGAGATGATGATTTCTCCCAAATACTTTTCTTGCTCCAAAATTAATTTGTGTTCATTTGCCAAAACTGCAGCTAGCTCTTTTGAAATTGGACCATTTCCATCAGTGTCCATTAATGGGAAATTGTGTTCTAGATTCGGTGAATAGGTAGGATATGAAAGAATGTCGGTGGGTCCCTTTTTTCTCCTATCTTTTTCATTCAATTTTGTAATAAACTTATTTCCACAAAACACAATATTTAGCGAATAATCTGGATAAGATGTATGTTGTAAGATATCATAGGTAAATTCTTGAATTTTTCTCGGATGGAAGATGCAATGTTTTAATTTATCGGAAACTTGAATTTTATCAATTAATTGTTCTCGTGTGAGTGGTTTTGGTTTTTTATGTTCGTTGGATGTTAAAGATTTCTTTGATGATTTTGAAGATTGTTTCCCGAGAGCTTGGTCAATAGAAGTTCCCAACTCTTGGAACAGTTTGACCAGCTGACGCGACTTTTTTGCAGACATTTTTTTGTAATTCCTTTCGTTGCAGTGTTGGACCAAAAGATTCGATGATAAAAACAACGCAATGTCAAACGCATACTCACTAAATTGTTTCATCCTTTGATCTCTCAATTAATAGAAAGCCATGAAAAAAAAATGAATATTTCAACAAACTCTACCCATTCCGAAACACCAACTTCAGAACATGGCGTACCTTCTTCATCATCACCGTCCACCCCAGGACGATCACCAAGAATTATCACTCCGAGAAGAGATCATCACGGTGGTAGTTCTTCATACACTCCTCTCAAAACTCCAACATCATCCACAAATTCTTTGATTGATCATCAAGATGAAAAATCAAAACAAAAACGATCGGAAACTATCTTGAAAATGTTTAATAGAGAATTAGAAAGGAATGCAACATTTGTAAAATTAACGTTTAAATTAATTGATTGTGATGATTTAATTTACATGTATGAAAATAGTATGGTATTGAATCCAGTCTTAAATGTAAATAATAATCCCATGTTTAAGTGTCATGTTATGTATTTAGACTTGACTGGAAACCGACTTGGAAATGCTTCATGTTGCAGTTTACTTGCTGAAATTTTGGCCCAAAATTCAACAATTCAATACTTAAATTTGTCTCTTAATGATATGGGAGTCGAAGGTTTGAGTGAGCTTGTGAAAGTATTTCATAACGTGAAAAACAAATCAGAAACAGCCATGCTATTACCTCACCAACCACCAGCATCAACAGAAAATAATCACTCTCAGCAACATGTAAATACCACTCTGAAACATTTGGATTTGACAGGAAACAGAATTGGAGAAGAAGGAATACGGGCTCTGATAGAAATGGTCAAGAATAATGACTCACTGGTGACTTTGAGTGTACGATCGAACCGAGTGAAATCCAGCAGTGGTGTTGATGCTTTGATGGAATTGATGGCACTGGCAATGTCTGGTTCTCATTCGGTGCGAGAAGTTTTTGTGTAAATGATGTATTTGGCTTCGAAACCATTTCGGAGAGAGGAGTTGATTTTCTGATGAACCACTGTTTGGACACATCCACGAAATTCAAAACAATAACAAGTTCAATCCACAACCATTCTTTTTTATATCAATCGATACTCTCAATATCCACACAATTTCATCATCAACATGTTCTTTATTTACAATTTCATGCAGTGTGTGAGATAGGGAAGGAATAAATAGTGAGTGTCATCAACAACGCTAAACTACTAACATTAAAGGGAGAAAACAGTTAATCCAATTTCCACAAACAGTTCAGTTGCAAAACTCAAAAACTCCAAACTTGTTAGAGAACCAACCGCATCTAATGATGATGAAAAGGGTAAATCCAAACGTTGTTGTGGTGATGACTTGGGAAGTACAGAAAATTGTAAAGAAGGTGTTAGGTAGAGAATTAGAGCTAATCCATTTGGAATTGTTCTTCGTCATCACTTGGAACAATTTCCTCTTCCTCTTCATCCTCTTCCTTCTTCTTTTTCGTGTACATCTCAGATTGGTCCTCTTCAGAGGTAATGCCAGGAATGTTTGGCAAATTCACTGGTGGACTTTTTGCCATTGGTGAGTTGCGGTAAAACAACAAAGCATTTCTGGTATAAACACGACGAGTACCACCTGGAGTTGTTCCATAGATTGTACCACCTGGAGTCTCGGACAGATCACTGATTAACACGTTCTTGTTATCAATGTTGATGGTTGCCGATTTTGTTGGAAAACCAGGCATTAGTTTAGCGTTATTGCTGCTAGTACTCATCTCGCTCTATGATTTTTAAAATTCAATCACCGAATCAATTATAATCAATTGGCTGCTCTAAACTTGTAGTTTTACTCTACAATGTTGCTGTTGTTGTTTACAGGAACAAAACTCTCAATGATATGGGTCCTTCAGTTGGTGCGCTCAACCACAACAAAATGACTCAGCGATATCAACGGTTGCTGTTTGTGCGTTCTTCAAAAAGAAGAGCAGGTGAGAGGAAAGGCAGAGAAGAGGATTTGAAAATATTTTTTTCAACACGACAATATTTTTGAAGCAAGCCTGTTGTGTCTTTGGCGGCAAGGAGTTTGAGGAACCTTGAATTGTTGTTGGGCAAGTATTGGACTTGAAAGAGAGATGATACGGGAGGAAAGGCAATGTTTCACTCTTGGTGTGACCTGACTGAAGAGAAGAGATAGAAACAAGAAGAAGGAAGATATTTTACTATTTTGGAAAAAAAGTCTCGCAGTTTGTGACTGTACCAATCAATCAAGGATTGTGAAACCTTCTGATCACATGGAGGAAAGCTTTTTGGGATCTCTGTAAAATTTTCTCTTCTTTTGTTGAATTGGTTCAACAACGGTACTAACTTTGTTGTGGTTGGGAAGAGCTCTCTGACTATATTCTTCCATATTGAAAGAAGCTTGTGGATGTTGGCAAAGACCGTCTTGACTATAGCTCACTTCAAACTGAGAAATGGTCTTTCTTTTCACTCCAGTTGTTTTTGGAAGATCTTCTGAGTTCTTCCTTACTTCTTCTTGTTTTTTGGACATCCTATCTAAGGGAGTGATGCTCTTCTTCTTGCCGTTCTTTGCTGTTAAATCTTCTTCCTCTTGCTCGCTATCAGAGTTTGGTTCTTTTTGAGCTGGTAACTTGTTCTTTGTGTTGGAATGGGTCGCTTCTTTCGTTGAATCTTTGATTTCGTTGTTAATGTAGCTCAACATTTCCATTACCTCCTTTAGCTTTCCTTCATGAGGAATAACTTTCTTACCTTTTCTCTTGTTGCTTGCTGCCTTTACATAGTTCTCCTTTTCCATTCTTGTTAACAACTTTGTGGCTAGGTAAGTGCTAATTCCAACCTCAGATGATAAAGCACTGACAGTGATGTATTCTTCTGACAGAACAAAGGCAAGTGCTTTCACATAAGACCTCTCCTGATCTTCCATTTCTTTGACAGCATCTTTTCGTTTCTTTTCAATAAAAGCAATAATATCTTCATTCCTTAAGGCAGATATCTTTGAAAACATAGTTTTCACATCCTTTGTGGTGAAAGAAAAGAGGCCAACTCTCTCTATTTCCTTACTTAACTTTTTCATTTCTTCATCAGCGTTGTTGGAAGCCAATTCCTCCTGTGAAAGTTGAGTGGCATCGCTTTCATTGTCATCACGAGCTTGTTCGCTTTTTGATACCGACATCACCTGGTCCGCTTTTTTCTGTTCCTGAACACGAACGGTCCATTGAGAGGCAGTAGGTGTTGAGTCATGGTTCTTCTCAAGAGGGAAGGATGCAACGTTATGTGATTCTTCATTGCTTGTTGTTTCGTTTTTGCCTTCAGCGTCACATTCAAAATTTTCTGACATGGTCCTTACTCTAATATTCAAACTGTGATATTGGGTTTCAACCTGACCAATTTTAAGCTTTACAAAGTCCTTGTTGAATTGTTTTGATTCTTCCTCTCGCAAAGCTCTGAAAAAGGCTGGTTCATAATCAGCAGGAGTGATGTCCTCATAATATAACAGCTTCATGGTGATGTATCTTGTTTCAGGAATTGGTTGAAGCGTCTGAGCAAGAGTAATAAGAGTCCTCAGCATCATGATCATTGATTGAGTAATTTCTTGCTTTGTTTGACCACACTTAATTCCCACTTTCTTATTGGTCTGGTTGTTTTCTACTCTTGAAACATTGACCTGAGCTCCCTCTCTGTCTGGATACGTGATCTTGACTGCTTTCGTGTCATACACATGTTTAAGAAATGTTTCGGAATACTTACACTCATAACTTTCAATCATACTTTCCATCTCGTTAGAGGGATCAGAACAAACACCAAATATAATGACTCTCAAATACTTTTTCTTGAGTGCTTCAAATACTCCCTTCTCAAGCCAATCAATCAAAGTTCGAGCCTCATCATTGGCCGGCTGAAGAGACTTGATATTGATACCACTAAGGCTTTTATCTTGAAAGCAATCCTCGGGGAATATATTTCTCAAATAGCAAACGGAGGAGATGGCTGTTCGCATTAAATTCCTCATCAAGGTGAGAGATTCCTCATAGGTAACAGATTGAGTTCTTGATTGTTGCGCAGTCTATGTACGACATTCAATATAATAAGATAAAGGCTTGTATCCTGGTTGACCATAGGAGAGCTTGAACCTACCGAAGACATTTGCTGAAGTTTTTTTTTTAAGGAGGAATGGCGTTTGGTCGGTTTGAGATTGTAAGGGATGGGGAGTGCAGCTTTGAGGCTCAATGTGATGAGACTCATGATCTTAACAAAATTGTTTTATTCACTCCACTACCTCACATACACATACAAGATATCGTCATTGCAAAGAGATTTACGCATCATCTCTTCATCAGTCAATACCACTCGATTCAAGCTTTGTTCCGACGACGACCACAAAATGGTATCACAACTTGTAAATCCAGTGGTTTGGGTTCTCAATTTACCCATTACCAAGGACTTGATCGATGCTAACGTGGTTGGTACAAAATCACAGTACATGGTGCAATTGTAGACTTCTTCCACCGTGTTGTTCGAGGTGGGACATAGAAATTTCACGATCAATCGCATGGCATGTTGATGATGCTGATGACTGCGAAGCTCTGTGGCAGGCCCCTCAATAGAAGTAGAGGTTGAAGGATGAACGAAGGAGGATGCAACTTCTTGCGTGTCCGAGTGGTCGACCATTTCATTCGAGAAAGAACTCATTGGAGTTGCTGTCACTAATACTTCTGAATTGATATTGGATGAAGGCTCTGCTGGGGTGTATCTTCTCTTTGAAAGTTTGCGAGGCTTCTTTGTTTCTTCTTTCATTCCTTCCGTAGTGGCAGTACTGGCGTTATCCTCTTCTTCGAATTCATGATCTGCTTTCTTTCTCTTACTTTGATCAGTGCTGGATGATGATGAGGACGACGATGAGGAATTGGAAGAAGAAGACTTTTTCCTTTTCGATGAAGAGCTAGTACTATCATCATTGATACTTGTGAGTTGGGTTGGATCTTGTGAAGTGGGTGTGCTATTAACGCTGTTTGGAGTATTGGCTTTGCTTGTAGTACTTCGTTGGATGCCTTCTCTCTTATTGACTCCTGTCGATCTAGCCTTGTTAGGGTCATACAAACCTTTGGTGTAGCGCCATTGTTTATGATAACAAGTCATGCATGAGATTCCTGGTACTACATCATACTCAGGGAAGCAATTTCGATAGTTATGAATGTTTCCTTGATGAATGGAATAATTCTTGAGGAAACTCACGGAATTGGAGTCTCTTTTGCAACAAGCACAAATTTGCAAACCTTCACTGTTGACATGTTGTTGAGGAGGAGGGGAACTACCTCGGTTTTTCATTGTTGTTGAGGTTGGAGAGTTGGATCTTGAGTGTTTCGATGAGGATTTACGAGTAGAAGAGCTTGATTTTGGTGCTTTGACGTTTTCTTCAAAGTGTTCCTCTTCATGTTGATGCATCATCTCTTGATGATTCTCTCTTTTAGTATGGGATCGAGTGGGGAGGCTGGTTCTCAATTTATGAGACGATGACGATACTGATGACTGTTCCACAGTATGTTTGAGAGGTTCTTCTTCTTCTTCTGAGCCCCCACTTGACCACAATGTGTTGCTAAATCGAGGATAGTCCTGTCCTCCATGTTCCTGGTTGATATAATCAAGTGCTCCCAATAATAAGTGAAACGACTGAAGAGATCCTTTTGGTGCCTTATTGTGAATGGGTACTTGAGGAGGATGATACACGGATAAGGGATCATACAAAATTTCTGAATTGGGAGAAGTGGCAGATGATGTCGACATTGAATGATGATCTGCAATTGAGTTGGAAGTACAAACTGGTTCCTGAGGATGAGAAGGAGGTTGCAATGAGGCCATGGTATCAGAAGTACCAGAGTTCGATATCATTTTTGGTGATGATTTAGTACTCGCTGTAACAACACTGGTCGAAGCTAAGGAGAATTGGTCGGAGGAGAAGGAAAGGGATTGAGTCAACATGTTCTAATTTTAAATGATGTCTGACAGTAAGCTTTGTAACGCTCAAAATTGGTTTCAAATAAACACTCAGATGGAATGGTGGTGCTCTTGTTGAGATGATGACAGTACTTTCCGATATGAATACAACAAGAGGTGAGAATATAGATAAATTGGCCAGTAATTTGTTTACAATCGAATCGGACTTAGAACTAATAGAAGTTGATAACGTTCAATAAAATTACAAATAGAAATACACAAATTGCATACATAGAATGGATGCGGAATAGCAAATGCTCTGGTGACAACTTGTTGATTTTTGCCAGCAGTAGATGATGATTGTGAATTACTTGTTGTTGGATTCTCTTATCGCGCACAAGATGCACCTTAACAAGTCACAGAGCCCGTTACAAGTATGAAAGTATGTGGAAGGGTTTGAGAGGTTTTTTTTGGCAGGTGTCGTTGAGAGAGTTGGGTGTGGTGACTAGAACCAACGCTTCAGCTGAATACAATGCTGAGAGTTGCTTCAGCATCATGGCAGTTGTAAATATCTCAAGGAGGAATAGAAAAAGGATAATGTCGAGAGTAAATCAGCAATTGGATAATGGTTCTCGAGTTTCTGAACAATATAATTCATAAAACACCACATTCGTTACCCAAGAGGAATAGTGTGTGTCATATGGAGATGGTTGAAAATGTCTAATAATGGGGAGTGGGTAAGGAGATGTTGTTTGTGGTGATCATCATCTCTGGTTGTAAAGTACTGGCCTCGTTGGTATGAAACATGATGTCATCCATTCTACTTTTTGGTGATATTTTGACTCAACAACCTTAAATAGAGTGACCATTAGTACTGTTGGAAAAAGCTATTATTTGCTTCCCACAGACGGTTTACATTCTCCGTCAAGCACGCCAAACATTGGAGTGTTCAAAATTGATGCATGTATTTTCATTTCTCGTTTTAATGAGCCTTCATTGTTTGAGGTGACTAATCGCTGACAAGATAGTATTGGGAAAATTAGTGTTGAGCATTATAAATATTCTCAAAAGCTCTAATAAATTGAACAAGTCGTTCAACCCCTTTCAATGGCATTCCATTGTAAACGCTGGCTCTAAATCCTCCAACACTTCTGTGTCCAGCTAAACCTATGAGGCCAACTCTTTCCGCCTCCTTAATAAATGTCTTTTCAAGAGTCACATCCTTAATTTTAAAAACAACATTCATTCTGGAGCGAAACTCTTTTTTGATAGGCAAATCAAAGAACGAGGACTTTTCGATGCAGTTATATAAAAGATTGGCACGTTTTTGAGCAAGCTCATCCATTGCGGACAGTCCACCATGTTGCTTGATCCAATCAAATATGAGATCAGCCATATAAATGGCTGTGGTAACAGGTGTGTTAAGAAGAGATCTTTCTTGATAAAGTTCTTGGAAATCAAGCATGGATGGCACATAATTTTCTTTTTCCTTAATTAAATCTTTTCTAATGATCACAATGGTAAGGCCTGCAATTCCAAAATTTTTTTGAGCACACGCATAAACAAGCCCGTATTTCCTGATGTCTACAGGTCTGGAAAGAAAGTTTGAGCTCATGTCACAAACTAATATTTTTCCGTCATTGGCAATGTCATCCAAGAAAGTAGAAGGCTTTTCCACTCCTTGTACGGTTTCATTTTCACAATAGTACACATATGAACATTTTGAATATGACTCATCATTCTTGATATTGTTGATTTCGTCCAAGCCAAACTGTACAGCGTTGCCTCCCATGAAAGCTTTTGCTTCTTGATAAGCTTTTTTAGACCAAGTTCCTGAAACAACATAAATCGCTGTTGTTTCTGTGTTTTCGCAAAGGTTTAATGGAATTGCAGAAAATTGTGTAAAGGCCCCTCCTCTGATTCAAAAAGAATGAGAATAGACGTGAAATAGTAATGAAAACTTACTGCAAGAAAAGAACAGCGTAATCATCAGGGATATTCACCAATTCTCTCAATTTCTTCTCGGCACTGTCCATCAGATTCATGAATTTAGGTGCACGATGAGAATATTCCATAATTGAGATACCCTTATCAAAACATAACAAGTTATCCCTGGCTTTTAACATAACTTCAGTAGGAATTGTTGCTGGCCCTGGATAAAAATTAAATGTTACACAATCTCTTAGAACTTGTTGTGTCAATACTTGATTGAGTTGATCACAATCTAAAACAAAGTAATCTGCCAATTCTTTGGTTTTTTGGAAAAGTAAATTAGCTCCAAATCCAATGGCAATCGTTGCAGGTCCATTGTGTTTCATGTTCATGTCTGAAACGCCATCACCCACCACAATAATGTTTTCAACCTTGCTGTCAGTGTGGTCAATGTTGATCTTGTCAATAATACCTTGCAATACTGCACTCTTTCCTTTTACAAGCATTTCATCGTTCAAAGATAAATATTGGTGAGTGTTGATGTCTGCACCATCCTCTGGAAAATTAACGTCTACCGCATGGATATTTTCACTTGGTATTCCGAAAAGTAATTTAGAATAATATTCTACAATAATTCTTGGGCCTTGGGAAATGACATGAATCGGAACTGGATAATTCTCTCTCACGTTGTTGACTAATGTGAAAAACAATAGATTTTCAAGCCTCTCATCATGTCAAAGATAACTTACTGATGGTGTCCATTTTGGGTGTAATAACACTATCCATTGATCTTTCCAAATACTTTTTAACATGTTTCATTGTTGGTGAAGCAACTGACAATCTTCTAGCATAGGATTCAGTCATCGGAATTTCTCCTTTAATTCCTTGGTTGGTGATATCCATAACTTTTGAAAGAGCATCATGCAATCGTTTTTCCTTTTCATCATCGGAAATCGAATTATTATTTCTCAATTCTTCTCTCAAAGCATACTCCAACAAGGTAACTAAACTCTCTTCTCTCACCAAAGTACTATCAAAATCAAAGACTAACAAGGCTGATGGAGCCAAAAGTGGTTGTGCTGATGACGAAGCCGACATTTTTTAGGTGAAATTGAAAAAACAAAAACATAACAAGAAATCATGATTGAATAAGTCTTGATATTCAAATATGAAAGGACAGGGCCATTAAACTGTAGCATGCTTGGGATGATCCTTTCGAAACTGAAGAGTTTTCATTCGCTTGGAAAGCATGGATTTCGTTGTTCAAAAAAAATTCGCGCCTTCCTTCATCATCATCAGGCTGTTGTGGATAATAATATATTCGAAGAAAAAACGAAACACCGTTCGTACCAACACCACACAAATTTTAGGAGTTTGACTCTGTTTTTCGGGCAAACCCATCACTATCATTCATATATAGTGTGAATAACAACGTTGATTTGAGAATTTGTGCTTTCCGCATTCTCTGACTCAGCATTTATATAATTCTTTATTCTTCATCTTTTATTCATCCATTCTATTCACTACACATTGTATATCAAATCATTATACTATTCTACGATATTACTGATCAATTAGTTCATCATTATATATTTATTCACAACTACCTGTTCATTCATCTTTCTATAATCATAGACACCAACACGCATTTGCCAATGTGGACACTCAACATCAACATAATGCCAGAACATACAGCAACACTACAAGAAAACACATCACTTGAAAATTCTATGAAAAAGACCAAATCTTCAAACACCATTGAGCTTCTTCAGAAAGAAAAGCCTCCAGTTATTTTACAATTAGGCAAAGATGATAAGTCATCAACAAATAACAATATCAAAATCAATCTCGGTGTAGGAATCGGAAGTAGACAACGCAAGGAATCAGCAACATCAAAGGCATCTAACGGAATCAATAGTACAACTGCTGATACTCTCCCAAAATTGAACGATGGCCAAGAAAATGTTTTGAGTTATGCTCATGCGGCTTCAAACAATGGAGATAACCAACCAAGATCTGTTGGAATAATTTCTACAGACAAAATTCATCATGGAATATCTCAGAAAAAAGGCCAAAGTAGTGAGGAAGAGGAGAGTGACCAAGAGTATTGTGATTCTCAAGAACCTGATCTTTGTAACGTGTTTGTCAAATATTTGCCTCAACATTTTACTGATCAAGATTTAAGAGAGTTGTTCAAACCTTACGGAGAAATTGTTACTTGCCATGTGATGACCGACAAACAAAGAGACAATGTATCCTTAGGTTTTGGCTTTGTTAGATTTTCATCAGAGTCAGAGGCACAAGCAGCCATTAACGGATTAAATGAAAAACCTATAGAAAACAAGAGATTGCTTTGCAAATTGTCCAACAAAGTTGACAACAAAGAAAAAGACCAACAAAGTAATCTTTTTATCAGAAACATTCCTCCTCATTACGATGAAGACAAGCTAAAGAGCGCATTTGAGGCATTTGGTCCTATTACCAAAGTTAAAATTATGAGGGACCAAAACACTCAAAAGAGCAAGTGCTACGGCTTTTGCGAGTAAGTAGACATTTGAATTTTGAAATATATTAATATTTCGTTCCATAGATTTGAAAAAAGAAGCGATGCACTGACAGCCATTCAACAAATGAATGGATCTAAGCTCGAAGACGATTCTTCGAAAGATATTCTCCCACTAGTTGTTAAATTTGCTGACACAGAACAAGAAAAGCAAAAGAGAAAACAAAAAAAGAGACAAACTCAACATGCACAAGCCCACATCCCTCCCAATGCTTTGCTTCACATGAACCAAGTTGCAAACGCTCTAGCAAATAATTCTACTAATGTCAATCCAACCATGTTCTCCTATCCAATGTATCAACATCCTCATCAGATGTTAATGAATCCTCCTTCATCACTTGTTGACAGAAGAAGAAGCTTACCTGATGATCATGAGATACAAAACACAGAAATTTCTACTAACCCATACCATGCAGACATGCTTTCTCATTTCCATCACATGGCTTACTTTGGCCATGTTCCTCCACACATGCAACAACATCTTAATATGCCTCATCTACCCCCTTCTGATCGTAGTGCAGTTGTTGGTAAGCCACTTTCAAAGACTGGAGGAACAGAATCAAACAACACTGATAATCAAAAAAGAGAAAATCTATCAGATGTTAGAACGTCAAATAATTACATGCACCATGGTTTTGGAAATATTCCTTATTACAACCCTTACTTCAATCCTTATACTCTACCTCCTCACCAATTTTATCCATCTACTTTGCCTATTTATGATGAATCTTTACCACCAAGCAACAATAATGATTCAAGCAACATCAATCACGTCAGACGAAAAGCTATTTCCACACAAACAAATTTAGAAAAAGCGAATACAGACGAAAAAGAAGGAAAATCTGAACCGGCTAACTTGTTCATATTCCACCTTCCAGGTGATGTTGACGATAACAAGCTTCATGATCTCTTTAGCAAATTTGGAGACATTGAATCAGTGAAAGTAATCAGAGATAGTAAGACCAATTTGAGTAAGGGTTATGGATTTGTGAAATACTTTAGCCTTGAATCAGCAATTGAAGCAGTGTCTCAAATGAATGGCTATCAGCTTGGAAAGAAGCATTTGAAGGTTTCATTCAAAACTGATGGAAATGTTTCATCACAAAATTCTGCCAACACTTCTGCTAGTAGCAACGGCTCACCAAATACATCTAACCCATCCTCCTATCCATCCCAACGAGCTATTCCTCGTGACAACCACCTTCAAAAACATCAAAATTCCACCCTCACAACCACTTCAACTGCTGCTTCCTCAATACCGTCTTACAGAGATGTTTCGAAAGCAGCAGTCCTCCTCGACAGCAATAAGAAACAAACTCCTCCAACACAAACAGTGGCAGCAACCACTTCACCTCAAGTGGTTGAATTCCCTGCTCTTCCATCAACCTCTAAAAAACAGCGGTAATAAATTGCTGGTCGCGAGTTTTTGAAACAGTCGTGTTTGATCTTTTCGAAATCGCCCAACACGGGATTTTCAAAATAATTCATCCTCCACAAAAATATCACAACTCACTCCGATGTTGTGGCATCATCATTAATTTTATTAATTTTGCAATTTCTTCTGGCCACCACCATCATTGTTGCTCAATAACCTCTCCAACGATATGATTCGTCGTTCTTCATCTTCTAAATTCTCATCGTTGACCTCTCCGCAAGTGGAAAATAAACGAGACAGTCATCAAGATGAATTCTACGATAATTACTTTTCATATTACACCAACAAGAAGGAAAGCGAACAAAACAAATACCGAATATTGATGAGTTGTCTGTATTGGTTTGGTTTTAGTTCGGATATTTATTTTGGTATGTTTTCGAAATTCATAACGGTACAAACGCTTGATCATGATGTTGTTATCATTATTAATCATCATACGATCGTAATCAACAATGATCATCATCGCACCACATGTGATCATTAAACACAACAAGGCTTTCTTACTTGGTCATTTCTCATCGAGTTCTTTTCATTATTATTTCAAGGTTACGTTAAGCTTGAACTCGCAAGCGTTCCACCCATCATTCCACTTGTTTCTACCTTCTTCATCCCGTGTACTATATTTGTATTAATTTCTATTGCTTCAAAATGTAAATCTCTAATCATGAGCTACAGAGAGAACAAAGCAACAGCACATTCTACTGCGTTGAGTTCAACTCCCAAGGTCTCTGCCACTCCCAATACTGACAACACTCACAAACTTTCCACTGCGTTTGATTTCTCAAATGACAGCTATCCAAGTATTAATAATTTGGATAAAAAAGTCACTCCTACCTTTCTTCCAATTCCTGGCTCCAGGGAATCCTCACATGCTGGATTTGGTGGATCTTTTCAAGATTACTATTATCAACATCCTTCACCGTCTTCACATATATTGGGAAGAAGCGAATCATTAATGAGAGTACTTGAAGAATCCGATGACACTGTGATTAGAGGACGAAGATTGAGAATGCATCATCATCTTACCGCTGATAATAGCCCAGCTACTCCTTTATTAATTACTAGCTCTCAAAAACTTCCCCCTATTGAAGAAAAATTATTTGAATTTAACTTTGAATATTTGGAAGAAAAGAAACAGTCATGGAGTGAGCGATTAGACGTGGCATTACATATTTGTAGACGACCCTTTTTTTATTTATGCAGTTGTGTTGGGCTTGTGACAAATTTACCGGCATTTAGTGGTCCAGAAATACAGAACCGAGTCATTTGCTTGGGAGTTTCCTTAATATTTCTAATTGGACATTTAACATATTGTATTAGAGATGCTCACAAAAAACAATACGAAAGAGGATTATGGTCATTTGTTATTGGCTGGATACTTATTGTTAATGTTAGGTTAGGCTATTGTTCTCTAAATCCACTATTTATTGGAGAGCGTACATGGAAAATATCATTATTTTCCTTGGTATTTTGCCTTGTGTTTGCTCTGGTGTCATTGACTGAAGAAATTATTGTGTTTTTATGGAGACGTTGGATATTACAACAAGAACAGGAAGAATCAGAGGAGAACCAGGATCAGGAACGATATGAAATTGACGAGAATGAACACGTGACAGAGGTGACTGAAAAAAGAAACTCTAGATTTCAAATTTTATACTCTGCTCTATCCCGAGGTGTTTCCTTTGGTTGTCTGCTCTTTGTCACTCACTGGCTTTTTACATCTGGAACTACATTAGTGAGGTTAGTAATGATTGAATTTTAATCATATTAATTTTTTTTATTCATCTTGTAACAATAGATGGAGTGGATTTCCAGGATTTCCCTACAATTTATCCATAGTCGCTGCCTTAAACTTGGGATTAATTTTGGCCAATTTGACCTTAATTTTGAGATCTATCGTCGGCTTTGTTGTAATGCTAAGCTTTGCTTTTATGCTTTCTTACATCCCAACCAATGATACTTCGTACTCTATTCTTATTTTGATGGCTTCAATTGTAGCTTCCCTTGTGTTACCTTCTATTTGGATTCATGTGTTGATTAGAAAACATACAGGTTATTCATATGCAGCATCAAATTTGTCTGCTGCTCTCTGCTGTGCTACTGGCCTGTTCATTTATATTTTCCAAGTGATACTTTTAGAGTTTTCTACACCATCCAGCAATCAAGATTCAAGTGTGACATGGATGAAGTTTATAAGGAAAGAAGCACACGCATTATTAATTTTTAGTTGTGTCATCATTTCCACATTTGGTATTGGTTTGGGAAATATTATTCGACGACCTGTCTTGGGAAGAAAACAAGATCCTCTCTCTAGCAATCCCCTTCAAAACCCAAACGATGGTATTGCTACCTCCTTTTTCAAATGGTTCATACGAGACGACGGTAACAAGAAATCACGCCAATCTCCTTTCATGCACATTGACAAACGAATACTGGCCGTCGTCGTTATTGTGTGTTGTTTGACACTATTTCCAAGCGTAGGATATAGATTATTTTACGCCAAAGTTCCAATCAATCAATCCAAAGACGACATAACATTAATGACTTTTAACGTTCACAATGGTTACGACTTGTACGGAAGAAATAATTTTAAGCGAGTGTTAGACATTCTAAAACAAGGTAGAGCTACTGTCATTGGACTTCAACAAAGTGATACGAATAGAATCTCTGCTTCAAACAATGATCTTTTAGAATATTTGAGCTTTTATTTGAATATGTATGAATATTATGGACCTTCTTTGCGCGAAGGATCGTTTGGCTGCAGCATATTATCTGCATACCCATTGGAAGATCGTGCTTTTTATTTACTACCCAGTAATGACTCGGAGCAAGCAGTCATGGTCAAAGCTTACATAAGAGCAACAGATTTCGATGGTGTTGAAGAAAGTGGTGGTCTTCCTACGAATACTTCCTTGACAGATTTTTACTTTTTCAGTAGCAGCTTTTCAATGAGAAATAGGCATGAACAGTTTGAACAAGCTCAATATGTATCACGTATCCTGAAATCTGTTTGGTCAAATAATGGGATTCACGATCGAACCTTTGAAACATTTTTCCTTGTTGGAGATTTGAATTTAGCAACAAGTGACAAGTTTTTCAATGAGAGCCATTTAACACAAGTCATTAGTAATCCAATTGTTCAAACGAATGCAAGTTCCAATTTCACAACTGTGGATTACATCTCCATGTCCGTACGAGAAAATAACCACGCACGATACGTGATTATGAATTCAACAATACTCCCAATCGATCAAGCTATTTCGTATCATTCACCACTTGTGTCTTGGTTTAAAGCAATTGAAAAACCAAAAAGAAAGAAAATATTTTGAGAAGTAATTGAAAGACAATTCCTCAATGGTTTGAACTTCTAATATGATTAGTAACAATATGGTGTGTTGCATAACATCCCGAATCATATTTACTGAATTGAGTTCTCAATTTATTGTCAACAACAAATCATGATTAAATTTGATGTTAAAATCAATGTTGCAAGGTTTGGTATCCTTGTTCCAAGTTCCTTCGAGCTGTAAAACTTGCCATACACAAAGGTACACACCAACACAAACAAACCAAACAGCATGAACTTGACAAAATGGCAAATTGGGCAATGATGTACGGATTCAATGAGTTGAACATGGTTCTTGCTGCGCTGTAGCACTGAGACGAATAGAGCATGACAGCCATTGCAATTAAAATGCCGATTAAGGCCAAAACCATAAATCCTGATGCCGCTTGAACGAGTGAATACAGTGTGTTTGATTCCTTTTCCTCATTACTCAAGCAGAACATGTCCAACAGGCGAGCTATAATGGCCATTATTGAGCATGCTGCTAAAATATATCCAACAATGGAATAAGTGAGAACAAGATTGTTGATGGAAATTCGATCGCATCTTGACGTTGAAATTGCGTACTTGTAAAAAGACGAATAAATATAAACTAAAGGTTGTGTGAGAGAATTTTCTCAAACAAACACAAAAACATACCTCCCCATGATGCCATTCCCGCAAACGCAAGACATGTCAAAAGAGAAGCAACACCAGTAATACTACAACAAGATTGGCAGTACGTGACATGATCGGAAGATGAAGCGATGACGAAATCAATATTGTATATATTATAATCGTGCTGTCAATACAAACCTGATGCTTGCAGCTCGCTCTTTCGTTCTAACATGCATTTTTTTTGTACTTTGACAAGTGACACTGCAACTACAACCATGTCAAAAAACATCATGAGTTTACTACTTTTGAGACAACAGGAAAAAGTTAAATTGAGGATCCAGCAAATAATTCAAATCCTTAATTTCTTGATTCTCCATAAAAGATGACAATTGTTGAAGGTCAACCATGGAATGTCCAAGTGCGTTCATGGAGAGTATCAATTTAGCCAAAGTAATAAATATAGTTGGTTGATAGGAATAATTTCCAATCCAAAATAATCCAAGTTGTTGTTTTCTCTGTTTTGATAACACTTGTAAAATGGTTGTTACTTGTTTCTCTAACTTGGAAACCATTTCTTGTTTCATAGTTTCATTTAGAGTTTTCAGTGCTGAGAGGTGGAACGACGCTAATTGTGAAATTGCCAATTCTTCAGTAAATACGTTGTCTTCTTCCTTTTCAAAGAGCATTGTTTCTTCGTCATTGTTCTTAAATGGAAGAATGATTTCATAGTTTTGTGGCTTTTCATTAAATGCTTCAGGAAGTGAAATACAAGAGAATAAAAAGTTTTTACATTCATCGAGATGTGAAAACTTTTCAGCAACCAAAGCAAAGGTTCTTTCAATCACAAATTCTCTCTGAAGCTCAGAGCAATGTGCATGATCTGCAGCTTCACTTCCATCAAAGGAAGCAATTAAGGGAGATAGAACTAGTGATGCTCTCTCTCTAATTTCATCATCTTCGTCTTGGAGCAGTGTGATGAGACAAGTCCAAGCAATAAATCTTGTTTTGCACAATTCGTCGCTCAAAGAGTATAAAATTCTCGAATGTACAATGCTTTCAATACATGCTGCTCTTACGTGGCTCTGTCGAACTGGATCTGATGCATGCTCAATAATTTTAAGCCACATTTTGACAAACTTGCCGTTCGGATCAGTGTCGAGGAGTGTTGGAATAAATAGACCAAGTAACTCCACAACATGTTGATGAATAAAAGTATTTGCATCCTTTTTGTACAAATAAAAGAGTCTTTCAGGGACTCTATTGGTGATTCCTGGAAATTCGTGCTCCATGTTTGACACATCTTGGTAGATGTTTGCTTCAGATTGAGTATAAAGTGTGACAAGTGCAGCCAATCCAAAACGAGCACACTCAGCATCTGTTTCTGTAAATAATGCATGTTCTAATATTATTGGCCGGATTTGCTGTACTGTTAAATAATTTTTGATGTGAGTAAAGTGCTCCTTCTTAGAAAGGAATTTCATGATAGCTCTTCTTACATCCATTACTGAGTGTCTAACTAGATTCAAAATAAAGTTTGAATCTGTGTCCTCTTTACAATAGAAATAAAGCATGCAAGTTAATGTAGCAGCATTTCCAAACATTTCTTGTTTCCAAGGCTGTCCGGTTGTTGAATCATTTTCAGAAAATAGGGTATTCACAGCACAATTCCACAATGATTCAACAATATGCTGAGGTATATTGGCATATGTAAATCGTATCAAATGGTAAAAAATTTCAAAGAATACAGATCTCGTTCCGAAGCATCTATTTTCTAATGTTCCTACACAACTGGTGCTTAACTGTGACAGACACTCCACTGAAAACTCTTGCACATTTTCCAGTCCTTTGAAGCTTGTAGTAACAAATCTATTAATTTGGCATAAAAGGCCATGTAATTGATTTTGGCTTTCAATTTGTGAGACTTGTGATGGAAGTCTGGAAATAGACTCCAAAACGCATTCTTTCACTAAAACAGATGGAATCAAAGGCTCCAAAGCTCTTGCTCCAATTGATCGTGCCATATGATGAATCATTGTGAAGCACTTCTTGACATATGGAATGAAAGCAGAAACAGAGTTATTCTCAGCATCAGTGTTCTCCTCTAAAGATGGTCTCAAACGAGATAATAGCAATAACATTGGGTAAAGGCTAGGGTGAAGCACTCTCTTTTGTTCTCTATTCTCATTGGTTACAAGATCTAATTGTTCAAGTAAGAAAGATCGTAATCGAGAATATCTTGTAAAGAATTCGATACCAGTCTTATTGGAATCATTATCTCCAAATGATCTATGAAGAAGAGCAGTATACACCATTAATGAAGAGTTCTTAATGGCCCAAACCGTGGAGCTAAATCCTTTGAGGGACACAATAAATCCATCTTCTACAAATTGTTGAACATAGGTTCCTAAACTTGCATCATGGAACAAGAATCTCAAAACATTCAATGCGTTGACTATTTGATTAGTACTATAGTTGTCCTTATTAAGAGCAATGTTAAGTAAATATTCCATTGTTTCTGGTAAAAGCTTTTTAGGGAGGGCAGTTGGCTCTGCTTTCATAATAGCAGCAAATGTCCATGGCAATCCTGCAGATCTTCTCAAAATGCTAAATAAATCTTCTTTCCCAATACCATCGAGAAGGTATCTTGTCCATTTCGTTGGAATGTTGGCCAATTTCTCAACTCCGCATGTTATTAATCGTTTACACAGCATGTTAAATCCAACTGCAGACTTTTCAATAGCACCATTATGTTTTGTCATTAGTAGTACATTCAACAAAATGTCACCCAATTTTTCGACTTGTGAAAAAGTGAGCATGCACTCTGGTGATAATTCATCTCTACATTGTGGATCAGGATACAACTCGACATGTTGAACGATGGTAGCAATAAGCATTGCTGCACCTTTCACAGCAAGCCAACAATTCACAGTTAATGAATGGCTATCCTCAGTAGCTTCCTCATCATTGTCGAAATAGATATGTCCACGGCAATCAACTCCAACACCGTCTTCACCATTTTCAGAATCTCCTGTGGAGATACCTGCTATAATCTTGACAGACATGCTACACGCTAGTTCTAAGGTACCAACTAGGTCTTCCATCCATTGTCGCCACTCAGTTGCAAAGTGTTTCTCTTTTGAAAAATCCAAATCCGAAATAATGTAGATGAGTGTTTGTAAAATTCCTATTAGAGCTGAACCTTTGGCAATGTTGAAAATACTTTGTGAACATGATTCTGTTTTTTCTTTCAATAGCTTGGTGAGCTTTCTACAGAAGGTTAATTGAGTGGAAACTGTGTTGTCTGTCTGTCCATTCTTGGAAATAATGGGTTGATCCTCTAGTTGAAGCTCCCAGTTCAAATCTCGAGAATACTTGTTGAAGAGTAATCGATAGAGAAGTGCTCCAGCATCTGATTCTCGAAGTCTGGGGCTTTTGATAAGCTCAAACGCATTCGTGGCAAGTATTTTGACTGTTTCAGGATCTTCAAAGCCACTCAACGGTGCTGGGAACAACAATAATAATTCATAGATCACCACCCTCACTTTATCCCAGCAGCTCCCTAAAGTATTGAGCAATGATAACACGATCTTTGAAGAAAACAGGCTCATTCTTTTCCATGTAACTTGCTTTTCTGAATTGGTTGGATAAAACACGTCAATGGTGAAATTGTTGGCAAAGGTTTTCAACAAACTCTTGCAGCAATCAAGAGCAACAAGCAAGCGTTCATGAGGACACCCAGGATAAAGTGAGTTAAACACCTCAAATGCATATTCATACAAGAAATTCATCAATAACGCATAGGAATCCCTGTCCTTGTGCAATTCATCTAGTTTCTTTTCTGGCAATTTCAAAGTTGTGGGAAGTGAGATCTCCATGAGTAGATCCAATGATTGATTCCTTTGATGTAGCAGGAATATCCTCATGGCAATTTCATTAACTCGCTTAACAAAACGTTCAATAGCATCTCCAAAGCCATATCTAAAAGAGCTTTTACATCCTCGTAAATTAAGTCTGATAAACTTGATGACCAATTCTAATTCAATCTTGGAAGGCATGGCTGTCTTTTTCGTAGAAGTAATCACCAAATCGAATGCATCCAATCGTATGTCGTGGTCGTTATGAATGAATGCCTTCTCAATGAATGATAAATCTCGTTCAAAGTCTAATTCGTATATGGTCAAGCTTTTAGCTGTTTTAAGAGTGAATATGATGGAATGCAACAACGCAGAATACTCAGCAGAAGTGTTTGCAAAATGTAACTGTGTTTTGAATCCATTCACAAGGAATCCAAGACAATGAGGATTAACCTTCAATAATTTTGGAAACAAGTGAATGAAAACTGCTGACCGCTGTTTCTTTGTACAAAGTGCAAGGAAATTGATAACGGGAGACAAACAATTTTCTTCCCATTTGGAAATCAGATTTTGGTCCTTCTTGCAATCCTTGAACATATCGCTAACCATTCTTTCGTAAAACAAACTAGCATTTCCATTTACGCTTCCGTTCAAATGTCCAAAAACTGAGAGAGTGTTAGAGAATACTGTTGGACATAATTGATGCATTTTTGCAGCTCCAACCCTAGATAACAGAGCAATCAATGAAATGTATTTTCCTTTTCTTGTCCATTCAGTTTCTAGCAGGTTTTTGGCCATCACAGTCAAATCAATTTGTGACTTGATTTCTCCTAGTGTTAAATCATCTCTTAAGTCCAAAACATCCATAAATAACTGTCTCATTTTAGCAAAAATGTCATAAATTGGGTTCTCAATATTTCTAAACACTATTTGAATTGCTTGTTTAAGAAGATTACATAGCCTGGTCTCAAATAGAAGCCTAGTGTCAGCATCCATTGCTGACATTTTTTGTGTTTTTGCATATTGTTGTACGAAAACAAGGCTGTTCCCATAACTCAAAATTGAGAATAGCTTTAGATCAGAATCTTTAGATTCCAGGCAATAGTAGTTCAGAAGCGAAAAAAATCCGTCAAAAAGTAAATTATAGGAATGTCCGTTGCATGTAACATCAACATCAAGCTTTGCCACAGTCATTGCGCTAATGACACTTGAAAACCAAGCCATCTTGGTCACATGATTACTTTTGATCAAAATGTCCTTGAAGCTTTGAGAGTCAATTCCCAGGATAGTTTTTCGAGAAATGTTTTCAATGTCCTGCTTTGTATAGGTATACTGTTGTGACTTGTCAGAAAGAAAAGAAAAGCTCAATGCTCCGGTGTCGGTATTAATAAAATCTCGGATAAACACCTCAAATAGCATCTGCATGAGCGCATCCTTATTTTCAAATGACAAGTCTACAAGTCTCAGAATTAAGAGTGCTCCCACTCGCTTACAGTCTCTTGGGAAAGAGTTCTCAAAGACAAATTTAAAGCTCACGCAACTAAGGGTCATAAGAGCCTCCCACATCACTCCATATTTTGATTCTAAATGTTCATTGTCCAAAGAAAGCAGTTCCATTATGTTGCTTTGTGTCACATCTCGACCTTTGTTCTGTTGAAAATATTTAAATGCTTGCTCTATTGCTGACACAAATCTGTTAATATATGCCAATGAGAGCTTAGTAGATCCAAAAACAATATCAAAAAGTAGTTCACCTGTCATGGCGTTTTGGGATACTGTATGTTCAATGACCTTGGCCAATTTGTACAAAATAATAAATAGGAATTGTTCTAAAGTTTCTCCAAAATGAACAGCATCAAGTTCGATGATGTGTTCTAATTGTCTGCATTGATATGTTAATGTTTCTTCCTCTATAACATAAGCATTACTAGTTGCGCTTAGCCGAAGCTCAAACAACACACTGCAAAGCTTTGTCATTTCTTCTGTGAAAGCTACTTGAGTGACTCTAATAATTTCCGTGTTCAAATCTACGTTTAAACCTTGTTTGATGTGATTTTGAGCCTGTTGTAGTCCCCATTGCACATATTTATGGACATGCTTCGACTCATTGATGAATAATAATGAAATAATCCATCTGATAATTTGTCGAAATGTCTCAACATCGTTTAAAATTAATTTTCGGTACTCATCTAATAGTTCTTCGGAAATAGTACTCGGAAGAGTGCACGCATCAAGCCGAAGCGCATCTTTTCCTTGATGCTGTTCAGAATTGGACGTTTGTGCTTGTTTGAATGACGAAGGTTGATCGGATATCATAAATATCCATCTCATTATCTCTCGGAATATATTCACCATATAGTCTTTGTTCGGAGCATTAGACTTTGCTAGTAAAATACTGTCATATTTTTGTTGTTCATCAAATCCTTGAATTAACTTTTCAAAGAATTTGCAAATCTGAAATTTTGGAACAGAAAAATTTACTTCTAGAGAATTGGTTACTTTTTGCAATTCATCCCGCAAATTATCAATGAACTCTTGGGTAAAGAGTGAAGATTGTTCCTTGTTGCTGGCCGAGTGGGTTGTTGTTGATGAGGCTGTTCGGGACATTTTTTTAATATGTTTCAATAAATTTTACAACCTCCTCCAAGCTCTTTGATAAGCTCATCTTCTCTGCTTTGGACGGAAATGCTATTGTTGAGCCACACTACGAGAAGTTTCATGTCAAAAACGCCAAATGTCACAATTTCTATTGAGAGTTATCATGGAAACCACTCACACATCATCATCCTCGTCATCATTGCTTCTTTCATCATCTTCTTCTTCATCAACTACTCGAATATCATGATAATAATGTGTGCTTCCACCAGATAGCTCAAAATCATCGCAGCTGCAGCAACAACAGCAAGCCAAATAAATCATTCTACCTCCGATCATCAGAACAATCAAAACAGCCAATGAAATCCACTTGTATTGACACCACACACTAGCTCTACTCAAATAAAACAGTGTGGTTGACATTGGACTGTGAAATTCATAATGAAACATTGCAGAAATGCTACTCAAATGTTCCAACACTCCAAATAACATGTAAATACTCGGAAGCCAACAAGCTGCATTTCCTATAATACTTTGAATTTTATCCACAATATTCGGATTTGAATTGTTATTGTGATTATTCAATGAAGAATGAGAGTTATTATTATTATGGTGTTGTTGTAGTTGTGAAAATAGTTTTTCCATCAGGCAGGAAAGAAATACAGCCACACTCGGTATAAAGTAAAATAAATCAATCAATTCATAGAGAAGATGAAGATATCGACCTCTTGTTCCGATATGTTGCAAAAATTCAACTCCTAATGATGAATCAAATCCTTTGATTGAGTTTGAGAGCATGGTGTAAACATTTGAAATAAATAATCGGGACCAAATAAATTGAAAAATCCACGTGATGATAATATTCGCAAGTAAAAGTAATATACTCCGAGTATTGGCGTGTGTTTTTATGAACCTTCTGAGTGCAATAAGATGATCGAGTACGGATTCTTTGAGAAATGTTTTCAGTTTGTTTTCGAATGATGATGATGAATTGTGATGGTTGCTGGTTAATATACTATCCGTTTGTACATTGGGAATGGAATCGACCAATTCCTCTTCAGTTTTGTCTTGATCATGATGATGTTCAATGTCTTTGGTTGCTGTTGACAGTACAGAATTCCGCTGGTGGTAATCAATCATGCGATTGTGATTTCTTTTTATTGTGTTGCTGATTTCTTCCAACTCCGCAAATTGGAACTTGGAAGATCATAGCCTCAACATGTTACTCTTCCTGCTTTGCTTTTTTCTCTGAGCTCAATGTGGCTGTAGTGGATTTTAGTGGAGGGCGAATGGTCGTAGTTGTAAATTGTGATTGAGGAGCAAGTGTGAGAGGAGGTACTGTAGAATGAGGGTGTGATGATGCCAAGGCAGACGGCAACACTGTTGGAGTGTAAGGAGAGGAAGTACGAGGATGATGACGGGTCTCATGGATTTCAGAAAGATTTGGCAAGGACATGGTTGGAGGTGTCATGCCAGTAGAGCGACTGTGATGGGTATTGGAATACTTTTCTTCAGCAGGTTCGAATGGCAACAATTTTCCAAATAAAAAGTGTTGAATGACCACAAATTTGAAAAGTACTTCATCGTAGTACATCTTAATAAGGCCAGAATTGATTTTCATCCATCTTGGAACGCCACTGATATCGTTCAATAGAGGTGAATGCTCTCCAAATGGCCCTTTTTTCACTTGGTTGATGAATTTGATACCTGCTAGGTACATGTACTTGTCAGAATATCTTTCTATGATTTGTGCATCATGAATAGAAGCAGGCTTAATATCTTCTGGGTTGTTAATTAATTGAGCACTTCCCCATAAATAAGTTAAAAATTGATGATCATCCAAACCCCATACTCCATGAGATCCAGCAGGTTCTAATCTGTACACTAATAATATTTTACGCATTACTTCGACATAGCGAGGAAATATAACAGCAACCATATGGTAAGAATCTTTTCTTGTGAAAACGTTCAACCGAGCTAAACAGCACATCCATGCGCAAAAAGTAGCCTCGTGTCCTGTTCCATAATCAATACGTGTTCTATTTCCAAAGCTGTCTTTCCAATATGCACTCAATTCTTTTCGGTGCCAGTCTTCCTTTACAAAGTAGAACGATGATGCATTTTCGCAAGATGAAGGTGTCGATGAAGAAGATGAAGATGGTGTACTTTCATTGTTGCTACCACCATCACGACCATATTGATTTCTCAATGTATTAGAACACTCCAAAGCCTTGTCAAGGAGTGTTTCCATCATTCTATCAGACTCCGAGCACATTTTGTCAAACCAGTCACGATAAGCCAAGTTTCCGAATCGTGATGTTTGTCCATCTTTAATTTGTACAGGTGGATATAAATTAATAAATTCTTCTAATTCATCAAAGTATGATAATATAACAAATACAATGGGTGAGGCGTTAGAAAAATCTTGCGGATTAGGTTTTGATTTTGTTGCTTCATTCAATTCCTTCATGAAATTATCAAAAATCAAAAAGGCTTTTGATTTCTTAAACTTGATCATATCCATTTGAGTTTTGATCTTTTTATGAGGGATATCTGTATCGGGAAGTGTTGACGCTTCCATCTTTCGTTCAAACTCCACTTCAAGCCTGTGAGCACGAGGCGAATGTGCTGTCGTTGTAACGCTATCATTAATCATTTTTTTCTAAATAAAAAAATGCCTCCCTCCTCGAAAACACTTCTTCAAAGCAAGCGATTCAAGATCATCATTTCATTTCTCGTTTCTGTGATATTGGGATTTGCTATTTGGTGGTTTTCAACAGGAGTCTATCAGTCATTGTTTCCCCATGATGATATTCGGAAGTTGTTGGAATTGGATATTTCTTCATTACATGCTTTAATATTACCAATCCGATTGAAAGTGCATATCCTTCATAGGAAGGGACTGAATGTGGACTTACAGAAGGAGAAATTCACAAGTTTGAAATCGGACCACATAGAGGGTGTTGAATTTTGGGAATATTCATCAGTGTTGAGTATCAACTTTGGCAGAAACCATTCGGAGCATTTACATTCCGTAGATGATCTTTTACTCAAATGGTCTCGAACAAATGAATATTACAAACCAAATTCTTATAATTTATTCATAATTTTAGGTGATGAAAAACCATCGAATCACGTACTGTATCTTGGACAACATAGACATGCTTGGATTGTTGCTGATGAACCAATCACTACAGATTTTGTTTTAGCCACCTCTAAATTATTTTATAATATTTTAACAAACAGAAATACCTCTCCGAACACAAAATCCTATGCGATTGAGAATAATTTCGAAAAGAAAAATGAAGAATATGTATTTGATGACACTGACATTACAGTCAATAAGATTGCAAGCAAGTATAGAATTACATTGACTCTTGTAAATATGAAGCCATACAAAAACTATGTTTTTCATTGGAATTCGCCCGATCATTATGAGAAATATATTAGAAGCTTCACTGATAGGCTCTCAAATTTAGTGGATTTTGTTATTGATTGGAAAAGTATATTGTATGGCGAATTGCCAACCAAGAGCGGAGGTCTATCTTCAAAACAAGCTAACTTGTCAATCCTACGAAATTATCAATCTTTCAGAACGTTTGAAAGGACAGATTCTACAATACCTCAAAACACCACAGACATGTCCGTATCTGATCCAAAAAACACTATCCAAGCATATCACGAAATTGAAGCAAGAAGTATGCAGTTTTTGCTTAACGAAAACAATGATTGGAAATTTGTGTCACAAGATGCTAATGAAACAGCTATTCAGTTACTTCTTCTTATTCCACCACGCGAATACACTCCATTAATGATAAAAAAGTATGATGGATCCCTGAGTGAACACAATTCATATATTATTCCACGATGGGGAGGAGTGTTGGTGTTCAATCCATCCAAGTCCATATATAGAGGTCATTCCACTGACATTAGATACTTTAAAGACCAAGACATGCAATATATCATGGAGCTATTCTCTTCGCAGCTACGACGACTACTCTCAATACCAGCTCCATTACCTTCAACTGTTTTTATTACCGAGCCTGGAAAAGGCAAGACAGAGTCGAAAATTCACGTAATGCAGATCCCATCCACACTCTACGGAATTTCTCAGTGGGAAATTGATCAACTCTCGCGACATAGAGTTCAAAATAACTTGTTACAAGCAACAGAGACTTTGCAGGCAATGTCAAGAGTGGTACACAACATGCCAAACGTTTACGTCATGGATGTAGTAGCTGAATTAACAAGACAATCCATTCACGCTGTTGAAGACGCTGTTTCTCTCTGTACCATAGGCATTAAGCGTGAGGAGGATATGACAACACTAATTCATCTTTCAAAGACTGCTATTTACAATGCACAAAAAGCATTTAGTCACGAATCCATGCTATCAATGTTGCATTTTCCTGACGCTCAAAAGTTGGCCGTCTACCTCCCATTAATTCTTCCCATACTCGTAACCATTCTCGTTGGCTTAAAGAGAGAACGGAACATAATCCGAGAAAAACACAAACAAGATTAATTTATTCTTATATTTATTACTCCACCATTATGTAACCTTATTAGAGAGTTTCATAAAGAGTGACCGTTGTTGTGTTAGATGGTCTATCATTGATTTGTGGAGAGCTCATTGCAGATGTGCCTTCCTTTCCGACAGCCACAGCTGAAGACTTGGAGGATGCACAAAACATGATAATTCCACAAGCAATAAGGCAATGCAAAAAGGCAACCACAAACACGAACGAAACACAAGCAATTACTGATACTTGGTGGTGACACCTCCACATTAATATTATTCCCATCAACACAGCAATTGTCTCAGAAGCTACTGAAAGCAGAGATGCAAAGAAAAAGGAGGAAGAAAAAGACTCTGAGAACAAGTTTTGAGCCACTACATAGTATTGATGCTCGTTGATGGAATCATCCATTCCTCCATATGGACCTTCATTACTCGTATTATTCTCGAGAGATGCTTCTGGATGAGCAACAATGACGGATTCATCCCTAGAGCTGTTTTGATAATTCATGACTTGGCTAGAAGAAGAGCAGCTTTCCTCATGATCCTCCTCTGCAGAGACTCTCAATGCTTCTTGATCTTGAGCTTTCTTATTCTCTCTTCGAACTTTCATGAAAAACAACACATTCAATCCAACTTTGAAAATAGAAACGAATGTAATGATTAGAAACATGATTAACAGTACTGGCCATAGAGCATACAAATCTTCTCTTCTCTCTTCTCGCAATGAAAATGGTTCATCAGGATTTACGCTTGTGTAAACAAACTGAAACGTTGAAATGCTTAATAATAACAAATTCAAAAGCATAACTCCCTCTCCAACGCAATACCAAAGTACTACTGGCTTTTGGAGATTTAAAAAACGAGAACGAAAACATCTAGAGAAAATTTGCAACATTTTTTCGTATCTATTTTAGATGGAAGCGTTTGGTTGGGATTTGATTCATGTCTCACTAAAAATGTCATGGAGGTGCATTTGCATACTTGACAAATTTGGATCAAAATCAAACATTTGGCGGAAGGTTGACATTCTCATTTTAAAATGTATTGGCGAATTTGATTATGAGTTAGCTCATTACTTTTAATAATTCAAGCATTGTCTAATTTTTTGTGGTGTCAGATTTGAAGTGATCGAAGGGCAGTCGAATGCAATTTTCAAACTATTTGATTTTTATTGGTTTACTTTCCCTTTGTATCCGCATGCCAAGCAGCTGATAAAAGTTGTCATTGGTTCATCACTTCCTCGAGTTTGCATTTGGAAAAACGTGCAATTTTGTTGCTTACACTTCTTACACTCCATCTTTACTTGAATGGCAGGGGTTGACGGATTCATTTTCTTGTGCGTTTTAAATGAACTTGGTGAATCATTCGTGTGCTGGTTGAGCGATTCAAAAAACGAACAAAAAAATGAAGTCATTTATTTTCTACGTATTCGTGCTGGTTCTGATGATGACTTTGGTCTCGGAAAGCTTCCAACAATCCTCATCAGAAACAACAACAACAATAACAGCAACATTATTGGGACAAGTGGTTGATATACCTAAAAATATGAAAAAGGATGACCAGCAAGATCCTATTAAAATTCTATTGCTCCGACAAGACTCTCCTTCACGTGAGGATGTTTATTTCGTGAGAGCGGATGGATCATTTGCTATTGAAGGATTAACACCAGGTTCACATATTTTGCAATTAGTTTGTCATAGATTTGAATTTGCTAAAATCCGAATTGATGTTTCAAAGAGCGGAAAGATGAGAGGCGTTATGATGATTCCTTCTAACCATCCTTCACTATTGACGGAGGAAGAAAGGAAATCTGGAGCTGCTCAAAGTTTAGATGGATTTGGTTTTGTTAAACAAGGAATTCAGGTTGAACCAGTGCTTCGAGTTAAACCTTTGACTGTGCTGAATTACTTTGAAGTTGTTCCTGGATTTGATTATTTCGGAATTTTGAAGAATCCTATGGTGATCATGCTTGTTGTTGGTGTTCTTATTTCTGTTGTTTTCCCCAAGCTAATTGATCCTGAAGCTATGAAAGAAGCGCAAAAATCAATGAGTCAAAGCGAATCGGAATTTAAAAATTTATTAGGAGGCTTGAATACACAAATTTCTAACCAAGCGGCGTCACCATCCTCGTCTAGTAAGAAAAAGTCAAAGAGCGAATAATACGACATATGGCTCCTATTTAAGCATTGAAAGAATTTGCTTCAATTACCAGTCATGCCAATCCTATATTTATTAGTGAAAAACCCAATAACATTCATTTACTAATTTCATTATATTCGATGACAGTTGAACTCTCTTGTGATATTGATGAAACTAAACTTTCAGAACTAGCGCTTCTATGAATATCTGATACAGTATCACACAAGCTACTCATACTTTCCACAGACTTCAAATTTGTGCTATTGGGAAGTGTTGGTGACAAATATTCTGTGTCGTCATAGGTGTACTCATTCTCGGATTGACTTGGAGAGGACGTAGTAGACATTGAATGCAATTGAGGCGATTCTTCGAATACTAAGCTGATTTGAGACAAGGATTCTTCCATTGCTTTTCCTCGTTCCACGTTCTCATCATGTACACTCTTTCTCCAATTCAAATAGAAGAATGCAGGAATATTGATCATTCCCACTGCCACTGAATATGCAAAGACTGCTCCTACTACCAATGATTTAGATAACATGATGGGACAAGCTGCAATAGCATACAAACTCACAGATGCTGATCCCAAAGTCATTGGTCCAACAGATTCTACTGCCAATCTCTCATCATCATTGCCAATCCATAATGTGAACAAAGTGGTCATGTACAAGGTTGGGAATGAAGCAGCAAGCCCAGCCAACAATGTCAACTTCATGGCGTTTAATAACACGCTGAAGGAGACTAAACAAAAGGGTAATGCTACTCGTAACATGAGGATTGCAATTCTCTTCCTTCTTCGTGATGAGGATTTCTTTTCATTCTCTTCATTTGGTATTGCTGCTTCTGATGATGATGACGAATATGGTTTATAGGTCCAGGTGGTTACAACAGCCAATGCCACATGCACAGTGAAACAAACACAACTGATAATAATGTGAATGGTATCGTTCCAATTCACTAAGGTAATACTGGTCATGTAGGACACAGCTAACAACAACCAAATGAACACACCACATGAACAAACCAAACTTGCCATGAACACTTTTCTGAACGCGTTGCTTTGCATGATGATGGCTAGTGGTAATGGTCGAAGTGGCAATGAGTTTTGAGGCTTCGTTCTATCAAGTTCAGATTCAACAATGTGTTGTTGCTGCTGTGGGACTGTTGCTTTTGGTACTTCATTGATCGACGTGTGGCAATCTTGATCAGTTGAGGAAAGAGACATTCCATCCTCTATGAATTCATGCGAAACTTGTACCAATCTCTTTTTCCAAAACCTTTTCATGAGATAGGTTTCAATAAGAGACGGTAATACTTTCCAAGATAGTAAAAAGACTGCAGTCATCAATGTTCCAATGGGTATGGAATAGAAAGATCGAATCATGACATGTTTCCTCTCGTCAGGTTGGTCATTATATTTCACAAGAGCATCCAAAGCAAAACCCATGGTGGATGGAACCACAGCCGTCGGTATACTTCCAATAATTCCTCCAACTCTCGAACCCCACTTTTCAATGACCAAAGTAATGGCTAATGATATACAACTGGCACACAATCCCATAAAGATTGTGTTGAAATATACAGAAGAAATAATGGGATACAGTAAGGTGGCGAACATGGAATTGCCTTCTTCAACAGTGGTGGAATTTGAAAGAGCATGACTGGTCATGATGAAAGGGGTGAGGATTATATCGAGATGGTTATTGTGTTGAGACATTTTGTAGTTTTGTAGTAGTACTGATGTGTGTGAGTGTGTAGGTTGATCAATATTATATTACACTTCAGAAACAGTAGTAATGTTGCGACCAGATGCACGCGTGTGTGAAAATTACGAAAAAAGGACGGTGGGTCACGATGCAATACTCAATGGATGATGAAGTTGAATGCAATGACTCATGAATTCAATCGGCTTGGTCTTCACAATTTCTTTATCACTTTCAGAATAGGAGAATTCAATGGTTCTTTTTTTCTCTTCGGTTGTGATTACATGTTATTAATAATAATAGATTTGTGCTGATAAGAGAGAGAAGGTGACCTTATGAGTGTACACCTTTCTCCAAGAGTAGCACCTACTCTTGGTGCATAATTGTCCTCATGTGGAATATTTAACCTTTCCACAATACTGAGTTGGAAATTTCACTCCAAAAATTCATGTCGTCACCCAAGCGAGAATGTTGTAATTTCCTGTTGTGTGTAATTGCACGAGATTTCCAAATGATGGTGTCATGACTCAATTAGAAACATGGAAGAGGTAGCGGAAGGTTCGATGTAGAGAAGAGAATTGTTTGTCTCTCGAGAGAAAAGATGCGTCAAATGATTTCTCAAATGACATTTGGATATTCATTGTCAGCAGTGAGGATTGAAAGAGAACGATTGTTATGAAGGAAAACGTCGTTCAAAATTGCTACTCTTTTTTCCATGAATCAATGGCTTGTTCAAGTGGATTACATTTGGCAGCACTAAAAATGTATTTATTGGCAATTTTCCAAACATGGAAATGGTGTGTATGAAAGCAAACTTTCAAACAAGTCCTTGATCCGTGATGGTCTTCCACACATTTGAAAGAACTTCATTCCCAACAAACAAATGCTATCAACATCTCCGAAAGCGACAACCACAGCAACGACCATCACTGAAACCATTCAACAACAACCTTCCAATGACCTTAGCAAGAGTAATGAAACACCAAGATCGGCATCTTTGGGAGCCTCACATTCACACCACACGCACATTCCTAAACCTCTTCCTTCCTATCAATTTAACACTTCAAAAATTCCACATTCTCTCCGATTAACGTATCGTTCGCGAGCCAAAGCTTACTTGAAACAAAATGGTTATTTTGTGGACATGGAAATTATTCAAGTGACATCATCTATTTTGTTTTTCTTTATTTTCATTGCTGAATTGATTTTTAATATGAGAATACAACAAAATCCAGCGAATTTAGGTCGAGTGATGATTTTAGGTTTTTATATGGTGGACTTGGTATTGTGTTTAGGAATTTTGACCATGTTGTTGATTGGATTTGCAGTAGCGAAACACAAAATTCGATACATTTTTCAATTATCCTCTCTCATTGACATGTTGACCATTATTCCAATGATTCCCTTACTGATATATGCCATTGTGAAATTACTGTTGATGGAACAATATGATTCTCATGTATTTTACAGAAACCATGATGTCGATCTGAACATGTTTCGAATATCTGTGGTCATTGCATTCTTTCGATTATTAAGATTGATTCGAATATTATTTGTCTTGACTTGGAAGAAGAATATTCTCCATTACATGTTTGAAAATTCATTTGGATTTGGTCCTTCCATTCAAGTTCAAGTCGTGACGTTGATTCTTATTGTGATCATACTGGTGTTGTTCTTTGCTGGAACGTTTCAACAGATTGAATATCTCTTTGGAACAGCAGTTCATGGAATGGGTATGTTGAATTCCTTTATCTATATAATAATATTTTGAACCTTCTTCTAAATTCCATGATTGAAAAATCACCTCAGTGGATAGTGTTTATTTCATGGTCATCACGATGGCAACCATTGGATATGGCGATATTACACCTACATCCACGATTGGTAGAATTTGGGTCATGTTTTGCTTTCTTGTTGGTGTGACTGTCATTCCGTATCATTTATCAGCATTGTTAAAGTTGGGAACTAGTGAAAGTGCAACATTTAGAGCCAAACATGGAAATTTAAAGAACCACGTTATCGTCAGTGGTTATTTTGAAAAGGAGAATGCCATTGATTTCCTCAAAGAGTTTTATCATGCCATGCATGGTAAAAACAATAAGAAAGCTCTCAGTAAGTATCATCCTTCAGAATTATTGATTTCACCAATATTGAAAAACAATTCACACACACACACATACAGTTGTCTCACGTAATAAGGATTTAATTCTCTCACTCAAACAAGATATTTCTCGACGAAATTTCCTCTCTCAACGAGTCATCTTCTTTACCGGCGATTTATTAGAATATGAAACTTCAAAACTTCTTCGCGTTCAGCATGCACATTCTGTATTCTTTCTCAATTGTAAGGCAAGTCCAAATCCAAGATTGAACGACACTTCCATCATGATGTCTACCATTGCCATCAAGAACATGAATCGTAATATTGAAGTGTATGCTCAAGTCACTCTTCCAGAGTCCAGATATTATCTCTACAACTCAGGAGCAAAAGTTGTGGTCTGTACAGAGATGCTCTCCAGCAAACTTGCAGGTATGAATGTGTTGTATCATGGTTTCAGTACCATGGTCATTAACTTACTCAGTACCTTGTACATTCAACAATCTCTAGAAGTATTTAAGGAAAATATGGAGAAACATGCACAACATTATGCATTTTCACAATGGAGACTGAAAGGACACGCTTCTCATCATCATGAAACCTCTCGTTCGAAAGAAGAACAAAAGCACATGGATAGTGAATGGCTCTATGAATATTTTGATGGATATGGACATGAAATCTACTCGGTGGCATTCTCTCCCTATTTTCAAGGAATGAAATTTATAGATGTTGTGATTTTTCTTCGAGAGCAATTTGACATTACTCTTTTTGCATTGGAATTTACCACCGTGACTATTGGTGGAAATTCAAGAAATGAAGATCATGATCCTTCGATTCGAGTTTCGAAAGCAACTGTTGAATTGAATCCCAGTGATCAAGTCATTGATGTGAATACGTGTAAGGCATTTGTAATTGCACAAAGTGCGTTTCATGCCAATTTGGTGTATTTATTTGAAAATGCAAATCCAAAAGAAGATGATCAATCGACCACCACTAAATCCTCAGTGGAACAAACAGTATTAGGTGGAATGCATCCATCTTCTTCCAAAAACGATCAATTACTAGAACAACCCTCTCGTTCATTACACATTCATGACGAACGTTCGATTGGAGAATATGAAGACAATGATCTGAGTCGTGAAAGTGGACAATCCTTAAGGGTAGAACCTCTCGATAAACCCACATTGGACATGCTTGGATCGTATGAATCCTTCTATGTGAATGAAGAAAATGCATTTGAAAATATTGAACAACAAAAACCACCTGAAACGAAGGGTCGAACTGGGTTGTTGAAGAAAACACGACGATTCACACGACCTCGAACACGTTCGAGAGGTGGTGGCTCTCCTGGAACTGCCATGATGGATGAAGAAGAAATGTCCAGCATGACATCGGATCAAGATGATGAGGAGAGTGATGAGTCGGCGGAATCGGTTCGATCTCTCGATTCCATGTTAGCAAAACCTCCACTCGATTTGGAAAATTTGAAAAGTTATTCAGAGCTTGAATTGAACATGACATTTATTCAGAGATTATTTCGAAGTGTGGCACCAAGTTCCTATTTCATGACACGAGATTCGAAAGAAGATAAGAAAACCTTTGATGATTTTTGTAAAAACATGATGAGGAATTATAACTTGTTATTAAGGGCGAGACCTAAGGGAGACTTTATTGTGGACTCTGCAGAGTCAGTTCACCTCAGAAAACATATTATCATTACTGGTGAAATCAAGTATCCATTGGTGATTATTGCAACTGTTCGCTCATTGAGAAGACGTCACTTTATGCCAATTTTGATTGTCGTGTCTAAAAAGGTTCAAGGAATGAGCATTTTTGATAGTCCGTATGTGGACTTTTTATATGAAAGACTCAAGTTCTTTGATAAGGTAAGAGAATTTCAAAAAATGATTTTGTCATCATATTCTGTAACTTGTAATGTGTTGGAAAAATCATATCATTTAGGTTTTTATAATGAGAGGAAGTCCAACTGATTTGTTTGATTTGCAGAGAGCTGGAATTACAAATTCAGAAGCCATTGTATATTTGTCACGACCAAGTGGAAGTTCCGCATACAATGACGCTATATTTCCAGAGGCGAACGTTCCTAACCAAGCTTCTTCCAATGCCGTTCTAGTCTCAGACGATTTTCTCAATTCTAAAGATTATTTTAGAGACGCTGAAGCAGTCAAAATTGTGGTTGCAATGAGCTACATTGACCCTAGAAAGTTCTTTGTTTTGGAGCTCAGTAACACAAAGAATATCAAATTTCTCAAACAAATTGGTGGAATTTTCACCACACGCTACGGAAATGATATGGAAGTGTTGATGAAGGCGTTTCAAAGCGTGACATCCATGTCTGCATTTGAAGATCCCTTATATAGAATTGGAGAAATGTTGGACGAGTACAATGAATTTTGTTTGTTATCAGAATTGTATTCAAGCGGTAGAATTATTCCAGTTGGCTTTATTTCCAAATTGCTCGCTCAATCATTCTACACAGAAAAATTAAATGATTTGGTGGAACAAATGTGTATTGATGGAGTTTGTTCATCAAGCAGAAGTTCAATATTTCAAGAACCATGCCCTGAATTGAGCTTGGGAATGACCGTTGGTACACTCTTTGTGGAATTGTGTCGAAAGGCAAGCTTGGTAAGTGTTAGTGAGCTTTTTCTTTTTCAATAAGTCACAATTGTGTTTCTAGATTTTGTTAGCTCTTTATAGACCAAAGAGATTTCTAAGCGATCAAGAGTCCACTCCAACCATCGATGAAGATTTCTACTATGTTTATACACACCCAAGACCGAACACTGTACTACAACATGGGGATATTATGTTTTTGTGCGGCAGAAAGAGCCAGTATGTAGAATTTCTCAAAGGTCTTCATCATCCTAAAAAAGATTTACGCTCAGCTTCTGCGTCCTTTGTCACTCCTGCAGTGGTCTCTGAATTCACCAACATTGTTAATATTCCAGAAGAAGTAACACCTGTTGTAGGTGGTCACGAATTGCTCACTCGACGAAGTTTTGATACTTTCATGTCCAAACACAAATCAGGAATTATTTCCAAGCCTGAACATTGAAATAAGCCATTTACTTCTTGTACAGGTCGTTTGTGATCTGTTGCTGAAGCACGGACGATAATTGTTCGAATAATCCATACTCGCTGGTATTGCCTTTCTTCTGACTTGAAGAGTTGGCTATTTCAGATGACCACCGTTCAAACATTTGGCATTGTGTGAAAATTGTGAAAAACTTTCCGTTTTTCTTGAATTGTTTGGTTTTTGTTTCAATAAATAGAGGAGTATCAAAGATCCATTCAGGTATGTCCTTCTTTTTCCTATTATCTGTTATAGAATAGAACTCTTGGTTTGGCTTTACGAATGCTTTGTAATCTCCAAAAAGATTTACAAAAAATAGTAAAAATGTATCCTTTGCCATTGCTATTTGATTAGATCCTGATTTTGAACTTGTAATTTCCTTTGATACTTTGGATAATTTTTTGATAAATTCTTTTACATCAGGAATAATACTTTTGTTATCTTTTAAAGTTGCTGGCTCGATCACTTTTCCAGAATCCAAATCCACTTGTAATACTTCAGACTCCATTTGACCATCCTTTCTGAGCTCGTCAATATATTGTTTATGGTTACTCAGCACTCCAATTACGAATGGAACTGGGCTGCACACATAATCGATGAGACTTTGAGGAAGTACAGGTATGAATATGTGTTGCCATGTGAAAGGATACAATAGTGAAATAATGGCTTGGCAAAAAGAAGAGAGCTTTGTAATATCTTTGGCAAAGCAAATAATTCGTCTTTCGGTTAGTAGAAATGAAAATACTGTTAGAAGGTTTTCAGCAGAAAGGCATTCAAATAATACATTAAAATTAATCTGAAATTTTTGATTAAAACGTTGGTCATTGTACATGTATACGCGTCACAATACTTACATATTCCAACATGGGATCTGCCACGTTGGGTCGAGAGAGTTTAACTTCCTCTTGTTGTCCACTTTTTGGATTCACTGTTCGGATAATAGTACAAGTTCCAGGAGAAGGGAAAGGATTGGCAAGCACAGTCTTTAAAAATTGGTAACACGATACGTTATTGATCTCATTTCTAATTTCAATGTTGTCTAATATTGTAGAGAATAATCCAAAACATGAATGTGCAGAAATGATGCAGAATGTTTCTGGTAACCTCTTTCCAGTTCCAGTAGGTAACATTCGTCGACAATATCCATGTTTTCGTGTACCGTCAATATCTGTTAATACAAAGCTATACGTCTTCTTATTTCCACCTGAAATAGACTCTTGTTCTTTAACAATGTCAATATCAGGAACTGTGTGTGTCATTAAATTTATACCAAAGATGATCACTGATAATTATTACTTACAGCAAAATAAAGGAACACTGTTAATAATTTGTTGACTCTTACTGCTTCGACCCGTTTGTGGAGGAAACTCGTAATGAATAAATGGCTCCAGTTTATCATCCTTTCTCCGTAATTTAACCACAACAACAACTTCAAATAATTGCTTATCTTCATTTGTTTGTGCATTCGAGTCGTTCTTCACCTCCAAGTTTGTATTGTTTGAATTTGATGTTGGCGTAGCTGGTGTTTTCTTTAGCTTTTGTAATTGTTTTGCAATTTCACTGGATGTTTCAGTAGAAATAGTTGGTGGTAAAAGTGGACTTTGTGTTGATTCTTTCTTAACTGGTATTGGAAGAGGTTTTGCAGTTCCTGCACTTCTTGGAGAAAAACCTCCTGAATTGGGTGATGACATGTATTCCTCATTTCCAAGAGCATCTGCAACTTCAGTTCCTGTCGAAGCTTTTGATGAAACTTTTAGTTTTTGCTTTATGGACTCTCCAAAGGATAAATGTTTCTTGTGCATCTTCTTGTTAGGTGAAGATCCATTCTCTTCATTGTCATTGGGTGTTTGAGGCTCGGGTATGACATTCCTGTTGGCCGTTCGAGCAACACTTGATGCTGATAATATTCCTCGTGAATCGTCCATAAACATTTGAAGACCCTTAATCCAAGTTGAGGCTTGCATAGGGTCTGTAATGTGGCGATCATGATGAGAACATGTAACAATGATGGAAGGTGGAGATGCAGGAGATGATGTTAGTGTTTGTTGTTGATGAAGGGTAGGAGAATATGTTGGTGTTCGGGATGTAATAATATGATTATTTGATTGATGATGATGATTTTGAAATTTCGGAGCAGAAGGAAGAGGTTTGGAAACAGTACCGTACACGCGTGGAGGAGGAGGTGGAATCATGTAATGGTTTGAAGAAATTATTGATGTGGTTGTTATCGTATTAGTTTCATTATAATGTTGATCATCATTTTCGTCATCATGAGGTGTTGTCGGAGATGAAGAATCCGATGAAGAATTTCCAAAATAATTATGAACAAGTTGAGTCGAGGCATTGAATGGAGTAGGCGTCATTATTAAGGGAGGGGATGTTTGTGATGTTGGAGAATGGGCGGATGGAGACCGATTATTCAACATGACCGCAGAGTGGTTTTTTCGAGTCAAAGTTGTTTGAGTGGAATTTGGATGCATTTTTCATCATCGCGAATTTTGGAATGTTATGGACGTAATTGAGAGGTGTTGTAATAATATTGTGTTGAGGATGATTGATAAGTAGTCGTTGCAAATCGTGAGGTTGAATTAATCATCGTGTTACGCAATTCATCCATGATCATATTTAAAAATACCAAGCAAGACATTTTAGGAGTTGATGGTGGTGTTCCAAAAATTGAATTAGGACCAAAGAGGTGATTTGAATTCAAGCATCACATTGAAAAAAGATATGTTCCAAATCAGGTCGTGAGTTCTCGTTGCAAAAACAAAAATTCAACACATGACATACCTGACAAAATGAATCCGAGGCTTTTCTTGAAATTCTTTCGTTTCACCATGAACATTTGAAACTTGTAGGGAACGAGAGCTGCTTCATAGTTTGGTTCCTTGTTGTTATATCCAGAAATGAAATATCGTTGAAAGAAAGAAACACATTCTTGAGCTTCTTGTTGAGTGATTGGAATCTTAGAAGAGATGAAAAGAGAGGTTGTGGATGATGTTGTGGTTGTTGTTACAGCAGAGAATGAATTGTAATTATTTTCTAGTAAATGAGAACATTGACAATAGGGAATAATCTTTTCAACTTCCGAGAATAGAATGACTAGAGGATGATATCATCATCAATGGAAACAAGATAACGATACATTTCCAAATGAAGTTATTCAGGAATTCATGGAGCAAACATTCATTTCAACGGTATTCATTAATAATGAATTGACGTTAGGTGGTTGATATACTTACTATTACTTCTTCGTTGAGCCGAAGTCGAAGCGCTCGATGATGATGGAACCATATCACTCTCGCAAACAAGTGCTGACCCATCCTCGGAAATGTAGCACATGGTGTCAAATCTAATCTTGCTAAGCCTTCTAGAAGATGATGTCGCTTCCATGTCGCTCCATAGACCAATCACGAACATATTTGCTCCGTCCATTCTGAGAAGAGAAAGTAATTCTTCTTCATCGTCTGTAATTGGTTGAAAAGTGGATGAAGATGGTGTTGGAAGAGGAGTTGGACGAGGCTTGTTCACTGTCGATAAAGAAGAATTAGGTGGTTGAGGAAGAGGTTTGTGATGATTCACAGTCTGTGATCGGTAGTGGAAGCTCCCAACCTTTCTCAATCCCAACGACGTCGATGAATTGGAGACTTGACTCATTATTTTTTTCAGCTGAACGACACTTGGCAGCAAACGTCCGTTCGTCTAGGCGTTGGGCAATCTCCATTCTGATTCCTTTTCCTTCTTTTCTCTTTTCAATCCTCATTCATGAAATTAATCAAATATATTATATTCCATACTTTTGGTAAACCCACTTGATTTTGTTGAGTAATTGGAAAGCTTACATCACCACATGTTGGCATTCGAAACGAAAAACATCAACAAACTTTGTCAACTCAAATTCTGTAAGCAGAAGTATTTTTCTGTTGTGTTTTGGAAGATTATTCTTGGAATTCCCTTCAGTCAGATTTCAACAAACAGAGTGATATATAAACCTCAACCACATCTTGGCAACTTTAATTGGTGTTTGAAGCTCTCATAGACACTCTCATTATATTCATTAGTGAGCAGGAATGAGTGATCACACAGCAACTTTTCGGAAAAGAGATTACTGGCTTCCTGCTCCGGCCGGCAGCCTTTTTTTGAACTCAACAAGAACCTGATTGATACAAATGACAATGCAAAAAGCTTCTACGATTACCAACCATGTATTTTGCTGGAGCTTTTCCACTAAACTCTGTAATAAATTGATTCGCCCTTGAACGCTTAATTAGAATTTCGTCGTTTATCTCTCCTATTATGTTTGACCCAATTCGTCACTAGTATTATTTGACCCTTTTTCAGCTGATCGATATGTCTTCAAGTCACGACCTTAAATCGTGATGGTGGATGCCTGAGAACGAGATAAAGATCGTTCACAATGTTGGACTTGAGTGGGTGACTTATTGTTGACCACCAAGAAGTATCTCGCTCTGTCAATATCTCTCAAAAGTTATAGCACCTTGAAAGCACACCATCTGACCTTTATTTCGCACAAATACTTGAAGAGACGCTCCCGATTGAATACGGGGCATGTTGTCTCTTTCTAATATTTACAAAGAAAACTGTCAACACTCTCAATTACTTCATTCCTTAGCGTTGATGATTCGCCTTCTGAATTCTATTACCATCATTGAAAATTAATTGAATGAATTCCAACCAGGCATTTGTTTCCCAACAAGAACAAACAACACTTGGTGAAGATGGCCACACAACCACCAACGAGAGCATGTTAGTGTCACTCACTCGTGCCATCCTCTCCAAGATGCAGATTTACAATTCTGGGCGTTTATTTCATCCAAAAAATGGAGAAGAGACTTTAGCTAGTGCGGACATCACTCCAACATTTCCTTCATCATCCATGGAAACGGAATGGCCCAAAATCAATGTTGCAACACTCTCCGAGAGTTGTACGGTTCTTTTAGTAATTCGTCGCTACCTTAAAGGCCATGGTTGTGGCTTTTGCAACAGGCGGCTCTCGGATCTAACGGTGTGGTACCGATCGTTGCTGCAGCTGGGAGTGGTGCCTGTGATCGTTCATGGAGAGTATGAACATGAAGCGAATGAGTTCTTCTACACCCGATTTCAAAAGGTTCCAATCATACGGGATATGTTGAGAGTCTCGGATCCATACTATGATCTCTCTCAACAATTATTTCAAACGGATCCCAAATGCAAGCCTCTCACCTTCAAAGATCCGAGAAGTATTGGCGGTTTCAATGTCTTGAAGGAATATTTGAGAGCGACTAAGGACGGTTTTAAATTTGAGACTCTTGCGCAACATGAAGTGCTTGGTATTGGAAATAAGACCAATACACTCATTCCCAAGATGGCTCTAATACGGAATGGGAGAGTGGAGCATGTGTTTGACCAGGAATTGCAAGAGAGAGCTCCAGACGTGGTGGGAACAGTGGTCTTGTCTCTTCCTTGGTTAACAGCAAACACTGAAGAAAATGAAAAACTGGAAGAATGGTCACAGATTAGCAGTTGTTCTAATTCTGTGGGGACGTCAACCGCAGTGAATCTAAGAGAAATGGAGCAAATGAATGATCAATTAAACGCTCTTGTCCATCCCAATACCCAAGTCAGCCACCATTTCGAGGAAGGCTCAATGGAATCTAAGACTTGTGGTCATAAAGAAGATTTTGAACAACTGCAGGATAAACAAGAGGAAGTCCATCAATCCAGAGTTTACCAAGAAGAGGAAACGCTTGTGATGAACGATTCAACACCAGAGACAACACAACCAATACCCAACACCTCGGCTCATCCTGAACCAAACCTTCGAGACCTACCCTTGCATCTTGTTACTACACCAGAAAAAAACGAAGAATCAAGAGCTGACAATCTTCCTGTGATGGTTTTCGATCCATCCATTCTATCTAAAAACATTCAACCTGTAAAGAAAGTGAAAAAGAAATTTGAGTTCGAAGTGATCACTAAGGAAAGACGAATTTCGGATGAGAACGAACAGACAGCTATTGCTAAAAAAACACTACAAAAGAAGAAGAAGAAACACAATTGTTGGTCCTCAGCAACATTGTCACACGCAGAACTGGAGGCAAAAAAGGAAGACTTCACTCTTCATACTGTGCTGGATTCTGACGCGAAACGAAAATATTTCAAACTATTTGCTTTTAGAGAACACAACGCTGAAAATATCATGTTTTACGAACATGTACAACGTTATAAGCGAATCTATCAGAAAACAGTGGAATGCACAAATTCTCGTCAATTAAGCTTGCTCCGAACAACTTTAGAGCATAAGGCACGAACCATTGCTCACGATTATTTGTTTGATACTGACAGCTTGAATTTGCTGAATACCACAAGCAAGTTGACTGCGGTCGTTGCACAAAAGATATCTATGGATGGATTCTTTGCAACAAAAGAAGCTGGTGTTCTGTTTGACCCTATTGTTTTTGAGATTATGGGCACCATCATGCCAGATATGTTCATACGATTTTCAATTTCTCAAGAGTTCAAGGAAATGATTGAGAGCTTAAATCCCAAGAGAAAAGCATCCTCAAGAAGCTTGTAACAAACGGGTAATGAAACGCATTTCTCTATAAAAAGGATTAAGGTAACATTTCAACAAGTGTAATTGACCCTTTCTATTGTAGAATCCATTTTCACTGGACACCACAACATTGTGAATTCATTCGAGTTGGTTTGGAAGTGTGTGAATAAGAAGACAAATCTTTCGGACTCACCTTCAGCATAGCACTTCGTCCGTTAGTATGGAAGACAATTTTTAGGTAGGATGTTTCGTTTCAGTAGGCACTCCAGTTTGCTCATCAAGATGTGGTTTGAAGAAAATTTTAAAAAAATTATCGTTTATTATTTCTATCTGATCTTTGAAAATTAATACCAAGCATGTAATTAATTAGAAAATTTCCACCTGTTGTTGTTACAATTAACGCATGGGTTCATAAAATTCGAAATTGCACATTGATTCCAGAAAAAAATGTTCCACAACGATATTCTGTATCATATTTTTTCTTTTTCATTGCTTCCTTTAGTTCAATTCCGATATTCTCTTGTTTGCAAACAATGGTATGAATTGGCTCATAATGAAACCTTTATACGGAATTATTGTGCAGAAACCGAAAAAGGCTTGAATGAATTATTGAATCCAACTCATGGCGATTTGATGAAATATATCTTTGATTGGTCCGAGTTCATATGTCATACATTTCCCGAAGAATATGAGTGGATGAGAAAGTTGAAACGATCCATGGAGATCAGGAATCTCACTGAAATTGATATGACTCAAATTCTTTCAAAATGCTCTCCTCAAATTTCTCAGCTTATACAAGACTCCTCAAAATTAATTACCTTGGATAATGGAGCTGGAAGACAAGTTTCATTATTTACTGTCTTTAAACAACCTTTTTCAACTTTTACTTTACAAGCACTGATTAACGAAAATGGGCAAATGTTGTCTGTGAACGAGTTCGACAAAGCATCAAGCGTGAAAACATGTGATATGCGTTATAATTTTTATTACTATGGATGGGGAGATGGAGAGGACGTTTCATCAACGGGAGTTGAGTGGTTTTGTGATCAATTTAGTCATTTGAACGCCTCGGTAGGACACAGTTTATTGTTTATCATTTTCGAGTTTATTACAAAATTCGTGCCTGAGAGAAATATTTATCTATGTGACCTCGATGAATCGACAAATATTGTAAAGAGGATCATGAAAGACAAATCTTATGTAATACGTAAAAAAGCACGCTCGTTTAAGGATTCGCTTTTGAAAAGAGAAGAATGCCTCTCAGCAGCTTTTCGAAATTGCAAAATTGGTAGTTTATGGTACAGATTGATGAATTGTGGGTACACAATGACATCATCACAATTTGAAAGTTGTTTTGTTAACCATATTTTGGCTTCTCCCAACCATTTACAATTTTTCTTTAATTATTGTGAATTTCATCATATGAGATTGTTTGCAGAAACCCAAATTCTAACACGGTTTCTGTATATTCTTGAAAAGAGAGAACCCATTGAATTGTGCCGAGTGATTAAGGAGAATAGTTATCCTTTCCCCAAAGAAATTTGTTGTGACTTGGTGTGTATTGGTAATGAACCTCATTACTATCTATTAGATCTAATCAAGGGTGATAGATCTGATTTTAGTTGTCCATTCGATTTGAGAGCAACTTTGTCACAATCTAACACAGCAGTGTCACCAACAGATCAAAAAATTGTAGCTCTATATCAGACGTACTCGGATCAAAAGAAATTTGCAAATTATTTTTTCACCTATTCTCACAATTTCAAGTCTACATCAATAGAGCATCGAATTTTACCACACAAACTCACAAAGAGAAGAAAAATCAAAGAGCAATTTAGGCCTTGTTTGGAAAACTATGATGTGATTTTGTTGTGTGCGTACGAAATTAATGATAACAAAATTGCAAACCTATACAAGAATATTTTGGACGAATTGAAATTAAGTAGGAAGAGAGTGATGTTCATTTATCAAAACGATTACATTCCCTATTATAATTTTCACAACTTGTTCAAAACGGTTGCAGATCTTCACAATGTGTATATGATGCATGCACGTAGCAATTCATCCGTCCACAATTTTAAGCCATTGCACAATTGGTTGACAAATCCATAAGCACGACTTGGTCAATAACGGTTGTACAAAACGTTTATTTATTTGCAAGAACACTGCTCTACTTCTTTTTATTCTTGGGACCTGTAAACTCAAGTTGCAGCTCATTTTCCAAAGCTAATTGTCTTGGTGTTTGTTGTTTGTTGTCTTTCAGGTCTGGGTTAGCACCGTTTTGTAATAGGTATCTGCAAATCTTTTCGGCTGCCTTTTTGTCTTTCACTTTGCAGGCCAAATGTAGGGGTGTTTCACATTTCTCATTTATCACGTTCACAACGTCCTTGTTGAGTAGTGTCAAGAACAAATTAACAGTTTTGACATTTCCCTTACTAACAGCCAAATGAAGTGGAGAATTACCAGAAATGTCCTGTTCCTGCATCATATTGGCACATGCATTTGGATTGTGAAATGCAATTCTATTGACAAGAGCATCAAGACCTTGAAGAGCTGCTTGGTGTAGAATGTTTTGTTTCTTGTCATCTCTGGACATGGGTCCAAAGACAACACTAGGCTTCGAATTAATGATAATGTACTCTACAATGTCGAGATGGCCTTTGGTTGCAGCTCTCATGAGTGGTGTCTTTCCAATCTTATCTTTTGAATTCAACAAGACTCTATTCGATCCTTGTGTTGCTGTTCCTTGCATAATATCGTTAGATTCTCCCACTAAAAATTTTACAGTTTCCATTCTTCCCAATTCACATGCAATATGTAAAATTGTTGAACCGTCCGAGGTCTTGAAATTGTAATCTCCATCAAACATGTTACATAAAATTTGTGCTCCTTTAAAGCATTGGTGGGCACTCTCTAGATTACAACTTGCCTCATCGGCAATGGCTTTCGTTAACAACAAGTGGAGAGGAGCTTTTCCATACTTGTCTCTAATATTAACTCTTGCTTTGAGTTGACATAACACCAAGATAGAATCGATGGATCGATGAGAGCATGCCCAATGTAGTGGAGAAGATTCTAACTCGTCTTGTGCTTCAACGTCACAATTGTACTTGGTAGCAAGTAAATAAATCAGAGAAGATCTATTTTTCTTTGCTGCTTGATGCATCAAGTAACATTTTGGTCGTTCTTTGTCTCTCAAGTTTCGAATATCTGCCTCAGTGAATGTGGCAGGAGTTAATCCATCATCGCTCTGCGGATTTTCAACAGTTCTGTGATATTCAATGTATGCATTGAAAAATTCTTCAATCTTCTCAGCACAAGTGTGATCATCAAATTCTGAATTGTTCACAAAATTATCCAAAAGGTAGTAATAAACTTGGTTTGGTTTAAGCAAAGAAAAATCAGAAACAATGGAAAGTGGACATCTGCGTACAGATTCACTCTCATTAGTTGTACTTGGAAGTCGAATAGGAGACATGGTATTGTAGTCATCTTGGTCAATATCAAATATTGGGCTTAACACGCTCTTTGGAATATTTTCTGGAAGCGCCACATTCAAAGAAGGAGGAGATGCTGAATCATTCTGGCTCGGTGTTGGTTTTGCAGGTTCTTCAATGTCGCTCTCACGAGACAATAATTCGTCACCAATTTCATCTAATTCAAGAGCGATCTGTTCTGTTGTCTTTCTAAACTCTTCAGACTCTAAAGCTAAAAGCGGAATATTAGATCGAGGAAGTGACGATTTAGGTAGCTCATTCGTTATTGGAACATCCGTTAGATTTTCATCTGATGTAATATCACTAGATTTCACAGTTTGTGATGAACCTGTGTTACTCTTGGTATTTGTATTAATATTGGACACTGCCAATCTGTGAATTTTCACCAGCGTGTTCGCCTTGTCAGAACCATCCGAAGTGTTGCTACTACTTGAAAGAGAAAAATTGTTTTTCATAATTTCAGAAAGTGATTTCCTTTTTTCCTTTTTCTCATCAGTAAACGACTGAGACTTTGGTTTGTCACTGCTATCTCTACCTGCTCTTAACCAAGTGGCTAACTTTCCTGAAACACTGTATTTTCGTTTTTGTATGGGTTGTAACTCAATATGATCTTGACTTTGGTTGAAATGTTGAATTTGTGCTGTCACAATTCTTTCTTTTTGCAATAATTTCAAGTGTTCATCACTATTTACAGTTTTTGATCCCAATTCTGCTGTTCTTTGCTCGAACAATTGTCTCTTGTGAGCAACATCTAACAGAGCTGGATCATTAATATTGTCTACATTGGAAAGTTTTGACTTTCCATTATCTACTTTTGAAGATTCATGTTTTGAGCTTCTTCTTCTCCTAGGGGTAAGCATTGCAATTAGTCTCTTAATATTTCCTTTTGTTTTCTTACTTGTCGGTAATGGATCTACTTCTTCATTCATCTCATTGGTTGGAGGAGAAAAAGGTGACGCAGTTTGTTTCTTTTTTCTATTGTTCGTTAAACTCGGCGACGATTGAGTTTGAAGGACTAAGGTTGCTGCTGGAGGTGGCTCACTATGCATTGACGAGACAGAGAATCCAGAAGGACTCGTTACGCAATTTCTTTCATCATCTTGAAACAAGTAAGCGTTAGAAACTTTCAAAAGTGAAGAAGTAGGTGAAGTCATTCTTGTTTGATATGGATTTTGATTCATCACCGGAGAAGAAGGAGATGTATGATATGACGATTGCCCTGTTGATTTTGGAGAAGCACTCAATGTATTGACGGATAGAAAGGTTTCAAAAGTCATCATGGTTGGATCATCCGACGAGATTTGATGTTGACTATCATCACTCGAATGTGAGGCTGATGATGGTTTTGATAAATACGGCGAGGATGAAGAAGAGGCTGATGGAATGAAAACCGGGTTCTTGTAAGAACTGAAAGAGGGATCTGAACTTGAACGATCGGTGATGATGGCCGAAGAAGCAGTCAAATTATTGTTGTTGTGCTTCAAAACGGTATGACTATGAGAGGATGTATGAGGTGTTGTTGTTGTTTGCTTTGTAGTTGTTGGTGCGTTCATATTGGCTTGTTGATGTTCTCTTTTGAAGGCTTGTTTGAGTTTTGTCCACCGACTGCTCTTGGGTGCAGCATATGAAAGGGACGGAGAATGGGTAGCATTGTTTTCATGGAGAGCTTGGTCATGAGAAATTGGAGAGGAAAGGCACGTCGTGTTTGTTGTTGTTGTTGTTGCATGGTTGTTGTAATGGTTGCTGTTATTGGAGTTAGTAGAGTTACTTCTTGTGTTTCTATACTGTTGACGGTCCGTGATGAATAATAATTCAGAATTGTTGTTATTGTCGTTACTACTGCAATGGTCGTTGTTGGAATTCATGTTGATGGCACGATGCGGAGAGAGTTCATGGATGGAAGTGGTTGTTGTTGTTGTTTCATTGGAAAAGAGATTGGAATGATGAGAGGCTAATGGTTTGGATGATGATGAAGAAGAACTTGAGTTCAGGTGTGGTTGTTGCTGATGATTCATATGCATGGTGCTAGTGGTAGCCATCTCTGGTCAATTTATGCTTTGTTTTTAGATGTAGTTGACCGGAAAAGGATTGAATGCAACGATAATGGCAGAACAAAAGTGTTGCTGTCGTTGTTTTCAAACGTTGATTAGTCAATACAGCGCTACGATGAGAAGGTAAGGATGGAACAACAGTGAGAAGAGGTATTTGTCAGCAAGGATGACAAAAAGAAGAGCAGATGAGGGAGGCGTTGTTGTTTTTCGTTTGTCGTTGTTGTAACAGCAAAATCTTTCAAATTGGGGAGATAAGATGAACATTGGATTCAGAAGAATCATGAAAGTGTTGAGAAAGCATGACAGATGAAAAATTTATTCAAAGACGTCAAGAGAGGTAGGTGCACGATTTAAAAGGAATCAAAAACGAAATGCAGATACCGTGCAACATGATTTTGACAATTTGACCTATTTCGAAGTGCTTGATATCCTCCATCTACGATAGATGTTTTGGCTTCTTGTAGTGTTGTAAAGACACGTGTGGTTGCCAGGCAGGTTAAAAAATGCAACGAAGGAGTCGCAGAGAAAAAGAGGAATCGTTATTGTTGTCGTGTTTATGCTTTCCGTTCCGATGCTTTTTTGGTCTTTTGAGATCAACTTTGCGGATTGCTTTCTATGCGTTCATCTTCGGAATGATATTAATGATGGTATTGCAAGTACTGCTTCGGTTTTATGTCGGATATTTGGGAAAGTTAAATGGGGAAGAAGAAAACAATCGTGGAGGGTGGTCCGAACAAGCTCAGATTGGTTTGGAATTGGCATGGGAATATAGCAAGTTGTTTGGTTCTTCTACCTATAACGCCACTCTTTGGGTAGTTCGTTTTTTTAAGCTAATGGGAGATTTTGGCATGGAACTGGTTCGGAAGTGATGAAGCACCCACAAATTATTATTTTAACAAATTATGTTATTCATCACGCTACTAGAAGGAGTTCCTTTTCCAACACACTTTACACATACCGAAAAACAAAACACGTTGTCAAATTTTTGAGTTCGTTTGTTTGTCTAACCAAAATGGAAATTGTTGAAAGAATAGACAATCTATTTTCAAAGGAATTCAGTTTGTAAGGCATAATTTCGGTTGTGGAGTGGGATAGATCACAACAAATATATCCAATTACTGAAACAATAGAATGGTTATTCTCACGATAATTTCCCATTTAATGGCTAATCACACCGTGTTAAGACAAACTAACAAATCTGAGGATGACTTAGATTTCATCAATTATAATCCAGTTTAAATCAATGTATTTTGCATGACATGTTTTTGGCAACATTGAAAAAAAGACTCCACACAACGCTATGAAAGTCCAAGCAACACAACAAACATCAAAAAGCATTTCTCCCTACGTACTCATAGTGACTTTGTTCATCTTGGTAATTTTTATTGTGAACAATAATGTGTCCTTTCAGGTCTTTGGAGCAGGTTCGTCCTCAGAAAACTACTCTATGGACACAACTTCATACATTCCAACGACAGTCTACACCTCAACAGCTAGTGGAGGAGGGAACGGGGTGGTAGGAAAATCAAGTTACTCGACCTATTTTGCCTCTTCCAGCTCGTCTTACCCACCTACAACCACTGTACCACTGGCTGCTCCTCAACCAATATTACAATCTCAATACCTGACCATCAATCCTCAACCTCTACCTCAACCAATAGTTGGTGCAGGTGGAGCGACAGTTATTCCTCAAGCTTATCCATATGGTGGAACGGCTCCGTTGGTTCAATCTTATCCTCAACCAATTCCAATGGGAGGTCAGCCTTATCCTTATTATGCTCAGCCCTTACCTCAACCTGTGCCTCAACCCGTTCCAACTCAACCGATTATGGCACAGCCAGTCCCTCAACCGATTCCTCAACCAATGCCAGTTGCACAACCAGTTCCACAGCCCGTACCTATTGCTCCTCAACCTGTGCCTCAACCCTTGCCAGTGGCACAGCCAATTCCTCAACCTGTTCCTGTGGGTGGCGGAGCTGTCATTGTTGGTCAACCCGTTCCTCAACCTATTCCTCAACCCATTCCTCAGCCATTACCAGTTGCACAACCCATGCCTCAACCTGTTCCAATTTATGGTGGTTATGGAGGATATGGTGGATATGCTGCACAACCTCTTGTACCTGTTTATGGTGGAGGTGGAGTTGTTTACGGAGGTGGAGGAGGTGTTGTGCCTTTCACCATTGATGGTGCAGCCACTGTGATCACGTATGCTCAACCACTTCCACAACCAATTCCACAACCTGTGCCAGGTGCTGCTGTTATTGGACAACCTGTCGTATTGGTTGAAGACACACCTCCATGTAAAGCTAAAGGAACATGTTCTGACTCTTCCCCCATTGGAAATGTGGTTGTACCGCAATCAGCCTCGCAACCAGTAACTGTACCTGTTCCAAGCGTTGATATTTATGCACCAACCAAAGCTGTCGTTGATGTGTACGCTCCAATTCACTCCAAGTGCATTACACAGCTCAAATCTTTAACAACTCTAGCCATCAGTGGATCCTCTACTGTATGCACATCTGTAATGAATTGCATGCTTAATTATACCATCAATTACATTCAGTATGGATTGAATGCTCTAAGCGCATCCAGTGCTTCAAGCATTATTCAACTTTCTCTCAATCCCAAAGACGAAGTTAATACCTTATGGTCCACTTTGGAGAATCTTGCTGGAAAGTTAGCAGATGATGGATACGGACCTGCAGTTGCCTCTACCACCACTGCTGCATGTACAACTGATTTATCACCAGTATTTTCCAGAGTGACAAAAGGAACCACCAAGTCGGGTGTTGTTTTTGTCAACTCCTGCTGGGCGCGGCAAGCCAAAGCTCCATTACCATACGTACCTACACAGCTGAAACCTGGTGCTGTTTCACAAGGAGATCGATTCAAATTCCCAGACGATGTTGTGAACCCAAATAATGTGATCGCCAACTATTACGTTTTGAGCGCTTTGCGAGTTGTCAACTTTTCTCTCTACTACTTTAAGCAATGCATGGGTGAACCAATGCTTGCTGCATTTACCACTGCATCCACAACATTGACTGAAGTTTCCAATTTGATTTCAACAGGAAACATCGACAGTGCAATCACTGCCTTAACACAATTACAAACCATTTTGAGAAACCTTCAATAAATTTTCGACTGTTACTGAGACACTTTCTTTAAGATGTTTTTTTTCTTTTCCAAATATCCTGTTCTGATTGCAAGATATTCCGGCAAATGCTCATCCGTTGGCAAAAGAATGGCGCTACTTTTGGTGGTGAGAAATTGCGCGTACATTTTTGTCAATAGCGAGAGACAACACAAAAAATACCACCACACCGTTCGAAACTGACAGACCCACAACCACCTCCTTTCAACACCGAGTTAGTGCATCGTTTGAAAGAAGAAATCTTTTATCGGGTGATGAGTGCTCCCTATTCAACCTTTGTTATGAAACGACGACACGCCGGCATTTCAAAGAGTAGCCACTATCCCATCATGATCGGTCGTAGTAGTTTGGACTCGGCTACGGGACGTGTTTCATTAGACGCGTTGGCATCCACGACCATCACCAATAGAAGTTTGGTACTACTAGGCTCAAACAATTCCTCGCCGTTTATATCCACACCACAAAACATGATGTTACATGATCACCATTCACCAATTCCCGAATCTGTCCAGTTACCGACAATTGTTGCTTCATCTAGTTATGATTCCGATATGGAATCTCTTTCATCGGAAGCATCCGTGTCGAGTGTTGGAGAGTTATTTAATGAAGATGACCAAGAGAGTTTGAATACAATAAGAGTATCAACAGATCAAACACGTATTACTACATTATCTCCACTGCAAAATTGTTTTAATCTTGTGGCAACGAATCTTATTGAAACTGATTCTGTTGGGTATCCTGGAACATTGTCGTTGAGCGTTCAGGAAGATGGCGAATATTTGCATTCATTTTATAGAGATAGCTTTTGTAGACCTTTCAAAATTAGAGTTAGAATTAGTGAGTTGAGTGAGAAACTTCCAAAAGGAATTTATACTGACCTGGTTGATTCCATGACACTGTTGACCATTGTAAAGGTTTGTCATGTTTTAATATTTGTGTCATTTGTTGTTCATAATCATGTAACAGCCGTATAGTGTATTCAGTACAAATGTAATAGTTAGAGAAGGAACCAAAAATCAATTTATTGGAACGATTTCAAAGGATTTTCTGGTTTCCAAATTTAAAGTGAAATCCAGCAACAATAAGGTAATATTTAGAATTCTTCATGAAAAGACAAAGAGCGAAACACTTCACTTTTATTCGATTCATGATGTGGCAAAGAAAGAACAAATTGGAAAAATTATTTCCAAGAAAGGTGTTGAATTTTTTCTCGATGCTCCAACTCGCTTAATTCCAGAAGAGAAAGCATTGTTGATTAGCGCTTTGATTTTCATTGTTTTTACCTTGCATGAAGACAAAAAATCAAAAGAATTTTTTCAAAAGAATGCGAAGGAAAAAGCAAATGCATGGGCACAAACTGAGAAACCAAATGATGCCAATAACTTATGACAATTTAAAGTTACCAAAACAATAATTACAGGTTGTAGTATACTATTTTAATTCTTACTTTATTAGCAACGTAATTCCCCCATAGCTCAGTCGGTAGAGCGTCAGACTGTTAATCTGCAGGTCAGTGGTTCGAGCCCACTTGGGGGAGTAACATTTTTTAATTTTCACGTGCAGCCCAAAAGTGAGGTGGTCTACTAGATGTCTCAAGGAAAGGCAAATTTGTACCGTGGTTAAGCGTGAAGACATTTTCAAAGCGCTCAAACAACGTTAGCTAGGTAACTCGCGAAGTATTTTTTCCATTCTTTAGAGGAATTAGTTGCGTGCTGGAAACTTCTTTTGTCAACCAAGCGTGGAACCAATCAAAATAATGGACGCTTGGCTATGCGTCACCATCAGACACACCCTTTTTATGTCTGGTTCATTTAAAAAAAACAATCAAAGATGTCACACTCTAAAGTTGTTTGTTTTGTGGTGATTGTGGCATCACTTGTTGTGAGTTGCATGCTTCAACAAGTGATCCATGCTTCACACAGCAAAAGCAAGGATTCTACCTCATCCTCTGCAGCTCTCCCAAGTATTCCTTTTGTGTTCACATCCAATATCAAAGTATTGCATGTGGACCCAAAACAAAACCAACATGCTACAGAAACTCAAGGTACCTTCATCTACGACACTCTCAAGACTCGAACCAGATACGATTTTGAATGGAATGGACGTAAAAGAGCTTCCATCAAATTCTTTACCACCAAAACCTCGATTCAGTATGATTTGATATTCAAAAGCGATAATTCTTCATTGGAGAGTTGCACCATGAAACCACATGCAGACCATCCCTTCTATCCTCTCGTTCCATATCCCATTGCTAAATTCATTGGAAAGGATCGAATTGGTGAAGAAGGAAAAAGAACCTATCTCTATGGTATTCGAAGTGGTTTAAAGAATGGTAATATGGATTATTGGATTTCCAATTCAACTTCTCAAATCAATGATCAAAAGACCTTGTACATGTTGGATCGTTTCATGTTCACTTCTACCATGCATGCATCATTGAATGCCAAATGGGAATTTTCAAATGTCAAACCTCTGATTGAAACCAAAGACTCTTGGTTTGAAGTTTGGAAAATGTATCCAAATGGATGTCCTCCACCTCCAATGCTTGCCTCACCTCCTACTGTGAGTATTAAAGGTTTTGTCAAGAATGCTCTCGAACCTTCCAAAGTCATTTCCAACATTCAAGTCAAGATGAGATATCCAGTACATGATTACAAAGATGTCGATCAAGATGATCCATGGGTAGAATTGACCGTTCCAACCAATGCCATTGGATTATTCTCATTCGATAACATTCCTCGTGGTAAAACTGTCTTTTTAGAAATCAATCATCCCAACTATGGTGCGAGAGCCATCAAAAAAACCTTAACAGCCAATTGGGATATTCTTCCAAATACTTTTGCAGATTTTCATTTAATACCCACAGATCCTTCTTCGAAAAAGACCAATCCCTATGATATGGGTCCATTTCGAGTCGTCTTGTCATGGAATGAGAAACCTCTCGATTTGGATGCCTTCATTCATTATCAATCGTTGGACAAGAATAAGGGAACTTTTGGATATTCATGGAAGAGTTATTATGGAAGCTTTTTCAGTGCCAAGTTATCCAATGATGTGACCAATGGCTTTGGTCCTGAAGTCATGACTTATCAACCCTTAATGTTTAAAGAAGATACAGTCATGACGTTTTATGTCAAGAAATCGAGAGGTGGACTTGCTCCTTTATCCTCTTCGTCCTCATATGAGGAATCAGTGTCCACTTCACCATTTTATGGAAGTTTTGCTGAATCAGGTGCTACTGTATCAGTGTATAATGAGAAATCTCTCATTGCTCAATTCAAAATTTCACCAAATGATGCAGCTGCTCAAAAACAAGAGAATGGATATTGGATGGTCTATACGCATACTGGAACGAGTTCTTTGAAAGAAATTAATAAGGTAGTTCCAAACATTACTCCTTATCTTTAAGAGATGCAATTTTAATGATGGTCCGAAACGTGTGTATGTGTGTGAAATGAGAAATAATATCTAAATAACACATTCTCACACCTTCTGCTAAGCGTTCATGTTGTTACCAAAAAAAAATGTCGTTACAAACTCTGAAACGACGAGTTTCTTCATTGGAATATAGATATGTCTTTCTTCATGGATTTGCATCGGGACCAAGCACTCGGAAAGGCCAACATTTAAAAGAATTCTTTGCCAAACAATCCATTCCATTATTTATTCCTGATTTGAACATTCCCAGCTTTGAAGAGTTACAGGTATCACTCATTCTAAAATTCTTGGAAAATAATTTAAATATTGAAGAAAAAAAGGATGACACAAAGGATATTAAGAGTATTAAATGGAGAATAATTGCAAGTTCTTTGGGTGGATTTATTGCTACGAGATTTGCAGAATTGTATCCGGAACGAGTGGATTCTTTATTATTGCTAGCTCCAGCGTTTGATCTTCCAGAGCGATGGAAAAATCGATTAAATTTGGAAGAGTGGAAATCGAATGGAGCTCTCTCAGTCTATAACTACAAATCGAAATGTATGAACGCAGTCAAGTATATCTTTTATCAAGATTTGAAAGAGAATCATCCATCCTATCCAATTCCAACCAAGTTATTGATGGACTTGGTCAATAATAACAAGGATCAAAGTTTGAAAGAAACATGTCATTCTGATTCATCAACAACCATCACCATTGTTCATGGCAAACAAGATTCTAGTGTGCCCTTAGATACTACCGAAGAATTTATTAGAAAATGCAATGAGGCAGTGCCTGCAAGTGGTGATACGATCGATGTGCACATCGTAGAGGATGGTCACGAATTAACAGAACCTTCCACGTTGAGTCTTTTTGAGAAAATTATTTCTGAAAAGTGGTTATTGCGATGAAAGGAGAAATTTCTCGATATTCAAATGCATTGGAATTAAGGGAACATTAAATTCGTACCTTCACCCTCAACGATTTTGAGAATTACTTCCAAGAGCACTAGTTTCCCCATACTGAACTTACTAGGTGACATGGTTTATCCAATTCGTCATTCCGTGACATCCCCTTCCATACACTTTCCAACCACGTCAGAAACGTTTAAATGTTTCATTCCGTTATACTAGAAACTTTCAGCCTCTGCTGGGCCTAAAACCCAACTTCTTTAAAATCGTTATTGAAGCATTCGATGACTCACTCACAAAAAATGTCTAAAAATCCATTCTATAACGATAATGATGTTCCTATTTCCAACAAGGATGATGATGAAATTTTAAAATTATTTGGTCCAAAGCAAATGTTTCAACAACAACCTCAACAACAACAACAGCATGATGATCACTTGTTGTTATGGAAATTCTCGGACGGTTCTTCGAACACCTTTTATGTTCGTCGTCAGCAAGAAAATAGCAACAACCATTATGTATTGATCTATGATCCAATTAGTCCAATTTTCAGTTCTTCTGGATCCTATTCTGGGTATGTGTGTTGGTTGCGTTAGTTATATGGAAATTGTACAATTCTCATTTCACACAATGATATGGAACGCTGGACAACTGCATGAATTTGGTTTCATTTATCATGATTTTAATATTTTGAACACGACATGCACAAATGATTTCATACTATAATGATTCAACAACACACAACAATACATGTATACAGAGGAAAACCTTTTCAAAAAGAACTTTCTGCCAAAGAATTCAAAGAATTGGATGATGCCTTTGAAATGATGAAAAATTCGACTCAATATCACTGTCCTCATCGAGAAATGGGTACTGGAGTGTTTACGAAAGGTTCCACTACATTCATTATGAGTATGGGAAGTTTTAGTAGTTTTGAACAATTAATTAGAAAGTACAATGTTGATACTCCACATCATATTTCCATGTAAACAAGATTTGAAATTGTACAAACTATGGTAAGCTGGCAACATAAACGAAATGGAAAGTGTGTTCGTGTGTGAAACATTGTAAAAAACTTGTGTGAACTGAGATTATCCAATCTTTTGATTTCTGTCACCTGCCAAATCACAAAAAAAAAATGTCCTTCCACAACAAACCTCCTCTTGTTTTATCCGAAGCCTTCAGCAGTCCTCTTCGGAAGGTAACCTTCTCAGCAGAACCTTCTCGATCTTCCATTGATTCTTCTTCCTCTCGAAATGGTGTAAATTCTCAACATTCAAACTCGGCTGCTGCCACTCCCTATTTTGACGCCTCTCTTTTTAAAGAAGAACATTATTCACAACAACAACAACACTATCATCACTCACACGCACGAATTGAAACATTTAAAAAATATTGGAAAAAGTTTTCGAGTAGTACTTTTGGAAATCGTCGATTGAAAATGTACATTTATTCATGTCTCAAATTTTTGACCATTACCTATGTGCAAGCAAATGATTTATTTGGAAAAAGTGATACGTTGGTGTTGACAGAAGGAGAGCAACAGTTACAACTTGTATTTAAAATTGTGTCTTATACATTTATGGCAATATTAATGTTGCTATTTACGGAAAGATACATTCGAGAATTGACAGCTGTCGCTCGCAAGAAACCTCTCACGATTTGGATCAATTGGATGGAATCAATCGTGTATTTAATGTTCTTTATTTATTCTATTGCGACTTCTGTGATTCATGTGGTCTATATTGTAAGAGAATACGATACAGAAGTGGAAGAGAGAATTTTACATCCAGAAATATTTGCGAAAAAATCATTTACATTGGAAGAACATTTGGCTGTGGAAATTTTAGAAGTTTTTGTGCATATTTATATTATTGTGGATAAGGGAACTCACTTTATTCATGCAAGTAAGTTTTTTTTACAATTTTGTTAATATTTTGTGAACAAGTGTCACACATGTTGTTGAAATTAATGTTGAAAATATTCACACAAAAAATCGATTGACACTCTCTTGTCACAAAAGGCCATAGTGTTTCTTATTATTTAGCCAAGGCCCAACACATTCCCAAGCATCATCATCCTGGGCATCATCCAAATGATTACTTTTATGTCAATGACGCCTCCAAACATAATCCAAATCATGCCTTACAAGATCCGAATATTCTCATGCTGGATGAATCAGATGCCATTGGTTCTTTCGAAGATAAGGATAAAGAACATGCTCAACACGATGAAGAAAGTGACGATGACTATGATGATTTTATTGGAAAGACTTATCAAGCAGCACGTGGCAAGACACGAAGAAGAAATACGACTCTTGGAGCAGTTTACACACAACCAACATCACTGTTCGTCACGAATCATGACGATGGAAAGAAGGTACCTCTACAAGCATTCGATCAACTTTAATCACCATGACATTTTAGCAGTCATGTATTTGTAGTTCAACAGTCCTATCTCATTATTTGTCACAAGTAACGTTCCGTGGCTCTATCATGGTAATTTATTAATTTCACTTTCAAATGGAATGTATTGCATTCATAAACTTTAATAAATGAATTCATATACCTACGACCAGAATTCTCATCCAGTGGTGGCAAAATCAAAATACTTGACTGTAGAGGCCTGTTAAAAGTTGTTGAAAGTAATATCTTCAACCGCAACGTTCTCACAACACCGTGTTTTAGAAATGTGCTACTGAGATTAAGCCTTAGCTCATGATAACTGAAACGACCGTATACATTCGGTTTATCATTAATGTTGAGAAGTGACGGTAATATCAGAAAGTATTGGAGTGTTGAAACAACTAATGGGTAGAATGTGCTCTTCTGTAAATTTAAAGGTATACTGGTGATAGGGCACATCTCTCATCCCATTATGACATTTGAGAGACTTGTCTTCAAAATTGGATCGAAAGAGGAGCAAGACAGAGAACAAATCTCGATTGGTGACACTATTTGCATGATATCCAAAAAGAGTCACACAAAATTCCAGGTCAATATTGGATGAAATTTGAGAATTAGATTCTGGTTTTTGTGGTCTCACTCGAACGTTCTTTTTTCGTTCACACAATACAAAACCTTCCTGGTCCAATCGTTTCTTTGTTCTTAGAATTCCAGTAGAATCAATCTCACTCTTTTTGTAATGTACTGGAAATACTTGCTTTGCAGTACAAGAGAATAAATCTATAACAATCCATAATAAATAGGATTGATAGTGTTCAAAGGTATCCAATTTTTCACCTGGGTGTTTTCTCAGTAAGAATAAATATTTTCCATCTGAAAGTGTTGTACAATCGAGGACTAAATGAAACTTGGTAAAGTACTTGTAAAAGTTTTGTATGTGAAATTTCTTCAGTTTGCATGATTCTACTTGACCATCCACTCCTACCACTGGAACCATCTCTCTCAGTACGAATGGGTTTTTTCTATAATTTTTACCATGCACGCTTGCAACTAGAACGAATTTTGATTCATTCATGGTCATAATTTTTGAATAGTCAAAGGAAAGGGTGCGAGCAGGATCTAAATTCAGGTTCTTGGGTTTTTCTGATTGAATCACTTTTGGAATGAAGAATGTCAAAAGACAACTAGACACAACTTTGGGGACAATGAAACCTTCAAAGCACGATTTCTGAACTCCCAAATATTTCTCTGATGTTATCGAGCAGCATTCTGTCTGAAAATACGGAGATGGTGAAGGATAATACCTGTTTCCTTCACCTATTTCATTATTTTCATTGACAATATCAATGAACACTTTGGATTGTAACAAGTTGTTCTCATCCAATGTAATGGTTACATTCGCACTACATTCTGAAAATAAGCACAGGAATGATTTTTCAAGTTTCGAGTTCACACATTGGCGAGTTTCGAAAATATTCACGACATCCATATCTCGCCTGTGTCTATTCGATTGAATAACATTTGATTTCTCATTTCCAGACTGAATTTCAATCACCTGCTGAGTATCAAAATATTGCAATACATTCTCATCGTGTCTATTCGATCCCAACTTTAAAATTAAAAACTTGTAGTCGTTCTCCGTATAACTTTCAAACATTCCAATCGAATGATGTTCCGTAGCTAATACCAACATGTGAGATATCATGGATTTGGCTGTACCACGTCCTGAATCACCCAAACGATTCGAAAATGAAAACCTTGTTCCATTCTCATATTGATTTCCAACACTCGTTTGATGAATCATTGCCAAAGGCAACAAACTGTAACGATTATTCCAAAAAAACCGACAACAAGGACATTCAAAATGATCCAATTGTCCATACCATTGTTCGGGATACAATTCATCATGTTCCCGAAACGTTTCTAGTGTACCCGAAAGAGAATTGTGTTTATGATCAAGACCATCTTGAGAATATTGAGGCATGGTTCATGCAGCAGGTTCAAGAATTGAAAATATTTTTTTTTTCTTGAATGGATTCATTCAATGTTTCACACATTCGCTTGTTTTCAATTGGTCTTTCATACGCGATAAGGCAACCTTTCGATTGGAAATTGAACAATCATCAAAAGGAAAGATTCATAAGAACAGTTTAGGATCTGTTAAATATTCTATGAATGATCGTTTCATATTGGATAAACTAAAATCATTGCTCCCTTACTTGGACAGAGGCATTGATTTGTCTCATCAAGGCAAGAAAAGAATTGAACCGCAAGAAGTCGTTCAACTGTCAAGTGTCAAATAAATTTTTTTTTATTCAAAATAAATGCCTCCAGCAACAGGAAAGAAGGAGAAGAATACAGGCACCCAGCCAGAAGAGCTGAAAATTGTGGTGTTTGGAAGGTAAGCTTTTTTACAATCATCATCATCATTGATTCATTGATCATATAACTTGTACCATCAACAACAACAACAACAACAACAACAACAACATACGTGATGATGATAATGATCCTATGAATAAATTTCATCATCAACCACATCCGCACATACACACATTAATTTCACATTTTAATGAATAACAACAAATTTCACAGTGGAGGTGTTGGTAAAAGTGCTCTCATTGTACAATTGATTCAAAATGTATTTGTGGAACAATATGATCCTACTTTGGAAGATTCGTACGTAAATGAATGAGATTCAATGATTCAATGATTGTCATCCTCATCATTGTTAAATATTTATCATCATCACGGAAAATTATTTTTTAAATGATTGAAATTTACACAATATTTCGAATCCTCCACAATGATCATTGGTATCCTAACAATGACGACATGATTAAATTTTGAAACAAAATCTCGACCATGATGATGATGATGGTTTGATTTGCATTTTCATGAATTTATTCTTGTTGTGAGATAGATACCGGAAAGATACACACATTGATAAGAAACCTGTCATTCTGGATATTCTCGATACGGCTGGACAAGAAGAGTTTTGGTAAGGATTATAGTTCCAAGTTCTAATGTTATTGACGTTTCATACTTTCATTGCGTGTGATATGGAATCAATGTACATGTGTGTGAAATGATTACAATGATGATGGTGTGACTTGGTTTTCGTTAAAATGATCACATGTGTATATGGAATAACGAACTTGTAATGATTATTTATATCCTTTCGATGATGATCATTGAATTCACAACAATTTCTTGTTTCATCATCAAATTCACGCAACAACAACAACAACAATATTCATCATCAAAAATTCACAACAATTAATTTTCACACTTTGACAACATTCAAAACAGTACACTTCGTGATCAATATATTCGTCAAGGTGAAGGATTTGTCATTGTCTACAGTGTGACCAATCGAAACTCATTCGAAGAAGTTTATGCATTTCTCGAACAAATTGCACAAGCCAAAGAATTGGACTCTGCAGAAGAATATAAGAATTTAGCAAATGAAACTGCAGTAGTTTTGGTTGGAAACAAATCAGATCTCAAGAATGAACGTGTCGTGTCAAGCGATGAAGGAAGAGAAGTTGCTAAAAAGTTTGGATCGATTGCTTTTTATGAAACATCAGCAAAGACTAGAACCAATGTTGAAGAAAGTTTTATGGATTGTGCTCAACAGATTATGAATAAGGTGAAAAAGAAGAAGAAGGGAAATTGTCAAGTAATGTAAAAATGTTGATGACGGATTTTTCGAATGAGATCGAGTATATTTTTACAATATTCCGTTTATGGTAATTGCATTGAGATTGCCTTTCCAGAGCTATTTGACACAACAATAATTACATTCCACTTTATCTATGTATCATAAAATTCCAATTTAATTTCCAGAATTGTTGTAACATTTTATTTGGCATTACGTTTGTGGGCTAGCCTGTTCCCATTACACAACATAATGAATTAAGAAAATATTTCTTGAAATTCAGTAAATGTTTTGGGAAAAGGACATGTAGAGGAGCTTTCTTGAGCCTCCACAGAATTTTTCATGAAACGGTTGCAATAATCTAAACAATTTCTAACCATGTGATATCCATTTTCGAGATCTGCATACTTGTTAGTTTTCATTTTAACCAATTCCTCTTGCAAGTGACTGTCAAAAAGTGTCACTTCCTTCTTGAATAACACGGATGAAAATTTAGAAACCACTCCTCCCATATTTCCTAGCATGACATAAATGAGTTTACATCTACTCTTTGAAACAGGAATGATGGAGGCGTATGTAATAGTGGCACTTGCAATAGTCTTCTTGCCTCTCTCGTCAATATTTGGAAATTGAGGATTTGAGTAAATAGATTTCGATAAAAAGTGATATCTATACTTCTTATGATCAAAGATGGCACAATTCGAGGCATACACCCCGCGTCTCTTAAACATTTTCCCAAAATTAAGGTTGTAATGAGTAATAAGAGATGGGTAGTGGCGTTTGTCGTCACACTTTGTCCATCCAAGAATGGAATTGTCATTCGTTTCTACCTTAGGGAGCAGTTTGCTTTGCAAATCAATGTCACACAATGCGCTCACAATAACCTCTGCTGGAAAATCTAAATAGCCTAATCGTTTCTGAACTCCAAATTTTCCTAGTTTTAAGGAGTCTTCATCAATAAAATTCTCACCATTGGAAAAGTAAACACCTACTAGGGGAGAGTTTTGAGAGTATTTCTTGTTGTAAGAATCTCTCTTCTTTCGCGAGCTATAAATCTTGAGACGTTTGCTACTTTGTCCATAATTATCATAAATTAAATCAAAGAGTATAGAATCGGCAAATAAGCGTTCACATCTTTCAAAGTCTGAGGGTTCTAAACGAATTCTCTTAAAGTCGTCTTTCGTAAATCTCATTTTCTTTAGTTCTTCAATGTCTTCAGTTTTGGCACATTCTAAGGCATCTTGTGGATATTGCTTGAGAAAGTTAAGCCAATTTGTGCTCCTTACAAATCGTGGAAAGACGTCATCTTTAAGTAATAGCAACAGTTGAACCTCTATTTGATCAAAAAACACAATCACGTCTTTAAACTCTTGTTCATACTGTTGTAGTTGTTGTTCATTTTGAAGAGTCACTGCTTTTAAGGCATTGCTTGTCTTGACGCTGAAACTTCCAATAAGATCAATGTTGAAAATGGAGGAATCCTGATCGTTGTTCTCATGTTCTGAACTCTTTTTTTCTGTTTCAGCTGAATTCTTCTTCTTTGGTGATGTCACTAACTTTGGGAGAATCTTTTTAAAAGACGACACTTTTTTTCTGGTTGGTGAGTTTTCATCTGTTGGCGATGTGGGTGTGCTTGCCAAATCTTCATTGGTGACTGTTGTTGTGCAAGAGTCAGAGGAACGAAGCATTGAGGACGAATCATTACTGTCGTATTCGCTTGGAGGCATGAGTGACGACGTGTCGTTGCTGGATGGGTTTTCAGAGACATTTGAAAATCGACGATCTTGAGTGGTTGACAATTGCTGTTGCATTTGTTCTAGTTTTTGTATTGTGTTCTTCCTTGTTTCACTATCAATGTTAATCTGTTTTTCCGACGCTTCGTTGATAAAGGTCGCCACTATTCGAGAAATGTCAACCAATATTGACTCTTTTAAGGCTTTACAATTTCTATTGCGCTGTAAGTGAGTAGGAAGATCTGTCTTTTCAATGACAATTTGAGGATTCTGCCAAGTGTGATGAGCATTCATGTGCCCAACATTGAGTGCTGAAACAGTCATACTTGAAATCATGGTGGTATGAGGGAATATTAAATCGCTTTGGCAATGATGATTAGCACTTCCAGATGTGATGTGTTGCTGGTTACTAGCCAGTAATTGATGAACATTTCCAATTAATTGAGTCAATTTAAACTTTCCGTTCATGCTATTGCTGCTGGAACCAGATGTGGTAGGACAGTTGCTTACAGGGCTGCTTGACTGCATCACTTCTTCCAACTCCATGGCTTTTCTAATTGTAAATTTGACGTCCATTTTGAATTGTCGAATGGTCTGTAAGGCTTCCCAATTTTCCAGTACCAAGTTCTCTTCGCAAAAATCCCTAAATATTAAGGATCCTTTTGGATGATCAATAATAATATCAAAAACAGGAGTAAATAATGTTGGAGAGGACATATTACGGGCATGAGCTTTGAGCTTTCTGTTTTCAAAAATCGGATGATGAAACGAAGATTGCTCTGAACTGGACCTGTTGTCCTCCCCTATATTATTATCATCATCACTGGAATGATTGAAGTTATGGTTCGGGATTTGAATAGAAATTTCATTGATCATCTTGTATTAATGTTCTAACAGTAATTATGTACGTCCGTAGAACGTAGTATGATAATAGGAGAGTTGATTTAAATTATTTCCTACTGCAATGAAGAGCGGGAGATGATCGAGAGTTGGTTCCTCTCCACTACGAGAAACCTTTATGGACCACCATGCGTAGGAAAAGAACAAATCAATTCTTATATCTCTTTTTAAAAAGAAGCTAAATCATGCTTGATCCAATAATGGTAGTGTCATCTCTGCTCGAAAAACAATTTTCGATGCACAAAAGGAATTGCTAGATAAGTTTGGGCGAATTTTTTTAAAAATGATTGGAAAAAAATATTATTTATTTTGATCGAGAATGACAGAATTTTATGATCTCGGAGCCCATTGTCAATTTGATGGCTGCAATCAGAAGGATTTTCTACCGTTTAAATGCGATAAATGCAACAAGTATTATTGTTTGGCGGTAGGTAACGGAGTCCCTTTTCAAAAAGAAAAGCCAATCAGAGGATGGAATGTTGCTATCGGAATTTAAAAATTAATTTTTAATTAATCTATGAATCGGAACGTCATGAATACAATGAATTTGATATTATTAATTGCATTGTTAAAAAAATTGTTACGGCTCATTCAATTTGGGAAACATGTTAGCACCGAACACTGCAAGACCACAAATGTCCATTCGATGATTCTGTTGGAGTGGTTGCTCCATTTTGCCCTCTTTGCAATCAAGTACTTCCCTACAGAGCGAGTGAAAGAGAGAACCCAAACGATGTTGTTGAGCGTCATATTTCGAGCGGTAAATGCCCAGGATTATCGGATAACCAACCAAGTTCCTCGATGTCGTCAACAGGTAAATCAGGCTCTTGCTCTTTTCCCAATTGTGAACAACATGGAATGATAATTTGTAAATCATGCAACAGGACATTTTGTGTACAGTAAGTAGAAATGAGTGAGACGAAGATTTGTCGACCACCAATGTAAATCAATTGAATGCATTTCATCTCTTGGAAAAGACATCGTTTGGACTTTGATCATAACTGTGAAGCTTTAAAAAAAACAAACACTTCTTCCTCAAAACAAGCACAAACACCATTTAAAATATTTAGTGGAGCTTCTTCATCCATTGCAGCTAACAAATGGAAAAATAACAAAAAGGAGGTCGGAAAATTGCTTAATAACAAGTTTCAAAATAAGGCGTTTCAACCAATTGGCCAGTCATCTATTGAACAACAGGATCGATATTATTTAGATGTTTATTTCCCATTGAATTCCAACATTGCACCAGTGCACATGTTTTTCAGTAAGAATTGGTCATTGGGTATGTGTGTTCGATATGGAAATTATTATTGTACTCAAGTATTGTTTAAATCATCACCATTTTCTCGAACTCGCCATTATAATAACTGATCGACATGTCATTTCAACGAAAAGGCAAAGTATTAGACAAGATTGCAGAACAAGGCAAAGTGAAAAATAATAATTCCTCAGAGCTAGATGTCAGCAAACGCTTGCATTTATTCACATTTGATGGTAATCGATTGCCTACTGACAAGAAACTATGCGAAATTGAATCTAGTATATTGAAGAGTCGTGACGGAGTAATTCTTGAATATGGAGAGGCTTTGGATCCAAATTTAGTGTAAGTATGCTTGGGTATATCTTGCTTGTTGTAATTTTTTGTTGCCATGAACCGACACTGCTTTGGAATTATTGTACATCTCACAGTGATGAAAAGCTCAAGAGCATTTCATCCAACACTGACACGGGTTGTGTCCTATGTTAAGAGACGGTTTTTCAACAATACTACTTACTCAACAGGTATAACATATTTCGACAAATTGAAACGTACTACGTTTCAAACATAAATTTCGACAAACAGGCCTTCCTTAAAAGTGTTGACGACTTTCCTTATTTCTCAGTACCTTAATAAGATTCTGTGGTGGGACCTTCGCTGTAATTTCGCCGAACCTAAATCCAAAAGGGGCTTTGAAAACTGCGCCAACTTCAAAAAAACAAGCCTACTAGCAACAAACCTTCCTTCGAGAGTGTCATTAGCCTGAGCAACAAACTCTCCATTGTGTTCCTCAGCATCCACCTCTCTCTCTCCTTCTCGAATCTATTCATCTCGCTTGAGTATCTGATTTTGAAATCTTTCGAAACATTGTACACATATCTCTCCGCATCAGTTGATAAATTAACAATCCATCAGTACTCAATTATCTCTCCACCAAAACCTCAACTCCTATCACTTAAAGACCCAACTAAGCTGCACTTTTCCATGCTCACAGCTGCTATCGCCATTGAAAAGAAACTACCAAGAATGGGCCTTACCAGATGTCCTCAATCCACGAACCTTGCACCACCTACACCATCATCAGTAGTGAACAACGACAACAAAGAAGGATATCTGTCGGTAAAACCTTCTGACATACAATCAAGTCCAAGAAGAAACTGCTCAAGTACTTCTTCTACCTCAAATAATAACAATAATATCAATTTGGAAGTACCATCAATGATCACTGTTACACCACCTACACCTGGACGACGAGAACGATGAGTCCTTGAACTTTGATGAGGCAGACTAGATGGCATTGTCTCATCACAACAATTTTGGAGAGATGACAATCATGAGGCTGTTCAAGATATCAAAGCCATTTTGAACTTGAAGCATATATCGGAACATTAGTTAATCAAGTTAATTACTACTAGGCTTGCGGAAACATTACCTCTGTACAATTAAAATTTGGAATACAAAGTCCAAACTCGATTTAAATTATTAATTGTAAAATAAAAATGCCCAATTTATATCATGTATTAACTGGCGTCTCGAGAACAGCAGAAATTCCAACCATTTCCACTCATCACAGAAAGCAACTCCGAGCAAAATCATCCATACTTTCTGGAAAGAATACTGTTTTCACAAAGAGTAATTCGTTCATGTTTTTGGAGCGGCCACAGAATAATCAAGATGATAGTGATGAATATGATTCCGATAACGAAATTATCTTGGTACATAGCCCCAATACATTGACCACAAATATTGAAAGAGTTGCAGCTGAAGAAAATACACGGAAAAAACAAGTCATGTTTGATCCTGTAACTTCATCGGGTGGAATGGGAGGCTCGCAACCATCATCATCTACGGAGGGAATGGGTACAACAATGGTGAAGAAAGACAGACCACTCCAACGAAAACCCATTCAAGATGTTTCTCCGCAACTGTTACGAGCAATGAATTCAAAAGAAGTACCTTCCAATTGTGTACTACCAATAATTACTGAGCCCAAGACGAAACGAAAATATGAAATGATTAACACCAAATGGCCGGATACGGGTATACCAATGGTGTCTGTATCGCCTTCAGTGACTACCATGTTTTCCGACTCTCGCAATCAACAATACACTGCCGAAAGTAAGAGAAAGAAAAAGAAAGAAACGCCACCAGATATTTATCAACCTCAAAAGAAGAGTTTTTGGCAATCATTATTTTCTCTATAATTGAAAACTTTGCATATTACGTAATTCATTAATAACTATTTATTCTATCAATAAGCGGAGAAGTTGAGAATACATTGATTATTTTGTGGTAAACATGATGGATCTTTATTTCACAATTTTACTTTGAATGATATATTACTACATTTCAAGGTAAAACAGTCATTCCAATGCTTAATTACCAGCCAATTTCATGGTCTGAACCCATGAATCTCTCTTGCTAATCTTCTCCCACCATGCCTTCACATGAGGACGTTCGAGAATCAAATTTCCAACATTAATATTGGGATGGAATAAGAAATTTCCATAAGGTAAATGATTCAAATCAGCCAATGAAAATTCATTTCCTCCAATGAATGCTTGTTTGGACAAAATCTTTTCATAGACATCCAATACGGAAGCGAGCTTCTCTTTGAGTTGTTTGACACGAGCATGATCCACTTCACCCCATTTGAACAAATTCTTGAACACCAACTCGAAGGTCAATCCACTTGCTTGAGGATCGAAATAGGAAGTTTCAATACTTGCACCTTGTTCAAAGAGGACTTGCTTCTTCAAACCTTCGGTACATGTGCCGCATGGAATCAATTCAGTTCCACGTCCTTTGAATTTAGCTTCCAAGTATCTACAAATAGCACGAGATTCATAGACCAAGAAACCATCATCTTCAAGCACTGGAACCACTCCAAATGGTTGCTTCTCAAGGAAGGATGCTTGCTTGTGTTCACCTTTGAACAAGTCAAGAGGAACCAATTCAAAATCAAGATTCTTCTCCTTGAGAGTTGCAACGACACGTTGAACGCAAGTAGAATAATAAGGACCGTACAATTTGAGAACCATTTTGTTTGCTAGAGTGATTGTTGACTTTTTGTCAGGCAGCGTGTTTCAATAACAGTGTGTTATTTGAATATTTGTTTTTTGTTTTGAAATGCAACGAACTGAGATGGTGTCAGATTTTATAGTTTCAAATGGACAGGATTCACCCTATCTGCGCATAAATGAGATATCTTTTCCGAGTGCTTGATCTGAAATTTTTGAAAGCGCAGTCAAAAAAGCTTTTGTACGCACGAGAATACCGACAGGTTTAAAAGACAAAGTCTAGAGTTAGTTGATTTATTGATCTTCAGCACCTTCACCGTCCTCACCTTCACCCTCGTGGGATTCAGTACCAACTTCCTCATAGTCCTTTTCCAAGGCAGCCAAGTCTTCTCTGGCCTCAGAGAATTCTCCTTCTTCCATACCTTCACCGACATACCAGTGGACGAATGCTCTCTTAGCATACATCAAGTCGAACTTGTGGTCAATTCTGGAGAAGACTTCAGCAATGGCAGTAGAGTTGGAAATCATGCAGACAGCACGTTGAACCTTAGCCAAGTCACCACCAGGAACAACAGTTGGTGGTTGGTAGTTGATACCGCACTTGAAACCAGTTGGTGACCAGTCAACGAATTGAATGGTTCTCTTAGTCTTAATAGTGGCAACAGCAGCGTTAACGTCCTTTGGAACAACGTCACCTCTGTACATCAAGCAGCAAGCCATGTATTTACCGTGTCTTGGGTCACATTTGGCCATCATGCTTGCAGGTTCAAAGGCAGAGTTGGTAATTTCAGCAACGCTCAATTGTTCATGGTAAGCCTTCTCAGCAGAAATGACTGGAGCATAAGAGCACAACATGAAGTGAATTCTTGGGTATGGGACCAAGTTAGTTTGGAATTCAGTAACGTCAACGTTCAAAGCACCATCAAATCTCAATGAAGCAGTCAATGAGGAAATGACTTGAGCAATCAATCTGTTCAAGTTGGTGTAGGTTGGTCTTTGAATGTCCAAAGATCTTCTACAAATGTCATAGATGGCTTCGTTGTCCAACATGACAGCAACATCAGTGTGTTCCAACAAGGCGTGAGTGGACAAGACAGAGTTGTATGGCTCAACAACGGCAGTTGCAACTTGTGGAGATGGATAGACAGTGAAACCCAACTTGGACTTCTTACCATAGTCAACAGACAATCTTTCCAACAACAAGGCACCCAAACCAGAACCAGTACCACCACCGACAGAGGAGAAGACCAAGAAGCCTTGCAAACCAGTACAGTTGTCGGCCAACTTTCTAATTCTGTCCAAGCACAAGTCAACAATTTCCTTACCAATGGTGTAGTGACCTCTGGCATAATTGTTGGCAGCATCTTCCTTACCAGTAATCAATTGTTCTGGGTGGAAGAGTTGTCTGTAAGTTCCGGTACGGACTTCATCAACAACGGTTGGTTCCAAATCGAGGAAGACAGCTCTTGGGACGTGCTTGCCGGCACCAGTCTCAGAGAAGAAGGTATTGAAAGCATCGTCTTCAACACCAATAGTCTTATCGGATGGCATCAAACCATCAGGTTGAATACCGTGCTCCAAACAATAGAGTTCCCAACAAGCGTTACCGACTTGAACACCAGCTTGACCAATATGGATTGAGATAACTTCTCTCATTCTTAGAGTTTATGTGTGTGTGAGGAATGTGTACAATTTAGCGTGTTCTCTATAATGAAGAAACTGCTTTTTTTTGTTTGTTGTAGAACTGTTGTATGGAGGGAAGGCGTTCTTATAAGCTGTTGCTTGAGCGGGAATGTATGTTCGTTATTTACGACGGTTGTATGAGGGAGATTCGATATTGTAATCTATTTGGCGGGATCAAAACTTGGGAAATGATACAAGCGGCTCGTTTAAATGAATCAACCAAAGTTATTATCATTGACACCTACAAGCTTTATTAGGATCAATCTGTCAATTTATGATGTTGCTCTACGATTCCTGTGCCGTTAATGGTTTCACTGAGAGGGCACATTAGTTCTGTGCATTCAAATTCTTGATTCACACCAGGAGCTTCAAAACTTCGAGATTCCCTTGTTTGACGAATGACGTTATTCACTTGGTTCGACATGTCCTGAACTATCTCTTGATGCAAGTAGTCCGAGTATACTTGACCTTTTAACAACTGGTCTCTAAGCATGGAGTTCGACTTTCGAAGTTGTTGAGTTTCTTGCTCTGAGCATGTCAATCTATACTTTAAAATATCCATCTCGTTTCTCATGGATTCATGAATGTCTTTTTCTTTTGATAGTTTCTTTTTAAGAGATTGACACTCGTCTTGACACGAATGCAAGTTAAGCGAGAGTTTCTGTACCGCTTGTTCCTTATCAAATTGAAGTTGTTGAGAGAGTTTTTTTTGATGTTTGTATCGATTCTCATTGGCGTTCGATTCCTTCTTAAACTGAAGCAATTTTCTTTCCAAATTGTTGGCATACAATCTCAATTCTTTGCTTGCAACATCCTTTCTACGCTGGAATACAGTGTCTGACATAACGAGTTCAATATCTTCCTGCAAATCGTTCAGTTGGCTCAAAACATTAAACGGAGTGCTATTTTTCTCAAAAGGGGTGTCACAACACGATAATAAAAGTTGCACCTTCTTAGAAAGATCTTGGGAAAGCCGAATGATCTGGTCGTACAGTTGTTCCTTAAATTGACCATGTTTTCTAATGTCATCGTCTATAAGGGCATGTGTATAGTAATCCGAAGAAATCGAACCATCGTCCTTCATGGTCGACGAGATGCTCTCCTTGCTTTCGAATTCAGCTTCAAATATTGCTTGCTCTTTGAGCAATTGAGCATCAGTAACCTCATTGGAAATTTTTTCGTTGTCAGTGGTCTCCCTTTTCAAAGACTCCATAATTATTTCCAATTTGAATACTTGATGTCCAATTCTGATTTCGTCACCAGAATTTACAATAGAACTCGAGGTAGTTAAACGCACTGAGTTTACAAACACCCCATTCTTTGAGGCCAGATCTCGCAAAACACAAATCCTTGTATTTGATGAATTATTTTCATTCATTAAAAACTCTAACTGAGCATGCATAAAGGAAACACCTGAATCATTGCCTAAACAAATATGACAATGGACTGGATCTCTTCCTATAAACACTTTTGAATGAGTAATTGAAAAATCTTGATCGCTTCCATGCAAAATAGCAATCGTATCGGAGGAAGGACAGCTACTACCTTGATCCTCCAACACATCCGTGAGTGTAGAGTCTGATAGCTCCATTTCTTTTTCATCATGATCACGTGGAGGTTCTTTGCAAGACTTTTCTGATGATGATATCGTACTAGAAAGAGGTACTTTCACCTTAGAGGCAATGGCTTTCATCTGTTGTTCGTTGGTAATTGTTGTGGTTTTCATTCTTTTTTTAACGGTAGCTACAATTTTTTGAAGAGCGGCAAAGTTTTGCTAAATTTCAAACTAAAAAAAAAATGTCCTTTCAAAACATACGAGATGCATTTCATCTCTTTTCCAATGACAAGGTTCTGCAAGCTCATGATTTACTGATCCATCATTTTGGTCCGAATTTTAAAACATTTATTTCCAAAGTGTCGGATCAGGATCTTGTACTCGATTCTAACGACGTGGATATGATACGATTAATTTATAGAGATGGTGCTCTAGCTAAAATGCTTCTTCATGAATTTAATTGCTCCGATGGTTGGAATTTGTGTGTCGATAAAGATCGAGCAAAAACATACTATAAACGAAGCGGACAAGTTTCACAGCAATATTTTGGAACAGGCACAAATAGCAGTTGTATTGATGGTGTTACTGACGATGCTCCTTTACACGTGATTAAAATTGAAGGAGAAATTGACGCACCAATTTTTAATTTATTAAGTATTTAAAATGAGGTAGATTTATACAAGGAATGGGTTCCACAATTGAATAATTGTGGAGTCATTAAATATTTGGGTGACAGCCATGATGAGGCCAATGTGGACCGAACGTGTTAAACATGATAATAAGAGAAGACTACTCAATAACGTCTCCTTTGATTATGGCAACCTGTAATCACCAGTGTCGTTGAACGTCTTCACCTGTTGTAATCCAAATCCCTTCACCTGTGTCATTGAACACAAGCCTTACATTCATTTTGCCGCCTCAATTCATTACATTCCCTGAAGAACAACCAAGTTCTTACCGCTTAATAACTACAACATGCTATGTTAAAAGCCTTAAATACGTGGAGCGTGTGCTATTGGCAGGTAAATCATCATCATCAAATAAAAAATCAACACATCCAATGCATTTCAATTGCGTGGTTTGCAAATTCCAACACACTGAGCCACAACAACAAGTCTCTTCCCAGCCAGCCCCAACATTGATTCATGTTGTAATCCATATCCAGGCTATAATGAGTGAATTTGTCTCTTTGAGTCATGTTTCTCGTCTTTCATACGAATGCACGTTTTGGTAAGTATAATGGTTATAAAGTTTAAAGCTGAGCTGACAATTTTGGACTCGCTCATAGTGTGACTGAGATTCATGACCGAAAGAAAATTTTTCTTTCAAAACCTAGTAGTATTGTCCAACGGTTTTTTAAAAACTCGTCGAGAAATCTTCAATCTAAAACAATCGAATACTCTGCGAGAAATGAAGAAGTCTCTGGCTTGTATAACACCTCCATTCTAAGTTGCGGCACAAACGACTTCTCAATTGACACCATAATAACCAATCCAAACTATGAACGTGTCACATCTCGCTCATTGCTGTAAGTAAGGCTTTGTTATATTCACCATTTAAATCTCCAATTTTTTACAGAGCGTGGATCCCAAAATTTCATTTGTTCCTTATTGGTTTCAAAATTGGATGACCACAAATATGAGTTATTTATTAATCTCAAAATTACGACAAGCAGCTGCCAAGGTTCCAAACTCTGAATACAGCGTTAGAATTAAAAACAATGACCAAGTTTATGGAGAAATAACAAGAAAGTTGTCAAAATTTATCAAGAAATAATATTCACGAATCAAGATGTGACTCATTGTTCCAGCAAGTGAGGGAAATACACTTTCATTGTATTATTATATGTGATTTCTGCAAGTTCCTCTTCTGAAATTTGCTTAATTTTTGCAATGACTTTCAAGACATTGCTATGTCATTTGGAAATACATATCACAAAGAGCTTTAAAATGGGCTAATTTCCAATACTTACATCAAATTGTCAGGTTCATTGCGTGATTTGACGTGGCAACCATTCTCAAACTTTTCCTTCTTTTTAGCATCAAACATAAAAGGTTTACTGTCTTGAAGTAATTTCCAACATGCATGACTCTGTCTAATCTCACAATAAGGGCAATCTGTCTCAATGCACAGCCGATCAAGAGGAATTTCCTTCACCACTTTCAAGTTTTCAGCTGTTTTTAACGAGCAGCCATTAATACCAATGTGAACCCTCTCTCCAAGAGAAAGCAGCTCTTGAAGCTCTTCAAGACTACCATCAAAGCTGTGAACCACAAATAAGCCCAATTCATCAATGTGTCTCCGTAAAATTTCACACAAGTCGTGAGTTGATTTTCGATTATGTAAAAAGAGTGGTAATTTGGTTTTCTTGGCAAGCTCTAGTTGAAATTCGAAATACTTTTTTTGATGTTCCTTATCACAAAATTGTAAGCGATCATAATCTAAACCACATTCTCCAACAGCCTTTTTCATGTACCATTGAGGAATTGTGACAGACACAAAATACAATGAGAAATGTATGAAAATGAATCTTCCACTACTGAAACTACCACACTTACAACTACAATTTCCTTATTTTTTCTAATCATCTCCAACAATTCATTCCTATGTTCTATATCATTCAATTCTGTAAATTCAGAACATCTTGTCGGATGCACACCAACAGTGACATACAATCTATTTGGAAATTTTTCTTTTAATTTTTCAATCAATTCAATAGCTTCATGAATATCTTGCATACATGTTCCGGTAATCATCATCTTGTCGACATGGTTATCAATGGCTCTTTGAATCACTTGTTCAATATCCGATTCGTGTGCCGTTTTTCCATTATAAATTCCTTTAAACATATCATCACATAAATTTACTCCGATATCAATGAGCTTCATGATTTTTCTCGTTTTCAGTGTTGAATGGAATTTCCGAGTGCAATTGCAATTCTAAGCGGTTGTTGTGAAAATATTTTTTTCATATCGGAATGGCTCTTGCCTTACCAGTGAACGACAGGCTAAACAATTAATTCCACTTGTCAATTTAACTTCGTCATGAGAAAAATAGAGTACAATAAAAGGTTTGAATTCAGCAATTTAGTTGTTTGCATAATAATTGTTACACTCGATGTTCAGGTAGTTCAATATTTTGTGCAGTAATGACAGCTTCTTCCTTTTTCAAGAATGGATTGAATTTTTGAAGACGATCCCACAAATTCAAAATTGGTTGAGCAATAGTAGCCCTCATTCTCAATATAAAATGTTCGTCAAAGAAGTATAAATGTTCCATTCTCACTCCGTGTGTATACCAGAATGCCATTCCAACGAAAATTGCACCACCAAGTAAATTGCCAAGAGTGGCAGGCATCAAATTTGAAACCAAAAAGTCATACATGGTAATGTCTGAACCATAAAGCATGGCTAATGGAATGAAAGCTCCATTGGCCACACTGTGTTCAAATCCTCCTGCAACGAAAGCTAAAATGGGCATGAATAAGCCAATTAATTTGTCCACTAGAACATTCGAGGCATAAGTCATGTACACGGCCAAACACACGAGCCAATTACAACCAATGCCCAACAAAATGGTTAAGCCAGCGGATCTTGACACTTTTGCTTCTCCAACCTTTTTAGCGTAGGAAACGAAACCAGCTGGAGTGTGCAGCTCTTTTTCGGTAGTCGGCAGATACATGAAAAAGTAGATGGTCATGAATGCTCCCAGAACGTTAAACGTCAGTGAGAGACACAAATTCTTAACGACATGCCAAGCAGTCACTTTCTTTCGGAGCATGGCCACAAACATGACCATGGTATTGCCTGTGAATAATTCACTTCCTGAAACAATGACCAACATTAATCCCACAGTGAACACTGCTGAAAAGATCAATTTACCAAAACCAGGATTTTCAACGTCCCATCCAGGCATATTTCCACCTGTTTTGAAAGAGGCAATGGCTCCAAATCCGACAAAGACTCCAGATAAGAGCGAGAGTATAATGGTTTGGTCAATGGATTCCTTAGATTTCTTCTCTCCTGAAAGTGCCATGGTTTCTTGAAGGACGACTGGAGAGTTGATGGTCGTGATGGAAGGAAGAGTTACTGGAAGAGGTACAGGAACATTGAGTTGAGGGACTTGTGTTTGTTGTTGTTGCTGTTGATTAACGGTATCGGTATTGTATTTATGAATGATGGAGAACAGAGCAGTCTCCAATAATTGTTGCGTTCTTTCTAATTCATGTTCATCAAACGCATGATGAGAATTTGTACTTTGTTTGGAAGCAAGGGGAAGCTTTTCATGATGAAAATCATGAGGCTCGTCATGATTTTCATCATGATGATTGTCCTCTGCAATATTCATTTTGGATCTGGACTTGAGCGAGGATGAGGTTGTGGTATTGTTGTTGTTGGTAGGAGTAGATGGTGTTGGGGAGTATGATGATGTATTCGTTGATTGTGGTATTGTTGTTGTTGGAATATTCACGACTGCAGTGTTCGTCGATGATGATGTCTTTTTTGAGCCTTCTCCAGAGATGACAGGTTGCTGGGAGAGGTTGTTGATATTCTTATTTTCGGCAAATTTGGTACTATCTTCGTTATGGGACATTTCAGTCGTGGAAGAACATGATGTGTTTGGCAACATGGAAGAGGTTGTTGTGGCTTGAATAACAACTGTGGATTCTTCTGGATGGCTCATTGATGAAGAATGGCTGCCAGCGCTGTTGTTGGACTGTACAGACATGGGTGCCAGAGTGGATGAAGGAGAACGAGTGTGATTGTTTTGTTGAGGTGATAATAAATACCAGAAATTGCCCGAGATGAGGTTTGTTATTGTAGCAGAATTCGTACAATTCGAGAACGGATAATGTATGTTACAACAGAAGAATCAATACAACGCTTTGTTTTCTCTTCACACCAGCTGAGGCTTGTTCTCGTTTTCAATGAAACTGAACAAAGGTGAACTGAGTGAGGAGCTTGTTTCAACAGCAATGCAGAATCTTTTTCTTGGTTTTCAAACTCAACTGCCTATCACCACACCAATTACACGACGCACTATTTTGGAGAGGGTTTTATGTATGCGTAATTCAAAGAGTCTCTCGCTCAATTCATGACTCAACGCCGATTTTTGTATTTGTTTAACTCCTTTCGCTGTGAACACTAAAATGGAGCTATTTGAAAACTCTTGAAAAAGCAATAAGGGGTTGTGGTGTGAAACACTCAGAACGTTGAACAAGAATATATTGGTGAGGAATTTATGCGTTGAACTAAGAGATTATGATTTGTTTGGAAAGATATTTTGAAAGGGCTAAATTTCAATTAATGTCAGACCCGATTTAAAAGAATCGTGATAATGCGTTGCATCTTTGGTGGTGACAACTTGGACAGACGTATTCTCCCGCTGGGAGTTATTTTATTTTACATTGAACTATGTGAAATATCACGCTAGGGTTTATGGGGCACAAAAAGGAAGGGCTGAATTATCAATTTAACATTTGTCAACTGTTAGTATGACAACATGATTGATAGAAGCTGTGTCTCGTGTTTACGATAATGAGGATCCAAGTTTACAATAGCTTCTGAAATACTGTCCAACAAGTCGCACCAATCGAGCTTGATGAGATCCCTTGACAACACCAACTTTTAGATAATCTTCGCAAGTATAATCCTGAATTTGACTCATATTATTGAGCTTCTTCTTTTTGAATTGACTACAATATTCCGAGAGCTCATTTTCAATAAGAAATTCCTCAATTGACTTTTCTTCAAATCGTTTGATGATACTGTTTTGAGGTTGTTTGTTCTTTTTGAAGAGTGAGAAGAAACCGCCTCCTCCCGCAGAGGATGAGGCCTTCACAGGAGAAGATCCCAGTACTGGACTTGACTGCCTTTCCAAGTCATCCCATGCCTTCTTTCCTTGTAGCTCAATAATTTTGGAAAGAATAAAGGTTTGAAACTCTTCAGTTTTCTTGAATTGAGAAAATATTTCAGTCTTCATTTGAAGAGTGACAGAAAAGTGAAGAACATCCAAACACTCATCAATCTCATTAGCAATTGCTATGGCTTCATCTTCGTTAGTTACTTGTGCCACTCGTGGATTTAGTTTAACAAATTTGTTTCGAATGGCCGAGTCAATATTCATACAGAATTGAGAGTCAGTATCAATGAATTGGTTATAAATCATTTGAAATTCTTTCACTTTCAAGAGGCCTCTCCTATCATTATAAAAATCAGAATCATAAAAACTAAGGAATGCAATTCTAGTTTCCAACATGAGTAATAGCTGTGAGTTTCAATGGATCAAACAATGAATCCATGGCATTTCACATTTTGTCAAGTTATATATATTATCAACACAATGAGATATGATTATAAGTAACAGTGGGGTATTAGTGTACCACTTACCTCCTCGTTATGTCTTTTGGTTAGATATTGTCTCAATTCTTCTCTCCCATCCGTTGTTTCCATGAATGTTTCGTATTCATAATACGATTGTATAATTTTCTTAACATCTTGGAAAGAATCAATGCACGTGTCACCCGAAAGCTCAGGAGTCGATCTAGATACTCGAATTAGGGAAGAAGTTGGCTCCAATAACGACGAGGAAGAAACTGAGCCCGTACTCAGCAATGGAGAATTAAATCCTTGCCTACCACTATTATTTCCAGTCCCTATCACTGCTGCTGCCTTATTCCTATTCTTCTTATGTTGCTCTTTGATTAAATTATCAGTAGAATACTTTTTTGAGAGAGAATTGAAAGTCTTTCTATTGGCAAATAATTGTTCCAACTCAGACAAACCAGTTGGTTTCTCTGCTTCAAAATCATTGAGCGAATAGGAAACCTTCTTTTTAGATGAACCTCCAAGACCACTACTGCTACCAGTCGTGCTGTGGTGGTGTTTCATGATGGGCACCACTCCGCTTCTATGAGTGGAGGAGGAAGAAGGATTGGACGAGATTGTTGATCCGTCGGTAGTCATCCATTCATCTCTGTAGTGAAAGTTGTGTTGCTGACCCAGCTCACCATCCATGAGGAACAAGGCGCCCGCTGGTGTGGAAGGAGAGTCTGAAAAGTCATGTTGCTGATCCGAGAGCACAGAATCAAAGGATGAATGGAATTTACCACCTCTCGTACCATGGAAATTATTACGAGAGCATTGAATGTTGGGTACATGTTGTTGTTGTTGTTGTTGATGATGCATCATCATGGCCATAGAAGAGGATGAAGGGTACAAGGAAGCGGAAGAAAAAGAAGAGCATGACGAAGAGTCGTATGAGCACGACGTAGAGTCTACTTCTGGTTGTTGGAATGGGTCAACTTCCTCGTCATGATGATCTTCTGTGCTTCCAATATTGAACTCGGTATCAAATACATCTATTCCTCCTCGTATCCGATGAGGGTTGTGAGCCATCATAATTGGAGAAGAGGATGAACCTGTTGGTGCCGATGCTGAAAGAAATGGTAGCTGATGATGATGAAGGCTGGACATTTTGTCATTAATATATTCGTTTTGTATCCAAAAAAAAGGTATTTCGAAACAGAGCTCTAGATATTATATTACACTTGAGTGTGCGGCGTATAGAGAAAACCAATGAAAATCCAATCACCTGGCTTTGAGAGGTTAGTTTTTGTGGCACCGATTCTTTGCAAGAGGAAAGAATTTTTAATATTGCAGAGACGAGGTGGCAGGACTTGCGGGGTGTGAGATGCAATGAGAAGGTGTAAGAGCAGCTTGATGATCCCAAGGATTTTTAGGATTTTTGAAATCAAAGCTTCAATTTAGTATTGTGTGAAAATTTAGGGTGAGCTTGTTAACTGGAGAGTCTCAAACAAAAAAACAGAATGCAACAATGGTGAGTGATCACTTTACGAGTTGTTGCTTGACCACAAAGAGAGAGCGATGTGAAGTGAAGGTTGTTGGACCTACAAGCTCGTAACTGTTTGACTGTTTTTTTCTTTGCGTACTTTCGCATTCGGAAAATGGTCCTTGACAAGCCCTGACAAGAATGAATTAGATAAACATGTATTTTTATAGGAATGCGGAAAGAATGGGAATTGTTTTTTGCTTCCAACCTGTAACGCAATTTAAAGATTTAGTTAAGCGAAGCAATGAGTCTCACTTGTAATGTTCAATTCCAACAACGGGCTTGCTGAAAAAGTAACAAGATGTGAAGCTGCTTACTTTCTAGCTGAACAAAAGGACGACCATTTCTAAAGACTACTCGAACCAAAAGCAAAATAAAATCCATGAATGTCGCCCAACACCACCAGCCCCGAAGAATCAGCAACAACACCTCCCAAACTTTTTCATACAGGAAAGGTCTTGCGAGAAAGGAGTAGTAGCAGGCATCATTCCGAAACATTGTCTTCGAAATGGCCATACCCTCCCTCTAAATCATCGAGATGTTCAACGAGCGCAAATACGGACGCGAATACACATGAAGATCATTCTTCTTCTTCGTTGCAAGAATTGGAACATAATTCAGAATCAAATCATTCCGAAGAGGGCTATTGGAGTATGAGAACTCGTAAATTAATTTCTCAACATCAATCCATGAGCAAAACGAATACTGAAATATATGGACGAGTCGCGATGAAGCAACAACACATGGAGCTTTCCAATTCTTCTTCTCGTAAACCTTCAATCACAATAACGCCTTCCACAACTAGCTGTGCTAGCCATGAAGAAAGCAAATCTCCTCCCGTTCAAATCAATGCTCAATTATTCAAAGGCTTAGTCTTCTTTTTCAACAGCATTCGAGGCGAAGGAATTCATTCTCAATTTCATTTAACCAAGCTGGCTAGTATTCATGGTGCAACAGTGTTGTAAGTTTTAGACTCAATGTACGAATAGTTGGTGTTTTATTCCAATGTTGAACTTGTCATTGTGATGTTACATCTTTCACTTGACTCAAGGACAGACCAAACCCTTCACGAAAAAGAAAGCTTACACATGTGATAGCATCCAACCTTCCAAATAGTAAGGTTGAACGAATGGAGAAAAAGAAACACATTACAAATACTCATGTTAAATATGTTAATCCTCAATGGATTAAGGATTGTATTTCACAGAATAGAGTTTTACCTGAAGCAAAGTATTTGTTAACAAACAATGAAAATGGTCAGAAAAAGATAATGTAATGATGAACCATCATGTATTGAACTTTGCTGAGTGAGAATTACATGCAATTATTATATTGTCTTCTGTTAGAACGGCTAAACGACGTTTAAAATTGAAAAATTAAATGAAATAATTAAAAAAAATGATGAAAGTTGATGCTTCCTCCATTGACGAATTGCTTCGTGAGATTGACCAAACAGTGTACGAGTATCCGAAGCACACAACTCGTGAAATTCCATTCCAAATCAAAGGAACAGGAACGGTTGGTGATGTAACTTTATTTAATGTTGGCTTTCAACATCATCCCGAAATCTATTTTGCGAGAGCGGAAAAACAAGGCAAAGAAGCCTTTTCATCAACTCATATCCCCTTCTCACCAAATCCATCACCATCGGATTTTATGAAAGAAAATTATCTTACACCCAAGTTGGAGAATGACAAGGAAGATTATAGAATTTTCCCAAGATTATTTAAACCAAACGAATTGTACTCTTTTGCAGTTTCAAACCCAAAATATGTGATCGAAACAATCAAAGATCCTTTCACAGGAAAAATCAGAGAATGTAAGGAAGTGTACATGCCACAAGTCAACGACACATCAAAAACTTCTACATCCTTGTTAAGACAACCTGCTGCAAGTAAAGACTTTGTAAGAGGCAACAGTCATAACGTTCCATTCGAGTTTGGCGGTATTGATCGAGAAGAAGAGAAGGGTATTGAAGAAGCACTTTCTAGAGATGAAGCTGTTGTACACAACACTGCAGCAAGTAATGCTCAAGAAAAACATCATGCCAACATTTTTGAAAGATCTATTCAAGAAGAGTTAGAATTACTCAAGGTACAAAGTGAAAATAATACCGAAGCGATTTATGGAATTGAATCATGTCCTCCTGGATTCAAGCATGGACTTTTCCAAGCGGCCAAGCAAACCATTACAACAGCAAAACAACAACCCAAGGAAAATCACAATGCTGACGAGCGATTGGACATTGAAGCAATGGCTATTGGTAAAAATCAACAAGGCCTACTCGATGCCTACAAACAAGATATCTCCAATTATGATCTTTCAAATGAAGGAGAAGTGTTCATGTCGGTAGAACAACAGAGAGAGTTGAGAAGAAGACAAGAAATGAGATCTAAAAAGCAAGAGCTGGTAAATTTCACAGACATTTTTTCGTCCACGTTGAGTGAGGATGTATTTGGTGGAGCTGAGGAAAGTGGGCAAGTGCAAGAAGAGATAACACAGCCACAAGTGGCCGCTGTATCCCAACAAGACACAGAGTCAAAACAAGATGGTAATAAGCTTATTACTCCCTCTCAGCAAAGGCCAAAAGATACCATTGATGATCTTTTGGAAGCTGACGAAGATGTTCTCTTCAGTTCATTCATTAGAAAGCAAGGAAAAAAGCAAAAAGACAACGAATATGCCATCATGACTAGAATTGACGTCAGCAACTTTAAGCAGATGGTTCCAGAAATGGCTATTCAATATCCTTTTGATTTGGACATTTTCCAAAAAGAAGCTATTTATCATTTAGAAAATAATGAAAGCGTGTTTGTTTCAGCTCACACTTCAGCTGGTAAGACAGTAGTAGCAGAATATGCTATTGCACTAGCTCAGAAACATTTAACTCGAGTCATTTACACAAGTCCAATCAAGACTCTTTCCAATCAAAAATTCCGTGAATTCAAGAAAACATTTGGTGACGTTGGTATTTTGACAGGTGATGTTCAAATCAATCCTACAGCCACTTGCTTAATTATGACGACAGAAATTTTACGTTCCATGCTCTACAAAGGAGCTGATTTAATCAGAGATGTGGAATTTGTTATTTTCGACGAAGTCCATTACGTCAACGACCCTGAACGAGGTGTCGTGTGGGAAGAAGTAATTATCATGCTTCCCAAACACATCAATCTCATTTTACTTTCTGCCACTATTCCAAATACGTATGAGTTTGCTGATTGGGTTGGTAGAACTAAAAAGAAGCCCATTCACGTCATTCAGACATTGAAAAGACCCGTTCCCCTTGAACATCATCTCTATTACAATGGAAATATTTACAAAATTGTGGATTCTACCTCAAAATTCCTCAGTGCAGGTTATAGAAGCGCTCTCACTGCACAAGAAGAAAAGGAAGAAAAGAGTAAGAGTAAGGGAGGCTTCAAAAAAACTCCATACGCAAAGCTTATTGAAACACTCAACAAAAAGAGTTTGTTGCCGGCAGTGACTTTTGTTTTCAGCAGAAAGCAATGTGAAGAAATTGCTGTAAGTCTTCAAAACACAGATCTCAATGAACCTGGAGAAAAGAACGAGATTCACAAATTCATTTCTCAGTCCGTCTCAAGATTAAAAGGCACAGATAAGGGATTACCACAAATTATTAGAATTTCAGAACTTTTGAAACGTGGAGTGGGTATTCACCACAGTGGTTTGCTACCAATTGTGAAAGAAATTGTTGAAATTCTCTTCTCCAAGGGTCTTATCAAAATTCTATTTGCCACTGAAACATTTGCTATGGGTGTGAACACACCTACTAAAACTGTGGTCTTCAACACGTTATGGAAATTCGACGGAAAAGACAAGAGAGATTTACTTCCTGGTGAATACATTCAAATGAGTGGAAGAGCTGGTCGTAGAGGTCTTGACACAGTCGGAAATGTCATTATTAATTGTGCTTCAGAAATTCCTGAGGAACCTCTTCTTCAACGACTTATTCTTGGAAAAGCAACACAACTTGAAAGCAAATTCAAACTCAGTTACAACATGATTCTCAACTTGATGCGAGTGGAGGACTTTAAGATTCAAGACATGATTAAGAGATCCTTCTCTGAAAGTAAGACCTTACGAATCGTTCCCAATAAGGAACTCTTGTTGAAGAGTAAGGAAAAATTAGCAGAGATTGAAAAAATCGAATGTATCAATGGAGAACCTGCGATTGATCAGTTCTATGCCTTTGCTCGAGAACTTGAAGATGTGAATCAAAAAATCACGACTGAAATTATGCTTAGTCCCAAGATCAATACATGGACAAGTTTTGGACGAGTGGTTGTGGTTCGATATCGACTCGGATATACCTTGGGTGTCATCTTACGACAAGAAGCATCTACCTCCATCAGTAATCGTGATGAAAAATATTATTCCATTTTAGGAGTGCGATTGAATCCATCGTTTGAGAAGAGAAAACAAATTATTCCAATACCCACGTCAACAGGTCTTGCAGAATTTTCTCCAATTTTATTGCCTCAAAGTGGAGAAATTTCTACTATCATTATTGCACCTTATTGGGACATTTTAACGATTTGTAATGAAAAACTCAATCTTTCACTCGCCATTGATGAGTTGATGAATAGTGGTGGCACAACAAAAGAAACCTCAGAGATGAGAGCAGCTGCAAATCAATTAATCAATCTTTGGAAAGAAAATCCTCCAACTCCCATCAATGCTATCAAGGAACTCAAATTGACATCACTGGACTTTTCTGAGGCGCTCTCAAAACGACAACAGTTAATAACCAAGTTACAAGAAAATAAGTGCAACATTTGCCCAAAGCTTGCTGAAAACTTTGACAAAACAGACAAACAGTACAAGATTAAGCAAGGTCTTGACAAGCTTAGATTTGCACTTTCTGATGAAAATTTAGAGTTAATGCCAGAAGTGAAAAAGAGAATCAAAGTTCTTAAAATTTTGAAATATGTTGATGCTGATGAGACAGTTCAATTGAAAGGACGGGTTGCTTGCGAGTTGAATTCTTGTGACGAATTGCTGGTGACGGAAATGATTTTCGAAAATTTCTTTACAACCATGACGTGTGAAGAAGCTGTTGCGGTCATGTCATGTCTTGTTTGCCAATCAAGAGGAGAGACAGAGGAGCCCACCTTAACAAAACGACTTCAAGAATTGAAAGATAAGGTCTCTAACTTGGCACTCAGTCTGGGACAACTTCAAATGGAAAATGCGCTAGATACAAGCCCAACAGATTATCTCTCCAAGACTCTCAACTTCTCCATGATGGAGGTTGCCTATGAATGGGCTATGGGTCAAGAGTTTAAAGACATTTGTGCCTTGACATCCATACCTGAAGGAACCATTGTTCGAACCATTTCTCAACTCGATCAAGCCTTAAGAGATGTCAGAAATGCTGCTCGTATTATTGGTGACATTAATCTCTATCAAAAGATGGAAGAATCATCACGAAAGATTCGTAGAGACATTATCTTTGCTGCTTCATTGTTCTTATTCCCAACAGACCAAAAGTAATTGTGTTACAAACGGAATCGTTATGACGTGCTGTCCATCACTCAGTTCTGATCAACTCAACATTGAATTATATAATCTGATATAATTTATATTTTATGTACACCAATTATTTATCCTTCTTGTTGGCTTCTTCAAATTCCTTTAACCATCCAACAACTCTATACTTAAATTCAAAGTGAGAAAACATAGAGTTCAATTGATCTTTTTCGAAAGCATTCAAACTGGAGAGGTCCATTTGATCCAAAAGAGATGGTTTAAGTTCGTTTTTAGCCAATGCTACAGAGCTTTCATGCCCAGCAAACATGTCATAGGTTTCATTAGGTCCATAGAAGCCAGAACCAGTGACATCGAAAACTTTTCCGCAAACGCTGACATAAATTTTCTTTTCTGGGCTGTCAATTCCGTTATATTTATGAAGTTCCTCCAAAGTAAATTCTCTTTCCTCGATTTCTTCCTCAGGTTCACTGTCTGAATCGGATGATGATGATGAATAATCGTCTCCCGATGCTTTTGTAGCGGTTTTTTGGCTTGTATACATTCTATATATAAAAAAGGCAGCCCCAACAAAGGCACCAATAATCAACAATAACCACAAATCCATGATTTCTCAGTGTAATATTTTACTATGCAAAATTGAATAAATAGCGATGATGATGAAAATTATCAAAATTATCCTGATTGATGGTACTGATGTAACCGAAGCGCCCAAAATCGGTGATGTTATTTTTTTTGAGCGAAGTTTTGAACGGAATTAAATCCTCTATTGCTGCTTGTTGGAATTGACATGTCAAAACAATATCAGCATTTACGACAATCTTTAAATGATCAATGCAATGGCACTGAATCCGACTGTGCCACCACTAATGACTTTAGATATTCAGCATTCGTAGGTCCAGTTTCCTCTACAAGGGATGCAAACACTGTTTTTGGTTCCTGTGTCAATAAACGATAAGGTGAATCAAATTCAGCCAACTGTCCTGCTTGCAATGAGAGAATTCGATCAGAATCAATAATCGTATTCACTCGATGAGCTACTGTCAAAACCGTTCGATCTGCAAACTCTGTTCTCATCATTTGTTGCAACATTGAGTCCGTTTCCATGTCAATCGATGCTGTGGCTTCATCGAGTATTAAAATTTTCGTCTTTCTTAATATGGCACGAGCCACACAAAACAATTGTCGTTCTCCCAATGAAAAATTCTCTCCATATTCTGAAACTTGAGCATCGAGTTGACCCTCCAATGACATTACTTTTTCTTTCATGTGTGTTTTTTCTAAGGCATTCCATAATTGATAATCTTGATATTCCTGACATGGATCCAAGTTAAATCGAACCGTTCCTGAAAATAATAATGGATCTTGTGGAATGATTGAGAGTTTGGATCTCAAATCATGTAGACCAATGGTCGAAATATCAATTCCATCTATTATAATTTGACCTTCCGACAATTCTATCATTCGAAACAAACATTGCATGAGTGTGGATTTGCCACAGCCCGTTCTCCCTACCACTCCAACATGTTCCCCAGCACGCACCTGAAAACTCAAATCCCTTAATACATAATCCAAATCGTCTCTATATTTCACTTTCACATGTTTCAACACAATTTCACCTTGTTGAGGCCATGTTGTTGTTTCGGCAAGACGCGCCATCATGGATGAACTTGTGATTCGTTTGGGAGCCTCCTGAGGAATTTGTTCACAATAGTGTAAAATTCTTTCGACAGCATTCATGTTGGCCTCTGCTTCCACAAAACTTTTCACCAACGATGAAACAGTTCCAGTAAAAGAAAGAGCATATGAAAAACTCAAACCTGCCAATGCAGCAGAGGAACCACCAATCACAGAGGTCAAAGCCGCACACAGTACAATGATAGAGCCAAGCATTTCGAGTCGGAATGCCAACCATCGTTGAGAAACAAGTTGTGCAAAATGTGCCGTATTGTTTTGATCGAGCGACTTTTGAAACTTGTTCATGAAATCGTGTTGTCTCTTGTAGGCTCGTATGGTGGAAATTCCAGCCAATGTTTCGTTGAAATGTGAAAAGATTGGACTTCTTGAAATGGCATCTAATCGTTTCAATTCTCGACTCGTATTTCTGTAATAGTTTTGAATTTTGTAATAGAGGAAAAGAATGGGAATCATTGCAAGTATGAACCAATAACTGACCGATGAAATAAGCACCAATGAGCTCACAGAAGAAAATACTCCTGACATGAATGACTTTAACGAACCCATAATGGAAGTGTCCACACTTTCAATATCCTTAGAAAATCTGTTAATAATTCTTCCAGATGGATTGGTATCGAAAAACGATGTAGGTGCATCAAGAACTCTCTCCAACGAGGTGTCATGCATTTTCTTGGCAGCTTTTAATCCAGAGAGTCCAAATGTTAATTCTTGCACAAATGTCAAACATGCTGCTGCGACACCAAGTGCAACATAGATACCAATATATAGAGGTAAATTGTATCCGAGGTCATGATTTTCTCCTGTTGTTGCAAGTACAGAGAGAGATCCAGTAGTGATGAGTTGTTGTTGTTGTGTAGGCCGATCTCGTGCATCGTCGGGCTGTAACGATGATGTTGCCACTGTGGACCATTCAGCCAAAAACCAATCAGTGGCAATGCTTGAGGTTTTGGTCAATAGAAACATGATCAACATTAAGGCAATGGTCAAATATCCTCCGCCATACATGAAATAGCTCCAATATACCTTAAATTTCACACTACCTTCAGCACGGTCTTCATGAGATGTGATTTTTGATTCTTTCTTCTTCAAAGTCCTTGAACTGGTCTTGTTGACTTGCTTCTTGTTGTTGTTGTCGTGATCACTGTTGCCAATTTCTGAATGGTCATGTTCAAAATATTGTGAAAGCATGGATGAAAACGTCTTGTTGTTTCTCAATTCTTGACTCGTTCCTTGAGCTTCAATCTTACCATCCTTAATCACGATGATGTAGTCTGCATGTTTTAAATATTGCCATTGATGAGTGACCATTATTCTAGTCTTATCTGACAACACTCCATTAATGCAATGATCAAACACAAATCTTCCTACTTGTTGATCGAGTGCAGAAAGAGGATCATCGAACAAGTAAATATCTGCATTGGCATATACTGCTCGAGCTAAATTGACTCGTTGTTTCTGACCTCCACTGAGATTAATTCCTTTTTCTCCAATTTCAGTCAAGTCACCTGCCATGAGAATTTCCAAATCATGTTCTAAACTACAGGATTCAATGGCCATTTGATATCTTTCATCATTCAAAGCATTTCCAAATAAAATGTTATCTTTAACAGTTGCATTCTGAATCCATGCTTGTTGGGGCACATAGGCAACACTTCCAGAGATTTTCACTGCGCCTTCTTCTCTGAACATCTCACCTGTGAGAGCTGAGAGGAGTGATGATTTACCGTGGCCAACAGATCCGACGATCAACACAAGATCACCCTTTTTAACTTTGAGGTTAATATTGGAAAGGGAGAAGTTTGTTTTTTGTGTCATGTCATTATTGCTCTTGATACCTTCCTTGTCCTTCTTGGTTGGCATGTCAATGGAAACAGAATCATTTTCCATCTTGCTATAGTAAATACTCTCTTGTTTTGTTTTAGATTCTAGCTTGTCATTCTTCTTTGCATCAACATTGGATGTTGTTTCAGAAGAATTGTTGGAACCCTTCCAAATGAAAGTACCATTTTCAACAACAATTGGAAATTCAAAATCATTGGATGATTCCACCTCTTCAATTTCTTCAGCAAGTAAATACTTTTGAATTCTATTCAAGCTTACTCTTGCCTCAATCATCATGGACAATAGATTTGGAAAAAACGATGCAGGACCTCTAATGAGATTGAAATACGCGAGAGCAGGGAAAATAACTTGGGCATCTAACACATTTCCTGTAGCTGCAAACACAGAAAAGGTTACCGTTCCTACAAATAATGGAGAAAGAGTCATGAGCATGGATGTTGAAATATTAATCACGGTCGTGATCATGATTTTAAACAATTCCTTTTGTCGAATTTCCATAATTTTCTGAAGAAAGGAATGCTCCCAAGCATTGAATTTGATCGTTCTAATGCCTTGTACTACCTGATTCACTAACTTGATTCGTTCTCCTGTGAGTTTGAGAGTAATCTTTCTAATTTTCTGAACTTGTCTAGAAATGGCTCCTTTTAAGGGAAGAACCAACACGAGAATGGCAAGTCCAGTCAGCGAAGGCCAACCTAGCAATAGAAAAAGCATGAGTACGGAAATAAATATTTGCAAAATGCTACCCCAAATTGAATGTAACATCATTGATATTCCTGCAACCTTGTTGGTGTCAATACTCATGTGATTAATGACATCACCAGTATTCATGGAAAGCTTGGCTGCATTGCTCACTTTTAAACTTTTCCTATAAATTGCAGTACGCAGAGCAGTTCGAACGTTCATGCCATGTGTTGTGGTGATGTGAAAAAATTGCTGAGAAAAGAGAGTTCCTATTACTTGCAAAAAAAACAGCACCATTATCAATACGAAAGGTTGATAGAATGGAATAAGGTCATAATTTTGAATGGATGAAATAATGGACTTGACAACTAATGGGCTCGCTAATTCACAACCAATAGTAAATATTTTGAGTAGACCTGCCATATAAAACCGAAAACCAAAGGCTTTGTGAAGAGTATACAGTAAACTTGCTTGTTTGTTTGATTTATCATGGCCATGCAGTGTTTCATGATACATCAAATCTGATCTTTCTTTCGTCTTGCTAACTTGAACATCCCACTGCGTGTGAAATTTTTCAGAAAGATGGTTGGCCTCGTCTTGTGCTCTCAATCTAAATAAATCAGTCATTTGAAGCACCTTTTGATTTCCAAGCTTTATAAGATCGTTGAACCACCAAAAAGAAAGCTTGGAAAAGATGTTTGCAGAATCTTCGGGACAAGGTCTATATATTTTTCGAATTACCATTGATACCATTTCATAAACACACATTCAACACTTACTCATTGGTTATTGATTCGGAAGATGATAAATTGTTAGAGGTTATGGATGCATTTTGCTGCATGACAACAGGGTGCTCCGATTGCATTCTTTGCGCGAGGGTATTTAAAGACAATTTTTTGAGTTGCCTCCATCAAAATTGGTTATTTGAGCAGAAATAGTGAGACTGTTTGCGCACGATTAAATGTTTGTGCGCACATGAGAACAAGGGTGCAACTGTTGTTTCATGGAAAAGAAAAGTGAGGGTTGACTTTCCTCTCAACGTTTTCTCCTTGCTTCCAACGCACTTGTCGAAAAGGACTGCGGGTTACCAAGTATTAAAGTATTTGGAGAGAAACATGCTTGTGATCAATAAAAAAGGCTACAGCACTGCAGGTTCCCAAGTTGTCTCCAACCTCAGTACTGATGCAGCTCGACGATGCTTAACTTCTCAAATCGGACGGGATGAGATGCATTCATCGTGATATGGCCGTAGCCATTATTTATCGTTTATCCATTGCTTTCACTTTGTATCAGCATTTCGAAGTGTGTATACTTTTAAAAAACGATAATTTGTTGTGTGATCAATTCTTTCAATTTGACATCTATCAATTCTGCGTCTCCAATATCATTGCCATAAATATTTAACTTGGAAAGCTTTGGCAAATGAAACGGATCTCTGAAACGTTGTTTTGAAATTTCCAACACTCCTTCTTGTCCAACGCGCGCAAAACCTAACTCTAAATGTGTTAATTTCAAAAAATTACGAGGACTCGAAGCAAGAGCCTTACATCCCTCATTTCCGACCTGATTATTGGATAAACTGAGTCGGACCAAATTGACCAAGTAATTGCTAGTGGCGAGATGTTGGACTCCTTCAGGGGTAATGTTGTTGGTTTTCAAGGACAAGTTCTTCAGCCTATTGAGATTTGGACAACAAGCTAGGATTCTTACACCTTCATCATCAATGTGATTGCCTTCCAAATTCAAATTTTGTAAATGGTTGAGGAAATGTTGTCCAGTAGAAACCAGTAATTGTACACCCTCACTCGCAATATGATTGAAATTTAACTTTAAATCAGTGAGATTGACTAATCGAGACGATTTGCAATTCAACAAGTGGTCCATACCCTCTGGTCCAATTTTACATGCCATCAATAGAAGAGTCTGTACATTGGTCATGTTTTCGCTGAGTGAGAGCAACATGACACCTCTCGATTCAATATTGCACTGGCTCAAATTCAAAAATTTTAACGACTTGAGATCGGAACTGTTTGAGATGCATTGGGCACCCTCACTTCCAATGCTATTGGAATAAAAACTCAGTCGTGTCAAGTGTCGAAGATTACCATTGTTGAAAGCATTGGACAGGTGCTGCATATCATTCGAATTAAGATTATTGTTACCAAGATTTAGACTGGTTAATTTCTTGATGTGAGGGCTTGTTAAAATTGCTTCAACTTGTTGTTGACTCAATTTATTCTCACCCAAGTCCAACTTTGTTAAATTCTTGAGTAGAAGGCAATTTGAAAGCAAAGGAATGCGATCTTTATGTTGCCACCCAAACAAATCCAAATTTAAAGGAATTTGCAACGACTGGGTCAACCATTGCTTGGAAATTCTCATACACGTTCTTGCCACAGTGATGGAATCCAAATATTGTAAAATTACAGAAATGATGTCATTCGGAAATACATCCTCTTCTGTAAACAAGAGATTGCTTGATTTTGTGGAGAGGATGTGATTGAGTTCCTCTTGCAGCATTTTTTTATGAGTGACAACATTGTGACAACAAACAGTTCCAAGTTCATCGTGCTGATCGAAACAACAACAGAAAAGAGACTCGATTAACAATGGGTAATCAAATATCCACTGGTGCATGCAATGCTGCCAATTTCTATCTGATTTTGGCGAATCAATCATCTTCCTCGAGTCGACCCCTTCTTCCTCCTGCTTCCAGTCTCACTTTTGAAGGAGTGATGAAGACATACTTTTACAAGACCGGAATGAATCAAACAAACAAATTGTTGGAGGCCAATTATTCTGTGGCCTTTGATCAAAAACCATCATGGCTATCTCCAAACCAAGTCCCACCAGCATCTCAAGAAATGCATTTGGCTGTCGGATTACATAGCAGTGAGGACGGAAAGAATGAAAGAAATGACTTGAATTTAGTGGTAGGTTTTCATTGTTGCGATTCATTGAGGTCATGATGTACATACAAGGTGGTTGTAGACATTTCTGGATCCATGAGTAGTGGCTTTGATGAAACCTCTTCCACAAAGGTCTCAGAATCGTCCGAAAGAAGAAACAAGCTGCAAGTGGCTGCCGAGGTGTTGTGTCAAATTATTGACTCGTTACAAGAACACGAAAGAATAGGAGTGGTTCTTTTCGATGATAAGGCTGAAATCTTACAACCACTCACTCTGTGTTCACAACTTTCTCGTGACATTTTGAAGAAGAAGATTTGTGAATTGAGGCCAAGAGGAGGAACCAATTGGGATATTGGAATGGCCGCTGCTATTGATTTATTTTCTTGTTTGGATATGTTTCGAGAGGATGATGAAAGAGCTGCTTTCCAACCTCAGCATTCGAATCGAATTGTTTTCCTTACCGATGCTTGTCCCAACATTGGAGGACCTGAGAGTATTGACGTTTTGGCGAAAAGGGCTAACATTGGTCCTTACAAAATTTATACTACCTACATTGGAGTTGGCTTAGATTTTAACTCTGAAATTGTTCATGAGTTGACAAAAATCAGAGGAAGTAATTATTTCTCAGCCCATTCCTCAGACGAATTTAAAAAGATCCTTAATGATGATTTTAATTATCTTGTCACACCATTATGTTTTGATGTCAAGCTCCGAATGGAGAGTGAGGATTTGGAAATTGAGAAAGTATTTGGAACTCCATTCTCTGATCAGTGCAGAGGAGAATTAATGAAATTTGAAACTTGTAGTGCAGGACCGAAAGATGAAGAGAAAGGAGTGAATGGAGGAATTGTATTAATTCGAGCAAAACCAAAGCATGGTAGCTTCAGTAATCTCAACAAGGATGTTCATGTTGAATTTATTTTGGAATATGAAACTTTGGACGGAAAGAAAATAGTTGAGAAGAAGCCATTAATCATTTCCAAACAAGAACTGGAGGAACCAAAGTGTGAAAATTATTATGAAAATTCAGGAGTAAGAAAGGCAATTTTTTTGGTGAGATATGTCGAATTGGTTCGAGATTTACTGTCACACTATAAATCTTCTTCGTCCAAGGTGACAATTCCAGACTCTTGGATTGAAAAATTGAAACAATTACAAGAATATTATGAGAAGGAGAGCCTGATTCTTGCAGATGAAAATCTTGAGGAGGTTGGAACGGCCATCCCAAATTTAATTTCGATTGTTGAAAAGATGAATGATTGAACTCTATATTCTGCAACTTTCCCTTCATGAATGTTTCAGACCGATTACATATTTCTACAACAAATCAATACAATGCTTGTGCAAACAAATATTTATGAAAATAATATGGTATTCAATTGGTTTGAAATCTAATTGGACATGCTCATAAGGGTCGACCTTTTTTAGGTGTCACTTCCAAGAATCCACCCGCGTTTAACGGTCATATCAAAAAAAAAACGAAAATTGGAAACATCAAGTGACCTGCTATCACACTCATGATGATGAATTTATCATTGCCTTTGGAGAAAACCAGAGAAACCAATCCCTTGTTTCATCAAACCGATAATCACAACAACCACAAGGATTCTCTTCAAAACATTCTCCGAGGTGTGATTAGTACAGCTCCGAGAATTTCCATCGACTACAGTCAAGATCCTTTCACGACTCGACACTCGAGACAATTTCATACCGATGATTCTTTACATTTATATCATAAAATTGAAATTACGTACTTGTCATCATTGAGAAGAAATGGATTTAATCCGAGCTATCCCTCACATTTATTATCGGAAACGATGGTTTCCAAGAAAGATTATTCCAAATTTATTAAAACTCTCACAGATATCTATTTTATGAGATTGAGTTGGAAAGTGAAAATGATTATTGCTGGAATTTGGTTGAGCCTTTCATTATTGGCTTTAATTATTAATTTAGGAGTTGGATTGGGAATTTTGTTAAATCGAAAGGATGATAAGGAAATACCGTATTGGGCAGTATGTGTACCTGCTATTGGACTTTCTCTGATCATTGCACTGATTATTGGATTTATTTTGTTGATCAAGTATTTGTATCATATTATGACACGAATGCAACAATTACATCAATTTATTGACTCCAATAGAGATGATTTCTTAAAAATTGGAATTGAATTGAATATTGTCAAAGATAACAGAAATGGAGTGTATATTGACATGCAGAAAATTACAAATGAAAGAGAGGATCGTCTCATTAGAATGTTTAATAACAAGTCTATTTCAAAAAAGTCAGGCACTACTCCACTCAATGTGACAGTAACAGAACCAACGGATAATACCTCCCAAGACTCCGTGCAACATCATTCTCCTTTTTACTCTAAATCTCCAAAATCTCCTTACATGCAGCTTGAATAGATAGGGTTTGTGACTCACGTGAGTGAGAAACCATTTTTTGAATGAGTGAACAATGTGCGAAACGTTGAAAGCAACTAGATGTATTAAGGTGACGATGAATGTATGAAAAGAAATAATGATTACATCTATTTGCCATTGAGTCAGCACTTACATGTTGTTGCATGTAAGCTGAAAAGGCAACGCCAACAAAAAATCTCAATTGGACCTTTTTCCATCAAAGAGTAATAGTCGAACTACCACGTCTCAGATTCAATTTGAAAATGACCTAAGCACGTTTGATCTACCACTAGTGATACCAAAAATTTGGTACTGAGAGTGGCTCCCTCTACGTTATTGTAAAGTCACGATACAGAGCTGAGTCAGCCTTTTTTTTGATTGGTTATTTGGACTTCTCCCAAAAAAATTCGTGTCTTGACCAGATAACAACAAAAATTTCAAGGAGTGACAACGATACGAATTACATTCTTCCAACAACAAAAAAAAACAGTAAACAACCATCAAGAATATTCTAAGAACAAGAATATGGCAAGAACAAAAACCACTGCTAGAAAGTCATTCTATGGAACAACAGGAGGCAAAGCTCCAAGAAAAAGTATTGCTAACAAGATTGCCAAGTAAGTAAATGCATTTCAAACTGCTTTGAATATTCAATACTAACTACTTCATGTTGTTATCAGAAAAACCTCTGCCAAACAACCATCCACTGGAGGTCTGAAGAAGCCACACAGATACAAGCCAGGTACAGTGGCATTGAGAGAGATTAGAAAGTATCAAAAGAGTACCGAATTGCTCATCAGAAAACTACCATTCCAAAGATTGGTCAGAGAAATTGCACAAGACTATAAATCAGACTTGAGATTCCAATCGAATGCAGTGTTGGCTTTGCAGGAAGCAAGTGAAGCTTATTTGGTCTCTCTATTTGAAGATACGAACTTGTGCGCTATTCATGGTAAACGTATAACCATCATGCCAAAAGACATGTCATTGGCCATGAGAATTAGAGGAGAGTCTAAGCAAAAGTAGTATCCTTGCCAACATCAAAGAATCTAAATATGATACTGTGTTTAATTACAAGTTAAAATATTTATTAGAAAAATAAATTAAGTTCAAATCTTGATATTCATCCATTTCACTTGGCTAAACGCTGATGAATACTAAAAATCTATCTAAATTCCTTGGCGAAACGATGCACTTGCTCTACTTGATATCGTGTTTGAGGTGCAGGAAAGCCTCTTGGATCCTCACGAGAGTCATGCGACAAAGCCACTCGCAACAACACTTCGTTCACACTCAAATGAGGGAAAAGTTTGGTCATGAGAATGGATCCAATAGTACCTGTTGTGGTTGTCATTGAGGTCAATATATTTAAATCTCAATTCTCACACATTAGGGTCGAGGACTTACCTGTTCTTCCGTGCCCACCAAAACAGTGAATAAGAACCACTTGATTCTTATTTTGAACTCTGTCCACAAGATCGTTTGTAAATTCATGAACTATTATTCACCATTTGAAAAATGTGTCGATCAATGTTAAGAATTAGTTTCACTTACCCTTCTCATCCGTTTGCACACCCATGTCTGGAATTGGAAAATTCAAAAATTCAAAATGATCAGTTGAAATGCCCATTTTCTGAGCTTCTTCAATGACAAGATCTTTGTACGGACGAAATCTTTTCATTTCATCTGGTTCTTGTAATGAAACAAAAGTTCGGACCTTGTCCATCTCTAAAAAGTTTCTTATTTTCTGTCGAGCGGTATCCAATAACATGTCTCCTGGATACGAACTCATAACAATATGACCAGGTAAAAGCCAATTACTAAATTGTTTGGACCATGGGTTCATGTTCAATAAATTGGATATTGTAAATCATTCATGCGGTAAATTCCGAAATTGATTGATCAAATAATCATTCATTTCAATCGTTAATAATTAAAATTCAGAAATCGCCACAGTTTGTGTCATTCCAATATGTAATGACCATATGGAATAATCAATGTCCGCATACCTTGTTTTAGTGCTTCCTTTATGCAATTCCACAAATTCCGGAGGTATCATTGATTTATCAAACATGAAAGGATATTTGACATAGTAAGACAAGCCAACAGAGCGGGTTGCTGGATGGATTTGGTCGCCAACTCCTGTCGCTGGGCTCTCTATTGACAGAACAGTGAACTTGGAAGCTTCAATTTCAAGATTTTTCTTTGCCAGCGTTAAGCCGGTTCTCTACAGAAACTTTTTTTTTTTCGAGGGACATAAATCGTGTCCCTGAAGCCCGGAGTTCACTTTCGCTGGCCAGTCTTGCTATGTAGAGACTGAAAGCAATTCTGGTGGCAGATGGGCTAACTTGGAAGCGAGAGGTGGTAATGAGCTACTTGAGGACATTTTTTTTATAAATGGATTTTGTAAACTAATGTGTAATAATAACCTCGCACTGCCGGGCTGTTTGTGTTTGCTGCAACTATCAATTGAACCTGCCTTCATTCAACCCTGATTTGTCATTACTACAAGCAGCAGAAAGAAGGGACATGACTCCTTTACCAAATTTTTAAAGTGTTACTAGTTTCAAATTCCAAATAGAACATGATTCGGAAATTTCCATCCACAAATCCTTTACATAAAATTCTTCTCTTATGTGTCAGCTGCTTTCTAAGGCGTTCGTTGATCTGCCTGTTACGCTTCTCTCCTTTTCTGCTCACTCCCTTCTCCTTGTCAATCTAGTTTTAAAAAATCTTGTTTAAAATTTTTTTCGAATCTAAAAAATATCTTCAAACCCATCACTCTCTCATCATGCTGAGCCGATATTCATCAGCCTTGATGGTTACTCTGTTCTTGGCTGTTGTGTGTTTGGTAACAAGCACATTGGCCCAGAATGTAATCCCATTCACCAATATTGGTGTTGCTGTGCCAGCAACATTGACCGAGAAGGGCTGGGCTTATTATAGCGTAAATCCATCCTTGTTTTCAAATTTGAATGATACAGATTTTGTTTCTTTTATGCTTACATCATTGAGTGGTGATGCCGATCTCCATGTGAGTATTGTTGGCCTTCCAGATGGCCCTGATTGTACAAATTGTATCTTTTCGTCGGAAACTCCATTCAGCGAGGTTCAAACAATCAGCAAGGGAGACACATCCAAATGGCCAACCGGCACCAACCTTTTCTACATTGGCATTTATGGTTACACACAGGCTGAAGTTGTTTTCAACGTGTGGAGCTCTCAATGTAAGTGATCATACCATGGTTTTGTTATTCGAGGGAATCATTTTAATTTTCTTTGCATATAATCCTCTCGGACGTTGATTTTCACAAATAATATTTGTTGATCATACTCTACAATGAATATTCGAACATCGAAATAATTGATTTCACACAACATCATCACAGCTATCGTACAACTTACAGAAGGTCAGCCACAACAAGCCAGTACAGAAAGAGGAACTTACACGTACTTTAGATACGACTTGCAAAGAAGTGCCAAGACAAACATCACTATTTCAGTCACTCCTGTTGATGGTGATCCAGATATTTATGTCTCTACAAAGACTGACAAGCCAACTAGAAGCAATTACGAGTACAGCTCTGCCTTGTACGGATTTGATTTGATTAATATCAACCACGACCCAGAGACAACTCAAGGAGTCCTTTCATACTACATTGGTGTTTACTCTTATTCCAGCACTCACTACACAATTTTCATTAGAAATGAGCTTACTCCTGCCGTTCGTGTTGTGGAAGGCCATCCAATGTCTGATTTGGTCGAAGCAGGACAAATGATTTGTTTTGCCTACGAAAATCTTGTTCAACAACGTATTTTGGTCAGTCTTTCACCTTTGACATCTCGTGGAGACCCCGATCTTTATGTCAAATGGGGAGATTGCCCAACCTTGAACTCTTACGACATTGTCAGAAGAACAACTGGTAATGATGCTCTTGAAATTGAAAAGGCTGATAGCAAGGCTGGAAGAATTATGTTTATTGGTGCTTATGGCTTTGCAAGAGACACCAAATTCGAGCTCATGGTCACCACTGAGGAACATAATACCGTCCTTTCTGATGGTGTTGCTTTTGGATCAAGCCTTCTTGCCGGTGAAATTAATTACTACAAATATTCTCATGGAGATACAGACACAAGTGTTGTTGCCAATGTTAGAGTTTTGAGAGGTTCTGTTAAATTATATTCTGCTTTCCATGCAAGACCAAACCAAGACAAGTATGAACGTGTTGCTGAAATGGACGGAGGTTTGATTAACATGATGTTCCCTGCGCCAACCAAGCGTGCAAACTATTATTTCTCTGTTGTTGCTTCCGCAAATGCTGACTATACCATCACAGTCTCTTCTAATCAAGTACCTAGTGTTTTGAGAGATGGTGTTGACATGTTCTGGAATGTTGTTCCTCAATATTACTACAGACATTTTATCTTTGAAGCTGCCGACTTCAACACCAATGACGTCTCAATCACAGTTAACCCATGGATTGGAGATGTTGACATTTATGTTTCAACTGATGATACTTTCCCAACAAAGACGAACTATACTTGGATGAGTGACTCTTGGGGCGAAGACACTGTTCACATTCCTGCAAATGATCCAAAGGCCAACGGAAAGAATAGATTCCGTATTTCTGTTTATGGTTATCGTGAAACTAACTACTTCACTATTTTGGCTATGCAATCCAATACTACCATTGCTCTTGTTGATGACGAAACTGTTCCAGGAGCTGTTTCCGTGAGAGATTATGTGTTCTACTCGTACGATCTTGCTGCTCCTTCTACAATTTCTATTTCTCTCCACATCTCCAGTCCTAACTCTAGCGCCACTGTCTTCTACAGTAAAACAAATCCAAAACCAAACAGACAAGACCACGATGGAATGGCATTGTCATTGGGAGATGCTTTCTTGACTCTTGAGCAACAACCAAAGGGAACCATTTACCTTTCAGTTCATGGATGGAACAGTATTTCAGGACGCCCAATTCTTTACACACTCAACGTTAGAACCAGCTATCAGCATATCTATGCGAACGGTCAATCATATCTTGTTCATGTTGGACAAGGAAAGTACACTCAATTCAAGGCTTACATTGGTTCTCACATCAAGAACCTTGTGGCTTCTGCAACCCTTGTTTCTGGTAACACAAGAATGTATATTGCCACGGACAACTCTCCTGCCAACGATACTCATTTCAATTTCCAAAACACTGAATGGCCAGGTAACGCATTCCTCATTCAAAACTCCAACCCTAGCTTTAAGAGTGGATATTGGTTCTTTGGTGTTTATGGTAACGTTGACTCTGATTTCTATATCAGCTTGACTTCATACCCATATGTTGCTTGGATGTCTGAAGGTGTTCCAGTTCTTGGAAAGGCACCAACTGATGGTAGTCCACTCATTTACAGCTTCTGGATTCCATACACTGAAGACAAGCAAGATTATTCTTTCCACATTAGACAAATTTCTGGATACACTGACGTTTATGCTATCCAAGATTACACAGTCAACCCATCTGCTCAAAACTTTACCTTTGTCTCTTCAGGATCAGTAGACAGAACTTTGACTTTACCAAAGGACAAGATTACCTTCGGTAGAGCTGTGTACTTTGGCGTTTATGGAAAGCCTTCCGATGATGGCAGCTATCCAGTCTATGAGGTTAGCATTGCTACTGCTACTGCTCCAAAATTCCTTGGTCAGGATCAACCACAATCCCTTGTTGTTGCTAAAGGCGCTTACAATTACTATGAAACGTTGAACAGATATGCCTCAGACAAGGTTTCAGTTTATGTTGAGTCATGCAGTGTTTATCCTGCTCCAAATATTTATCTTTCTCACAAACATTTCAGACCAACCGATCAAACTAAAGACACTGTTGCTTCCACCGCCTCTGCTGATTATCCACACGATTATGTGCAAATTGCTTCTATGGATGCAGCTCCTGTTGATAAGTTCTTTATTGGTGTTGGAAATGCCAAGAGTGACAGTGTTGCCGATATTTATGTTACCACAGGTGACGATGCTAGACCTTCTGTACTCGACACCAAGATGGCTGGAGCTGATCTCACATCCAACGGTGAAACTGTTTTGGTTATACAACCTGCCAAACCATCATCCAAGCAAACTCCTGGAACTTTGTTGAGCTATGCTGTCTACACTGCTCCTATTGGACACACCCAAGATGAAAGTGCTTTGAACATGCAAACTGTTTGCGGTGTTAAGGCTAGCGGTAACTTGGTTACCAAGGTTGCTGTCGCTGATACCACTCAACAAGTAACTGCCAAATTTAAGGTGGACAGATCACAAAAGTACCTCGTCAACGTGCTTGCTCAAGACAACAATGGCCTTTCTGTTCCTTACAAGGCTGCTTATATCATTAATGGTCGCGTTGTTTATGAACCAATCGCTGATGGTGGAGTCAATGTTCCTGCTCTTGTCATTTCTCTCCTTCTCGTTTTCGTATTTTTGGCTGTTCTTGCTTACATTGGTGGTGGTATGGGATACAGATACAAGAAGGGACATAGAGGAATTGAGATGTTCCCTAACTATGAATTCTGGAAGATGGTATTCACATGTGGTCGTTCTTCATCCTACACCAGATTTGATGATGATCGAGTTAATACCTCTGGATTTGGATCAACCAACTCATCCAGACAAGAAAGCCAACCAATCACAAGTGGTGGCTATGGTTCTATTTAAGTGACATGTCACACCTTTTTATTTACTTTTTATTTATGTATAAATTTACTCTTAGTCTTTACTGTTGTGTGTTTATGTCGTTAAGTTTTAGCTCAAAAGGTAGAGGCTTGTGGTGTTTACAGGTCAAGCTTTCTTCTTACAGAACGCTCGTCGTCACCGTCGCCATTCGCAGCTTCTGCAACTTCTTCATCGTCAAACAAGCCAACTCCTCTTGTATTTGACTCGATTGGTTCTTCTCCAATGAACGAAGTGGGGGTAGCAATTCCAGATTCGTTGAAACTTCGTTTTTGTGTTGAATTTGAGAGTACAGACAAGTTGGAAGCAGGAGAAATTAAAATCTTGTTGTGAGCTTGAGGAGTTGAAGTTGCTTCTCCCATAACTTCATCGTTTGACAACATGCTACTGTTATTCACACTTCCAAAGGAGTCCCTTCCTCTCATTAGACTGTTTGGGCCAACAAGACTCATCACAGAATAAGACGAGAGTCCACTTGTATTTCCAGGACTATCTTCAAAATTTAAAACTTTTCCAATAATATTGGGATTGGCTGGAGGGCGCATCAATTCCCCTCCATACATTTTCGTGTGAGATTCGAAATCTCTCCTCTCTTGATCATCATGATTCATTGAGAGATGTTGATACGAGTCTGCTGCATGTTTTCGTTTGGGCACTGGGATTTGTGTTTTAGGTGTGGGTTGAACACCTCTTGTGAAATATGGATGTTTGAGAGCTTGTTGAGCTGTAATTCTCTTATTTGGATCAAATACTAATAATTTGCTAATCAAATCGATGGCATCTCTACTAGCTGCAGTGAAAAGTGCAGAAAAATCTGTTTTGGGAAATGGTTCAAATTCAATGTAGTTTGGAAGAAGTTTCACTCCAGGCCATTCTTCTTCTGAAGGTGTACCTAAACATGCAAATATTTTACCGAGTTGATCTATATCCGAGTCACCTGGAAATAAAGGAACACGAAGCATCAATTCTGCAAATATACAACCAACACTCCAAAGATCTACGCTTGGTCCATAGAGTTCTGCTCCAAATAAAAGCTCTGGAGCACGATACCATCTTGTCACACATTGTGGAGAGTATCTCTTGTCAGGGGATCCATATATTTTTGCAAGACCCTACATGATTTCATAATTACGTAATTTTTAAAATTCATGAAGGAACAAAAACAAATTAAATCCAATTCACAAGATTGTTTGAAATTTTGAATTAAGCCAAATGTTGGAAGTTTGATGAAGCACGAAAATGAAACCTACAAAGTCAGCTAGTTTCAATTCTATTTCGTTTGTTTGCTCATTTTTCCATAATAACAAATTGGATGGTTTCAAGTCACGATGCAAAACCCAGTGTCGATGGCAATGATCAACAGCTTCCAAAATCATTTTCATGTACTGTTTGATATCACATTCTTGTAGAATGATACTACTTTCTTTGATGACTTGTTCCAAATCTCCATGTCCGCAATATTCAAAAACAAGATTAATATTCTTCTTGTTTACAAATACATCCAATAAATTCAAAATGTTGCTGTGTTTGATTTCTTGGAGTGATTTCACTTCACGAATGGCAGAAAATGATACCCCTTCGTCAACGCCTCGTATAGAATCCGATGAAAGAACACCAAGTTTGATTTTCTTAATAGCTACTATTTGACTAGTTGTTAGATCTGTCGATTAATCCATAAAAAGAGAATAATGTTGTAATGTAAAAAAGATGATGGCAATGACGAAAAGAATAATATTTTCAATAAAATTGTATGGTATTACACAACGTTGTCCAATGTATCATTTAATTTGATCCATCATGATCATCATCAAACAAGACCGATCATCATCAATAATAATAATTACAAAATTCCAAGCAATACATCAACAAAATTAATACAAAAATTATCCATCATTCCCATACCTTTTGCTTTATACACTCTACCGAAAGTACCCTCTCCGATGAAACCCATCTTTTCATATCGCGTACTTCGTTGATTGGCCGCAAGCAAATAGTCTAACATTTTTTCTAAATAAAAAAGTGTTCAGGCGCGTAATATTAAAAAAAACTCAAAAAAAATTTCCAATTCCGCACTTGAAGGTTTTGGTTGAGAACAACAACATGTTGCCACAACAAGAGCATAAGCGTCATCATGATGATCAAAAAGTTATGGACAATCCTCTTAAAATAAGGACTGATAATAAGAATTATAACATCGATGGAAATAATGCAAAATCAATATCGGAGGAAGGAGCCTCGAAATTCTTACAGAACGAAAATAGATACCAGAACCCTTTTATAACACAATTGGTGGGACCACCATCTTTATATGATAAGCAATCATCCCAACAGAAAAGAAAATTTTCTAAAGAAAAGCACAGTGATGATTCACCAACAGAGTTGTCTTTCCGCTCATTGTCTGATTCGGAGGATCATGATGATGATGATAGTGATGGCTCCCACAGACCTCCTCCGGCATTTGCACCCTCTAAAAAGTATAGAAAAATCATCAGCTCTTCTCGCAGTCAAACTAACAATTCAGAAGCGAATATTAATACAAGCAATCCAATGATGTTTGCCAGTGGATATGACAGTGAAGACAACGAAGAGATGGAAGAAGAATATGAATCGATGGCCCCATACAGAACAACCACTCTGGCAACTCTTATCAAAGAATACCATCTTGAGGATTGGATTAAAAAGCATAGTATTTGTGAAAAGGCACCCAAGGACACTCTCGTTATTCACCTATTTATGACCAATAGACAAGTCATTTCAACTCTTCAAAAATTAAGATTACGACATGGATTGGAAATTGAGTTTGGATCTAATTTATTTTACAATGTTTGGGAGTTTTCACAACGAAGACTATTTTCTCAATTAATGTTAGGACTTTCCCCCAAATTATATATGGAAAATGTTAATCATTTGAAATCATATTCTGAAGCACAACCAGGCTCAAGACTTCTTAAAGAGGTAGTCGAGAATCACTTTACAAACAAATCGAGCGGTACCAACACCTCAGATTTAGAGAGGCTTAAAATTGTTGAAGATTTAGCTACCAATGAAGAGTTGAAACGAGTAGCCCAATTAGTCATTCAATCCAAACAGAAAAGAAAACTCAAACTTCTTACTTGTTGTATGATCGAGTGGAGCGAAGAAATGGACATAATGAGCACTGGAGAAATGTCTGGTATTTCGATTGGTAGCCTCAAAAGCATTAATTTCGAAAATGGTCATAACTTGGATCCACATTCTGACAATCTACAAATGCTATCAGCTACGATGATCAACACAGATACGAACAGCGATACTGAATCTGGACGTCATTTGAGATTTTCAGATGAAGATCCTTCAGACCCTGAAGTCAAACAATTAGCAGATCTTCGAAGCAATGAAAGAAGATACAAAAATGCTCTCTACAAAATTAATAGATGGAAGACCGAGGGAGCTTATTTAAGAAGAATACATATTGGGCCATGGGAAGATGCAGAAGGGTATACACGAAAAGGTATGTTGTTCAAATTTCGTCAACAACGTCATTGTTAACATTATTTGCAAACAGCTTCTTTCTCTCCAAACATGTTCTATGATGGACAATGCAGAATCAAGTGTGCTCCTTTATTGAAAAAGCTGTATTATCGATTCTTTAGCTATGTTCCTAAGTTCTTGAACATTGAACAAGTATTAGAGCTGTTATTGATAGAAAATAGTGAAAATTGCTCCTCATTACCACCCCAATACTCCAAGCTAGAAAAATACATATTTAGCGAGTTAGATAGATTTAAAGTCAGCTATTGCTTAAAAATGGAAATTTGTTTTGAAGATATTTGCGGTATTCACATTCAAAAAGTACCAAGCGGAAGTCGAAATTGGGCCCTACTGGTATTGAAATTGTGTAAAAAACCCAACTTTTATATACGAAGAATTATGTGTACAGACACGGAACAAAATCAAATAAGACAACGAACCATAGATTTTACTCAAGATCATGTCGCATCCAAATACGACACTCACTATATTATTGGAGATGAACGAGAGTTAAAACGAATGTTGGCAGTCATGATTGAGTCCGATAAGGACACAGGTAATATTGAGCGACTCTATCGTCAAGGTTTGTCAGATATTTCCTTCCCAACAAAGCCAGCATGGGAAGCTCCTGAAACAACACCAATCAACTCAAGTAGTACTACCGCTTCAACTAGCAATGATATTGCGTATCCTTTGAAATTGTCTCTTGAGCCAGGATTTACACTCAAAGAGGATGAGGAAGAGGAGCGACAAAACTCATTACACTATAGAATTGAAGATGGAATTTTGCCATTCAATATAACTGTTGCAAATTTAGACCAAGAAACAAGAAGAAAATATGAAAGAGTCCAATTGGACTTGTCTGATATCGAACATACAAATGCAACCTATTCGGCCGAAGTGTCTGACGAATGTTTTATTCAGTAGCTCGTTGAGAAAGATATTGTAGTTTAAGATATAGCACCAGTTTCGAAAGCTTTGTAGAATAGGAACACCATTATTGTCATTGAATTACGAGTTGTAGAAAGCACAACACATGTTTGACTTGGAAATATAACTTATCATGTTAACCTGATTTGATCGAACACTGAAGCCACTCTTGAAGAAGATCCAAAGATGTTGACCTATACAGAAGCGTTTTATGATTTTAAGGAAAACAGATCAACGATGCAACAAAATAAATGGCTTGATCCAACAGATTCGACCTCAGGGAACATTTCTAGGAAAAACCATGCTCTTGATTTCACTCCAAAGAAAACAAACGGAGGTCTTGGTTGTGAATGGGAAAGATGATGGATCTCAATTTTGCGAAATCTGGGTATGAAAGACTTGTGTTCTGGGATTAAGGCAACTTATGAGTCTAGATTGTTCGAATTTCCGAATACGAACGATTTTGGATGCTGTTTTGCTATGGCAGTTGAAAGGAACGCGACTGTTAGTATCTGACTTGTGACTTTATCCGTGTGTGTGGAAACCCGAGTTTGTTTAACAGACAAGCTTGATTATCACAAAAATAGGTTGACCACACACAACAATGACTCTCTCTGAAGCAACTCAACAACACGCACTCATTGAAGCCCTCTCAATGCATAGCAACTCATCAACCTGTTCTCACCAGTTATGGTTTCAACACTTTCCTTCCGAGATTATTCTTCATATCATTTCGTTTTTACATCCGGTTGAATTATTGACGACCATGAGTCATGTATGTCGTCACTGGAGAGGTGATATTGTGCGTCGAGTCTTCTTTTTTGAACAAAGAAAAGAGAATGATGGAAAGAGTACTTGTTGTGGTAACGACAATGCATGGAAATTCTCAAACGAATATCCACAATGGAAACGATATCAAGAGTTGAATCATTCATTCTTTCGACAATTGTTCTCTCATCCAACGAATAACCAGTTAATTACGAAATGGAATGATTTATTTCACAACTCCAATCATTTTGGAAGTTTGTTACAAAAATTCTATGTTAGAGATTATTTCCTGGTGATGTCTCAAAGATGTGTAACTATCATTTTCAAGAAGAATATGAACGCTAAGAGTTCCTGTTTGGATCAACCAGCACCGAATATAATACAAGAACTGCCTGTTGAGTCATGGTTAGACGAAGAATTGAATCACTATTGGCAAATTCTGATTCCTTACTTGTGTCTAAACCAAGAAATGAAACAAAAGAGTGAGAAGAATAATGAAAATGAAAATACAGAGGAAGGATTCTTTTGGAGACGACTGAGTGCACTAAAATCATTTCTAAAACGAAAATTATCCAATCGAGATGAAACTCAAGAAGCTCATGAAACTTCCATCCATCCTTTGTGTGAATTCTCTAAACAGCAAACTCGTACTCCCATCCATGTAAGAATGGTCGTGTATGGAAGCCATCAAGTCGGAAAAACTTCACTTGCCAATGCCATGATGAAGGACTCTCGAGTCGAACCATCAAAAACAGGTGCTCTTGGAATTTGTTTTGGTCGTAAAGTTTGCAAAATTGGAGAGGATCGTATTACCATGGATATGACACTTTTGGTTGCCAATCGAAAAACTTCTACTGCTCAGTAAGTTGTATATACTAAGATTAATTTCTAGAGAACTTGTAACAACCTTGACTGTTAAAAAAGCGTTTCAATAGAACCATGGCTCGATAAGGGTGCAACTTGTGTATTGATGCTTTTTGACATTACCAATCGAGATTCATACATGTATGCGACAGAACAATTACGAATGTTACAAAAAACAAAAACCACTGAAAGAATGGTAGAATGTCTACTCATTGGTACCAAGTCAGATCAGAGTTCAAAACGACAGATATCGAGTGAAGAAGCTCAACAATTTGCTTTTCATGAAATGGGTGGGTCGTTGTATTTGGAAATTACTAACATGAGTTTGAAGGATTCACAAGTTATCATGTGGTATTGTGCATTGTTGCATGTTAATAAATGAGAGGAGTGTTCCTTGGGAATTAAGCAACACATAATGGACAAGGGTTCAATTAATGTGTTGTTGATACTATGAAATGTACTTTCTAATTCGAGACCTTTAATGCTCATTCGTTCAAAAGCGCAATGCCATGACTCGAAGTAATAGTAAAATCTCAACCTCTGCCTCACTATTCTTTGATCTGAAAGTTTCTAATTGCGACTGCCATCTTGACTACGTAACTGTGTTGAGTATCGTCTTCCGTGAAACAGGATGACAACGATTTCCACGTTAGCTTAATATCACCCAATGGACATTCCACTCTCGATCTTATTGATTTTAGCAACTTATTTCGAGCTTTTTGTTTTTGCGTCAATTTTCTGATTCCTCTTCCGTCTTTTTGTTTTGACTTGGGTGTGACAATGTTGATTTTTCTGAACTTGCTGACAACAGATTCGTATCCACAATCACCAAGCATAACAGCACCTTCCATTGAAGTTTCGATTTCATCTTTCATGAGCGTCATAAAGGCACTGTCTTCAACTTTTGGACTATACGCTCCGTAGAGTTTTCGAATTCGTCCATTGGCATCCGAAAAACATGTGAACCGATTGGCAAAATGATCTTCTTTGTAGGAATATTCATCGCTTTTCTTAGAAGCATTCTCGGGTTGTGTTTTTTTGAAATCGGAGCTGTTGATCCATAAATTAATCTCAATCTTTTTTTCTGTTTTCCCCAACATTTGGGCTGCCTGATTCCAATCACTGCAGCTACCGAGGACAATTTGTGCATCACACCAATCCTGAATAGATTGTCTAATAATTTTGGTATTGTGTCTAATTGATTTTGCTGATATTTTCAAAAAAGATAAAACTTCAGACTCAATTTTGTGATAGCCAACCCCGAATAAATCATGATAAAGCGCAATAAGCAGACAATCGTTTTCAAAATTTTGATCTTTTGCTAATCCCCAAAGAGGCAATTTTTTCTTGTTGATTTCATCATTCAGTGTTTCCAACGTCTTTTTCGAGATTTTAGACAAAACCTTGTTCTGTAGCTCGTTCCTTTGCATTTTTTTATCGCTGGCCCCAACAGTAGAACCGCTACCAAGACACTGGTCTCAATTGAGACTCAAATGAAAACAATTTCCTTGATTTATAATAATATTATTACCCCAAAGACCTTAACAGTATCGTCAGGCGACAAGCAGTGCATAGTTGACCATGCATTGTAAAATCAAGCGGTTGGTGAGAAAAAACAAACCAAAAAAAAACATCATTATTCACTAGTACCATCTCGGTTCTCTGTACCCTCTCATCACTTTCGGAATTGATATCTCAACCGAATGCTAAATTTCTCTCGTCCCATTACAACAACAAGCAACGTTAATTACGAATCTGTATACTCTGTATTTAATCCTCCAGTTTTTCCGTTTAGAAAGCAATCTGTTAGAATCATTAATAGCAAGAATGGACTAGTAGAGGTGGGTATTGTATTCTTACTCATCATTCAATTTTTGATGAACTAAACCGCATGTCGCTTTATGAATTACTATTTGTTTATACAATTCCATCCTGACATCAATATTGAAAGTATGAAATTATTGCCAAGTTGGAAGGTGTAGAGACTCTTTTCAATAATGGAAAAAGAGAAGATGGTGCACCAAAAGACGATGTTGTAAAGAATGTTATTCATGAATTAGCTCGGTCATATCCGATCGAAAGCGAAGATGTTACAGTTGAAAGCTTTGCTCTTTACCTTGCCAAACATTTGTTGAAAGAATTTGAACAATTTGTAAATAGTGTTGCTTTAACTGTAGAAATGAGCGAGTGGCCTCATTTGGACAAGGACAATGAAAATGGTTTATTTAAGAACCAACCTGATTCCGTTAGATTTGGTAGGTTGTTGTGAAAACTGGCATTTGTTGACTCTTTTTCGATGAAATGCAAATAATGTCGAATGGACTCGAAAATTCTGACACACTCTAGCCCATCTCAATCAAACTAGAGGCCATGAACCCCAACTATGTAGCGGAATCAAGCTCTATGAAATTGCTGGTAATCAATCGTTGCAATTGAATTCATTGCAGAATGGTGCTGGCAAAATGCCACTTCAAGCTATCTGGAAGTATTCCAATGTTGACATGGATGAGTATCTCAAGCATGACCAAGGTGACGCTCATTCCACCCTTGATTTCAATGATATTTTCAAACAAGTGAAACATTGTATTGTTGATTGTATTGGTGATTTGGATATGAAAGGACACCACTCTCTAAATCTTCATCAAGTTTGCAACGTTATTTTGGAGAGAGTTCCTCGTGTTAAAAGTATTCATCTCTCTGCTCCCATGGCTAGAAACACTGAAACAGCAACAACCAGTAATAGCAGATATAGAAATGATGTATGTCAGACATTTAGTGAGGCATTTGTATCGAGAAATGTTACCTTGCCTCTTCACTATCTCCCTGCCCGTCATTTGGCTCACCATCATCATTGGGGAAATCATCTCCATCGCATGAATCGTGACTTTCATGTTGGCAGGCGTGACTTTGTCTCCAAATTGTAAACCTTTTTGTAAAATTCATATTTAAACGTGGATTTAACATCAAGTGCAAATATCATAAAGGTCACTTTGACTGTCTGTGCTGTCTTCTCGATGACAAGAGTCTTTTTCTCTGCTCAGCTTTCTTTTCTTGCGCCTTTTCCATTAAGGACAATGAGTTTCGCATGAGCTCTAGATTTTTCTTAACCTTAGCTTTCAGCTCCGGATCGACTGTTTGTTGGTAAGCCAAAACATCCTGTACGGCTCTAGAATTTTGTTCTGTACTTTTTCTTAGGTCTGAGATCAGCTTGACGCTCTTGTTGGTTAAAAACTTGGCGTATTGTTGGCTGAAATTAGGATTTTCCTGCAAGCGAGGTGACTTGCTTGCTGCTTTCATTTGCTCCTTCATGAACAAGGCGTTGGATAATGAATTGTGATTGTTGATGCTTGCGCTAATGGGATGTGTATTCAGTAGGCAATGTCCATGCGGATGACTGTGATGCAGGTTCGTTTTCATCTTGGTTGCTCGAATTCGCTTAGCCTCATCAATATCAAAAATTCCATTCAATAAATCATCCACATCAAGAATCTTGTTATTGTCTTGAACATAGGAGACTTGAGCAAGTTCTTGTCCAAGTCGATTCTGAGCATAACAATGCAAATGGGTTTCAAATTTGGGATCCTTCTTAATTTCCTTCTTTTTTTGTACAATACTATTATAACTTTCCATCGTTCTCATGCGAGAGCAATCAATTTCTCTCCTCAAATTACTCACGGCACTGTCCATGATATTCTTAGTTCTTCTCTTTGCACCCAACATACTGGTCTGAGAAACTTCCCTTAATAATGGTCCAGGTGCTAATTTTCCATTTCCTTTGCTCGGAGATACATTGCTATTCATTGTATTACTATTGGAGCCATTCATAATAGAAGAGGTTGCACTCAAAACAGAGGTTGAGGAAGGTTCCGTACTCAATGAATATCGATGAGAAGGAGATAAAAACATGGCTATGGAACTTGGCTCTCGGGAATTCTTACACCCATCATAGTTGCACACGGAAGAAGTGGTCGGACTCTGACTATTAGTACCTCCATTCTGATTGCTTTCTTTCGTGTTTATAGGAGAGAATGCAATTCTCGGAGAAGGACTCACTTGAAGGTCGGGCAGTGCTGCAAAACATTGTTTTTTCTTTTTTGGAGTGGAATTGAGGCTTTTGCAGGCACGAATGGAATTGTTGGGATCTTGTTCTTCTTCTTCACTAGCGAGTGGATTGGAAGGCGTGGAACCAGTCAGAGCGCATGTACCATTGATTTCAAGAAAACGAGGATTATGCTGTTGAGTGTTACGAGAGGATACAGGATGACACTTATGTGTCGCTCCTCCTCGGTCTGAAAGAGAACCGTTGGAATGATGATGAGACGGCATCATGATGACAAGACAGTCTTTGAGATATTTTGTTGAAGAAAACTCTCGTAATAATGGCATTTGACAGCTTAAGAAAATGTCTCTTCGGAGAGATAGGATGAGTTCAGTTTGTATTGAGAAAATGCTACGGATATCTCAACGGTACTGATTTAGCACAAATGACGTATGTTCATGAAAATTTCAAAGTAAGGTTCCAACAGCTGTCACATCTCAATAAATGATATGCTCAATGCCATGTTGTCATTCTTAATTTATAAAGAAATGCTTTTGAAAATCATGAATGCACTATATTTCTGTATTCAAAATTTGATCGTCAATATTGGAAAACAATGACGTACTTGTTGCTCCAGATGATGTTAAATTACTACTACTTCCTAGAATGGTGTCATCTTTTTGTTGAGATGTTGTTGTTTCCTCAGAGACGTCTTCTCCAGTTTCGCTGGATGCCCACCACGATGTTAAACCAAGACCAGGCTCATTCACTCTTCCAATGATAATCATTGGAGGTTTTTCCTCTGGTAGTTGAGGCTCCTCTTCACCTGTGGTCGTTGTAGCTGTTGTTGCTGGAGGAGGTTTGTTTCTCTCATCTACATGACGAGGAGGATTTGAATCTAGGGATGTGTTAAATGTTATGGAATTGACTCGGAATCGAATTTCTTGAGGATAGGCATATGGAAGGGCATTTTCCTCATAGACCCATTGCCATTGATTCGTTTCATCATCACTATTTTAAACGTATGTCATGCCATCACAAAATTAGCAATTATCATACCAAGTATAATTTAAATATTTTCAAAATTAATATATAGTAGACCATATGCATTTCATCACCAGTTTGTAAATGTTATAGAATATTATCACATCATCACACCACCAAAATGGACCACTTACAATCTAGAAGGCTCAGCCAATAAATAAGGAGGAATGTAGATGTCATTGAAAAATCCGATGGCAATTTTCAAGCCTTGTTCTGGATCTGAGCCCATAATTCTTCCTGTAATAATTTCTCCAATGAAAGGTTTAAATACGATTAATCGAAATGTAGTTTCTACAAAGCAATTTCCACGCTGATTTGGATAAATATGTGGATCTCCGATTGAAATAAAATCATATAAACAAATGCATAATCCCACATCGGGAAGAATCTTATTCGAATATTTCATATGAATCTCATCTTCCACAGCCGTGATGATGTCTTTATCGAATCGGTGTGGTTGTAAAATAACTGTGTCTTTCACGACCACAGTGACGAACATTTTTTTGTGAATTCAATTTCATTTTGCAAACACAATTATAACCACCTGTTCATGATTCTGTACCAATCAGAGTCGACTTGGTTTTATTGTATCATACAGACAGTGGACGATGTGGTGCCTGTATTCTTGGAATCTTGTTGTTTTTCAAGAGATACTCCAGGACTGTCCACTAGAAACGTTGCATACACAGGTCGATGGTCTGAAAATTTAGCCTGTGGAAAGCAATTGTAGTCAATCAATTCAATTTTCCCCTGCTTGGAAGGTTTAAACATTATTCTATCGGTCCATGCGGGTATTCTCTTTTTCTTACTCAAGTCGTATTGATTCGAATTCTTCTCGTACTTGTACGTGGGTGGAAATGAAATTTCACCCTCTGCAAAAAACCTTAAATCTGTGGATCCTTTCTTTCGTTCAATATTGAGTTGATCGTTTTGTAACAGTACTTGTAAATCGTTCATCTTTAAGACCTTATCTACAACGTTTCTATTTCCATTAATTCGATAATTTAAATCTCCCATGTAAAATACAAAATTATTCTTTTTGAAAATGTCAGGCCGCTCACTTCTTTTAAACAAGTGAAAATTTGTGTGTGATGTAGTGGAGGCAGATGGATTTACCTTGGTCTTGGATGGCTTGACCTTACCATCAAATTCAACTCCGCTTATTATTCGTTCAAAACTTTCATTTCTCTCCTTAACATTTTCCTGATGAGCAGGAAGATGGTTATTAATAAAAATGTACTTTCGATTTCCCATCTTGAAGGATATGGCAACACCACCCTTATTTCCTATTTGATTATATAGTCCCGTTGCCACGCTTGATACGGTCACATTGGATATTTGTGACAATAATTCCTTTCTTACAAAAATGATAATATGGATAGCTACAAGGGTATTACTTTCGAGTTGAACATATGAGTCTCCCATAACGTTATTTAGAGTTTTTTCCCATTTCGCCTTTGAATCTATAATGACAGAGGTTCCTATTGATCTCTCACATTCTTGAGTTCCAAAACAATAAATATGATACTTGTTGATGGGCACAAACGACGAAATGTATTCTTCATTCGGCGAGGACAACCCTTGCATGTTCCAAGTCATCATGAAAACTTTTAAATAATTCTTATGGCTCTTATGTACAAAATTCAAAAATCCATCGTCACTATTCGTGTCATGAGGATCAAAAACAATTCGATCTTCAGCATTATTTTCCAATTTAAGGAAGGAAAGATCTTCTTCTGAGAGAGGTCTTTCGTGTTGTTGAGAAGAGGCACCGCTCAATTTTCGAGAAGGTATAGATATTTGAATTAAATTTCCAGCAGTTGGAGATTCCAAATGATCATCATCACTGTCATCGTCAATAAATTGATTCTTTTCGAAAGAGTGTATTGGATTGTTATTAGTTGGTGATGAATTCTCTTGTTTGATACTAACGTTGGTAGTATTGACCTCTATTGAATTTCCTCCGGAGGATCGGGACTGAGTGAGGTGAGCACTCAGTTCAATCGCTTGCTCCAAGTTAGCTGAAATAGTTTGAGGGTAAGATGGATCAAGATTCTCATAATTTCGAGCGATCATTTTCTCGTTAATAGCCATTGAGGCCTCCATGTCTCGTTCCGATGCCATCGAGAGTGGCAATGGAACCACCGAATTATTGGAAGATGGCATTTTGTTTCAGTTGGTTCTTTTTTCTCAGAATAACTTGCGAAGAAAGAAAAACATTGTTTTAAGTGAGCGTAAGAGACGTCAAAATTTTGGCGGGTTTTTGAATTTCTTCTTTCTATCCGTTGTTGCTTCAATGATGAAATTGAGATATTACTTGGAAGATCGAAATGGGAGCGAGTTGGGAAAGGGAGTTGGATGGATTTATGTAGCAGGTTGCAGTATTCGTTGTGTTCTATCTAATTGTCGGTTGTGGTGTTCTGTATTGACAATTTTCTTCATAAAGTTTGTTTATTTACATCACCAAAAATCTGCCCAACTCCCATTTCAAATTGCTGGTTGTTCTTCGTTGACCAAGAAGCGAAACCTGATAAAATCGGAAGCAAAAAATATTACAAACTCTGTGTGGCGTTGGCTGGCTTCGTCCATCACAGCATCATCAGCGTCATCATCATCACAGCTCGGCAAACGTTTTTTCTCCTGCAACGTATACCACCACTTCTTGTCCTTTGCATCACTGATGCAGTTAAGAAAATGGGAGTTTGAAGTTTTGGGGATATTTTTGAGAAGCCTTGTTCTCCACCTCCCCTTTGCCAACTCGCTCCCATTTCGATCTTCCAAATAATAGATAATTTACAATGATGAGAAAAGAAACCAACGCTCAACAACAACACATTACTGATCTCATAACCAAGGATGAGAATTTCAAAAGGGAACTAATTGAGTTTATTCATTTGCCAAGGCAATTAGTCCGCAGGTTTGAAATACATCAATCTTTTCATGGTTACATCAATTGAATGACAACAGTGATCTCTTAGTGTATTTTAACAGCTAGGATGGGAGGTTTCTGCCGACCCTCTATTAAGCTTAAAGTGGTGGCATAATTGGAACAACTATCAAAATCTTACAGGTTTTTTCAATTTCTTCAACCACTCGCTTGTGGCAATATATTTAACACCTTCATTGCCAATTTCATTGCCACGCAGATTCAAAGAAGTCAAATTCTTCAAAGATTCACTTGTGGCAATATATTTGACGCCTTCACTGTCAATTATATTCTCAGACAGGTTCAAAGAAGTCAAATTCTTCAACGACTTGCTTGTGCTAATATATTTGACACCTTCATTGCCAACTTCATTGCTACGCAGATTCAAAGAAGTCAAACTCTTTAAGGATTCACTTGTGGCAATATATTTGACACCTTCATTGCCAACATCATTACCATCCAGATTCAAAGAAATCAAATTCCTCAAGGATTCACTTGAGGCAATATATTTGATACCACTACCAATTTCATTGTATATTAGATTCAAAGAAGTCAAATTCTTCAATGATTCACTTGTGGCAATATATTCAACACCTTCACTGCCAATGTTATTCCATCCCAGATTCAAATAAGTCAACTTCTTCAATGATTCACTTGTGGCAATATATTTAACACCTTCACTGCCAATGTCATTCCATCCCAGAACCAAAGAAACTAAATTCTTCAATGATTCACAAGTAGAAATATATTTGACACCTTCACTGTCAATTCTATTGTGTCTCATATCCAAAGAAGTCAAATTTTTCAATGATTCACTTGTAGATATATATTTAACACCTTCAATACCAATTCTATTCCATCCTAGATCCAAAGAAACCAAATTCTTTAAGTACTCGCTTGCAGAAATATAGCTAACACCTTCATTACCAATTTCATTGCCATGTAGATTCAAAGAACTTAAATTTTTCAAGCATTCACAATCAGCTAACAGTTTGATTGATTCACGAGTTTGTTTGAAGTGATTTGGTATGAATGATAATGAGAGAGGAATTTGAAATGATACTTGTCTCCATTGTTTTGAAATTTTCATACCAATTTGAATGATAAACAACGATTCAAGGAAATGAAGAATTTCAAAAATAATATCTTCAGCAAATGGTCCGTTGAAACTTGTCGGAGAGAAATCGCCTTTTTCAACATTATCATTGATTATTGTTGATGATGAATTTGCTTCAACAACACCAGTTTCAACGGAGGATGAGAGCTTTCTTTTTTTAAAGGCACAAACATCAGTCATTGGAAGAACCAACGTAACGCAATTTTTTTTAAAAATTCACAAACAAAATTGGCAAGAGGAACAATCATTGAGTGACACCGAAACTATTGGGCACAGCTTTCATCATTAGTTGCAAAGGACTTGAGAGGGCTGATTTAATACACTTCTATCACCAATGTGATAAGTGTTGGTGGGTTGTAGTGCATGAATTCATTTGGTGTTACTCATAAGGTCTGAATATTGTTCGTTTGCAAACAATTAAGAATACATTCAAGATCATTTTTGATTCCTTCCATGCTCATATATCTTTTTTTATGGGCTTTCGAAGAATTACAGAGAAAGAGCAACCATGGCCTTCTTCAACAATTCATCACATGTATCACCAAGCATATTTCTCCTTTTCAAATTATTGACCAAAAACTCTGGTTGTTGAGTTAGATGATAGTATATGTAATCTGAAGGTTTCATTTTGGATCCATTATTAATACTGAAGGACGCTCCTTTGCAATGAGTTCATAGAGCACAAAACCAAATCTATAAATGTCACAATGAAAACCAAGAGGCTTTGGTAATTTTCCAGTTGCTTCAGGTGGCATGTATATGCATGATCCAACTGGCTTGTCAGTAAAAATAAAAGGATTACTCAAAGGTAGAAAGCAGCTCATGTCAAAATCGATCAATTTCATACTCAAGTTTTCATAATTAAGAACCAAATTGTCAGGTGTTAAATCCAAGTGACAAACTCGAGCTAAATGAATCTGCTGAATGGCGTTACAAATCTTACAAATCTTAATTGATACCTCAAGAGTGTTTTCCAAACTCTTTGAAAGTGAAAGTCGTTGAGGTAGTTGTGAAAAATTCGTATCAGCATTCAACAATCGAGTGGAAGTTTCATTTCTTGCTGTTCGTGTTCATCACTGCTTGGCTGGTGTAATAAATTCATGTTGTGATCATGGTCCGCTGGTGATGATGAAATTTCATTATTATTTTTCTGCTGATCGATTAACAGATGATTGGTAACTAGCATCATCGCACATAACGTATGAGCAAGAACATTGAATGTTCTTGTTTGAGAAATCATTTTGTTGTTGTTATTACCAGTCCAATTATGAATGAGTTTCCACCATGACAAATCCATCATTAATTTCCATCATTACCGAAAGGCAAGGTACGCTGCTGGTGCTGTGATGAAAAAGCTTTTTAATTATGATGACATTTTTTAAGAGCGAACAGTTCAGTTCACTACAACAACACCAACACCACCAATGAAATCAAGAGAGAGGTAATTATTGGCATCATGAAACATGTTACAGCACCATTGACACTGGTATTTCTTGAGGAATGAGTTGGTGTAATAATTGAAGGACTCACATTCTCAGTGGTCAAGATGAATATTCCCGTACTTTTCACAGAGGCCACAGTGGTATCAACGTTCTCAGTAATCGTACAATCGGATGAAACCTCAAAGGTCTTGGTTGCTTCATTCCAAACTCTACAAACCATGGTATCGGTGGCTTGTAACAACGCTCTGGCATTGCTACTCTTTTTTACAGATAATATACTTGTGCTTTCCATCAACAATTTCAGCCAAACCATTCAGTGTTGCTGCATTGAGCTTGCGATTATAGCCGAGTATTCCCTGAGCAGCTAATCTAGTTGCAGGCATATCAGGAGCTAAGTTTTTGGTATATGATATTAACAATGAGTGGTAGATTTGTTTCAAATTGTCAATGTCGGTTTTGCTGAAAGCGTTTGCTTTTCTTGTTGTCATTCCAGCTTGATTTACACGAGTAAAGAGTGAATCTGCGGCTTGTTTGGCAATATCCAAAGTGCTTGATTCAGTATTGATGGTTCCAGAGGATGAAATTAGTGATGTAGTGTTCAAAAGTTTGGAAATCAAAGTCGAGGAAGTCGAGTCGTGAAGGTAAGCTGAACTACCACTTGCTGTGTTAATAATATCTATTTTAGCTGAGGCACTGTCACTCGTTTCTCCAGAAATAGCCACCTGTTCTTCTACATTTTCAAAATAAGCATTGATATATTGAGATCCAACATCTTTCGTTTGTCGAATAATGTTCGAATCATTGGTTTGAATCGTCTTGAGAAGATCCAAAGCAGCAGTGGCAGTTGATTGCGAGATGGTTCCTTGGGTGGTGGTATTGAGAAGAATGGATCGAGCTTCTTCAGCTGAGGGAGCTGTTACCACAACACTCGTTTCTACCGATGTTGATGCTAATTTCGAATCATAAACAACGGCCTTAATCCTCAACGTATTTCCACTTCCACTACCCACAGGTAATGGGGATGTAATGGATTTTCTCTCCGAGCGATCATTGAGTTGCTTCCAATCTCCAATCCACTGATCATAATAAAAGAATTGATAGGTGAGAGGTAAGTGAGGGTCACTAAAGCCATTAGAACAACCAATGTTGAAAAGGGTTTTGAGAGCTACACCACTGTTGGGACTAATTTCAAACACTCCCTTTGAGGGTGGTTGATTCAAAGTGAAGGTTAGGGAAGTACTACCTGTTCGTGTTGTACCATCGGTCACAGTCAATCGAATGGTGAAAGTACCTGTTAAGAGAGTTTTTGGAAGTTTCAAATAGCTCAGAGTGCACTCGATATCATCCAATGACAAATCATCACTTTCCCACAAATAAGTAGGCCGTGAGACACGATCAATGAACCTGGATAGAAGAACTAAATCTTTCGAAGGATCAACAGCAGTGATGTCAGCAGGTTGAGCTCTATCTGCTTGAGCTGTCACAGAAAAATAATAATCTCCCTCAATTGGAAGTACGGTATAACTTGGTCCAAATACTAAAATTCCATCTCTGAATTTGATGTCAACATTGGCAGCTGAAGATTTGGTCTCATCCATGGTGTAATTCCATCTGGTTAATCTTGGATTGCCATTGTGGCACAGTGGGAATCGAATGTGAGCATTGATTAACTCGAGAGAACCAATATTGACTGTTGGACTCAATCCTTCTTTCAGAGAAATTGTTGGCACAGCATTTCCAATGACATCAAACGAAATAGATTGTTTGGAGAATGTATTGAATGAACTTTGAACTGTTACTTCTACTGTATAGGTGCCTGTTTCAAGAAGTGAAGCATCAAAGGTCATAATCGAGTATTTCCATTGAGAAAAACGTTCATTGAGGAAATAAAGCATATCGCTCGAGGGAGCTGTTGACGCAGACCAAGAATATTGCAATTTTCTACCGTCCAATGTGGCCGAGGCTGAAGCATCCAATACTACTCGATCACATGACGACACAACATTCTTGTCAACAAAGAGAATGGCTGTAGGTTGTGCTGGAATAAATGAACCTGAAGCAACAGGAACGTCCACAGTTGGAGAAGAGTCACCTTTAGATGGATCCTGATAAAACGAAATAACATCTCCAGTGGTCACTGTTGCAAAGGCACCAAGTACAATTTCAAAGGTACCATCTGAAAGTAAATTGCAGTCAGCATCGTCACCACCAATCTTATCAAGACTATCATCGGTGATTAAACTCTTACACTCTATTTGTTTTCTGATTGAGGAATAGTAGGTTCCAACAAGTCTATCTCCATTCGCACTGAAAGTCAACACAGAAGGTAAATTAAACATGCAGCCAGAACCAGACCATGCACCTGAGCATGTGTCACACTTGGCACCAGTAAATCGTTGATAACATTCACAAGACCCATTCCTAGAGCAGACGCCATTCGAAGAGCAATTCAATGCAGAAGTACACAAAATGTCACAATTTTCTCCTACAAAACCAGGAGCACATTTCTCACAAAACCTGCCACCAAAATTACCAGAGCATGTGCACTCGTTATTTAGGCACTCTCCTCGATTGTTACAAGTGATAGCCTTGGAACAAAATTGATTCTCGCATTGAGGTCCATTGAAAGCAGGACTACAGGATGTACAATTTCTTCCATCGTTCCACCTTGGTTCACAGACACAGGTGTCTGGAGCTACACACCGACCATGACCTCCACAAACAGTTGAATTTCTTCACAGAGTGTCTCGTCCTTAATTATGATCAAAAACATTTTCATTTATCAATTATTGTTTCCCATCTTTTCCCTGTGGCAGCGGGTTAGATTGGTCCTTGTTAAAAATATTAGTTACCACTATTTGAAGGAAGTAATCAGCTCCTACTGTTGACCAAACCTATTTTAAAGCTTTGACACTTTTCGAATTGAAGATGAACAAAGATCAACTCTCTCATTTTCTCAACAACATCAAGAAGTTGTGGGAATTATAACAGAAACAACAAACCGTTCGCCCTTCTTCAGAGGCTCCTCGTATTTCAAATACCAGACCCATTGATCCAATCAATCCCAATCTGAGTCATTTTGTGGGTTATCCTCAACTAGTATATGTGTATGAAGGTTCCACTTGTGGTATTCCGATCTGTTGAAAATTTATCTGGCCCATGCAAGAAACTACTCGCTTGATGACTCTCACTACTCTGAACAGAAATTCCGAATAACTTGCTCCCTATTCTTTTCATACTGGTTGAGTCCTGATCTCTAATGTTGTACTTACTTCATTGAAGGCTTTGCATGGTGTTCCCTCCACATGCAACTACATAGTAAGCCTTAACAAAAAATGATAAAAACACCTTTAAAGAAAGCAGCACCAATTCAATACCATCTCAAACAAAAAAACGCAACATCAACTATGATCTTAAACTCTAACGAAACACTTGATCCCGAAAGTATTCAGGTTGAGGTTAGCGAACAAAGCCATTCGGAGCAAGAAAAACATGCGAAAAAGATGAGAGAACTAGAGTTACAGCAGAAGTATCTAGAAATGCAATACCAACAAAACGAAGAGCAAAGAAAGAAAGAAAGGCATGCTAAAGAGATGGCGCAGGTATGTATGAGTAGTTGTTTTTTAGATTTTTATTCAGTTGGCCAGTATATTACTTGCACTGAAATATTATCGTTTATGTGGGGTCTAGTATGGCCAAGTACATCTGCCAAAATCAGTCTACCTCCTTCTTCACGGGAGTTATATCTTGATAAGTGCGATATTGTTCATCCTCAACTTAAAAAGGTTCAATGAACCAGATTGTTTCTTGGTTCAATTACAAAAGAGAAAATAGGGTTGCTCCATCCAATAATGGCAAATAAGTTGTAAATAGTTGTGTTAAATGTAAGTTGTGCTCATTCTATTGTCCGATCTTGAAAACCTATTATTGCATGAAAACACCTTACTTAAACTCCCCCATCAAACAGGTCAGTTACAAGCATCATTCTCGAATGGGTACTTCACTCGCGAAGAGAATTCACACAACGTCATGGATTTTCAACGTTGATGGTGAAATATTTCGCTTCTGCATTTAAACTATTGCTTGATTGGGACATTGGTCTATTTAAATTCAGAACCGATTTATGTGAGTCCTTCTGTAAGTTCCGAATGGTGAAAAAGTTTAAGGATCATTTAGGAGGTCGTTATTCAGATGATTTCATTGTCTGTCTGCAAGTTCTCGTTGGTGGTGATTCATTCTCGTATAACTATAGTCCCTATTTTGAAATGGCCATGCAAAAAGCAGGTCTCAGTGACATTTACAAAATTAATATTTGGGAATTGTTGATCCAAAGAATTTCCAATGTTGCCAACAAGTAATTGGTCGAATTTGGATTTGGGTATGTGAAATGTCAAGCGTAGAGAGTGAGCATCGACAAAGTGTAACAGTAAAACATAATGGTACCAGGTGGAATGCATCACAATTGGGTAATGCTGTTCAAGATGATGACAAGTAGAATAATGTACACTATTATGAGGCATTGAGAATTATTCACCAAATCCTTGAGGTATCCGTAATGTTATGAGCGAAAATTCTAAAGAGATCGAAAGAATATTCATCATTGAGCGAATATTCATTTGCAGAAATACAGCTGTAACCAAAGGTTGTCATCTGTGTACGTTATGTTGTAATGATGGAATTTAGAGAAGTCTGACCTGACTCTCAAACAATGACACACAAATTAATCGATGCAAATGCTTGCATGACATAATTCATCATGTGAGTATCACACAAATTCACGACATGAAAATAGACACGAGGAGCCCGCGTATCCAATCCCATCAAAAATCTCGATTTCAAAAACTCGAGACACTGAGCAGAATCGTGCTCATTCCCAGTAAAGTCAGGAAAAAAGAGTGTAAATGGATAATGGGTCAATTTTTCTTTGAAATCATCTGATTTGGTGAGAAAGAGTACAAGACTTGCTTGAAAGTAATCACTCGACACGACTTGTTGTGCCACCGAGAATGCAATGTCTAAGAGATTCTTTCCAGAGGTGGAATCTAACATGTTGTAATCTGAGAGAGAGACAAAATATAAGACACTATCGACGGCACCTTGAAAAAGAGAAATAAATTTTCTTCGCTCACCTTCTTGTTCGTTGGGATCAATGAATTTGAATCGAATTCCATCGAACTCGGACGTATATTCAACAATGGACTTGAATTTGGATGGACTTGGCATTTTGATTTTCAAGAGATCGACTATGGAAGGTTTCCATGAGGGACGGCTCATCATACTTGCATACTCATCGTTCATGAAATGCATGATATTGTTCATATATCTCACATGATGAGCAGTAAATGTTAAAAATTCATCTTGGTGTTGTTTCAAATATTTCATGAAATTGGCAACACCTAAAGTTAAGTAACCTTGACGTTTTGATATTCGTAATTCAATCTCCAAATGTTCAAATTCGTTCGGAAAGGAAGTATGATACGTATGGTCGTTGTGAATTCGTAATTGTCGATAACAATATAATAAACATTTGACAAGATAGGCCATGACAAGTTTTCGCTGAGTATTTCCATCTCTTGAATCCAAATCATGACGTAACATTAACGATTTGAAAGTCTTCTTTCCAGAATTTGCCGAGCCTAAAATCAGCACGGATCGTCCTCGTTGTTTGAGAACTTGGTCTCTTTGCAAACATTGTTCAATGTGTTGATGTTTCTCGATTTGCATTCGTTTCATTTTTTTCATTCTTGTGTGAACTTTTGACATGAAGAGTAAATGATAGGAATTATGTCAGGGCATCTTGTAACACAATTTTGTTACCGACAAATTGTTTAACAGAAGGTTGTTGAAATGGATCCAATCAAAAAAAATGGGTCAATCATCTTCCACTTCTACCCCCTCGCCTGATCAATCCAAAGATGATGATGTAAAGACCGTTCATTTTGATTTATTCAATACGAGTGATGAAAGCTCCGAGGTCTCTAAACCGTATGATCTTTCTTCACAAGTTGTTGATTATTTTCCTGTGGACAAATTTGAGAATGATCAAGAGCTAAACAAGAAACGAGAATATTTATGGACATTTATGAATGTTTATTCGGGTTGTACCGACATTGCGAGTATTAACTTTAATGGACCACAAGATTTGGTGAATCTTGATAATTATGTGAGTTTTTGTGCTGCCAATGAGCTAAAAAGGCTGCGTGATGGTAAAGGCGTTGATTGCTATGATGATTTAGGCTTGAATGTTAGAAAACATAGATCTCCTAAAGAAATTGATGAGCTGATTGATGACTTGAATTATTGTCTGGAATCCAGTGCTCAGACGAAAGAAGAGCTGTCAAATTTATCAAATGCACGAATGAAATGGACTGAACCAAATACACTTGTTCAACTCATGCCTAAAATTGGACAATTATTGAAATCAAAGCAACTAACACGAGAACATGAAAATGAACCAAGTAATCTACTTGAAACGTATAGCTTTGAAAATAAGGACATGGACAAGAAAAAAGAAATTGCAAAGTATTTGAGTGACACCATCGCATTGAAGCAAACAAAAGCTTACGATGAATGTATGACCAAAGCAAAAGACTTACCAGATCATGAACATGTGACATATAATTGTGCTGCTGAAACTCTTAAATTAGGTTATTTAATGGGATCTGTTGCATGTAAGAAGCAATTATTAGATTGTATTTCCAGAGAAAATCAACCTTTTGGCTATAGTTTGACTGAAACTTCGGTGACCAATTTTATTCGTTGTGCTTCGGAAGTACCATGTTTTGCAGAGCTGGAAGCTATTTGGACTGAATCGAGGGCAGGCCAAACAAGACCGCAAACCCAAAAGTAGAATGGAAACTCACTACGCATTATCTTTCGCATTTGGTTAACAAGACGTCTTGTAATCTGGATTTTTAATTAATTTATTCATTTCTCAATGTTAACATTTGGGCAACAAGAGTTTTATCATCTTTGTGGCTTAATGAAGAAATGCTTAAACTGGTGGTACTCTGTCATCTTTGCTATTCTTGGTGACGTTATTCACATGATGATGATGCACAATATGAAGAGCAAAACTCTTCAATATTCTCCTTCCTTGTGCTAAAACTCTTGAACGCAAACAGGTGTTTTTGACAAAGTCGACTTTCACTTTCCTTCCCCACTCAAAACTGCCAAACTCAAAATTGCAAGTTACCAAAAAAATCTTAGAGAATCTATGTTCCATCATAACACTCAGGGTCTTGGATACAGCCAAAGATTCTCACTATAAGTATAAGCATTCGACTAGTACCATCAACTATTACTACTCGAATTCTTTTTTGAAGACCGGTGATAACACAACGCGCATCATCACCTTCTCTTTATTAGCCGATTTGTGTTGTGCAAGGGACGAACCTTGTTCTCTCACAACCATTTGTGTCTGTGGTGGAGTTCATTACAATTGTTTTTGGATATCGAACGCAAAATTGTCCAAGGAAGAAGCAAGCAGTCCAGCACCACCACCAACGCTCAAAAAATTGTGTTGTTACTTTATTTCCTCCATCAACATCTCTCAGAAGAGTTGATTTACTTGAGAGAGTTTTCCGTCAAGAGTTCCTACGCTAGTCCTTGCTCTGTTTCGGCCGTGAAGTAAAACACATCCTCAACCAAGAGAGATAGATTCATTTTGAACCCGAGAGAGAGAAGTATACTGAAGAACAACTCTCTGCTCTCTCTCTCATTCCCATTCCTAGAGTTCTTTTTTGAAAAAACCGCTGTTCCTGCTCTGACAACTTAAACTGCTTTTTTGTGATGAAATAATATTGTGTTCTGATCATCATCATTGCGCTTTCATCCTTTCATTGATTTCATCACTAAAAACAACAACAACAGTTGAAAACATCCTCGGAATTGTGTGTTATCTTTCGATTCGACAAGACCACTCACTCTTCCAATCATATACCCAACCACACAAGAGCAGTCCGATCGAATACCCAACCCATTCACAGCAAATACTGTTGAATCCTTGCCGTGGCATGAATTTCAATAACAATAACAATTCAACGACTACTCCTCTGGGTTCATCATTGCTTCATGTAGCTTCTACAAGTTTGTTTCACCCTAGCAGCAGCAACAAGAACAACACTATTAGCACTAACCAGATTGTTAATCAAAACAGCAACGTTTATCATTCGACCATGAACCCTTCTCTTTTCTCGTCCTCTCCGTCTCATGCACCTCCTCCTCCTCATCATCATCATATTATTTCAAATACTCATGGAGGAATGATGAATAATACATCGACCAATAGCCATCATCATCATCACCATTCCATCAACACTAGCAGCAACAACAACAACAACAACAACCTTGCAACCTCCACTCCTAACCCCACCACTCCGTATGGATCACAAGTAGGTCAATCCGGCTTTAATTTTCAATCACAAACAACCTCACCATTCTTGCATGCATCATCATCAACGCCAATTCCAACTGGGCCAAACAACCTGTTTCAATTTTCTTCGGGCAGTCATGCATTGAGATCTCAACCTTCGAACACGATGAGTTTTCAAACGCACTCAAATCATCCAACCACAACTTCAAGACTTTTGCAAGAATCGAGTTCTTCTCAAGATGATTTGTTCTCGGTGGACAAGTTCTTTAGACATTCAACTGTGGATCGAACCACAACGCCAATTCCAACATTTCAACAACAACAAATTTCAACAAATTCTGCTGCTTCCAGACCAACAACAATGGCAAGTTCGGGAGGACCACCAATGAACCCTAGCAACCACAACAACAACTTTTCGCCACCTCTTTCTTCTCAGTGGTCTCACAATTATGTTGCATCGTCAACAACATCTCCACGGCAGCCAACAAATCAAACATCGGACATGATGAACCATCATGGCATGATCATGGATCATCAGAGAAGAACAATGACCAGCAATTCTCAACTCGTGAACAATTCTCTTCTTCTTCCTTCACAGCCACATGCATCACAACCATCACAGCAGTTATCTTCTCACAACCTTTCTGTTGTAAATGAAGAAAAATCTCAGATTGGCGCCAATAAGAAGAGCAAAAAGAAGAATAACCAAACCTCAAGCAATCTCGAAATTGGGCAACAACCTTCTCAAGAAATTCATGAGCCAACATCGACTACAATGCCCAATCCATCTGCAAAACCAAAGAAACAAGTCGCCAAAGAGAGTAGTACTACTAGCAAAACTGTCTCATCTGTGAACAATCAAGGAAGTATTAAGGTCACTAGAAATATCAGTGCTGAACGTGTTGAAAATCCAACAGAACCTGTCGAGTTTCCAATTGATGGAGTTCTCTATGCCTACAATGTGGCAGATTGGACAGATAAGAATAGTTTTTATGACAAGATTGCTTACTCGTTTGGAACTCCATCGACTCAGAAAAAAGTGCATTGTGCTTATTTGAATTGTAAAGTTATGCATTACGAAAGAACATGCCAGGGAGTCTATTATTGCCCTCATACCGATGGTGACGACTCAGACCATTGTATTGTAAGACCATGTAGACTTCGATTTCACACCTGTCAAAAGCATAACAATACTACTCTCACAAAGAGTGGCAAATGTCCCTTCAAGTTACACTTTTATGTGCCGCTCGAAAAGGATGACAATCGAAGATTATTGCTCTGTATCGGTACTCACAACCATCCACTTCTATGTGAATCTGATGCAGCTGCCATGAATTCTGGTATCACTATGGGAGAAAAGAAATCAAAGATCAACAATGTCGCTTCGAGTGGTAGTAGCACTGTGATGATGCCATCCACACAGGACGGCTCTAGTACTTCTCAACGAAAAGTAGCACCTAAAAGAACTCGAAAGGAAAAACAACCTCAAACAAATTCTTCTAATACTGCTCATGCTTCTACGACTCATCAAAATTATCCACAACCAACTCAGAATACTCCTACGCAAGGAATGACAATGTCACAACCAAGTGGATACTCTTCTGTGAGTGGCAACACTAGTGGTCAGCAACCTTATTATTCGAGCTCAACAGCGAATTTAATGGAAGAACAAACTTCTCTTAATGGTTCCAATACACCGACGACGAATCATGCTTCTCATCATCACCCTCTCAATTCGTCCACGAACTCCAATGTTGCTGCCATGAGTCCTCCTCCAAGCGTAAAGACCTTAACTCGTTCAACTCCACCGAACATGTTGAGTGGCAGTGGTGGTCATCATCAGGGGCATCATGGTTCCAGTAATACTTATAGTGGGTCTTCAAAAATCATGTCGTCCTCAACGCCACCACTCCATGATCATACTCAACAATATAATACATCCCCAACGAATCCATCTTCACAACTTTTGGGGACTTGTCAAAAGTCAACCATGAACTCATTCGGTGGTAGTGGTGCTATGGGTGGTTCAGCTTCCAAGATTCCTCCTGCTGCGTCCTTGACAACGACGACCACAACACTCTTACAACCAAGTGATTATTTGCAGCATGTGGCCAAACCTCCTTCCTATTCACTCAATAATTACAATAAGGATGTTGATATTACAAGAAATCCACACAACTCGGTGCAATCCTCTCCAACAAGTTTCATGTCTGCTTCAAGTCCATCTCTGTATAGATTTTCTCCAAATTATCCATTGCCATCATCAAGTACGAGCTCTCCACATCATCACTACTCACCTCATCCTCCCAGAATTAATTCAAGTCCTTTATCGTTGACAAGCCCTTCTCCTCTGAGTGGCCTCTATCATCCATCTCCAACTTCACAATTTCCGCCACTGCCAACACAGAGCTCTCCTTCATTATTTTATGAACAAAACAACGCATATGGTGGCGTACGAAATCCGTCACCTCATGCGATTGTGTACAGAGGCGGCAATGAAGACATGGATGGCGTGAATGCTAGAAAACGAGAGCGATTGGATGGATCTTTTGACGCACAGAAGAAGGTCAAGACAGACTTTATCGATGAACCAACACCCAATATCAATCTGCCACCCATCATGTACCCAAGTTCTGATTTTTAAAACAAAGCTATATTCAATAATAAACTCATAACCCTTAATATAGTTCTAATACCTTAATGAACCCGCTTAGTTATGACAGACGTAACAAGCAACAAATTCAAATGAGCAAGGCAGTTTCTTTTAATTAAAAGAAAAAGAATCAAACATGACCTCGACTTCTCGTGTGCTTACAGGCTTGCATGTAGGATACGCTTCGTTAATAATGTTCTCAAACCTCTCATATTTGGAGACAAAGAACTTCCTTAATCGTGACCATACTTCCTTGTGGAGCACTTTGGGGCCTCTTTCCTCAATAGCTTTTGGAATTTTGTAGGAGGAGTCATCAATATTTTTCTGACCAATGTGCTTGTCCATTCTTTTGAAGATACTGTCAATACCTTTTTGCATGACTTGATGATCGTATTTCTTGATAAGTTCTTTGACCTTTGCCTTTGAATATTGTGTTTGATAAATAATATCTTCTTTTGAAGTGGTTTTGATACAGTCTTCTAAACCATCAATGAAATGAAATAAATATTCAAATTTAAAATTAATCATCCACAAAATATATCGTCGACAGGACTCTTCGAAGCGTTTCTTTGCAATTTCGTTGTGCTTGACCAATTCTTCATTTTGACTCAAATTTGGTCTCTTATTGAGAGAGTGATAGAAATACGAATAATTCTTCATTCTAAATGCGTCACTATGCTTCTCATTGGTTTGAGCTAGTTTTTCGATAGAATCAAACATGGCACTGATAATTTTCAGGTAATCAGTGGTAGCACTGGATCGAGCAACGCTCATGTCAGAAAAGTTTGTTAATATACTTTCAAATCGATCGTTAAAGTAGGAAAATTTGGCAATAAAAGGAACCACATGAATCTTCTTAATGGTGCATTTGAATTCCTGAATGGATTCAATTTGCTTGGTAATAAACTTTTGAATAATTTCTTGAATAAGACCTTTCACAAATATCAAAAATTCTGTAATGTAAGTACTCTTTCCATTGTACGTTCTGAACTGTCTCTCGGCTGCCAAACTCATTGACAAGGAGTAGAATCGGTCAGTATTTTTCTTCACATAGTTTGTTATGGATACAAGATCATCATTGATGTCCTTAAACATTCGCTCCATCATGATGTAAATTTCAGATCGTTGTACAATTTGATCAGTAGCAGATTTTGAAGCACCATTTTGAGCAGACTGAGAGGAAGTAGCCGTGTTGGTGTTAACATCGAGAGATGTCTTTCCTTCATTTGCATCATTATCTTCATCTCTTTGCGCATTTGATGTTGATTCAAAGGATGGATTAGTAATTTGAACTTCTTCAGTTGCGGTATTCATGATGAAAAATTTTGCAATGTGATTTTGTTCTTGGAACATGGTACTACAAATGGTGTTAAGGCAATAGGCATACAGGGTGTCGACACGTGACGAAATGTCTGATTGTTGTTCTTTCACATATTCAATGATTTCATCATCAAAGTCTTCTTCTCCATCTGAAAAGTCAATTTCAGTAGCCATGGTCATTTCATCGTCATCAATGGATAGAGTCGTTTTGGAAGAGTCTGTATTATTATTCGAAGTTTTTGCGGCTGGCATTCTAACAGATACTCTTTTTGCATGCTTGGTATCCTTAATGATCTTTTCGTTGAGCTGAGTGCTTTTGGTTCCCAGTAAAAATGTTTTTGTGACCTTATTTTCCTTATTGGATTTAATAACCTGTTTCGTGTCATGTATGAATAAGTGAATTTCTTTTCGATAGAGCGGTGCTACAGCCTTTGTGTATTTCAATAGCAGCATGTCGAGAGGTCTATCTAGCATTTTATCTTTCTTGATCTTTATCAGACTGAGAGAAAATTTACCGTGAGATTCTCGCATCTTTTGTTTCAGCATTTCAAGAAGTTGATGATCTTTAACGGCCTCTTGAGTTGAATGAACACATTCCATGAGAATAGAGTATTTGCTTAGGTCTCTGTGAATGGTGTCTTTGTGAAGCTACATGATGTGAGTGATAAATTTGAAAAAGAATGTGTAAACTCACTTACCTGAATGATATCTCGATGGTAGCTGTTGTAGTTGACTGACTTTAGGTCAATCACATATTTAAAGCTCTTTCCTGTCTGCTTGAACATTTGAGATGCCAATTTCTTAAAATATTTTCTCATGTACACCTTGTATCGATTTACAAAATTAAATCTCAAAATTTGGAAGTATTTGATTCGTTCTCTAAGTCATTGGAGGTTAACAAATTGGACATGTAGAGAGTAGTACTCACCTTACTGCTACCATGTCATCCATGCCATCTTGAAACTTTTCATTCAGAGAATCTTGTAATTTTTGAACAGCATCATTAATCTTGCTTATTTTCCCATCAAATTCATCATTTTGAATACTTTGAACATAGGAGTCATCGAATTCAAGAGTGTGCTATTCGAAAGTACAGGATAAATAACATTAGATTGCAGCTAGTGTCCAACACAACTTACAATTAATTGGTCAATCTCATCAGACAAACATTTGAGATTTCTCGCCTGTACCTCCATATTGTTGTTCTCAGATTCAATTTGAACAATATCTTTCTGCATGAGCATGAGTTTCTTGTTGTACCGTTCCAGCCAATCATTCATTTCTTCCAATTGCCCCTCCACATGATCTAGTTGACCTATAATACGTTCCCATTGTTCTTGTTTTTGTAAAATTGCGTGAATGTTTTCTCGTTCATAGATTGCAAGTCTTTGATTTAATTGGGAGGACACTAACTTGGCATCGCTCATATCTTCATTAAACTGTTCGAGAACCTTTCTCATAATTTTCTCCTCTTCCTCAGTGACCAAATCCTTCTGGGACACATCACCAATTTCGTCCTTGAACAAATTCTCATCATCATTTTCTTCCTCTTCCATTATATATTCCGAGAGCTCAGCCAAATTTACATTTTCAAGAACTGGCTCCGTTCCGAAATTCTCTCTACACACTTGCAGTAACTTGGATATAAAAATGTTTTTTTGCTCTGTTCCTTCACTAATAATTCTAAAAGGCTTTTGATGATTGGTAAAGTGGAGAATGAATTCAACATTACTCTCATCACAACCTTCAATTTTGGCCAATCGTTTCAATTTATATGTTTTGTCAATGTGAAAGGTTCCTTCTTTGTCTCTTTTAATCACCAAAAGATGTACTTTGAAACCCTTCTTCTTTTTAGAAGTAGTGATCATCTTCTTTTTAGTCGTTACGCAAACGATCCGATCCTCTAACACTCGTCCCTTCTTTTTATCCATCTGTACATGTTGAACGTTAATGACCGAAATTAATTGTTCTCCACTCGCTATGGCAAACAATTGTTGAATCAATTCCTTCCATAGCTCTTCATTCCGAATTGATAAATTATTATTGCTTGATGATGAAGACATTTTTTTGTGTTGATAAATGTTGCAAAGGATATCATTGATGGAAAATCCATATCATATTGCTGATGACATTAGATTCTTTTGAATTATCATATTTACAGGTCAATATTATGTTATCCTGTGTAAAAAAGGGTCAACAACAAATCTTTACAACAAAAAAATGTCTTCATCATCCACAGCAAACAACACCTCATCTGCTCCGCAAGTATCTTCTTCGGACGAAGGTACTACTACTTCTATGGTGCAAAGAATTTCTCAAACATTGATCAAGCCAACGTCCTTGGTGGTTGTTTCTATTGCTGCTCTGGGTGCGGCTTACTTTGTGTACAAGTCATTGAGAAAGACTAAAACAAGTTCAATCACTGGTGATGAATATAGTGATACTTCTTCTGATGAAGAGTCTGATGAGTCCGAGGAAATGGAGATGAGAGATTTTACTTTGGAAGAATTACACAAACATTCTAGTACCAGTCATAAACAATTTGTGAGTGTGATGGGTAAAGTTTATGACGTCACAGGAAGTGGCTTTTACGGACCAAACGAAGCTTATTCCATCTATGCCGGACATGAAATTGGCAAGGCTTTGGCATTGAATGATGTATCATCACAACATTTGGATCAATTTGATGTGAGCGATTTAACAACGCAACAAATGGAGCACTTAACTTCAATGATTGAACATTTTGAAATGAAATACATTTGTGTTGGTACTCTCAATGAATGGGCCCAACATTAATACGCTTTTTGCAACGATTTAATTTATTCCCAAGTATGGAATTAATATAGTTGAACAACAGTTTATTCAATTTGAACCTGTATTTTGTACATTCTTAAACAAATTCTATGAGTTTGTATCCCACAACTCCAGAGTTAAACAATGGATAGGCAAGAGGGGCTCAGCAGCTTGATATGTTTCTAAGCAGCCATGTATGTGCCTGTATGGAGCAAATATCTTCATCGTCATTCGTTGTATAGTGCATTTCATGTGTTCGCTCACACCAAAACGCTCTCACTGCTTCTTCGTTTAGTCTTCCAAGATAGAAATGGGTTGGTGCAGTTTTTAGCTCGATAGGTGACCGCTATTTCGATCCTTCTCTCCCAAAATGAAGATGCGATGTTTAAGTTTGTTAGCTCAGCTCGCTTTCTTTTGGAATTGCAAACAAAAAGGACACATCTGAACATCTTTAAATTTTTCAATCAAGACAGAAATTCCATGTGACACAAACTCGTTCGAAATTATAGACCATTGTCTCAGTCACAAATCAAGGTTCTAATTGAAATATCGCTCAATATTGGATTGTCCACTTTTTCTTTGAGTTTGTTGACAAAAAATTGTAAATGAAATTGTCTCACATGAAATGTTCTTTGATAAATAAACGCGTGCCATGGTCCTAGAGCTACCTCCTCGTTAAAATATTGTTTGGCGTGAACCCACAAGCTCGTAAATACAGTTTGATATTCTTCCTTAAATAGTGGAACTGTTCTCTCAGAATTTTCTATAAACGTGGAATACACTTCACCGAAAAATATCATGTCATTTCGTGTCGTGACACAAGTACAAGTAGATCCACAACAAATGGATAAAACGGGTGCTTTGAGTGGTATTTTGAAAAATTCTTCAAGATTCTCCACATCGTTGGGTGAGCATTGTCGGAAATTATTTAGCCCCTTCATAGATTACATGCCATGAATATCAGTGGTATATAAATATACACACATATTGCGTTGGGACATTTTCAAGACATACTAAAAACTACTACATACCCGAACAAAGACAAGTCCATTGTCAAGTAAGAGAGCCACATGTGCAAATCCTGTTTCAATGGCCACAATATTTCCGTCAGCTTCAAATCCTGTTGTGACGCGAGTCACTGTTTTTTCAGCACATGAATGAAATCCAAAAGTAGCACTACCATGGTGCCAAACGTACAACCAATTATTCGTAAGAACGAACAAGAATAGTGTGCGGCAATAGCATCTCATGAATTTGATGTTTGCCGGTTTTTCAGGAAATGCAATCTTTGTGAGCTTATCTTCATTGATGGTCCCATCCTCTTTGAGCCATGCAGAGTTCTTAGTTTCAAGAGCTACAATGTCATCCTGCCAAATGTCATTTACAAGAACGATAGACGACATGATTCCACTACCAATACACCAGGCATAGCTCTTGTGAGGAATAATAAATGGAAAAAGTTCAACCTTGCCCACGTCATACAAGTACAATTTTCCATCCATCATTTCAAAAAGAACGCAATTTGCATTGTTGCAAATAATTTGTTTCATTTCTCGTGAGTCTTGAAATGATGTTTGACATTGTGGTGCATTCACCTTGTTATTATTGATACCTTTGTGTTGTCCAATTTGAGTACACATTTCAAAATTAAAATGTTTTTCAATCATGCTCTGAAACAACCTCTTGAATGAAATCTTTTGGAATGCACTCGAGTTTTCACTGTCTGTGTGAGCTTGAAGAAAAAATTGATGTTCGTGTCCACTCAAAAACAAGAGGCTGTAGGGAATATATTCTCCTCCAGCACAAATATAGGAGATGTTCAGAGGATCATCATCTAAAGTTGAATGTTCTTCCATGTTGTTTTCTTCCTCTTCTCTGACATTATACTTTCGGATCGATGGTGGCTTGTATTCAAATTCTTCAAAACGATCGTCCACTGTGTGATTCTCATTCAGGCCTGACAATTGCCACTCTCCACAAAAGTGAATTCGACTCATTTTTTTGCTTTCTTGTTGTTGAATTCTTTCGTTGGCGCTTTGGCTCGTGTGTCCTTTTAATTTTGTAAAGTCAATTTATTGATCTTTGCCTCAAACAACTCATTGTTAATAAAAAGTTTTGTACCCTACTGTACTAACTGGTGCTAGTGTGTAGGTACGCCCCCATGAAGTTGTAACAACCCTGTTAATTTTTCTTCGTTTCGTTTGATCGGAGGTGTTAATTTGTTGCATGGTCGTGAAATCAATCTTGTAATTGTCCATAATGTGTACCTCTGATGCAGTTGGATCTTTCAAATACTTTCGATAAGCTATTTCAATTTTGTTGCTAATAAAAGGAGAGTACGCTTCATACGAATGTGTCGATAAATTCTTTTCCCAAGACCATGTTGCATGATAGGCGGTTTTGAATTGTCTTCTTCGTGTGAGAACTTGAGGTTTGACCTCTGTAGCGTAATCATAGGCGTCTCTATAGAAATTATCAATGATGGGGTTAAAGGAACCAACTCTCTGAGAACCAGGGTCCACAGTCACAAATTCAATCTTTTCTGTCAAACGAGATGCGTGCTCCGTGTCATGAATGCACTTCTCAATATCATTCAAAGCAAGCACGTAATAAGGCTTCCATATTCTGTTATTCTTCTTATTGAGCTGTGTAAAGAATTCAGAAGTATTCTTCAGTCGTTGATATTCTTGTTGCATGTCCCTATACTTGTTCACGTTGAGTGGTGATACTTCGTAATCAGAAGCTTTTTCTCGGTCCACTTGACGTAATAACTTCAATTGTTGTACCTTCTCGTAATCGCGACGTGATTCAAAATCGGAGAGTAAATAATTGATATGCGTCGTTCGATTGGCACTATCAATTATGATAAGTTTGGCTAAACCTCTCACTTGAATGTATTTCGATCGATATCGGCGAGGATAGGTCACAAGATGATTTTTCACAAGGGATGGATCATAACCAGGTATTGTGACTGAAAATCCATGTTTTGCATACTATTGAATGATTATTAATTCTTGCTCATGTCCACAATAGTATCCGTACTTACCTTATAGAGTCTGTATTCATATGTAGTGGACATTCTGTCAGGATCAATTAAATTAGTCTTCAACGCGAGAGCTCTTCTGCTACGTGCATTGGACCAAACTTGATTACCATCAAACCCAAGACTGTTGAGGTGGTTAAAAACATGATTGTTTTGGTATCATGGTCATATCGAGCTAACTGAGTACTTACCATGCAGCACAAATGTCAAATCCCAATAAAATTTCAGCAGGGGATTTATAAATTCTCAAAATGACTTGAATCGCTCTGTTGTGTTGTGTGTGGAAGGTAACTGCAAACTTGGAACGAGCAACTAAAACGTTGCCTCTAGAACAGTTCTGCTTAATCACTTGATAAATATGTCTTAATTTGTCTTCTGCTTGTTCTGGAGTCAATCCATAGAGGAATAAATCAATATCGGATGAGGAAAAAGAAGATGGAGCGTTTGAGACTTGGTGTGAGGTACTCATTCCATTATTTCCCACACCTGTGGTCAATGAAGTTGATACTCCAAATATAATAGCACCAGTTCCTGGTATGGTGGTCGAAGATATTGTAGTAGGAACCGTAGAAAGAGGTGTAAAATTGAATCCAGCAGCAAAACTGGGAAGAGTAGGCATTGGCAATGTTGAGGTTGCCATAATGGGCATGCCTGCACTGAATCCCGTGGTCATATTCAATGAGGACGGTGTATTACTGAAGGAAGAAGAGATGGAATTCCCAAATACAGATGATGCATGCATCATTCTCGTCGAACCCGTAGAGGAACGTCTGTTTGCAAAGTTGGCATCTGAATATTCCCAGTTATAATCAAAGGACATCAGTTTGTCTCGTTCAATTTTCTCAGTTTCGTCTTTCAATGTGGAATTGTGCAAGGGCTCAGAAGTCTGTTCATCAAAACCTTCTTCTTCATCGTCACTATCACTCTTTGAACGAAGAGTTGGGTTTTCATTCGCAAAGTGATAATAATGTTTTTGCTTTGGTGGCATCTTTTGGCCATCCAAAATACATGCTAATACGCTCCCACCAGCAGCAAACACATTGTCATAATTAAGGCCCTGCAACAAACCGTTTGTAAAACCAGACCACGACTGTTTGAATGCTTCCAGTGACTCAACTACGACAGGTTCTGGGACAGGTCGTGTATAACAAGTTTCATCTGTGAATTGTAAGAGTTTTTTAGCGTCGGGTATTGCGTACTTGTTTTTAGCTTCTCCAGTCACTTGATGCATCATGGAGAAAAGGGGAGATAGTAACAAGTACTTGTCATCAAGAAGTGGATTATTTCTATCCTTGACATATAACTCTCTTAAAAAGTCTTCCTTCTCTTTCAGTTTGATATTCTCTTTTCCAATGGTTTCGATGGGGTATCTACAGGGGTCGAAATATTCTTCTAAAATTTTATGGAGTTGATAGAACTTGAGTTCATGTTTGAGTTGGCTCTTTCTTGTTTTGTCCATCACAGGAAAGTTGTTAAAAGTTCCGCTCATGAGATAACTATAAATCAATTGAAAGATAGCTGGGTTTCTATCCAAAAAAATGGTGCCCTTCTCTGTCAATGCAAAATTATCAGAATTAATATACTTGTACACAATGAATTGTGGATGTTCTTTAAACACTCTAAATGGAATGTTAAAAATTGTTCCTGAAATATCCAACTGCACATAAAGATCAGAGAGTTGTTCAACGCCCTCAACAAAGGAAACAAGTCGATGTTTCAATGCTTTGGATAATTCCTTCACTTGATTCACTGTGAGAGTTTTCATATCTTTTGTTTTCAATAGATAGTATTCTCGTTTTTCTTTCACAGAGTTTTCATAGTTTTTAAAGTGTTCTAACCATTCTGGAGGAACATTCTTTTCCAAACGCTGATTCACGACAAGCGACGTCTGTTGTTGTTGTGGTTGTGAGGGGATATTGAGATTTTCGCTCGTACTAGTACCGCTCAATTTCTTTTCCATTAACATGGTAATATAATTTGTCAGCTTTTCAGTCAAGAAATATTCTGATTCTTCCTTAATGCCCTTCAATGTTTCAAGGCTCAAATTTTCCAATCCCAAGCACTTTACACGGCCATTTTGACGTAAATGTTCTAACACATATTCGAAATGGTCTGGATTTCTGTCAAGAAAATTAATAGCCTTGATCCCTTCGTTGTTGGCAGAATCGTATTCGATTGAAAAGTTAGAAGAAAACATGACTTTAAACAAGTTGTCAAAATGTTTGTGTTGATTGCTGGTGGGAGTAGTAGAAGCATCTGCTACAGACGATGAGGTCATGTCATCGTCTGTTTTGGATGAAATTGGATCATTCAAAGATGGTGAGGAGTCCACAAGATGACCTTCGCCAATGAGCGTTTTCATGGTGGATCTAAAAAATCGTCCTCCCACGTTCAACACAACTAGTTCATCATGTTGCATGCGTTTAATTTGCAACATTTTCTTGATTTCCAAAGAATCACTTTCACGACTCGTGATTAAATTGGATAATGGGACACCATCATCATTTGCAGATGAAGGAACAGCATTCACTTGATGATCATCATTCAATGATAACTTTTTCATAAAGTTTTCAAGTGATTTTTCTAGTTGAAGCTCTGAAAGCTCACGAGTGATTTGTTCAATTAATTCTTCTTGTTGAGACTCTCGCTGTTCAAAGAATGATTTAATTTCGAGCTCTTGATCGGAATAGAGGTGATCGGATGATAATGTTGGAGGAGCGTTTCCAACAACAACGATATCCTCTCGTTTTCTCTTGTTGTTGGATGATTCGTGGCCAGACGCGGAAGGAGAGGGAATCATGTTACTGGAGATGATGATTTTTTCTTTTTCAAATTTCTTGATTGTGATGGAACCTGTAATCAAGTGCACCATTAGCTTTTGTAATTGATTTTAAACAACAAGCTAAGTCAATGAAGTGGTTTTGAATGTCAGATTGTTATTCGCAATATTGTGATTATGATGACAATCAATCATAATAAAAATGTCTTTGCTCGATTGGTGGAAGAAAGCATCCTCCCTTGTTCCGAAATCATCATCAAGCAACCGTTCAACAGGTGGTGCTCCTTCTTCTTCTGCTCTCACTCCCAACACTTCGACACAATCTTCAGTAGTGGATACAGCATCACCGAAACCACGTCAGCCTACTACCACCCAAAATTTACTCGTCCAAGTCTTTAGATATTATTATAGACAATATAAACCTACAGATCAAACACTCACCCGATGGAAATCTGGCAGTATCAAGTACATAATCAAGCCTGGAAGTATACTAGCAATTGGTGTGGTTGGTGTTTGGCTTTCCGATGTGGTTTATAGAAAGCTTAAAGTTGAAAAAGAGGCTCCATCAATATTTGGCAAGCAAGAAAAGATTACACCTCATACTTTAATTTATGAAACGGATTGGTTATTGACAGATTCAATGATTATTGATGAAGAAGATGAAAAACAACGAAAGCGAAATAGAAATGTCATTCGAGAATATTTCTTTGGATCGAAAAAAGAGGAGCAGACTCCAATTAACCTCAATGAGCAACAACATGGTCACATATTGAAAAAGTTTTATGCCAAGTGGGATTATTATCCAAATGTTGATATTCATTTACAGCAACAGCAAGAGAGACCTGTTGGCGATCGTGACAAAATTATTCATCATGTACATATTGAAAAATTTCACCCATACAGCAATATTCAAAATGGATATTGGTCTACTTTGCTTGAATATGCCATTATACACAATGCTGTTGAAAATGGATCAGTTTCTCTGAGGCTAGTTAAGGAGCAAAGAGAAACTTTTGCATCCTACGTTTGGAGAAAGTTGTTTACAAATCGAGAATTTGAAACTTGGAGGAACACCAAATATTGGTTGCACAAACCATGGAATTTAAACGAAATTCATCTTGATTTGCAACAGGATGCAGAAGTCACCATACACAATTTAAAGGACTATTTGGAAAATAATATTTCGGATGCATCGGTTAAGCAAGTTATTTTAGCGACTATGAATTCTGAGAATAACCTCAATCTTTCTCCAGAATTTTTAAAAGAAAATTATTATCTATATGTGAGTGACGAGGCTTTCAACGAGTTTAAGAAGATGGACACAACAAATTCAACAATCCGAGTGACCGAACGCTCAGCAAAAATTGGGGATGCTCTCTTTTGTGTTGGAACAAGATCTCAAAATCCTTCGAGCGACTTGATTCCTGATGTTTCTGGGATTCGATTTGTCACTCACAAACCTGAACCCAAATATATTGAAGATTTTGTGCAGCAAGAAAAGAAAAATCATTCACCGATATGGTGGCGAGCATTTGTTATTACTGGCTCGTTAGGATTTGCCATTGCTTCCATCATTGGATAGCTCATGTCACCTTATTGGTACTACTGGGTTCTCGTAATCATTTATTGTTAGTTACGTTTGTATTGTACAGAGCTACCACCAACAAGTTGTGGTACAGGCTTCCACAAGGATAGACATGGCGACCAAAATCTCCTGCCCCAGAAATATTCATTATGTTGACCTCCTTATCACAAAAAGTTGGTTAAAATTTCTCTTTCTGCTTCATTAAAGAATTTCACTTACCATTGTCCAAATAATAATACAAATTTTTACCAAAAGTGAAAGAAGGAAAGCTGAGTATGTGATCACGAACTGTTTGAGTTTGAACCACATCATCATTATCCACTCCTTGATTTCCACTATCTAAATAGATCACTAATTGTTGTGGTACATTAGGTCGATTCAAAATTCTATTGTTAAAATCCTGCATGAATCATGTGCCAATATTCATGTCATGACATTTAGCACATTCCAAAATTAAATCATTCATTTCACTTACTTGATTATTCCACCAAAATGAAGAGCTCATACATCCAACTTTTCCATAGACTTTAGGACGTGTCCATCCCGCATAGCACGAAATTAAACCTCCCAATGAGCTTCCCAAAATTCCCAATTTTGAGTGATCCAAAATCCATCGTCTTTTGAACGTTTCCATCAAGGTTGGCATTAATGTTTGTTCCAAAAAATCCAAATAGAGATCTCCCTTTCCTCCTGCACCAACACTAGCATCTCTCGAATATGTATATTCATTCATGCGATCGGCCGTATTATACACTCCAATTACTACCACTTCTTCCATGGCGTAATTTGCATTCGAATTCAACATTAATGGATTCAACGTATTTTGAATCATCCAAGCCTGATTCATGAATGCAGTGGAAGGATCAAATAAATTCTGTCCATCATGCATGATTAGTAAATTATCATAACGTTTCCATGAATTTTCAAAATAAGAAGGAGGCAAATACAAGGTAATATTTCTGTAATTTTTCAATTGAGGGGAATAGATTGGATTGGGGAGCACGAGAATGGAGCCTTCTGTGGTGTAGAACCATGGATATAAATCGAGAGAAATCATCGAGTCTTCTCCTCGAGTCATCCGTGAAGATGAAGGCATGTCATCATGCTTTGGTTGGATCCCGTTGTTTTGAGCCAAATGTTTCAAATCAAACATGGAATTTGGTCCTAATTGCCAATCCCGATCATTCACTAGACTCTTCATTTGCAAGAGGTAACCATTACTTTTCAAATCTGATTGGGAAATATTGAGCAGTGTTTCAAAAATTCCATTGTTGTTGGATCCAACGATTTGGAGAGGAATTCCCGAGGACCAACTGAGTGGAGGAATATTACCTCGTAAAAACATTGGGTTAGTATTCAAGTTGGAATTTTTGTAATAGACTCGAATACGGAGCTGGAGAGTCGCGGAAAGTTTGAAGGAAGGATGATGATTGTTGTCGATGATTGGAGTGGCATGGAGAGTTGCAGCAGTGGTGCCGCTACTATTGATCTTCATGAGACATAGAGCCAGAAGAATCACAGTGATGGCAGCTGTCAAGAAGTTCTTGGACGACATTTTTTTGAAAAGCAATAATGTGAAATATTCAAAGAAATTGCTTGTGAAATTGGTTTGAATTCAAGAAAAAGAAGGATAATTGAGCTTATGATGATCCACATGACAAACATGTGGTTTTCAATTTTATTTCACATTTTCTTGATAAATCGTCAAGATAACGTTTGTGGCGCCAAAAAAATTTAAAATCAAAAAAAATACACAAAAGCCAGTCATCACAAAATATTATTATTGGGACACCCGATGGCCTCCGATGAAGAAGAAACAATAGGATCCTTGGTGAAGGAACAACAGGAACATCAACCTTCACCTCGTTTGCAATTGAAAAAGAAAACTGCACAAGTGGAAGCAGAAGCAGAAGTAACTTTCACAAAAACTCGAGTTGGACGAAGCAGGAGATCTGTTGCTGGTTCTTCCTCTTCTTCCGAAACTACGACCACTGTTACTGTAAAGAAAACATTGGAAAAGAAATCGGAAAAGGAAGAAGAAGACGAAGATGATGAGCAAGTTGAAGACGAGGAAGACGAAGATGAAGAATTAGAATTGGAATCTGAAGAGGACGAAGATGATGATGATTACGAGTCCGAAGAAGACGTCAAGAAGAAAAAGAAAAAGCCATCAAAATCAACTAAAAAAACAAAGAAAGAATCAACAAAGAAGACCAAATCTGAAAGCAATGGCAAGAAAAAGAAGACTAAACAAGCTGATTTACCATCAGCTGATGTATGTCCATATCCACCTGATCAAACAACTAAACTTTCTAAAAAGGATATGAAATCTTTATTCAAAGCTGCAGGTGTGCAACAAAATTTGGATAAGGTCAAACAATTTTTCGAATCATTTGACAAGGATAAGGTTTTAGGAGCCAAAGATTTGGACGGATGGTCTGCTATTTTACAAGCTTGCCGATTTGGGAATCAAGATATTGTGCAATTTTTGATTGGAAAAGGTGCAGATGTCACCACTCATGCTTCGGTATGTTTGTATGAACTGTTTTTTGCAATTACTAATCCAGCTTCAACAACTAACTACTTTCTAACAACCATTAATACATCATGAAAATTCAAATGGAATGCAAATCAACCCAATAATCTCATCCTCTAAATTTATAAAATTATACCAATAGGACAAACGTACTACTTTGCATGTGGCAGCTCTTTGGGGATATTCTGAAATTGTTGACACATTAACTAAGCATAACAAATCAGCAGAATATTTAATGGCAAAAGATGCATGGGGATTGAGTGCTCATATTCTTGCTGAACGTCAAGGTCACAAAGAAATTGCCAAGACGATTCGCGCCTTGGTTCCAGAGGATTTATTGAAGAAAGAAGAAGAAGAATTCAAACAAAAGAAGAGCAGAAAAAAGAAAACTGAGGGTGAAACTGAAAAGAAGAAGAAAACCACCACGAAAAAGACCACAACCACCAAGAAAACCACCACTAAAAAGACAAGCAAGAAGAAAATTCTTGAGGACGATGACGACAGTGAAAGCGAAGAAGAATCAAGCGCTGAAGATGAATCTGAAAGCGAAAGTGAAGAAGAAGTCGCCACAAAGAAGAGAAAGGCACCACCACGTGCAGCAAAGAAAACTGAAGAGGAAAAGAAGGCTCCTGCTCCGAAGAAGGTGAAAACTGAACCAGTTAAAACCGAACCAGTTAAGAAAGCTCAACCTCCACCAAAGAAGCCCCCTTCAAGAAAGAATAAGGTCATTGACGATGATGACGATGAGTAAATTTTTTACGTTTCATATTTATTAACTTTGTGATTCTGATTGTTAAGAGCTCACTTTGATTAACCATTGATTTCACAATAAATCAGGCTTGATGTTGGTTCATGTGATTCGTTTGTGGCTCAGATGTCACCGCCACACTTGCTCAAAAAAAAAAAGAATTGCAAAAGAATACATTGCCAATAAAATTTACCTTGAGTGTGTAGTTACATTAAATTTTATTATAAAATATCCTTACTTTTGTCTCTTTGTATCTTTTGACTCCTTAATATAACCTTGTTTCTTGAGGTCAATATAAGTTTGTTTGGTGTAAACATTTCCTTCTTCATCTTCTACTTCTTCCATTTCACCTTCATCCCAATGCTGTTGTTGCTCTTGTTGTTGCATGTTCTTCCATAAATCGAGGGCGTCCTTGATTTTAGTAATGTGATGAAAGTGTCTTGTATTTGGAATTCCCAAACATTTCATACCATTAGCGTGTCTCCATTCTTGGAAATGTCTTTCAAATTCTCGGTGACCCCAATATGAATGATTTCCACAAATTTCGCAAATGTATTCATTTCCTAGACCTTGCCACTTGTAGAGCCAATAGGGAATTGGTTTTCCATCTGGACCAAGTGGTAAATTGAGAGGATTGTTCTTCTTACTTGCATACTTGCTAAGAGGATCGTCTGGGTTTGCCATTGATGCTGCTCGCTTTTCTCGTTGTTGTCTCTGATACTCTTCGTCATCTTCGAGATCCATTTGTTTTTCAATTCTCTCGAGTTCTGCTTGATTTTCTTCCCAAGTTCGAGTGGATTTCTTTTCGACATTGACCTTGGTTTGTTGAATGACATCGGCAAGCCAATCCTGTAGAAACTTGGAAATTTTGGCTTCCAACAAGGCCAAAGCTCTCATCTTTTCGACGTTATGGAGACTCTTTCTCTTACCACCTCGTCGTTTCTTTTTCTTTTGTTCAGCAGCAGAATTTTGCTGTTGTTGGCCTGAATTATTCGTGTTCATTTGAGGTTTTTGTTGTGAAGCATTATTTTGTTCACCTTGTTGTTTCATGAGAGTAGGTTTGAGAAAAGCCCAAACTTCGCCCACATTTCCTTCTCTCCAATTTTTATCAAAATCTTCTTCCACATCGTGAATCATCTTTTGCATGTTCATGAGAGGTTGAGTTCTCGTCATGAAATCAATAAAATATGACAGCAAGCCTTCGAGATAGGTCTTGTATTTTTCGCTATTTTTCACATCTAGGGATATCTTGTCAAACTGTCCAATGGTGTTCAAGTATTCCATATAATCAATTTGCTGGATGGAGGCAGGAGTTGGAATGTTCTCAGCTCCATTGTTCGTAACCGATTCCAAGGGCTTTTCATTAATCAAGTCCAAGAACGCGTTATAGTGCGCATGTAAATCGACATACCTTCCATATAATTCCTCATCACTAAAAACAACTCCGCTTTCAATTTCCTTTTGAACTCTTTGTTGGATTTTGCTTTGTAATTGTTCATCACTAGATTCCGATGTATTTCTATTTTCAATTTTCACCGCAAACTTCCTGTGGTACTCTTTAATTTCAGCCATTCGAGAATAAAAACTAGAAATTGTATTGGGGAAGGTTGTTTCGGTGAGTTGAGCCCGCACAGATTTTAATTGATCGGACGTCGTCTCAGGTGAACCTAAAAAAACGCTATTTACAGATGTTGTTGTGCCATTAGTACCCGACGGTACATGAGAAGAATTTGGTTGCTGTTTTTGATGATCATCACCCGATGATGCTACTCCATAAATATTTTCCTTCAAATATTGGGCCTTTTCCTGTATTTGTTGAAGATGATGATTCAAGCGATGATTTTGATAGACCATGTGTTTTTGGGTTTTGGCCCGATGTTTAATTTCATACACGACCGATTTGATCGCTTGTTCAATGTCCACGTGCGAGAGACGTGCTTGTTCAACCAAAAGGGAGTTGGACATTTTTTTTAAAAAAAACATGTAAAATCTTTGGTCAACGAGCCGTTCAATATTTGAAGCGCCAAAATTTTCAAAAAAAAATGGAAAGGTATGTAAATCTTTTTCGCTACGCCAGGGCCAGTTGGAGATTCTGCTGTTAGTGTTGATTTGACTGCACAAACTATATTACCGCACTATGCATCTCTGAATCCCGCATCAGAGGATGATTTGCATAAATCGCTTTTAGAAATGTATGATGATTTATTACCCAAGAATGAATTGTTGGAGATAACAGACGCCAGCAAACCCTTGGTGAACCATTTGAGTAACATGATTGATGGTGATACTGAATCCAATGAAAGAAAACGTAAATATGTAGCATGTACTGACGATGTGTTGGGGTATTTGAAACTCCTTAAACAAATGAAGAAGTTCAAGGCTACTACCCCTTTGCAGGATGTTCAAAATTTCAAGGTTTATGAAGTTCAAAAATTCGACCCTTCAGCTTTTATATCCTCTAATCCAAAGCCTAAGACTTTTTTGGGAACCTTATTCTCTAGTGTTAAGGAATTAAACACAAAAGTATCTACTCTAACTTCAGAACTCTCTGCTGCAAATACAAATATTGCTAATCTAACTTTGGAACTCTCTACTGCAAATACAAATATATCTAACCTAACTTTGGAACTCTCGACTGCAAATACAAATATTGAAAATCTAACTTCAGAACTCTCTACTGCAAATACAAAGATAGACACACTAACCTCAAAAGTACGTGCATTACAAATTGCTAGGATAAGCGAACGTTTGGATTCTATTTTAAAGAATTCTGGAAGAGAGAGCCAATTCAACGTTTTCCAGCTTAGTGGCCAATAATAACGACGAAATTCAAAGGAAAAGATTGATTGCTGATCTTTCTCTACCAACCCCTGTAAACCAAAACACTGCAAAATCAAATACCAGTTCTTCCAAGAAAAAAAAGGACATGGATGAATGTCAGCAAATAGTAGAATCTATTATTAATCAATATCGACCATGTTTGAACGGAGAGAATGCATAACAATACTTAATTCTCTTCGTTACCTAGAAAACTTTTTGCTGAGGATGTTAATAAAACAAGGATCATAAGATGATTTTATGATGAGTTCAAACTTGCCGATTCAATTTGTTGTTACTGAGAGAGTGAAGGAAACACCATGTTGCTATTGGTGCCTCCCATTCTCCATCGCCCAAACAGCGGAATACACCACAACAGAACCGTAAGGAGGCTCGTAATATCAAGGAGGAAGGTCTTGGCAATAAGGGGCCACGATAAGATGTAGCCATGTCCCCACAATCTAATTCCGGCCCCACTGAACCACCCTTATATATTCTACCAAGGGATGATTGTAAGAAGATTTCGGTGACAACAGCGAAATAAATGCAGTCACTAGCGCATTCTGGTGTTGTGAAGAGTTATTCTTCATGAATTGTCCCTCCAATGAAGAAACTGAGGTTGTGGATGGCTATAATGATCTACATCATCTTTTGGTGATGAGTTACACGTTCAGTAACTTTTACCAAGATGGAATATTGATGATCATCTATGTTTCGCTGTTGTTTTCTTTCTTGCAAACAACATACACTAAGAGATCACTATTGTCCTCCAATTGAATGTAATTATGAAAATAGTCTAATTTTCAATATTGGACAATCGATTGGTTGAACAAGTACAGAATTCTCAGTATCAGTAGGTAAATTTCTTCCAGTAATTGTGACGCCAGTGTTTATGAATATACAGAGAAGGTTTTTGGATTCTGCTTATCAAATCGTCATTGTTTGTCGAAAATATGGCTACCAAAAGTGTCATATCTTGACAACAACGCAACTCTAGTGCAAGCTTTTCAAAATCATTCTCCAATTTTTTCCAATTCGATAAAATCTTAAAAATTCAAAGTGAGGAGTTTCACAATCTGAATTCAACAATGCATCTAATCCTGCAATTTTAAAATTGTAGATCATAGTGTACAACGATGGAGCCACGTATATTTAACTTTTCCTTGATGTCATTTATCCACTCACGTGTATTATTCGAGGTGTACGTTGATTTTGGAATTAGATGGGCTATCACCGAATTTATTTTCTCCCAATCGTCAACCAAACCAAGGTGAATAGTAACCAAATTGGAAGCGTATTTCAACTCTCCGCTCTTCACTATGACTCCCTCTCGTCTCTCAAAAAATCAACTGCTACTGTTATCAAAATTCGCCTGGAACGAATCGATCCCTGGAACAGCTATGTCCAACAATTAATCATTTCGAAAATTATTGATATGAATAATTCTTCGACTCTTTAGGGTTTTAGTGTGAGGTAATGAAATGCCGATGCTTCTTATTGGATGTTACGTTTCAACTATGTCTTGTTCAATTAGAAATTAATTTTCAAAATTTTTATCAACGCGAGTGGTGTTGTATTCAAAACGAAGGCGCATTGTTTGCAAATTTTTTTTGAGATGCGGGTCTGTTATCGAAAAAAGGTAAGTGCCAGGTTGTGGAGTTATTTGCTTCAATGCTTCTATCTAATTGTCATGAATTTGCTAGATTATGACATCTTCGAGTTGCTTTTGAATCCCAATATCAACTCTTTACAAAATTAAAATGACACACAGTGGTTTAACTCGAGCCAAAATTTGCCAGCGAGTTTGTTGGTGTGTTGGTTGCGTCTCGCCCCTTGTGTGTTTTGTGAGAATCCTGATATGAGCCTGTGAACACAAAATCAAACAAAAATTGGGAGAACCAATTGCAAAGGAGGTGCTGATTTGAGTCTTGATCAAGTTTCTTCATTGGGTGCAAAAACTCTCTATACAAGTAGCATCAGCATTAACTTTTGATGAATCGTTAAACTGTGGTATTCTGTTCCAATGTTGTGGAGAGATGTGGCCTTTAAAATCAGCAACATATGAAGGCTTTACGTCATCAACCGACAAACAATTTACCACCCAAAGATTCATCAAAAGTCAACACCGATGCTACTTGTTGCGCGTTCCATTTCTTGTATTAACCAGTCAAATTGAGAGTGATTGGTCCAGAGGATGAAGGCTGCAGTGTTTATACAAACCATCACTATCGTCTTGTTGTTGTTGGTTACAATTTGTGTTCGACAGAATTTTTTTTTTAAATTTTGGCGTTGTTTAACGTATAGCTTGGTGGTTTTCAGCCCAACATGATGTCCTTCATATTTAAAAAATGTATGGCTATTTTGATGGAGATGTCATTAATTGGAGAAAGTTTGATCCTTGTGGCGTATGGATGCATAACGTACGCTGCCGGTATGGATTGGGGTATGAGATCAAGTACAGTGTTACATCTGCATGGCCATTGATCCAGCAAAGCAATGCCATCTTTCACCATTCAACATTGATCACTGTTGGATTATGGAAGCATATTGTTCTTTATCCAGAAATTTGTGAAGGGTTGAAGCAAAGAACTCGAGTGTTTCTTGAAATGAGCAATGATACGGAAGGCATTCCCCTAACCCAATTTATGATAGAACACTTTAACATGGATATTATGGACCAATTGGTCAACATACCTCTTTCAGAAATTAGTATTCGCCTTAAGAATTTTCGAATCAACGGTAATAAACCATTGCCTGAGCTTTAAGATGTATGTAAACAACAGATAAAGTTATCAATGGTCTTTATAATTGTGCAGTTATTGAAATATTGTTTATAATTCCAATGGACAATCGATATCATATTCGATGTATGTATTTACAAAGTGTCTGCTGTCACAGCAGCATCATTCTGATCTGCATGACGATTTGGTACCAATTCATAAGTATGAATTGGAAAATGACATCCATCTCCACTATATTCCACATGGAAGGGTGACAGCCAGAGCAGAGGATTGTTACCGAGAATAGATTTTACATTATTCAGCACTCCAATGTCATATGGATGACATTTGTGCTGATCATAGAGTCTTCTCTCCTTTTCCATGGATTCTATGGTAGTAGTGTTGAATAGAATCAATTTAAGGTGATACCCTGCAAAGAACAACATGGCAAATCCAAAACAAAAGCTAATGATATAAATCCAAATTTGATTAAGCTGTAAAATGGAAATGACTGCATATTTAGCAGTTCCTTGAAGTTTGAGAGCATTAAAAAGAGTTTTTGACATGGTAAGAACAGCAAAAAGTCCACCAATAGAAATCCAAACCAAAAAGAGGAAAAAGTATTTGTGATTGTAAAATCCAATACACTATTGAAGCCATTAAAATGATAATAATTCCACAATGACATTGGTCATTAATTGCAACATTGTAAAAAAATAATGACGACGATCGTATGACACATGACCGAAATAGCAACAATTACTAGTTCACAAATAAATGCCAGTATGCTACACCACTTACATTATTGAACCAAGGGCAAAAATGGTCCATTCTCAATACACAGCAATTTAATTGCCTACAATGATGAGCTCTATCTGGCTTTCGTATCCAACATCGTTCACAAATTCGAATTTGACCTCGAGAATTCAATTCTGATGTTTGCCGATCTGAAAAGGATAATACATCCTCTTCTTCGTCATGATGATGAGATACATTACCATGCTGATTGTTGTGTGTTGATTGAGTTGATTCTCCATTTGCATCACTCAATGATGACGTAACAGGATTGTCTTCAGTATTTTCTGATTGAAGATTCATTTCTCTCAATTGACCTCTAAAACCCATGACTTGATGAATTTCTCGTTCCAATTCCACAAGAAAATTGGGTCCTCTTCTCTTATACCACTCAATTTGCTGAGGTGTGAGAGCCCAAGTTTTATCATCCTTAAATACAAAACCAGGATGTGTATAAATACACTTGTAAAAGGGATACAAAACGCAAGCCGAAATGAAAGCAAAAATGATGAAATAAAGAGCATGAAGTATTCGTACAGCTGCAGAATAATCCGAAGACAACACAACCGGGAGAGCAAATGTAAATAAATAACCTAAAATTACCCATAATAATAAAACAAGGGCTACTCCTGTAAAAATCCATGAATACCATCTCCGACTTTGTTGTAATTGTGGTGGACCTCTCTTGGCCTGATGTTCCTTGTTGGTGGTTATAGAGTATAGATGGGAGTTGTCATTGGTATGATCAACTCGCTCGTCTTCATGATGATGTAGGTCCGAATGTGTACTGCTCTCATCCATGTCAAAATTATTATTGTTGGATAACAATATTTTCTTATTATCTTCTGATGAGGAATGAGAATCTTCTTCCTCTACAGGATCAATCCAAATATTATGCTCTTTTTGATGATATGAAAATTGTTTTTGCTGATCGATTTCGGAATGTATGTTGTCGTCGTCGTTGGAAGAAATAACCTCAGAGGCAAAAGAAGGCATTTTTTGATGGTTATCTTAGAAGCCAATTCCGATTCGAGTTGTTGAAACAAAAGACAAGTGATTGTTGTAACAAAAATTTCCTTAGGAGCAGAGGGAATCGAACCCTCGTCTAAGGAACCACAATCCTTCATTCTACCATTGAACTATGCCCCTGTTCGAATGAACGAATAATCGTTTCATCATTAAACCATCATAAACGTGTGTCAAACGAAGTAAGTCTCTAATTGTTTCAATCCTTTCTTCACCTGTTGGTAAGGAGGTGTTGCTTTTAACTGTAACAACATTTCAGTTTGAACCAACAAAACACACAAATCGTAAATCAACATGTATACAACGAAAGTTGGTGCGAAGAAAGACCATTTATGAGCCTATTGTCATTTCTCTGTTGGTAAAAGGATTTTCAGCGACACAAATCTCAGAGATACCCAATTATGCAATTGTCAACATGCTCTTTTCATGGTACCACAGTTTCAATAAGGTCATCCTTGCTAAATCCATCACACATTATAAAGGGTCTTTTACAATTTGAGTCCGGATGTGTGAAAGGGCGAGCTCAAGACTTCCATCACTTTTTAATACCTCGATTTGATCTTGTTTACAGCTCATACCCTGATGGTACTTTGTCAGCAGTTCATCCCCAGCAAGAATAACCACAAAGTATTTTAAAACACCACTTCGCCGCAAATGGTCAAAAAGTGGTTGAATTTATCATGAACCGAAAAGATTTTTAATGTGCTTGAAGCGCTACAAATAGTCATATCAGTCGAGTTCTCAACTCGATCCAGAATCACGGAATTGCATGGATTCTGATCTCTATGATAATTTTGGATCTGTCATTCTCAGTACTGCTCCATTCAAACACAAAACAAATAACAAAAATCTGCTTTGTGTCGCCTCTCCCGTATAACGCCTATCTCTGTGTTTATGAATTGGTAATATTGGACGCTTGTCTTGTAATATCAGTATTCTCTCAAACTTTATAGAACGAAAAATAGCTCGAGTGGATTACACAATTCATTGCGAGATTCATGTGGTCTTCAACAAATTCAGCACTCTCGGAGATTGGCAACTCCTCAGTAGCTACTACAAGCAAAAGAATGGTTCCTCCTCATACTACTGCTACTCCTACCAATTACATTCGTAATGGCAGTCCCATGATCGCTGTTCATACTTCATCCTCGAAAAGTAAGAAGAAATCATCGTCTTCTTCAAACAGCTCCAAGAGCACTGGTAAGGCTAGCTCTTCCTCAACTTCTTCTACCTCCATTTCGGGAATACTCTTTTCATCTACAACAACAACATCAAGTAGCGTGTTGGCTTCATCCTCATCATCTCTTACATCAACACCTTCCAAGAGCTCGACATCAAGAATCTCGGATTCAGCTGTATCCAATTCAACAACCTCTCAACAATTGTTACCTTCCAAACCAGCATTCAAGTCTTTAACCAACACTCCATCCAAGAATGTATCTACTAACAGCTCTTATGTAAATACTCCCTCAACATCAAGCAGTACCAACAAGTTTATAACATTTCCAACAGCATGCAAGGCAGTTACTTCAACCACAGAGGAAGACGAAGAAGAGGACAGCTCCTCCAATAGAATACGAGAAACCATTAAAAAGTACAATCGAATTGATAACCTTATGGAGATGCAAGATGAAGGCTTGCAGATATTGCGCTCCTATCTTCAACAACGAAAGAATGAAGAGTATTTGCTCTATATGGAAGCTACTCGGGAATTTAAAAAGAAAAGACAAGGAGGGTATTCTAATGGCGATGATTCAACCACACCGTTGTTGGAAGAGTTCCAAAAGATTTTCACACAATTTTTAAGCTTTGACAGTATGACATGCATGAATGTTCCTGCTTGTATTCGAGAACAATTTACAACTGTTTGGAAGGAGCTTAATGAAGTTGGTCATAACATGCAAGCAACAACAATGAATAGCAACAATAAGGCACCATATAACGAGAATAGAAAGAGTGGTGTCAGTGACAACAGTGAAAATCAGGCACAAACACTCTCACCTCGAAGTAATCATTCAGCTTCACCACAAGCATCGAGTCCTTTGACCCCAATGTCATCGACAAGCCCAAGCGCAATTGCAAGCAATACTTCTGTCAGTGGTAGTAATTGTCTTTCTTCCAATTCAATTTCCCAGGAATTGGCTCTGAAAATGAGAAAGTGTTTGGACGACTTGTTCATCAATGTTCAAGTGCAGTTCAAGAATGAAATTATGCCTCATTTCAAAAAGACTCAAGAATTTAAAACCTTTGTGCTCGAGAAATTGATTGAACTCAGTAATAATCAACAACAACAACCACAAGAGATTCTTTCTCCCTTAAATTCTCCTTCAACATTATCCCCAGGAGAAGTGCTCATTCAAGATTTTTTAACACAAAATGGAGAATTGGCAGAGTATTGTAAACCTTTTGCGAAAAAGAATTTAACCACGATGGATCAAATCAGAAATTTCACTTCTGACGATTTTCGAGACAAGATTGGCATTAAGAAAATTGGTCACCTGAAACGCATTGTTCGACTCACCAAGGAGCATTTCATGAATAAATCTGATGAGTCGCTTTAACGCGTTAACTGAAGCAAGCGACAAAACAAATTATTTGAACTTCAAGAAAAAAATGCAAATACATGACAATTCGACCCTGTTCGTGCATGAACACGATGACGACGAACACAAGGAAGAAACATTCGGAAATGACACAACTACATTATCGGAACCACAACATGAAAATCATGTGGATGAAAATAACGTGTTGGAGCAAAATTCTAAAAAGCGAAAATTATCTAACGAGACTATCATGACCGATAATGAAAATACTATCAATGAAACATTTAATCTCCCCAAAGAAGATGATAACACTGATGATGACGATGAATCCAGTACTAACACTCGAAAAATCCTTCCTCCATGCCAAATTTGTTCCACTTTAGAATCCAAATACACATGTCCAGGCTGTTCCATCAAGTATTGTTCCATGGAATGTTTTAAAAATCATAAAACCACATCCAAATGCACCGGAAAACGAGACACCACAAAATACATTGATTTAAAGGAGTTCAATGATCGACATTTAAAAAGTGATTACAACTTTTTAGAGAATTTACAATCACAAACCTTTCATTGGTCCCGACAACGAGATTTAGAAAAGATTGATTCTCACACCTATCAATATCATCATCCAAAAGTAAGAGAATTGCAATATAGAGCCACACAGAAAGGCATTCGGATGGAACTCATGCCTCAAGGAATGTCCAAACGAGAACAAAATACCTCCTATTACAACAAAAAGCTGGACAAGATCTTTTGGAGATTGGAATTTATATTTGTGAATGAATTGGATCATCAGACGGGTGAGCCGTGTCATGTGGTGGAGGCTCATCTCTCCGAGGATTTGAAAATTTGTGATTGTATGAGTCGATATTTTGATAAGAACATGAATGGTAGTGCCAAAACAAGAGATCAAATGCAAAAGTACACGAGTTACTTTGAGAAGTTTAAACAATCCTCCTCCTCCTCCAGCACGAGTCAAGATTCATCATTCGGATTGGAAAATTCCAAACCTACTGCAGCAGAGGAACAACAACAAATCACTAGCAACCCTAACAATCAGTGTAACCAAGAGCGGGACTCTCCTTTGAGAGACGACGCATTTTTTTATTTTATTAAGGTTGAAGGAAGACCTTCGAGTGAGACCTTGTACTATGCTCTAGATTCAACACTGTGTTTGCGAGAGTGTTTGAAAGAGTTGGTCATTTTGGAGTATCCTGTGATTGAAGTGGTGTTACCTGGATATGAAAGCAAGTATACTGTCATAACGAGAGAACAAATGAATGACATGAATGCACAACGAGATGAACGATTGAAGGAGAAGAAGGAGAAGAGACAAGCATTTCTTGAAAAGAAGACAAAATATGAAGAGAGACAAGCTGAAAAGTTGGAATCAACGTTCAGAGGACAGGGGAACAAACGAGGAGGCAGCATGCATGGACGAGGCCGAGGAGGATATTCTGGTGGTGAAAAACGAAGTCACACAGAGGCCTCCAATGCAAGAGGTGACAACAGTTCTCAGCGTTCGAACAACAGTAGAGCAAGCAACAATAGAACAGAAGAACGACGTGGTGGATTCACGAGAGGAGGCAAATCCAAGAACTACAACCAGCACCGCCCATCACAAAATCGAACGAAAACTCAGAGTTCTGAAGGTGCACAACCTAACAACAATTGAATCAATGGCCAACGTTTTGGATGTCCAACCATTGGTGTTTGCAAGTAAAACAAATCGTGTTTTGAAAATTTTGCTTTTATTGGCAGATTGTTAGACACAAAACAATCACATTGGGCGCATTGGTGACGAATAATTAGTTTGAGCTTGGCAAGGAGAGGATACAAGTAAAGTGAGAGCAGCATTAACACTTCAAGAAAAAGGGCTTTCCTGATACTGTGTACGCAGTGGGAGGAATGAGCTAGAAGATTCATTATTGGCGGATTAATTGTTGACAATCTTAGCAAAGTTGGTAAAGGTCAAATTGTAACCTCCAGTAAATTCGTAGAATGTCTTGCTCTTCAATTTGTATTCATCTCCCAATGCCAAGTTGGTGAATGCGTTGTATGTCTTTAACAAGTTGGTGTTGTGAATTTGGAATGACTCCTTGTCCAATAAGGTGGTATGATCATCTGTGCTTGGTGTTCTGTGAAGAGTATGGTCTTCATGTCTAATGTCCCAGTGATCGTCAGCAAACAATGTGACTGTGAAACGACCAGGACGGAAAGTATGAATAACTCTTTCGATAAGCTCAGAATAGTACTGAACTTTGGAACTCTTAACGTTAGTTTCAAAGCTGACAAATGAGCAATGGTCTTCTGGAGTAATGTGAATTGTCCAATAACATTTACCCAACAATCCGTTCATACTGTATCCACAAGGGTCAAACTCAAATGAGTCAATTTCTGAGCCAGGAAGCAACTTATCAATACCTGATTGTTGTTCAATAGTCATACCAGCTGGTCTATCTTTTCTAGAAGCCTCCATGAATTGTTTCATTACTTCAGGATCTAAATCGTGCATTAAAACTTCCAAAGTTTGGTCTGGATCCTTTCTAATTTGGTCATCAACACCTTGCATGTCACAAATATAGAGATACCAATGGTCACTCAATACCGAACCAACAACGTGGCCCTCACCACCAGGATATTCCTCAGTCAAATATCTCAACTCTTCTTCAAATGATGAGTGTGGGTGTGGTTGTCTGTGTGGGAAAACAAAGTTCTTTCTACTATAAATAACAAGCTCAGCCTCTAAACCTTGGGAATCTGCAATTTCCTTCATTCTCTTTAAAATTCCTAACAAGGTTGTGGTACCGCATGTCTTGATGACAATCTTTCTTCTGAAAACAAACAAGCTGGATTCACTCAAGACATAGCAAGAAAAGTGTTCGTTCTCCTTCTTTGAAAGGATTCTACAACAAGCCAAATCAAGCATAGATTGCCAAGTCTCATCAGTAATATTCATCAAATTGTAGTAATTTGGATTAGCTGTTTCTTCTTCTTCGCTGCTATTAGCATCTTGATTATGATGAGACAAGTATTCTTGATAGGCTGGTAAATCACTCTTCTTTGGACGGAAGTCAACTTCCAATCTCTTCTCTGGACCTTCAAAGCCAGCATCAGCACAGCATTCACAATCAACATGCTTGACATACTTTTCGGCATAATTGACTAGAATTGGCTTTCCATTAACGATAGAGTGCTCAACTGTTGGTGAAACATCGACAGGTTGTTGTTCATGATGATGATGATGGTGGTGATTACAACAGTTGTGCTCATGATGGTGGTTGTGCTCTCCGTTTTCTTGTTGAGCGATGCTAGGCTGGTTCGAGGATGGCCTGTTGTGTGTTGAAAAAGACATAATAGATGATGTACGGACCAACAGGTGGTGGGTTGTCAAAATGCGCATTCACACACACATGTCATCATTGATAAGAAGTGGGTTGAGAAACGAAGAGAACAACATCACAAAGGTAGACACAAATATTTACAGAGAGAGAGAAGGTATTCAAAAGTGCGTTTTGGTAAAAGAATATCATTCAGATAAAGATGACGCGCAATAAAATATTTCGGTTAAATTTCCAAAAATCGGTTGTTTTTTGAATTTCATCGTGGGATGAAAGTGCGGGCCGTTAATAATCATCATCCAATGACCATCATCACAAGTATTTTGGTACCATCATCGTAAGATGGTTTATAATTACGGAACACAGATTATCAAAATTTACTCTTCCAAAATAACAACTTACATTGTTATTCAAGATGAATAAGAATTCTTTGTTTTGCCTTCGGTTTTCTCTTATTGGTTGTTGTTCAACAACAAGCATACAGAAAGTTCTGTTGTTTGATATGTGTGGTGTTCTTATTAAAAGAAACGACTCTAACTACTACTACTACTATTGAGCAAGCAACAATAAGACTTCTCTTGTTCTCGTGTATGAAGGATCCGACAAGGAATACCTAGCGAGGAGTAAGAGCGGTGAGAGAAAGGTGTAGAGGATTTTTTTCAACGACGCGAAATTTATTTTCAAACTAATTTTTGAGGTGAGAATTTCGCTGCAAGAATCTCTTGATGTGATTGGTTCGTGCATGTTGTAATCAAAAGGGCGAATTTGAAATTCCAGGTGGAGGAGTGAAAGATACAAGCAACAAAGTAGTATTGTGAAAGCTCTTTCACATGTAGAGAGCAAGGGTGGGCAATGAACCTTGGATGCCAAATGTCATCACTTGATTCCAACTTGTCTCGCTCCTTTCAAAAAATCAAAACCATCACGTTCCTTCTCATCAACCACAAAAACTCATCCAATGAAGGCCTCTCTCCGTACCATCAAACGATTAGAAGCCAAAGCTCAAAAATTCTCTTCCCATATTCTCTTCCATAAACGTCATCATGGAAAACAATACGACGCAAGTACTGATTCCATTGAAAACTTTACCGGAGGTTCTTTCAAACACACTCCAAACATCTCTTCCTCCATCGAAGGAGGATCCAATTTAAATGCGGAATCCATCGAAGACGTTTCTCTCAATCTTTGTGATCCCGATATTGATCGAGATGATCAAAAAGAACGAGAAAATTCATGTCAATTATTGAAAGATGCTTTGTATTACTCATTGTTGACCATGTATTTACCAATTCATGTGGTTCCCGAAGAGTATCGTAGTGGTGTTCTGACAGGCAACTCGGAAAAAGGAAAAAACGTTCCAATGTCTCTCGCCCAACTTCAAGATCATGTGTTGAAATTATTTCAAAATGATTTGTCCAAGGAAGATGTTGAAAAGACTTGGAATCAATTGTACACGATCGATGCAGAGAATGGAACGAGTGATTTGTGTGTGGATTTTCTACTTTTAAGAAAAATTTTACTTTCTAAAGAACAACAATTACCGTACTCACAGCAAGATTTCAAAACTCCACAAAATTACGCAACTTGGAGACAAAACAAGATTAAGGAAATTGATCTCATTTTGGATAGCATTAAAAGTGGAAGAAAATATAAGTTTGCTTCGAAATTGGAATTTCAAATTGATCATGTGAGTTTGGAAAAGAAGGGAGCTCTCGCCAAGGTTCATGAAAGTGCCGAGATTTTGTATCGTGTGAATACGGCTCATTCTTCAGAGATTAAAGTCAATAATGAAGAGAAGGCAATCAATACATTCGAGTCACCTCATATGGAAGCAAAACTTGGTGACAATGGTACCTTTGATTTGCATTTTAAGGATACGATTAAGGTGTAAGTTTGTGAAATTTGTATGTGAAATTTTTGAAATAATGACATAATCACAATATTACACATGATATCATGAAATGACAAATTCCAATATAGATCTTTTAACGAATCAAATCAAGAACTGACTTTACATTTTGTGTATGCCAAGTTTGCAGGTTTGAAGAAGAAGGAAATTGGCTCTGTCAAAATTAAGGTCAATGATCTCATTTCCAAGTTGTTCCCAATGACCAATTGGGGAGCTTTGAACTCTCCAATTTCATTAGATTTCACCATTGAAAATCCAGAACATGCTACGGAATCTCTTGGAAAAATTTCACTCAAATTTTTGAGAGGTAATTACCAAAACTTTCCTGCCTTTCATGGCAACTGGGAGACCTATTTACGAGAAAAAACAAAAAAGATTGAAGCTAATTTACAAAGTTACAAATTCCCAGATATTTATGAAGTGAAGAGAGTGTTGTTGAGAAGAGCTTTTCTTGCTCCAAAATTGGACAATAGTTTGGTCACTCCAGTCCACAAATGGCTTTTGGAGGAAATTGATCTACTCTTTGGCTTGTCCAATCACAATGCTGAAATTTCTTTATTGGATGTCTTTTCAAGAAATGTTCGTTTCCTAGTCACTTTTGCCGATCAATTTGGAAAGAGTTATGACACTGCAACCAATCTTGTAGAAACCAATTTGAAGCAAATCGAGAAAATTAACAAGATTATGGAAAATACTGAAAAGAAGGTTCTTGACATTATTTTGAATTTCAAAGACAAATTTCCAAGAGGAAAACCAGAAGGAGCTCTTCAGAATGTACTCACCATTTATGATACCATTTTGTGTCGACACAAAAAACGCTCCTATGAAGAATATATCACAACATTGAATGAATTAGTGGATCAAGCCCTTACACTCGATTATGAAACGTTCAAGAAACAACAAATGGAGGCCTTCAAAACAGAAGAATTCAATGCAAAAGTGTTAATTTCCATGATTCCAATTGTTACTTTCAAACTCGATCGTCTCTATGACTTTTCTTCCATCTTTCCAGAAGAAATCAAATACGAACAAAAGAATTGGATCTATTATGAATTGTTCAAGAAGGATTTCGCAGACCTAGAATCCAAGAATGGTTTTACTGGATATCAAATGCTTCATTTTTGTGCCAAATTGAAACCTTTGGAGGAAATTGTTTCATGCTCTACTGATTTGTGTGCCAAGAAGAGTGAACTATTGGATGTTCATGTCATTTCGAAAGGTTATGAAGAAAAATTCATTTCCGAATTGTATGAAAAACTCTCTAATTGTGCACAACAATCCATTCTTGTGGATAATTGGTTACCTGTGAATGAAGAAGTGAAACATAGTACGAGCGTGGTTGATTTCTACTCAACGGCACACGAAACTTGGCTCTTCGTATCAGAATTGGAATTTTTCAATGAGCACTTGTTAGAATTGTTTACAACCATGCTTGGCAAAGTCACATTCGAATATGCCAATAAGGTGAAAAACTTGGCAGTCTCTGTCTTGACGAAAAACACCAAACAAAGTTTAGTGACCAATGAATGTGAAAAGAGTTCAAACAAGTTACAACTCTTCAAGAAGAAGACCAGTGACAGTGATAGCACCGATCATGTGGATGAGCCCTATTCTGAAATTACTATTACTAAGGACTTTTTAATCATGTTAAATGACATTGAGGTTTCAAAGCAAGAATTGCAAGATATTTTACAATCAGTCACAGAAAAACAACAAGCCATGAAAGACTCTGAAGAAATTGAGAAGAAAATGGAAGAGCAAGAAAAGGAGTCACAACACGATGAAGCAGTTTCTCAATCCAAGGAGACTCCCAATGATGACGAGGTCACTGATTTTGAAAATGATACATCTCTTGAAAAGTCGTTAGAAAAGTATCATGAAGTCGGTGAGGCTCAAATGACCGAGTTGGAAAAGTTAAAAAATTCTTTGGATATTCTCATTGAATCTCTACTTGCAATTATTGCATCCAATTTTAGAATTCCAATTCGAAAGGCACTTGAAAAAATTATGAACAATGCTCGTAAAGTGATGGATCAACAGAAAGGTGTTACCAGACCCTTGTCCAAGCAGGCTACTCTTGATTTGTTACAAAAAGATTCTGACAAGATTTTGAGTGAGGACATTATTGATCCGATTTTAACTCCTGCTTTTGAATTATTGTCTGAAAATTGTTATGATCAATTGTTCAAATTACTGATTGAGAAAGTGTTGGATATTGTCAATTTTGAAATGCTTTATACCTTTGTCATTCCTATTGAAAATTATGATATTGAGTTGGATAAGGATAAATTCCTCACTGTGGAACAAGTCTATTTAATGGAATCATGTCACGTGGCCATTGGTCTCTATTTTTGTGGAAATGACGATGATCCCAATACTGGAATTTCTGAAGATACTCTAGAAAAGAACTCTCGTTTGTTGAAGAGAATATTTTCTCTCTACGAATCTTCATCCTCTAAATTGATCAATATTTATGAAAAGTATGTGAAATATCCAAACTTGAATTTCACAAATACTTTGAAAAAGCATCACATTTTGTTGATCTTGAAAACCAAACACGATCCTGAGGCCATTAATTTCTACAAGCAACATCAACGAGAGGCTGAAAAGGAACGTATCATTCAAGTATTCAATTTGAAGCCCATTGAAGGAGCAAGTGATGACGACGAGAGTAATGATCGCTACGAAGAGATTCTTGTCTCACTGAATGGTATCTATGAAATGACTCCCTACGACATTCATGTCACTGAATTGAGATTACTTTTAGAAGCAAAATATTCAAGAAAAACTCGTGAATTCCTTTTGAAAGATATTCGAAATGCAAAATTGAATAAGGGTCTATTATCTACAAAAGGAATTCAATTCACCATTGCAAGTGAGGACAATTCTGTCACTCGCTACATTACCTTTTCAGATTCCAATGTGAGAACCAAGTTCATTAATGTCATTGCTCAACAATTGAAGAATATTGGAAACGAACAACAACAACTAATGGAAGAACTCAAATCTCCAACAACAGCAAGTGCCTCGACTGTCAGCGGATCCAAGAAAGTCGAGCCCTCCATTTTTGATCAAGCCAGTGACGCTCTCAAATCCAAATTCAAAATTAAGAATACAAATTGTCAACTTTTGAGAAGAATTGTCTGTCAATCGGCATACAAGGAAGGAGAAACCAAAACCTACCTTTCTGGAGAAGTATTACTCTTCAATTATTGTGTGTGTTTCCACTGTTTTTCCGATGGCGTGAAAGCAACTTTTAGTTTCAAAGCAAATTTCAGTATTGTGAAGAATATTCAATTGTTGAAACGCAAAGACAACAGCAGTGACAAGATCAAAATTGAACTTGTTGGAGGATACTCTGTTTCATTCTACAACGTGGATGACGCTCAAATGGCTATCAAAGATCTTTCAGAAGCTTTCGAACAATGGAAGAATATCAGTTCTATCGATGCCACTCAATTAGAAAAGTATAAGAAGAATGATGATAAGGTAAGTGTGAGTGTTGTTGTTGATGTGTCAATGTACATTTTTCAAAATTATGTGTGTGTTTCAATATTACTATGAATTCCAATATTGACACTACTCTCATTGAAATTTTCCTTAACTTGGCACCTTGACATTTCTCTAGAACTACTTTTTACATCGATTCCATTTGAAACATTTGGAAAGTAGTGAGGAAACATTGGATCGTAAAATTCTTTCCGCAAGTGCCATCACAGAAATTGGTTCTCTCTTCATTGGACACTATCATTTATGCTATGAATCGGCTCATTACTTACCGACCGTGACCGCCTCTTCGCACGAATATGAAATCATTTGTCTTCCCATTGCATTCATTGACAAGGTTGAAAAATATGTCCACTCCAAACTCGTCGTTCTCACGCTCACGAGCGGGCAGTTGTGCTGTTTCATGTTTAAGGAAGAAAAGTTGTTGGAATTGGCTGTTCAGCGTATACAGGCGATGATTCAATCGTTGAGGAAACAATCATCATCCTCATCATCATCGGGAAGTGGTTTCTTTAGTAAGGTATCTTCATCATCTTCCATGACTTTATCATCCAATAATAATAATAGTAATAACGGAATGGATCAACCGATGGAGAGTAATAACTTGTATCGCTCTCCACTCATGAAGCCCATGAAAATAGATCCCGATAGTACAGATCAACGTGTGCTGAATAATGCCATCCTGACTCAGAAGGTACAAGAGGCTTCTTTGCAGTCGTCATCCTTGTTGGGTAACTCATCAGACAGTGGTTCAGGTAAGACTGGAATCTTTGGAATGTTTACTTCGATTGGAAAGAATATCTTTGGAAGTAAGAAGAAGAAGTAAATTATAATTTCATCAGAGAATATTGAAATATTTGGTCAACCGCTGTTGTTTCTAAAGTGTGCGCCAAAATTTTACAAATTTTGAGCAAGAAAAAAAATGACGGACGCTAAAATGAAAAATTCATCTTCGGAAGATCTCAATGGACAGCTGGCTTCCGATGATGACAATGAGATGGATTTACCTCCAGCATCATGTATGGAGGAGAGAACAAACAGTTCTCCGTTCAACAAACGAAATTTAGAGGCGAAGATAAAAGATTGCACTCCCGATGAAGTGAGCAAAGCTCTTCTTGAGGAAATTGAAGCAAAGGACGTTGAAATTAGAGAGCTTAAAGATCTTGTTGAAGAGTTGAGAACCTGTAATAGAGATATAGAAACATTATTTTCGGATGGTAAGTTGATTTTGTTTTTGTGGTGCTATGGATTGTTGACTTAACATTTCGTTGAACCGACACAAAGACTCGGAGGACATGATGGAGTTAAGAGACAAGAAACTCATCGAAATTGCTAAGAAAAATAAGAATATAATTGTGAAATTGAATAAGGAAAAAGCACGAGTGGTGGCCTTGACGCAACAACTACAAAAACTTCAATCAATCACGTCACAAAAAACACCAGTAACCAACAACAATAATATTCGACATTTTACCTCTAAAAATGTAAAAGAGACCTCCTCAAGTGTAAATACATCAACTAACGGAGATACTGACGAGGATGGTGACGACGAGACATTGAAAATGATGAACCAATTCAAAGAAAAAGCCATCGCCAATGAAAAACGGGTGAAAATGTTAAGAGAGCAAGGTGAAAAATATAAAACAGAAAATATGAAACTAAGAGCGCTCATACAGAAAGAAGTCGGCGAAGATGTACAGATTGATTCTCTCTTGAACAACAGTGAAGGTTTTAGAGGAAGAGCTCAACAAATTTATTTGCTCAAAATCAAAGTCAAAGATTTACAAACAAAGATTGACCAATTCTCACACAGCCCTCAACCAAACTCGAGCTGTACCTCTGTAAATTCTACGACCGTATCTCCTAACATGGAAACATCGTCAACAATTTCAACACTTTCTTCGGTTTCAGTGGATGAACGCCAAAGAAAGGCCATTGAGAAACTGGAACAGGAGCGCAAAGCAGAATTATTTGATTTGAAGAAGGAATTATCAGAAAAGAATGAAGAGATTAAGCAAGTGAAAGGAAAGCTCGAGGCCTCTGTTGCTCGATGCAAGAATTTAGAGAAATCGTACAATGAAATGAAGGCAAAACAAACGAGAATGCTTGAAAAAACAGAGAATGACAACAAATATATTGCATTGTTAAAGGCAGAGCTTGACCAAGCCAAGAAAAAAGGTCTGACAAAATCCGGATCCACCACAAATGTAACTAGTTCTCCGCAGCAGGAGCAAGAAATTAAGAAATTGGTAAGTTTTTTGGATTTTAGCAGTTTCATACAGAGGAGATGGCTATTTGAAAATACCGATCCGATAATATACTCTTGAATAGACCAAAGAATTGGAACAAAAAGAAGAAATTATTCGATACTTGAAAAACGAGCTACAAACTACAAGCAAGAAAGCTCTGGAGTCCATGCAGTTGAGTTTGCTTTCCTCTACCGACATTAAACAGGCAGGTATTGTCGATAAAAGTGGCGATGAAGAAGCAAAATTGAAGTTGACAATTTCCACCATTGAGGTCGAAAAGTTGAGAGAGCTGAAGAAAATGTCTCAACAAAAAATTATGGAATTGGAACAAAAACTGCTGGAAGCGAATGAAATGCTGCTGAAGGAGCGAATGACGAATGCAGAGCTCGAACGAAAATGTCATCAATTTATGAAAGGAGAAAAGCCAATTTTCGAAGCGATCACAAATCCTCAATTAGAAGATGAAATTGCAATTTTACGAGATGAAAATGAGGCTCTTAAACAAACGATCGAGCATTCGAAAAGAGCGAAGGAGGAAGAAATCAAATCTTACCTTGATATCATTGACTCTCAAAAGCGCAACTATGAAACTTATATTGGTACTTTGAAAGAAAAACTTAGCAGTGTCTCCAGCAAGAGTACGGACACACTTCCCTCCATTCGACAAAGTTCTCCTCAACCACCACCATTGTCAAAAGACGATGAAAAAAGTTCTTCCAATGAGTCCAAATTGCTGGAAGAAAATGAACAATTGAAAAAACAATTATCCGAAATTAAGAACATGTACAATTCATTAGCATTCTCCCAACAGCAACGAAAGAAATTCACTCTCAAGTAATGAACTGATTATAAAACACTTAACTTATTCCATTCAACAGATTCATTGACCCATATGTAAATCATGGAGTTGTTAATACAGCCAACAACAGTTTGCTGATGAGTATTTATTATCATGAATGTGCTCTCTTTACAACACTTTTGAATCTTGTGAAACCTAAGGTACATTTAAACTTGTTGAACCACAGTAGTTGTAGTAGTCATCATAAAGCTGCTACCATTGTTAGGATGATGGTTCATCACTTGCATTGGAATCATTACATTCTGTCCACCATTTCCTTCATATTTCTTTATATCAAACCTAATAAACTTGTTACGGAATGAATGTTGATACAATTCATTGAATCCAAACAAGACAAACAATCCACATGTACCAACGGCCAATAATCTCTCAGTCAAATGATAGGTCAGCAACTTGCAGAATTTTCCTCCACTCACATCAAAACGTAATTGCATCTCTTGTAAGGTGTGTTCCATTCGATGTTGAGGACATGCAAACATGGGGTACGGAGTAAAAAACGTTTGATCTCCTGTCGGAAACGGAGGCAATGGTTGTTTCTTCAACTTGCTCTTCTTGGCATGTTCATTAATGGCTGGAATCATTTGAGGATGAACCACACAGAAACGACCAGGACCCATTTGAATCTTGGAAAAGTATTTGGGATAATACCACGAATCAATGAATGGTTGCATCAAACCAAAACACAGAGTATTGGCCCATTTCAACACACAATAAATCAATTCATTGACAACTCCCAAATAAACACTATAAATCTTGATCGTGCCCAAACCTGCTTGACCATTTCGTTCACACTCAGGTTCCCATACGAGAAAATGATCTTGCAAATCAGATCCCAAATTCTTTCTCTTTTTAGGAATCTTGATGGGTTTTCCCCAATAAATTCTCGCATCAATTTGAGACAAGAAGAATTCATGAGATTGTCCACAAATGGTCCACAAATTCAAAGTAAAGAGATTTAAGAGTTTATCCACGACAGCGAGCATGAACATTTTCAAATTTCCTCCCGTCTTGTATTTCAATCGACGATTTCCAAGAATCATTTCCTTAATTTCACGACGACGAACGAGATTGACCATGACAAGATCACCCATTTTGAAGAAGAGTAAATCAATGAGTTTTTGACCTAACCAAATGAGAATGGTTGAACCATCGGCAAATCTCTTGTTTTTCACACTGTCTTGGATCAAGTCAGTTTCAGAAATGATCTTTCCTGGAGGAAGAGTAGAACTTGAAGTCATGATCATCATGGGTTGAGTCGAAGTGGTGGTCATGGATGGAATCATGAGAGGAGGTTGTTGTTGTTGTGGAACCATCATCATTGATTGAGGAGAACCAGTGGTCATGACAGGTGGCGTTTGTACCACTACATTTGGTAAAGGTTTACGAAAACTTTCACTTGGAGTCAACGTTGGAGTATTGGGTTGAGGTTGAATGGGATACTGAACTCCAGAATTCATTGGAACAACACCTTGAATGGGCTGTTGCTGAACCATCGTCATTGGTTGAGATGGAGGCACCATTGGATTCGTCATCATGATTGGATTAGGAGATTGTTGAATCATGGACTGAGGAGGTTGAACGAGAGCAGCTGGATGGTAATTATTGGATGGCATGGGAGGACCTTGTACTAATGGTTGCGGCTGAGGCTGTTGTTGTTGGGGAGGAGGAATCATTGAGAAAGATTCAGGTTGGGTGTGTGAATACATTTTTTTGAGAGTCGGTGTGCAAAAAAGAGGTGCGAGGTGTCAAATGCCAAAGGCGCTATTCCAGTTGTCAAGAGGCAATTGATGAGGTTGGCGCACACAGCGGATATTTGAATCACGTTGAATGTTAGTACGCTTAGTAGGTGTGATGATCAATGATTTTCATGACGATTTTTGGAAAGTCAACTAGTTTTCTCATGAATACTATCATAATATGGAAAGCCATCTTTTTTGAATGCTATCGACTATTCTTGTTCGTTCGCATGTCTTTTCTCATCCATCTGTTTGATGCAATCCTATTTGAAAACATTCATAGCAAGCAATGTTCATCCTCAGAACCAATTCAAGAAAAATGTGTCGAGAGAGATCTTCAAGAATATTAAATTTGAATATTTGGAATATCATCACCCATTCTTAGGGTTGGTGCTCTTCTGACCTTCCTCGATGGTTATTATTTCATGTGGGTATCTCTCTTGATGTAGTACAGCGATTCAGCAAACATGCTGGATTCGGCTCTCAAAATTTTGAATACATGATACCTGTACCATCATCAAGAAGAAGAGATTTAACCGTTTTCAATCCCGAAAAGAGCACACTTGGAGAGATTCCATCACTCAACTATTACTAGTAATTGATGAATTTAAAAACAATAAGAATAAGAAGCAGAAGGCTATATTTCATATCAACGTTGGCCAATCATTGATCATCCGATTCCATCATGATTCAACCACCACCTCACGAAGAGAAATCTCAACTCGACCCTAACACCATCATGGTCCATATAGATTACCTTCACAAGAATCAAGTGGATATTAAAGCCTCTCAAAGTGTTGTTGCGGAAAATGATACCAAACATTATGAACAACAACATCAAGAAGAGGATTTGAAGATAATTATTCCTCAATCCGAAAGTATTCCTTATGTATTTCCTCATCCAACAACAACAACATTGGAAGTGGAAACTTCAAGAATTTCTTCTCCACGCGCATCTTCATCCCTCTCAAGATTATTCCTAAAGAAGAAGAAGCGAGAAGAAGCATTTGCACCAAAATTCAATCCATTGAATTATCGAGTGCTGTATGAGGAATTGATGCAATGTGAGGCTGCTCGTGAACATTTTCAACACTATCTCAAATCGGTTCATAATGAAGAGCCTCTCCTCTTTCTCAATGCCCTTAATGAATACAAACAAGAGTATGCACGAGTGAGGGCAGAGATGACTGCACTCGTGCATCGACGATCTTCATGCTACGATGATGCTAGCATGTTTTCAAGCACAACTTCAACAGTGTCTGTATCAACTGTACTAGCCTCTACTCCAACCTCGAAATCTCAATTCAGTGGCCCAGTTGAGGAAGAATCATGTAGCTCAAGTAGACGCAACTCTTCATGTCCGTCTTCACCTTCGTCTCCAACTTCCCCCACGCGCTTGAATCATCATCCTTGTAAATTTCGTCTCCTTTCTCAAAAACTTCATCAATGTTCTTGGGGTAACAAGCTTCACACAACGACCTTGGACGAAGAAGCCACGATTTTCAAACGAGTCATGCTGCTATGGGAGAAACTAAATGAAATTTCTGACTTGTTCATTGCACCCTCCAGCAAGTATGAATTGAATCTTTCCAAAAAGCACTCGGAACCCTTAGTGAATGCTTTTTCTGATATTGCAAGCTTGTTGAATGCCATTCGTCCCTTCTTGTCCATAATGCCTTCCTCTCCAAGCAAGCTCAGCAAAGAAAAACGAAACTCTTCAAACAGCAATGTGGCAGCTGCTATTTTAGAATTGAGACGAAATAGTGAAGCTTCCACTCGGTCTTCACATACGAGTGCAAGCTCTGGTTCTGGTGTATCGAGTGAGGATCAAGTTGTGGATTATGAAGACAATATCTTTTACAGCCCATGCAGAATTCTTGAAAGAATGAATCCAGATCTGTTGTTTACCTCTATTGAATTTCAAGTGAATTTAGATTTATCAATGGATCAACTTCCACGTTATGCTCGCTCGAAAGAGTTGTTCACATTTCTTGAAGAGAAGGGAGAAGATTTTACGAGATCGATCGCGTTGGATATTTCTAAAGGTTCCCATTGGGATATTCGATTCAAATACAATGATTTTCATTCTCCCTTTATTACCGATCGCGACATTTACTTTGCTTACATGCTCTCTAAAGATACACCAGATTGGGAAGAGTTGTCCTTCTCAAGCCATCCGAATCTATTGCAAACATTCTTTTCGAAAACATCCCATACCATTGGGCAGGAGAAAATGAAAGGTTTAAGGTTATTTAAGATGGTCTTACATTTACCCTATAATATCGGTAAGTATTTGACATACCACTGTTAGCACAAGAATTGATAGTAACACTGATTGATTGATCTTTTTCAAACTATTAAAATAAGAGGATGTATGGGCATGTTATTGTGACGTCAACTGTCGTTTGGAAGTTGATTTTAATTTGGGTGACGATTTACGTTTGGATGATTATCTTTCACCAGTCCTTCCAAACACTCCTGAATTGTTGACCAGCACTCCAACGACTGCTCACAACCACAGCAACCACAGTCCCCTCTCATTACAATTTGGTTCAGGCACACTCGATCCTAAACTTCCGTTTGTGAAAACAAGATTCTTTCCTTTCGTAATGACATCGATCAAAGATCCACATACAGAGGGTTATGTGGTTGTTGGCCACACCAGATCTCTACAAGATCCTATGGGCCTTAATATCAACAATAAGGAAGTAGCTTCTTCTCTTTTTCATTACATGCTCTTTCCGTTGGGTGACCATTCTACTCGATTGGTTCACACATCGTACACTGATTTTCTTTTACCAATGGATTCTAAGAGTATTGGAAGAGCAATTTGGAAGAAACGATGTAAAATGTTACAAAATGGATTTCATAAGGTTCTGAAAGAAAGGACCATGGGCGGAACAAAACATGTGGAATTGTCTCGAGTCCATGACAACATGAAATACTTCCAATGTGTGAAAGATAATTCAGAAAGATTTAAAAATCGTTCCTGGTTTTTGGAATTTGAATCTCTTTCGAATTGTAGTAACAACAACAATGAAACAATAACCTAGTTTAACTTCAGATTCTTCCTTGTGTCAAGTATTTTCAAATAACATTTTTTAAATGCAACAAGTGTGGACAGGAGCATGCATCAAATACAGCAAACACCCTTACAAACACCACAACAACCAAAAAGGCAACGCAAACTCTTATTTGTAAACCTCAATCCAAAAAAAAACTTACAAAAAAATTTTCAACATCTCTCTTCGCTCGCGACAAGCGTCAACCAACAATTTAAAAAAACAGCCTAACTCGCATTTCATCATGATGAAAACAAACGTCGTTGTAGCAGCTCTCGTACTTTTAATTTTCGCTGCCACTTTTATTACAGCCGCTACACCCAAAATTGATCTCGATGCTGCCATTGATAAATTGCCAGCTTCCGATGAGAGAAAGGATCAATTACATGAATTGAAGGAATTCGTTGCTACTCCACTCTTTGAAGCAGCAAAGGAGAAGGTCAAGGAATATGAAGCAACTCATAAACAAGAAGTCAATTCATTGAGACAAGAATTTGCCAAGTTGAGAGGTCAATATGAAGAAAAGATTAGAGCAAAGGTTGCTGAAATTAAAGCAAAGAATCCAAAGGCATACTTGATGAACAAGCAAGAAGAGGTTCTCAAGAGCATTAAAACTAACCTTGGAATTTAAAGATGTTGTGTATGAATGTAAATACAACAGTGTAGCTAACGTCAAGACTGACTATCGTCATCTTTTATGTTTTTGTACAATACTTTCACTAGCTCAACAAAATTCTAATAAACATGTGGTGTCACAAATGAACACTCATTCATATCGGATGGAAACGAGTTGTTGTAAAGTACAGCTATAAATTAACAATTTGCACGTTTTTTTGTTGCTATCGAGAGTGCCCACTTCATGAAATTAAACAAATAATTTATCAAATTTAAAAATCAGGATTGAAATTTTGCCTATTCCAACTCTGCAGATTGTAGAACACTTCCAGAGCCGAAAAACCATGCAATACTAAATTGTGTCAAGCAACTCATTATGAACAACGAGAGAAGTGCATATCCATGAATAGCTCTAAACTTGTCACCAAAACCAAAGGATGATACTGCACCAGCACATGTCAAAACTAAAAAGAGACTCAATGTATATGCTGGGGAAAGCCATTCAAATTCTCTATTGTAGCCATAAAAACTCAAAATCTGCAGTAAAACAAATTTCAAATATATTAAATCAATATAAAGAAAGAAATGTGTCACTCATCATTCCACAAATTTCTTCAAAATTCAACTTACACCAGTCAACAATGTAGTCTTGGAAATAGTACCTCCAACCAAATTACTGAATGCAATGTTAATATTTTGCAATTTTCCTTGTCTACTCAATGAAATAGATTCCAAAATTTCAGGAGCCTCACTTGCAATTGGAGCAAAGAAGAAGGCCAAAGTTAATGGAGTAATTCCAAGAGATTTTCCAATAAGGACAACACTTTGAATGAATGGATCTGAAAAGACATAAATTAATACTCCTCCAACGACAAGATAGAGCACACCCTTATAGGTTGGTTGTTCTTCTTCTTCCTCATCTTCATGTTCTTCATGATGCCCGTGTGCTTCATCTTTTTTACTCAACAGAGTGTACATGATGAAGGATGTAAATCCAAGAACACCTCCAATACTGTTCGTACAATGGTGTTTCATAATATACAGTATTTTCAATCATCCAATCGGAATAAATTTCGTGTCATATTCATTGCATGATTCGTTCCATGACCATTTCAAAACATGGAAAACAAAAGATGAGAATGCACAAAGATCTTGTTAACGAACCTACCAAATCAACATTTGAAAACCAAATAATAATGTACTCAACACAAATACCAAGCTGTACATGAGAAATCTTGATTGTTGTTTAACCTTTGGGAACAAGGTGATTTGGTTGGAATCTTTATGCCGAGCGTTGGATCCAATGACCACACATAATCCTACTGCAACTGTACAAACCACAATCTGAAATGATGATTCATAAATGAACGTTATTGAAAATAATTCCATATATATACCGCGTGGTAGTTCAAATTATTAATTCATCATCAAAGAGTTCAAAAATTATCATCGGAATGATCTAAAAATTAGAGGACCAAACCACTACTATGATGTCATCATGACTTACCACTGAACCCGAGATGGCTCCCATAGCAAACGTTGGTTGATTGGAAGAAAGAGCCGATATAAAAAAGATGGTTTCAGGTAATGTATTCAATCCGGACAAAATAATACCACCCACAACAGAAGCATCATACTTTTCACCCAAGATATCACCTCCCTCCGAAACACACCATGCACCTCCAATCAAACAGCCCAGATAAATTAAAAAGTAGAGAAAGTGGAACATTTTTTTAAAGGAAATGTGAGAGGATTTGAAATCTTGAAAGATTTTATAGAGAGCAATGGTTGTCCATGATGTTGTTCAGAAATTGGGCAATGATTTATGGGGTTTTAAAGTTGTCCATGATCAATTCCAAATAATGATGGGTCATATAGATATTAACGATTAACAATGGTATTCTCTTTTTAACTCTCAATTTCATGAATTTTCAAATGCATGGACACGAACAAGACACGACCTCATATATCCTATCATGCACCCTCTCAGTGATCACGGATGAAAAGCCAAAGAGCTCTCTCTCTGAACTTGCACCGTACTTACTCGCTTTTTGACAAGAACATAAAAAAACACAAAACAACATCACTCGCTCACTCACTCACTCTCTCCGGGTCGGGATCCTCTCTACGTTGTACATCATTAGCCTCTTCGGATTTTGATTTGTTTAAGAGTTCGAACGTCATCATCGTCGTCATTCTCGTGTCATTGTTGCAGCAATCATTCAACTCTTCTCATTTCGGAACAAAATCAAAAGCCTTTTGGAATTTCATGAAATTTTGAAAGTCTTCCAACACGTTTTATGATTTATATAAAAAAAGACACATTTTCATCATCATCATTATAAAAAACTTGTATATCCATGAACTTTAGCAGTCCATTCATTGATTCGTCACCAACACGAGGTTCTGGTTCGAGAGATTTTGATATTTTTGATGCCATTGAAAAACGAGATTTGCAATTGGTGGATAAATTTCTGAATATTGGAAAAAACAAAATTGAAGATGTATATAGTAATTCGAGTAAGATGATGTCACTGGAGGTAAGTTTGAATTTCCGTGTCAAGGAATGAAATTAATATTTTACAATTTCATCATGCAACGTTGTAATATTTTGAAAACGTGACGATCGTATGAAATTGGAACTTGAATGCCATGACACACAGGGTTATACTCCATTAGCACTTGCTTGTCAACTCGGTGCTGTAGACATTGTAGAATATTTATTGAAAAAAGGAGCAAATCCAAACAAATTTATTCGACAAATGACAGATTGTTTTTATGTCATTCATGTCGCTTGTAAGGGTGGAAATATTGATGTCATTACCCTTCTAGAAAAGTACAATGTGAAAATGGAAGTGAAAACAACCTTTGACGAAGAGGTATGTATTGTGAAAGTAGTTGTGTGACAATTGAGTTGTAATTTCATACAAAAAGACGCCTCTCTATACTTCTGTGAAAGAACGACAATATGAAGTGTTGAAACATTTATTAGAAATGGGAATGAGAGATAATTATACCAACAGGGTATGTTTTTTACTAGTAGTTCACAACAGAATTTTTGGTATTGACCATTATTATTGTTTCATGTTAACATTTCCATTCATCATGGGACACCACATGAAATTGGTCAATCATGACGTCATTGAAATATAGAATGGAGTAAGTATCATGATGCAAATAAGAAAACTGAATTTAGAACAATTTTTAGATGGTAAGTATGGAGCGAATGGCATTCATGATGATTTTACATTTCCTTCCAAATAATTACACAAATGCCATCCATTCATCATTCACAGAGATGTATACACACATGTTGCGAAATGATTGGAAAATCCAGCAAAAATCCAAAAGCAGAATTACAAATTAATACTGAAAACAAAATTTTGTCACTCTTACTGAGATATCATTCGACCAACTATATGGATGATTATGCCAATGCAAAAACAAAAGAACCAAAAGCAGATTCGAGTAACAAGGAATTGCAACGAAAATTATTGGCTGAACGATCGCCATTGCTCATTTTAACACAACTCGACGCTCCCAGTGAAAGTATTGAATTGCTCATTGAGAAGAATGCAGATGTGAATTATGCGCATCCGGACACACTCATGACTCCTCTTCACTATGCATGTCTTAATAATAATGAAAAAGTGGTTAAAACTTTACTCCTTCATGGTGCCAACAAACTTGCCATAAGCACTTCGAATCATTTACCTGGAGATTTAACACGAAATAAGAACATTGTTGAAATGTTAAACAAATTTTCGAGATTTGATACCATTATTGAAAATGCAAAACGAATTGAAAAATTGAGAATTATCGATGATATTTTACATCAACGATCGATACCCGAAGAAAAGGTCGAGGCCTTCGCTCAGGCCCTAGAATACATGAAACTATTCAAGATTGATAAATTCGAACAAGAAATGTTGAACACAGCCACCGAGTTGAGAACCTTCTTTACAAATTACTTGGTAGAAGCTGCAGAACATGAAAACAAGGATGCCATTCGATTTTTAATCAAACGCTACGATGTTGACATTAATCAATTGACAGTTAAGGGTGTGAAAAGTGCAGAATCCATAGAATTTGCAAGACAATGTTATCTTGAAAAGAAGGAGAAAATTTTAGCGATTGTTTACAATGGTCAGACATATTCATTCAAATATACCTCCTCAACTTCTGAGTTTGAATTGAGAAATTTCATTAATCAGAAAATCATTAAGAACAGAATTGTGACCATGAGAGAAATTCGATTTGAATACACTTTGAACTCGAAAGTGTTATGGGCTACAACAAGTGAACTTTTTAGACAAATGATGTCTGATGCGTATAAGAGTGGAGAAGAAGTTTTCAGAGTGACTCTTGAATACAAAATGGAAGATTGGACAGAGGTATGTTTTTGGAAGTTTCTAATATGTGTGATAATGAAATTATGAAATTCATGATTCATTCATATAATGCACATCAATGAATTGTTGATAATTGTCACTCTCGTGTACAGATCAGAGAATTGGGAAGAGGTCAATTTGGATGTGTCATGCTTTGTATCGACCACAATGACAAGACTCTCTTTGCACTAAAAGTAATTGATTGCTCCAAGATTAAGAGAGAGCTCGATGTATACAAGAAAGACAAAGTGAAACATGAAAATATTGTACAATATTTTGATTACAAGTCTGGTAATGGAAAATATTATATCAAGATTCAATATTTACCAGGAGGTAATTTATTTGAACTGTAAGTTATTGAACAGTTTTAAAGGTTCCATAATGATCTTTTCACAAACCATTCACAGAGTGAATCATCTCGAAGTGGCCCATAATAGACATCTTACCATGCATCGACTTGCATTGTACACTCGACAATTATTATCTGCGGTAGACTATTTACACAAAAATCATATTTATCACTGTGACATCAAACGTAAGTATTTCATTGACCGATTGTTATTGATTGATTCCTTTCATTATTGTTGTCACACTTCAACAGCTCACAATATACTCATAGAAACGACAGATTGTATTAAATTAGCAGATTTTGGTGAAGCTAATCCAGAAGGCACTACACTCAATCACGAATTTGGAACCATTATTTATTTGCCACCAGAGGTCATTAAGGCAAGTCATGTAACCATTGACTATTCCATTGACATTTGGAGCATTGGAGTGACTGTTTTACAGCTCTATCTCGGTGGTAAAAATCCCTATGAACTCATTCCAAACTTTCTCGAAACATATCAGCAATCTGCAAGCAAGCAAATTACTCTTCAAAAGTTAATTGTACAATATGGATATCAACTTGTAGAATATTTACCTTCTTCATGTGACAGTTCACTGAAAGCATTCTTAAAAAAGTGTCTCAAAAACAAAGGACGACCAACCACAGAATCACTTCTTTCACACCCATTTCTGAAAAAGTACTATTACTCTGATTCGCAAAACATTGGATTTGATTTTTCACAAGAGACTGGATTTCTCCTTCAATATCTCAACGAGAGACAACACGGAGCCAAGAAGGAAGAACAAAATGCTCCACAACTCATTGAAAATCAAAGTTCAGTGACACTTTCAAGTAATCATGTCACACGACGAGGCAGTAGCATTATTGCCTTTTCGAAAAAAGTTCCAGAATTTGATGACTCGAGCAACCATCCTTTCACACCCAAAATGACAAGCAAATTAAGTGGTCATATTGCCACACCATCGTCGTCGTCATCGTCTGGACGTCATCATTCAGCTACTTCTTCAACGTCTACCAGTGGTCACAACAATGGTAATAACAAACATATTCCCAATTCTTCTCCTTCTATCCACACATCAAATACTATGAATGGATCAGTGTCATCACCAATTATATCATTGAATGGAAATATGATGAATGGAATGAATAATAATGGACTTGATATTGGAATCACTGCCTCACCGAATCTTAATGGAACACCAACGAGTACACATTCTGATAATTTCTATTCCAAATCACCATTAATTGAACCTGGAGCTGAAGATGAACAAATGAGATTATTAGATGACATATTTGAGAATATTATGAAAAAGAATAATATTTTTGATGAAATGCTTTAAAATTGTAGACGATGGTCTTCGTGGTTTTGCTTTCGGATTTGTAATAAGGTCACTTGTTTTTCACACTTCAATCCTTTTATGGAACGGAAGGCAAAAGCATGAGAAAAAAAATGTTCTTGACAGAATTGCTCTATTCGATTAAATATAATCCCTCTTTGAAATTAAAGCTTTCAATCATGTATGTGTGTTCTTTGAATTGATCCGAAATTAATAATTCATTGAACCATGGTTCGGCTGTCAATTGTCAACATGTAAATATTCATGATGTAATTTTTCAACAATCCACGATGAAAGATTTTTTGGTGCTCTCGGATTCTTAGATTGCATTACCTCTCTCCCCATCGGTCTCTACGGAATCCTCGTCGGAGGCTTAAACTCCCCCAACGCCGATGAACAACATGATCAATGCAGACACGAACTCCTTTTAAATTTAATCATTGGATTAGGCTTTCTAGACATGATCGGAGCAACTCTTTCTCTTTCTTTCGGATCTGTACTCACCATCATGACTTATAAATTCTTTTATGATTCCAATCCGAATGAAAATGATGATCAATCCGTTTCGGAATATGGACATTTTAATCAAGAACCTTCTGACTCGATCGAATCCGTTGAGAGTAATCCTCATCATCATCAGGACCAACACAACAACGATCAACAAGAGATTGAGGCTCAAGAAAAGAAATTGGAACTTTTAATGAAAGCCAATAACCGACTTTCTGCGCGCCTTCACAATACGTTATTCTATCTAGCCGTTACGCGCGCTTTATTTTCGGTTGTGTTTTTCGTTTTGGCGTGTGTGGTGAGTGAAATGATTTTCCAAATGAGTGATTCGTGTGCGAGGGATAATCCTTTCCTTCGAGACACGGCAGCCACGTATATGATTTTGAGATGGATTGTGTATGTGTTTAGTGTGATATTGGCTCTACCATTGAGTGTTGGTTTTTGGAATTTGATTTTGAAAAATTCCGATTCCTTATTGATGAAAATGATTGGAAAAGAATTGAGAAAGTGCAAGCATGGAATTTGGAATTTAATTTCGAGAATGAGAAATAGAGGTGGTAGTAGTGGTAGTGAGAATTCGAGAGAACAATATTTTACAACGAATCAATATCATAATTCGGATTTGTAAATAATAATTTTCACAACGTCATTGTGGAATAATTTAAAATTATTTTTGTTTTTGAAATTTCAGCTGTGAATAGTTGTTCATGAATGAAGTTTGGAATTGTTGTTGCGTTCTAAGAGTTTGTGGAATTGGAATGCAAATGAGTGTAAAGTGGAATGTGTAATTCCTTTCGAAGGAAATCAAGAGTGTCCATGGACCATCGCAAGCTCTGAGCTCAGTTCAAAATCTGGTATCGATCCTTAATAGACGATGAAGAAAAATCCAATTTCTTTTAATTGATCATTCCCTCTATTGTGCAAGGGCGATCTTGTCAATCACAAAAAATTCAAACTTCAATGACAGCTGACGGGCGCTCAATTCAATTTGAAAAAAAACGTTTCACTTCACAACAGGCACTCCTCTCTGTAGCCACACCAACAACCAGTATACTAGTTCTACATTCATCATCCTCTTCCCTTGAACTTGCTATTGAACTCTCAACAACAACAACAACGAAGAGAAATTTCCAAAACTCTTTCTGAAACAATCCCTCTCTTCCTCGATAATTTCACCACACATCAACCAATTTTATTGAAATCGATCCATCCAACAGGAACAAGAAGGAACAACATTATAACGGCCGTCACTTTGTAATCAATTTTTACACCCTTCACACCCTTCACACCATCGCCATCACACACAAACAACACTTTAAAAAAAATGTCTTCAACTCCTCCTTCCAAGAAGAATGATCATGATGATATTGACAATGGAATGGTCATGACAACAACAACACCACAACCACCCCCATCGACACCAACTCCTACACACGTGCACGTTCATCAAACCACATCGTCCAATACTCCAATTGTCGATGCTGCCATTGTTCAATCGGATGATGGTGTTTGGTTGACCATTTACGATCCACAAACAAAAAGACATTACTATCATAACAAATCGACTGGAGAAACGACATGGTCTTTACCCATGAATTTGAGTTCTCCAAATTTGAATACAACATTGAATGTCTCGACCAAACTTCATGAAAATTTGTCGTCATCAAAAACACCAATTTCACCTGTCGTTGAAATGACAGGAAAAACTCCAACCTCCATGACTCCCAAGACTCCTACGGCTGCTCATAAAGATGAATCATTGATCTTGTTGAATTCAGAACAACCAAAAAGACGTCCATCGAGTCATAATAATGGAACTCCTTCTGGACATCAACGAAGTTTATCTCAAGATAATGTCATTTCAAATTTGAAAAGTCGGTTGTCACATTTACATGCCATTCCTATTAATGTCAAGAAGGAAATTGAGACCCATTCTCCTTCAACTGTTGCCAATTTGGATGTGATTGGAAGTGTTCCTGCAAGTTCTGGACTTTTCACTCGATCTCAATACAATAGTGACGATGAAGAAGATTTGGAAGAAGAAGAAGGTGACATTAAGAATGATGAAATTGAAACTCCTCGTCAACAACAAGCAACGTTGAATGTTGATCTTATCAAGAACCTTTCTGAAGAGAATGAAACTGAGAAACCATTGAGTACTTGCAATGTTCAACTCGGAACTAGCAGTAACAGCAGTGTTTCAACCAATCACACCAACAATGCATCCAATGTCACCACTCCATCAGTTTCCTCTCCACAAATTTCCACACAATCACTCGTCTCTTCATTAGAATTGGAAGATGGATGGGAAACTGCAGTCGATGCCAATACTGGACGAACTTATTATTTCCATCGACAATCTCAAAAATCCACTTGGGAACCTCCTTATAAGAATAAGAAAGTGACACATTATCATACTCCTTCCACAATTGAAAATATTGCTGATTATAAATTGGGAGGAGAAGCAGAAACCAATCAAAGTCCAAATCATGTTGTCAATCAATCATCTTCTCCACACGTTCAACGACCAAAATCTACTCATTTGACAAGTTCTGGAATGGAAGATCATTCTCAAGACACTTCATCTGATTCATTGCCACGAATTACACAGGGTGAACATACCTTGTCCAAGTACGGAGCTACTCATTTCCAAAAATTCAAAAAGGGACTCTTTAAGAAACAAGTCAAGGTAGAAAAATTGATTGAATTCCAAAAGGATCGATTGAATCAAACGTTGCAACCCATTAAAATGGAGCAACATCAAGAGAAGGCTCTCAGATGTTTCGAATTGGTTCAATTGTTTATGGGAGATCGTGCGTTTGATAAGTGTTCACCAACTGTGAAACAAGTGGTGAAAAGTGGAACCAATGTTCATGATTTTTTCCTTTCTAAGGGTAAGTTTTATTTTTTTAAATTTCACACACACACACGACAAATCGAATTTCATGAAAATTTTAAACTATTTTTGAAACACAATGAATTGATGAAAATATTTTTTGAAACACAATGTTTCACACACACACACGCACACACCATTGGAAACATGACTTTTCAATATATATATACCCATACCCCTAATGAATGTATTGGATCATCTCAATAATACCCTTCTCCTCCTCCTCCTCCTCCTCTTGACACAGAAATTCTTCAAATTGCTCTTCTCAATGTTCCTATTCGAAACGAGATTATCATTTATCTCTGTAAACAAACCAACAACAATCCAAAAGCTGACAGTGCTGTCAAGGGTCTCCAACTTCTCGGACTCATGCTCTCAGCATTTCCACCTACTTCGTATGATTTACAGGAAGCAGTTTTACACTTTTTACAACACACCATTGTGACACATCCAAAACTTGGTAAAGACGAACGCATTCGACAATTTTCTCTCCTTTCTGAGAAACATTTGAGAAGATCATGCGTCACTGGTCCAAGAAAAACTCTTCCATCCGATAATGAAATTAAGAACATGTCCAATCCTCATCCACCAGAACCAATCTTTGGTGTTTCCATTGTCGACTATTTGAAATGGCAAAAAGAAAAATTCCCACAATTCGACCCATCGAAACCTTACATTTTATACATTTTGAGTGAAGCTTTAAAGAAGGTGAACTTTTCAAGTGTGGAAGGAATTTTCAGATTGCCAGGAGATGTCTCTCGAGTGGAAGCATTGAAAGACAAATTCTGTAAATGTAATTTTGAAATTGGAGAGAAGGATCCGCACGTGTTGGCCTCTCTTTTCAAGTTGTGGTTGCGTGAGTTGGCAGATCCACTCATTCCTCATCGTCTCTATGAACATTGTGTTGCTGTGGCGAATAGTGAACAAGAGAGTGCTGCAGTGTTGGATCAATTACCACACGGAAATCGTGCCATTCTTTCGTTTGTATTGGATTTCCTCTCGGACATGTTACCCAATTGTAAAAAGACCATGATGACGAGTGAAAATTTGGCAGTCGTGTTCTGTCCCAATATTCTCAGATCGCAATCATCGGATCCGATGGCCATCATGAGAAATGCTGCCTCAGAGAAGCAATTTGTTCGTAATTTGATTTTGAAGGTTGCTCGTCAAAAGGGCATTAGTGAAAAGTAATAATTGTTGTTGTACGAGTTTTTGAGCCATAGTCAGAAGGTTTTTTGACTATTTGTCATTAATTATTAATATAACATGAAAATATAAATTTGTAATCAGTAATACTCATGATTTGAACACATCTTCCAAATGTATGTGAATGGTGATTATCCTTTTTCTCTCTCTTCTATTGACACACAAAATATTCCTAAATTTTAAAATGGTTCACCCTTACCCATATTTATTTCGATATTATTTATCATCGTTTCACAACATGGTATTGTTGAATACAAATTGTATCAATTTATTCATGTCATGTTATCATGGTGTAATATTTGTATTCTGACAATCGTGTCAAAGAGTGAGGGCTCTTCTCTCAAACTTATTGACTAAGCAAGCTCTTGACACTCTTTCTGTAGAGCAATGAATCGACTCTCTTGATAGCTTGAGAGACCAACATCTTGTTTTGTGGAGAGGCAACAACGTTCTTGCAAGCTTGTGGCAAAGTAAAGACGGCAGCAGCAGGCTTTTGATGAATCCAATTAAAATACTCCTCAATGATCATTCCACTACCAACACCACCAGACTTAGTCATGACTTCAACAGGGGTATTGGTTGCTGGAGCATAGAGAATACGAGCGGAGAATCCGAATAACTTTTCATCAAAGACATCGACCTTAAGGGATCCACCAATGACATCAGATCTGGGTCATGCGCCGTATCAAGTATATCATAATGCCCACACCCATTTCATAGGTGAAAACCAGCAATGGTGAGGAACAGATTTCGTATGATGTATATGGAAAGGAACAATATTAGGATGAAAATATTGTCATGAATATCAGAACACCCATTTCATATTTGATGATAAGGAAACGAACGAATATATTAAGAATCAATGCAACAATCACGGTTATTAATGACCAAGAAACAAGTAACACCTACCTTACAAAAGTAGCATTGGATGAAATACAGAATGGTTGTTGAGGTTGAGTAACAATATCAGAATGGCAAAAGTTTTGAGCAATCTCATAAATCCATCTCTTATTGAGTTTGTAGTTGATGTAAACGCTCACATTTCTTGGGACTGGTTCTCTGATGGTCATGTCGGTTCTAGTCAAACCAGCGTCGGCATCAACAAAGAGCATTTGAGTATCAATGAAATCAGTCTTTGGTTCAAACACACGGAGTTGAGTTTGGAAGGATTTATCAAAGCAGTGAGCCTGTTGAGCCTCAATGGAGCAGGCTTGAGCACCCAAAAAGAGCACTAAGGCAGCGAATGTAATAAGGATAGCCTTCATGGATGAAAGAGTGGTGGATTTTTTTTGTGTTTTACAATTTTGGGTCTTCAAACTCTTTGTGGGCCCTTTCAAGTTTGAATGTTGGCCAAATTTTACCAGCGAGTTTGTTGGCACGTGTTTAGATAAACACATGTAATATTTCCTCACGAACGAAACATACAGGGCACTCAATCAAATTTTTGGCGCTTTCAAAAAATGTCTAAAAGGGATCATTATTCATTCTTCCCGAAACCACTGCACGCCGAAGAGACGGATGGTACTTACGGAGAAGACATGATCTCGTTCAAAAACAAGAAGCAAAAATTAACTAATAGTGATGAAATTATTAGAATTATTATTGTTGATTTTTCAAATTCTATTCATCGTGATGAAGATGACAGTGAAAATTCCAATCACATACGAAGATTGGAATTATTACTGAAAAATAAATTTTCATTACAACAAATAGGAAAGAAGAAATGGCTTCAGAATCGAGAATTGAAATATTATGAATTCTTTCCAGTGGAGTTTATGAATGATAAAGCATTTGCGTTGAACCATATTAAAAAGTATGGTTATGGATTAGAAAATACATCACCTACACTTCAACAAGATAGAGATTTTGTGTTGCAAGCGCTTCAATACCAGAGAATAGAATTGCGATGTGTGAGTGACACCTTTTCAAATGACAAACAAGTAGTATTAGCAGTGGTTACTCAGGAGGCAGAAGCATTTGAAGATGCCTCTAACGAGCTTCGAAATGACAAGAACTTTGTGCTGGAAGTACTTCAAAAGAATGGTAATGCATTGCTGTTTATTGGACCCACTCTTGTTTCAGATAGAGAGGTTGCTTTAGCTGCCGTGAAGAACAATGGTGAAGCATTAATGTGTTTTCAGCATGGCCCTTTCAAAGACGACAAGGAAATAATTTTTGAAGCACTGAAACAGAATAACCAGGCACTTAGATGGGTATCAAAGAATTTACTTGAAGATCAAAATTTCATATTACAAGTTTTGAAATTATTAGCTTTTCCAGAGCTCACTACGTTTGATTATTCAAACAAGGAAATGATGCTCAAAGCTATCCAAGAATTTGGATTTTTACTCAAATATGCCAGTGCTGAGCTCAAAAGTGATCGAGATATTGTCTTGAATGCAGTAAGGAAAGATGGTAGAGCTCTTGAATTTGCCTGTGATGAATTGAAGAAGGACCGAGAAGTCGTATTTCACGCTGTTCAACAAAATGGCCACACATTTCGATTTGCCTCTGCAGAGTTAAGGGGTGACAGAGAAATTGCCTTGACTGCTGTAAAGTGTACTGGTTATGCTCTTGAATTTGCATCCACAGAGTTACAGAACGACAAGGAAGTAGTATTAACTGCTGTTCGTCGTAATGCTGGTGCTCTGGTAAACGCATCATCTGACATGAGAAGTGATAAGGAAATTTTATTAGAAGCAATCAAACATGATGCATACGCTTTACAATATTCGTCTCATATTCTTAGAAGGGACAAGGAATTTTTATTACAAGCTGCGCAACACGGATGTAACCGAATTCTAAGATGGCCACCAATAGATATACGTTCAGACAGGGAATTTGCACTAAAAGTAGTCAAATGCAACGGCCTCTGTCTAGCATTCTCGGATGTGGAGAAAATTTGGTCTGATAAAACCCTACAACTAGAAGCAGTGAAGAACAATGGGTATGTATTGCATGCAAGAGAAGAATTCCAGAAAGATCCAGAGCTTGTAATGGAAGCTCTCAAAAGCAATGGCTATGTTTTAGAGTACAGCGATGAATTATATCGAACACGAATGGAATGTTGTTACTTTGGAGCGTTTTTAGGCAAAACTGAGTGATCGAATGGAACGGTTCAGAAATCAAGAACCCTTCGTGGCCAAGATTCTAACTTGAAATGTGGCATAATCCATGAACCCTTTGGTTGGATTCAGCCAAGAAATGATACCACAACTCCTGTTATTACATGTTTGACAGCTCAACAAGATCACAGTTCTTGTAATCACATTTTTGAATAAGGCGCATTAGTAAAAAACGTTGCAGCAGGAATGCTCAGTTATTTTTGGAATTTGAAAAAAAAAACTTCAAAAAAAAATGAGCGTTTCCGTGCAGAACATCTTTCCTCTCTTTCAACAATTTAAACAAGCCATCGATACGAATCAGAATGCTCAAGCTGTTCAACAATTGGCACAGCTGAAGGTGAGTTGTTGTTGTTTTTAATTATTGAAACGTAGTTGTAGATAGATAAATTTTTGTTCGGATCTTGATGAAATTCCGATCACGAAATGACGATCGTCTTGATACATTTGGTTGTATGATGATAAATGAACAACAAAAAAGAAACTCTTCACTCAACTGCCATCATTTCTTGCAGTGGCTTCTGGCTTAGTGTATGAACTTGTTCTCAATGAAGACACAAAACAAGAAATTCTATTGACTCGAGAAATTCTTGAGCATGCTGTGATTTTGAGCGCAAAATCAAAAGATTTGGAGCTTTTCGAAAGAAATGTCAAGCAAGTGAAGGCCTACTATGATCTTCGTTTACCTGGAATTAACAAGAGTACTCGTGAAGAGTTAATTCTTGGATTAAATTTATTGAGATTATTGGCCCAAAATAGAATTGCCGAATTTCATACCGAGTTGGAATTGATTCCAATTGAACTTCACAAGAAGAGCATGTACATTAAGCACGCCATCCAAATGGAATTATTCTTGATGGAAGGCTCCTACACAAAATTAAGAAGTTTAAGAGACAAGGCACCTGCTCCTGAATATAATGTCTTTATGGATTTGATGATTGACACAATAAGAAAGGAAATTGCAGACTGTACAGAACTTGCCTATGAGAAAATTAGTTTGCTAGGCATTCAAAAGCTTTTACTTTTCCAAAATGAAAATGAAGCCAGAGACTTTATTGCCTCTAGAATGATGTGGAGCATTGAGAATGATCAAGTCGTTTTTGAACAATCCACAGAAGACAAAAAGACCTTCCAAGGAGCCAACAGAGATGTCATTACAAGGACTCTTTTCTATGCCAAGGATTTGGAAAGAATTGTATAAATTATTATTATTTTGAAACCTTTCCGCATTCTCAAATATATGTGAAATTGGCAAAGCATACAAGTCATGTTGTTGCAATTTGGTACACAACGTGGGGAGCCAGAAAATTGAATTAGACCACATTAAGATTGAAATATTAGATCTTTTATGCGTTTAACACACATTTTGGAAAACAATTATTGTTTTTGTTGTTGCTGTTGCTGTTGTTGGTAACTCTGTAAGAAAGGGGTTGGGTTGTACAACATGTCATAACTTAATATAACGCCAGCTTTTCGTTTCCTAGTCCACGTCTGAACGTCAAAGTAGAAATATGTGCCCTTCTCGCCATCAGGTGTTTGAACAAAATCATTCACGCTTACATCTCTGATGAACCATAATTGAGTAGGTTTGTGATATTTCCAGCCTCTTTTTGTGAGCTCTCTTGCCGCTACAAGCTGTAACACGTCACGTGGCATTGCATAAAACATGTACAGCAGCGTCTCGTCAGAAAACTTTTCAATGTGAAATTCGTGCAGAGGCATGTGAAGCTTGTAACAATCCGGAACTCTGTAATCAGGAATCATTCCAGGAGGTTGAACATCAGAAAAGGGTGATGCAAAATGATGGTAGATTTGCTCAGAAGCATTCAAATTTAAACCCAGTGATGTCAAATCCAGTCCAAGAGCAAGAACAGCCAAATCAGAATCTTTTGCCTTGAAAATGCTTGTCATCCCGAACAGACTGTACTTGTCATCAGCAGTAATTTGACGTTGCTGCATTTGCTGCTGTTGCAAAAGCTGGAGTTGATATTGCCTCGTTTGTTCGTACATGACATACTCTTGAAAATGTTGCTCGATTGTGTTGGCATCAAATCCATTTTGTTGCGCCAAGTTCCTCATTTGTATTATCATGGATTGTTTTTGTTGTGGTGTGTAATTTGAAAGGGCAATACTCTTAAAGATGTTATTTTGGGAGATTTGGGGAAGTTTCATGGCGCTAGATGGAAACGTTTGCCCAGCAAATTGCTGCCCACTATTAATCATTGACAGAATTGATTCTGAAGGCCTATATGAATCTCCTGAAACCCCCGACGATGGTAGTGTCGTATTTTGATTCAAACTACTGCTTGGTGTTGTTGATCGGTTGATGAGTTGTTGAGTAGGAGAAATACGATTCACACTTCCAGGTTGATTACCGATGCTTGCTGATGATGGAAGACCACCGCCTCTAATCGTGGCTGATGATGGAGTCATACCTCCCATACCTCTTTGATTAAAATTGCCATCCATTAATCCGCCCACACCAGAACTGGTCTGATTCATAAACCCACCCATTGCTTGTTGTTGATTTAAATTTCGCGAACCACCAATGATTGTATTAACATTACCGATACTACTCGTATTTGTATTACTACTTCCATTCAGTACCATTGGATTTTTACCACCTAGCATTGGAGAATTTTGAGTGAGCGCAGAAAGATAATTTCCTGCTACTCCACCCGATGATGATCCAATAATACTCGAGGTATTGCTACTCGAAGACGACGATGAGGGATTTACGGCAACGCCCATAAATTGTTGCTTCATTTTTTTTTTAATGTTTTCTTTTGTCATCCTTTTTGACCATGACAAGAGGATCATGATCGCCCTCTGTTCAATTATTGTTGTTGCTACTACTATTTCATTCCCAAACCATACGTGTGTCCAAATCGTTCTAGTGCTCCTTCCTTAGTACTTCATTGATTAATTCGTGCATTACCAAAAGATTTGTCATTTCTTTGTGATTATAATCCAATTCATTAATTGGTCAATCCATTCATCCAATTCCAAATTTTTCTTGCCAGTGGGTCAATAAATGGATGATCATAGTCAGTATCAATAGGGTCAACCTCATCATAGGTCTGTACTGAGGCATTCAAGCCACAAGCAGTTGGAGGTTGTTGTCTTCTTCTAAATTGAAACTTCATCATGAACCGATCCGTTAAGGTGTTCTTCATTCGTCTGTGTACAATTTCGTAATGAAGCATGACAATCGTTCCTGCTCGACATGTCAATGCCACTTCTCGATACTTGGTCTGATTCTGATCGAAAACATATCTATCAGGAACATAGTCATTGGAATAACCTTCATAGTGTGTACCTGTTTGCAAATGGAAAAGAGTTGATTGTTAAGTGTATTTGTTAACATCATCAATGGATCCACAACCATTGTTTCGAACATATTTTGTACAAAACTTACCTCGACGAATGGCAGTTGGGCCCATCTCTATGGTTGTGTCTTGGGGATAGTACATGGCCATAACATGATTTAAGGTGGTAGCGGGTTCTACTGGTCGAATGTAACCATCCTGAAAATCGTCCTTATGCCAGTGCTGTTTGGGCAGGTCATTTTGAATAGTATGAAATTGCCATCATAATGTCACACCAATGGTCAAAACGAATGGATCATATTAAGGAATCCATTGATGTATGTTTCACCAGAACACACAATAATCATGCATCCAAGTATGGATCATCATTGAAAAAACTAGTGAACTTGTTCACACACACATACCTGATCCAGTCTACCTCTCTGACTCAAATGCATATGAGTGGTCGAGAGTGTTTCATAATCTTTTCCAAGCAAACGAGTGAGAACCTTCTTCACTGTCGAATCTGAAAATACATGCAAAATTTGAGGTATCTTGGTCGTGAGGTGATTTCGAACTGAGAGTCCCAATTCCAACATTTCTCTATGAAAACTAGGTCCACAAGTCTTGAGAGCGGCAGGATCAATCACCAAATAGCCATCAATGAGAAATTGTTTCACAAAGCGATTCATCTCCAAAGCATCATCCACTTGTTCTGCAGTGGTAATGGTATTTGGGTGCAAGGGTAAGGCATTGGGAGGTAATTGTTTTGTTTGGAGCTGCACAATGAGTTGAATGGAAGCAGGGTTGGAGAGAGCATCGTTTTGATCTGACCTCTCCCATAATGTGTGTGTATCAAGGAGAATACGAACAATTTGTGTCTTGATCACCTTGTTTCGATCCGAGAACGGAATTATTTGAAGACCAGACGATGATGAAGTTGCAACCACTTCCGAGTGTTGATGCTTCTTCTTTTTTCCTCCTCCCGAAGATGAAGAAGCAGGCTCAATCTCCAATTTCATTAAAGGAGAATTATGAAAGGGAATGAGATGAGGATTGTTCAACACAATACTCAAAGCATCTGCAATTTTCATGGCAGGTCGGTAAGATGTTGTTGTCGATGATGATGCTGTATTGTTGTTCATGATTGGGTTAATTTTTTCTGGAATTGGAAATTCAAAAGCTTTCAATTTCAGTGTTGAGTTCTATTCGGAAGCCATGCAAACATGAAGATGGTTGTGTCTTTGTCATACTCTTTCTCTATGATTCAAACCAAATTGTTTTCATCCAACAACACCAGAGAAAACAAATTCAAAATAAATTTTTCATTCTTTTAAAAAAAATAAGCTGTTTCTGCTTTCTCTGTGTTACACCATCACCACTATTTTTTAAAACACATTTTCATCATCATAGAATGTACTCGGTAGCACGTAGATTTACCTCATCAAGTAATTTGGCTTCCGTATACAAGGCTCAAAGTACCAGGGCTCTTTTTGCCAAGAGTGCTAAATTTGCTCAAAATACCAACAACAGCCACCAACTCTTGTCCCAAGTGGGTGTGGTACAAAAGGCCTTCTCTCACGATGTGCATGTGAACTTACAATTTGGTTTTGAAAATCCACAACAAGTCTTGGATTTGTTGAAGGAACATGGTGGAAAGGTGGAGCAAACCAACAAGTATACCGTTACATACTATGATAGCGTTCCACAAGATGAAGTTCTCTCTGACGCTTCTGAATACGCCAAGCAAAGACAATCCTTCGAGAAATATACCATGACATCAAAAGATACATGGTTATTTAAAATCACTGCTTCTGATGGTTCCACAACTTGGAAGTGCACTTATCCAGTTTCGGATGAGGGAAAAACCCACTTGGATAAACCAATTGTTGAAAGAGCTTTTGCCTACAACACTGCAAATGGAGAACGAGAAATTCGTAGATTTTTGAACTTGCAACAAGACATGACTTCCGAAGCTAGAACTGGTAAGAAATTGGCAACATTGGACGAAGACTTGCGATCAAGATTGGGAGTTGTTCCATTTGCTAAATTTGACATGACTGAAACATTAGTTTCTGTTTCTCCAATAATCAGCTATGCCGCTGTCAATGTTGCATTGAATGAAGCCTCTTTCGGATACAAGTTGGGTTCCCTCAATTGCCATGTCAACAACGCCACTGAAGAAATGGCTATCGACTTGGCTACACACTTGACGCGTATGATGCAGTCAACCAAGTTGAACAAGCTTCAAACACCTTATTTGAGATCCGTCATTCAAGAATACTTGTATAGACATCGTCCATCCACACACTACAAGGTGCTCTTAGACGTTGGTATTCGTGATGATAAACTCATGAACAAGGATTATGCTCGAGAAGTTTTAAATGCTTCTTTGGAGAAGAGAGGTTTGACTCCTCCTGCTGAAGAAGAAGAGGAAGAGGAAAGCAAGTAGATGAAAACGACTTGGCTTTTTAACGGTTTTTCAAAATGTAAGCATTTTCAAATCAATATGGGACTTCCCTAATAAACATGCATTAAATATTAATATTTTATTATTTGAATAAGATGATGGCAAGAAGCTACGATTGAAAGCAGAATTCAACCAAAAAATGAGTCAACAGCACCACACGAGTAGTAGTTCCAATTCAGCAAACAACAGCTCAAAGGCTTCTACCGGCCTCCAGCTGTTTCAGTACTTGATGAGTGAGGAGGAAATGGCAGAGGCAAGAGCGTTTTATGAATTGTTATTGATTGCCGATGAGGAATTTTCCTTAGACAACAAAAAGGCTCAACCTTCAAAGTTTGATCATCAAGCTGGTGCCAACACGAGTAATCCCTTTAGTGCTTTTTCTTTTCCTCCCTCGAAAAGGCAAGACCATACTCCCTCACCATCGGCCGTAAATGACCAGCAAGCAGGTGCATCTTCCTCAACAACAATCTCTATCAACGTTACATCCTCACAAAATACCGACCTAGCTAGCAGTCCTAATAACAACCCCAGTTCAGCTGGTCGCACCGCTGAAACACCCTTACAGAATATTAAGACACGAAGAAAATCCATGTCCGATCAGCAACAATTAACGAACAGAAGAATGACCTCTCGAGACCTGAGAGGGCTATTTCAGAGAATCGGATATAGAATAACCAATGAACAAATTAGAGAAATTATTCAATCTGCACACGAGTCATATTACAGGAAAAAAGATATACATTTACCCAATGATTCTATAAGCTTCAATGAATTTGTCCATCTCATTATGGACAAACCAGAACCTTCAGGAGTTGGACGCAACCAATTATTGGAAGCTTTTAAAATTTTATCAGAGAACGATGAAGAAGGAAAAGATGGTTGGATCAACACGGATGAGCTCGAGCATTATTTAACACATTTTCATTATTGGACAGAGAAATCCTATGTCAAACAAACTGGTGACGTATCGTCTCTCTCGTTTCTCACTGGTGAATCAAAGTCTTTCACAAAACGAGAGTTCAATAAGGTCATGGATATCTTGGATCCATATCGAAGCGGAAGATTTAACTTTATCAAATTTATTGCAATGATCTATGATGGAATTTTACATGAAGATGACAGTAATTTTTCCCATTTCGAACACTTACCTTAACAGTTAAAGAGTAAGGTACTCTGAGAGATCGGTGTTCTTGTGTGAAGAACATATGGCAATGATTCATTGTTAGTTAATTTTACAACATGGTTCATGTTGAATTCAAGATTTTGCTAAAAAATTGAGCTCACATCTTTGTACGCAATGGCACTTTTGGAATATTATAAAACGGATGCCATTCCCATTGTTGTGGTGTGTTGCTTCATCATTAGCGTCTGCATTATGGGTATTGTAGGAGCAATAAGGAAAGTAAGACGACAAATTCTCCTATCCCGAATGTCGTATTCTCATCACACCAGAACTCACATGTTTGCTGTTTCTGATGCCAAAAGCTTTTCAAAGCAATCCGAGTTAGCCTCAGAATTTTCCAAGTATTCCTGGAGAGTTCATAAGGAAATCGTTGAACCCATGCTTCACATGGAAGGTCCTTCGTATGATGATGCTCTTCCTCAGGATGAACATGATTGCAGCACTTTCAAGAATCTTCAAAAACAAGTTTGGTATTGGAAGCCCGACTGGGATCATGAGGCTACTTCTTCGTCTGTAAACTCGGGACAGGCCACTCAATTTACAAATACCACTGGTCTTAATAGCAACAGCTCGATCCATCCTACGACAAACAGGTCCAAACACGACCTCTCCACTCCTCCACTTTCTCACTCAATGATTCATCGTGTGGTAACCTCACCTTACTCGTCTCCGATCAGTACGAATGGTCGTCCTTCTCCTCATACCACTTTAAAAGCACAACACACCTTCATTCCCAAACGAAACAAGTACACTGGGCGTAAATCCAATGCTTCCTTAATTGATCACTCCCCAAACCATCACCATTTCGTTGCATCTCATTCATTCTTTAATGATGATGAAGAAGAAGGCTTGAAAGAAATCTTGATGGAACAAGAAGCAAAGGCAAGAAAAGCCTTTACGGAATATCGTTTACAGCTCTTGAAAACTCGTCCCATCTCTTATCGAGAGTTCATTCAAAATTCCATGACACTATTGGAACAAGTGATGTTACTCAATGATACCCAACATTCTCATTCGTCTTTGGAAGAGTATTCAGTTCGGAATTTGTTGGAACAGATGAGAAATCGATTTGGTTTCACGAATGAAGATGTTGAAATTGTTTTGGAGATTTATGAGCAAGCCATGTTTTCTATTGAAAAACCATGCGTTGGTGGCTCATCCTCTTCATTCATTAGTTCCGAAGTCTTCAATACGTTCTCCAAGAGTTTTCTCAATATTTTGAGACAGGTAGAGCAGTATCATGTGCAGAATTCTCTACTCCTTTGAGAGTTTTGAAGTTCAAATCTTTGGGAGCAAGTCCTGAAATTCCAAAGATACATTACGGACTTGAAAAAATCCTCTCCGCAAACAGCACGTCGGAGTGCCTTCAAATTTTTGTGATCCTTCCTCGCTCACCATCATCAATATTCTTGTTGTTATTGACTCGAGTTATTTGATGATACACTCCCTCATCATCCATTGTTTAATAATTAATTTATTTACTATAGCTTTGAAATTCGGAAATGTCCAACAGCACAACCTCCTACTCATCGATTGATACCGTAGACGTCGTTGTCATTGTTTTATACTTTTTATTTGTATTTTCGATAGGTCTTTATTCCACCATTGTTTCGGGTGTGAAACGATTTTTGAAATATTGGAGAGAACGGAAAAATGGTCGTCATATGATTGTTGGTGATGAAGATGACCCTTATCGAGAGGTTGCCATGCAACCCATTCCATCCAAAGATTCACTCATGATGACGGCCAATGAGACTACGGAGACCACCCATAAAAATGGGCACAGCATGAGTGACATGACTGTTGGCGTCGTGGATGACGATGACAATGAAATTGCATTGAAAGAAGTGGATTTGGGATTTGAACAACGACCAACACAGAATTCAGATGTAATATTGGCAACTAAGCCTACCACTACTACGCAACAGGAACCTTCGAATGTGGAAAGTGACGAAGAAGCTCAAAATGTGAAAAAAGGATCAAAGAATTTCTTTTTAGCAGATGGAAATGTTGGATTTGTAGCCATTGCATGCTCTCTTTTTGCGTCCAATATTGGCGCTGAACACATTTTAGGCTTGTCTTCTTCAGGAGCCTCTATTGGATTAGCTGTTGGAATGGCTGAAGTTTATAGTCCAATTTGGATTTTAGTGTTGGGATGGCTTTTCATACCGTTTTATTTGAAAACTCAAGTTTTTACATTGCCAGAATTTATTGAAAAACGATTCGATCGAACTTGTCGAATGTATTTGAGCATGATGTCACTTGTGATGTATGTCATGACCAAAATTAGTGTTTCAATTTATGCTGGAGTAGTTGTATTTAAGGTGTATGTATGATTCGATATATATTTATTTTTTATGCCACGTGAAACAAATATAATGTTTGACACATCCTATCACCTTAATGATGGACATTTATGCTAAAATTATGATGGTCACTTTATACTTAAAATTCAATGTTTTTTGAAAATTTGGAAATAATAGCTTGCTAGGATGGGATGTTTGGATTTCTGCAGCTGCTGTAGTTATTTCGACTGGTATTTACACAATATTGGGAGGTCTTTCCGCTGTGATTTATACCGAAGTTTTACAAACCTTTGTCATGATTATTGGCGCTACCATTTTATTTGTACAAGGTATGATCAAAGTTGGAGGATATTCAGGTTTACAGAAGAATCTTCCAGACTCTATGATGCATTTGTTCCAGCCTCCTTCTCATCATGACTTTCCTGTGACTGGAGTGTTATTTGGAATGACTTGGACATCGATGTGGTATTGGTGTACCGATCAATCCATTGTGGTAAGTTGTAACTAATTTCGAGAGATTCAATTGAATTCATATGGATCTCTAAATGATCAAAGCAACGAGCACTCGCTGCCAAAGACTTGGCTAATGCCATTAGAGGATGTGTTTTGGCTGCCCTAATCAAGTTTTTACCTCTATTCCTAATGGTGATTCCAGGAATGATCGCTCGAGTTTTGATTCCAGAAGTGAAAGATGATCCCAACTCGGCCTACATTTTACTAATTACAAAATTGGCTCCTCCTGGCCTGAAAGGTCTCTTACTCTCGGCTATTATTGCAGCCTTAATGAGTTCGTTAGCCTCATTGTTTCATTCTTCATCGACCTTATTTACAATGGACTTTTATCGAGTCGTTCGAGAGTATTTTGATAAAAGAAGAATTATGAAAAATGCTCAGCCAATAGTGTCCACCACACCACGCGAGAATGCTTCTGGAACCATCCCAGCTGATCCTAATACTGTAGAGTTTGACCTTCCAAACAGGAATACAGAGTATGTGGTGGTTGGAAAGCTCGCAGGAGCTGTTGTGACAGTGATTGGATTATTATTCATTCCTGTGGTGCAAGTATTGTCGAAACAGCTCTACATTTATACCCACAAGAGTAAGTGTTACAATAATTCAAAAGTGTTACCAATGTCTCTTGGTATTTTGTAAATTTCACCATTTGATACAAACTTGTATGGAAACAAACGATAATAGTTATGGGATATTTGGCAGCTCCAATTGCTGTAATTTTCCTCATGGGAGTGCTATTCAAGTCACCCAATCAATATGGATGCTTATTCACTTTAATTCTAGGTAATACACTTGGATTGGCTCGCTTGTTTTTAGAAGCCCTCTTCAATGGCACTTCGTTTAACATGTACCAATTACCACCTGTGGCTCGGGTCATACTTGATAACTATATTCATTCAAACTTTCTCCATTTCAGTGCATGTATGGCTCTCTTTTCGATCATTTCACTTTTTGTAGTGTCATGGATTACTGGTTCAAGCTCTCCTGAAAAGACTGAACAATTGACCTTGAATTATTCCCAAATTATTCGATCAGCAAGAGAATTCATATCACAACAACAATCCTTTAGTACCGCTTTGAAAGAAAATTCTGGTCACGTAGTGAATGTGATATTTACCATTGTTGTACTCATGACATTGTTTACGTTGTATATCATTTTTAGATAAGTGATATTGGCCCTTTTACCTGAATAGTTCAATTTTGCTCAATTACTCATTATCGAACAATCAAAGGCAAATGATCATTTGCATTAAATTTTGCTCGATTATTACTCATTCTCGAACATATTCTCGACTTGTGATTGATCAAGTGTTCAACAGTATGATTAAAAATCGCTCCATTATTCTTTCCATTCACAGCACGTCCATGAGTATTCATTGCTTCAAATACTCTCAACTTTCTATATTATGTTTTTTCAGACCTCTTGTTGTGTTTCCCAGAAGTTTTGCCAATACCAGTCTTTCGTCACACAAACAAGCTCTACTTGATGATAGACACGCTAATTGGAGAAGAGCAATAAGGGCATGAACCAAACATGGTATCAAATGATTGGTGTGTTCCTGGAATAGATCTCAGCCACTCAACCAAACATTCTGTATGGAATGGCATGCCACATTTCTCATTGTCACAAACCTTATCTGGAACTTTCATGTTCATACGGTACGAATAACAAACACCACAATTCTCAGAGTATTCTTCTTCAGTGTTCATGACATTTGGATCTGTACTCTTCTTGGCTGGAAATGTAATCTCCATGACTGTTTCAAGATTCTCTCGTAATAACTTGTTCAAATCCCACTTGTTTCGATTCTGATTCATTTTTAAACGCAGTGGAGAAATGATCGAGTCAGAACCGAGTAATTTGATGTCTTTTGGTCTCTCTCTTGGTTTAAATGGATCTATTTGCAGTTGAAGTGAGCAGTGATTTCCAATAACAATACGTCTCATAGTATGGCTACGCGTGGGTTTTTCAGGTTCCAAAATTCTCAAATGCTCGTCAAAATCCTCAATCACTGTGAAAAAATCAGACAACTTCTCAATCATCTCCCTGTACTTGTCATGAATAACACTCAATGATAATACATGTTGAGTGTTATCATCGTCTATCATTACATCATTTCGTACAATATGGGATGAGGATATTTTGCTCAACTCTGCATCCACAAGCGCTTGGCATTCCGGTGGAATCTCAGCCATTGTGTCCATGGTTGACGTATGGACTTCAACGTAGTGATTTCGATCTTGTAAATCAGTAATGCACAGAGTAACCGTGGATAAGTCTACTTTTAAATCTGCTACCTTATTCCATCCAATTTCATCCACTTGTTTTAAAAATTGCTTGTAAAATGCTCCTGGATTAAATAAATTTTCGTTCTTGACACTTGTCGTTGGGAGCACGTTTGAATTTAGAGAATGTATTTGAGAGAGCGAATTTTTCATTTCACACAATAGATTTGCACATTGTTGCGAGAAGGGTGCATCCACATCATTTTGATGACATTTTAAAAGTCTATTCACCAACAAGTGTTCAAAAGTTTGTGGTATTGGCTGATTGGAAGAGGATGATGCTGAACGTGTTGTATTTGGTTTTTTAGCTAACAATTCCTGTAAGGAAGGACATGTTAAGATCTGTACTGATTGTAATTTTTTATCTTGTAGTCCATGATTGATATCGTAATGATGAGTGCCATCCTGATGATTAGATCGGCCAACAGTTGTATTGATTTTTGGTTGAAAATGTACTTGACAAGGCCATTCCAACAATGTTTGATCATCATCGTGATCCAAAGTAATAAATCCATGATAACTCGTAAAATTCTTATCCCGAGGAACCAGCAATGGTAATTCCAAAGGAATAGGACTCTTCTTTTCCCGAGAATCTTGATGATGATGATGTGATGAAGAGAAATCTTGTTGCCATCTTTTCATTTTTTTTTGGAAGAGTTATTCAATTGGGATGAATATTAAATCCACTCTTCAAAATAACACAGTATCAGATTTATTTTCTTCTGGTTTATTATAAATTCTTATCCTATTCTTTGTGAAAGAATTGATTTCTTTTGTTCTTTCAAAAAACTCGAGTTCAAAAGAATTGATGAAAAAAAAATTCAACAATGTTTGTCAAGAAACGTTCGGCCGTTGCAGACACAACAACAACCACTCCATCATCGGAGGAGAAGGAAACAACATCAACAAGAAAGAAGAGTCTGAGAAGTTTAATCAAAAAGAAGGCAGAAAAGAACAAGCAAGTAACAGACTCTTCCATCCACATGGAAGATGATGATTTGATGGACTTGCATCATGATGATGAATCCAAAGAAACAACAACAACAACCTCTCAAACACAACAACAACAGAAGAAAAATGTCTTGCTCAACGATAATCTGACAAGTATCTTATTCGGAGGCTATAAATCAAGTATTTCAACCAATAATAACAACAATAATTCATCCTCTTCAACACTTCTTGGAATGAAGAATGGATTTGATGCTAGCACGACAATGACCGATGATGAATTATTTGGAGTTGCAAAGAATGCTGATGATGAACACTCTCTTCGTTCCGAAATTGAACAACAAGAAGATTCTGATTTATTCTTTTATGAGAAGCCTTCCATTCAGACTCGGTCCATCATGGAGGAAGATGAAGAAGGCTCTCAAGCTCAGCATCATCACGATAGAACCTCCTCCTCAAAGCGAGCTACTCCTATTCTTCGATTAAAACCAGCATGGGAAGATGTCTACACAAAAGAATTGAGAATTGCCAATGATTATGATGAAGAAGAGGATGAAGTAGATATGGATGGAATTGCACAAAGTATTATTAAGGGATTTTTAAAACGAGATCGAGAATCAGCTGTCATTTCTGGTGAGCAGTATGAGAAGAAGATGAGGAAAATCTATTCACACCTCTGTCCGGCACCTCAATGGGCCAAACTCAAAGTTGCTCAAATAGAGAGCGAGTTGGAGGATGGAACTAAGTGTATTCGTGAGGTTATTATGGATGAACATAACTTTAATGGGTCTGCAGACGACATGTTACAGAGATCATCTGAGAGTGCCATTGTTCAATCCAAGACCATTTTGGATCGATTCAAACTCTCCTATCAAAAATTGAATGATATGAATGCTCAAGAACGTGTTGGTCAAGTATTTAGTTTAGCATTCCATCCCAAGCTCAATATTGCGGCCGTATTGAATTCTGACAAGAAAATTCGTCTCTTCACTGTCGATGGAGAGTTGAATCCAATTTTAGATCGATTACAAATCACTAATCAAGGTGACAATAATTTGAGAAACATCATGTTCACTAAGGATGGTAAATCATTATTGTCTTTCCTTGAAAAATCAGCATACTTTCTCATTACCGATTTAGATACAGGAAAAACAAGAAGAACGCAAAAGTTATTCTCGCGAAGAACAAGAGGTGACGAAAAAGAAGGAGGCAAATTCTTACTACACAACGCTGTTGATGTTTCCAGTGACAACAAACTGATTGCTATTGCCGATGACATTGGAAGCATTCTTCTCATCTCACGAAAAACTCTCAATATCAAACACATCTTTACGGCCAATATTTCCCAAGTGACATGTGTGAATTTCTCTGAAGATTGTAAATCTCTCTTTGTGACTGGTAAGGGCGGAAAGGTGTTTGTTTTTGATGTTGAAAGTGAAAAGGTCAAGCACATATTTACCGACCATGGTTCTATTCATACAAATTTCATTGCAGTGTCACCTGATATGCAATACATTGCCACTGGTTCTACCTCTGGAGCAGTGAATTTGTATCGTTGGAATGATGTCTTTAATTCTCAATCACCAAAACCACTCACCACATTTATGAATTTGACGACAAGTGTGGACATGCTGAGATTCACTGCTGACTCGCAACTCTTAATGTTTGCCTCAACAGAGAAATCAAATGCGTTCCGTTTTGCTCATCTTGCTTCTCTCTATGTATATTCTAATTTCCCTGGTGAAATGGGTATGAAGAAGCAATACAGTTACAACTGTTTAGCAATGAGTTCTACCTCAGAATTCCTAGCTCTAGGATGTCAAAGTGGTCCTGTGATTTTATTCCAACTTCCATACTATTCCAATAAATAATGTGTTGGGTTGTTGATTAAGAAAGTCTTTGTCGTGACACTATCCATTTACAATGTTGGAGGTTCATGAGAATCCATAATGAAAATATAAAAATTATTAAATTCGATTTAAAAATTAATCTTTAATAATCCACATGAATAAATTCTAGTACAGCACAAGGCCCAAATATTTACTTATTCCACAGCTCTCTTTCCCTCCATTAAGTTACTATTGTTGAAAACAATTCATGAATGTGTGACCATAGAATTGTTATTGAACTTTGAAAACTTACGCTCTAACTTCTCTAATAGTCTTTTCATCAACGGCATGCAAATATTTCTTAACTTTATCTTGACAGTGTCTAATGACGTCAACACCATGTTTATACCAACATTGTTCCACGTCCTCTCGCAAAAGGTTAACTTCAGCGACATAAACAGCCCATTCTCTTGCCATCCATTGTCTAAATTCCATGAGTTGATTTGCACTCTCACATTCTCCTCTATTGTTATTATTCAGTTTTCCAGCCAAAGTTGTGAATGTTGTAATGATGAAATGTTATTGTACGTGGAAGGAATTCACGATCATCCACAAGTTTCAATTTTGAAAATTATTTTCAATATATAACATGTTCATCCGAGCAACATATCAATAATAATCGTTATCAATAAAACAGTCATCATCCAACCATTTCATCATCATCACACCAATGAAAAATATTTGGACAACCATCATCCGTTTAAAAATATTCCCGTTCGAATCATATCATCACTTACTGCCTACAAGGAGCAACCTCCAATGGATTCTTTCTAATACGCAGTGGTCTATTGCTTACTCTCCACTTCTCGCTCAACCATTTGTGTCCTTCTGCGACGGGCTCTTCATATTGATTGTTATGAACGTTGCTGTTGTTGTTTGCGCTCATTTTTTACGTTTAAAAAAAATTGAGCCAACACACCAAGCAGAAGGGTTTTTCATCCCGACCACAATATCATCATCATCATCATTTTGTATACCTTTATACCAACGGTGTGGGTTGGAAAACGCTCATTGAATCATTGTACTTGAAACTAGGCAGAAATTATTGATTTTTTTGTTTCGGACATAGGAGGACATCTTTGAGTTCAATAATAATTTTCTAAGCAAGTGCAACAATACTTCAAACAATTCCTTATCCTTACTATTTGTACCAATTTAAATCATCTAAAATCTGAACACAACAATACACACTCAAAAACATGAAGAGAAGAAACGTATTTATTGACCAAGACTTGATGATGCTTTCGAATGCAATGGAATTCAGACCTCTAGTAATTGATCAAGGAACAGGAATGATGAAGGCTGGATTCTCGGGTGATGACATGCCTCTCTTACTGATGCCCACAGTCATGGCTGCTGATGATCCCATTGTTGACCCCAACAGCAGTAAATTTGTGGGTCATCGAGGAGCTCAGCCCAATTCAACCTCAAATCTCCATTCCAAAATGCATCAACAACAAGATCGTTCGTCATCTTCAGAAAAGACACCTGAAGTTCAGGTCGTTCAAAATAACGAGGACGAATTGAGCTATTTAATTGGAGATGAAGCTCTTGGCGTCGATCGATCATCAGGAGCAATATCTCGCTCTGCCAAATACTTTTCATTCAATGCAAATAACGAAAAGAACTACCGAGAAAAGAGAGACTCTCGAATTACAAATACCCTTATTACACCAATGGAAAGAGGTGTTGTCGATGATTGGGACATGATGGAGCGAATGTATGAGGCAATTTATTCACATCCCAAAATTAACATGACACCCGAAAATCAACCGCTTCTCATCTCAGAAGCTTGTGAAAATCCTAAAGAAAATCGTTATCACATGGCAGAAATATTATTTGAAAAGTATAAGGTTCCTTCATTATTTATTGCAACACAACCAGTCTTGTCCTTGTATTCAACTGGAAAATCGAGTGGTCTTGTTGTTGAAATTGGTCATGGTGTCTCGCAAATGGTTCCAATATTTGAGGGATTTCCACTCTATCATGCCATCGTCAAGTCAGAATTTGGAGGTCAAGATTTAACGAATTATTTGCGCCAAATTCTCGAAAAGAATAGGAGGTATGATCAGCTCATTAATTATGGAACCATTGGAGGTTTAAAAACGATCACTGAAATCAAGGAAAAATTGTGTTACGTTTCACAAAATATTGCAGAAGAGCAGTACAATGTTGGAGTATCAGAATATGTATTGCCAGACCGAAAAGTAATTCAAATTTCTCACGAAGCATACAAATGCCCTGAAGCTCTATTCTATCCCAAGTTAGCAGGAAAACCCAGCATATTTGGGGTTCATGAAGCTCTCTATCATGTGTATGACAAGTCGGATGATTATGTCAAACAAATATTGATGGACAACATTGTTCTTGCTGGTGGATCAACCATGTTTTCTGGATTTAAGCAGCGATTGGTCAGTGAATTTTCTCGTGTGTTGGTTGAGAAGACTGGCTCATCCAAGATCACAGAAAGGAGCGTGAGAGCAGAAAACGACAGAATCTTTGGTGCTTGGATCGGTGGCTCAATACTTGCGTCACTGCCAACCTTCCAACAGCTGTGGATCACTCGACAAGACTATGACGACCATCATGATGCAATATTTAGCAGATGTTATAGCTAACTGAGGCCAAGGAAATGTAAATAAACGTGTTGAATTGTGTCCACCTGTTATCTCTATATAGAGGGTGTTTTTGATGATGTCATGAATGATGCAATTGTTTTATTACAAGATGTATGAGAGGGTATTGATGTACTTTGAGTTGTGTAAGTCGACGTGTTACAATTCCATTTTTGGATGAGGTGACGTGTTGGTAATTTCAAATAAAATCCTCAAGTGCGCTTGTTAATTTCATGAACAAAAAAACACAACAACAACTCTAACACACGTGTTGATCGGCAGTTGCATACTGTACCTAATCACCTCTCTTTTAAAAACATCATGTTCCTCTTTGATTGGTTCTTCTCTTTATTGCGAGCCATAGGAATTCTTCAAGACAGCATCAAAGGACGAGTACTATTCTTGGGCTTGGACAATGCTGGCAAAACCACACTTCTCTATAAACTCAAGACTGGTCTCATGCAACAATTCAATCAAACCATGTATCCTAACAATGAAACCGTTGAAATATCCTCTTCATGCACCATACAAGTCATTGACTTGGGAGGGCACCCTCTCGCACGTAAGCTGTGGAAAGATTATTATTTGGATGTGAGTGGAATCGTCTTTATGGTTGATGCTGTCGAAAGAAGAAGAATTCAAGAGGCCCGAGCAGAATTGTATAGCATCATGAAAGATAATGATTTGGCAAACGTTCCAATTGTGGTGATGGGCAATAAAGTAGATAATCCAAATGCCATGCCAGAATTTGAGCTCTCTGAACAATTGGATGTGACACACTTGAGAACGGGAAAGAGTTTGGATCAATCATTTGGCACTCAAAGACCATTGGAAATTTTCATGACCAGTGTCTCTAAAGATTTCAATATTGCAGAGTCCTTTGAATGGCTTTCTTCCCGAATTCGAAAATAAACAATCTTGGTTTTTCAATATCTAGATCATTCGATTCTTTTCTAATCGAAGGTTTAGGAATAGCAATTCGGTACAAGTTGGAGATTTACAACTACTTTGATGACGCCCATTATAACCTCTTGACAATTTGAGTAACAAGGCCACACAAACAAGACAACAAGCAACAGCAGCATGAGCAACCTATCACTGTGGACAACACAGCTGCTAGAATAACTCCTATTTCTGCATTGAAAGAACAATCTCGAGCAGCGTTACTGAACTCAAATTTCACTCCCTTTTCAACTCCAAGATAGGTGGTGTAATTGTACCCAATTCTTTGTGAGATGACTTGTTCTAACTGTTTTCCACCATTGTCCCATGTGTTAGCATTCTTTTCATAGACAAAAAGGTTATTACTGCACTCATCATTACACAAGTATTCAAGTTGAACACTGTTTTGAACTTGATTGTCATTAAAGGATATTGATCCTTTAAATCGAGAGTTGACGATGATCTTTTTCAAATTCTGCAAGACACTGCTCTTCACAGTTGTATATTCATAGGTTACGCTGATGGAGGCTATTAGGTGGTCCACTCCCGATAATACCAAGATCGTTGGTTTATCAAGGATTTGATTGAACACTATTTGCATCGTTTCAGTGGATGATTGATCTTCACTGGTGACCAAGTAAAATACTCGGTGAGTTTGAGGCTGCTCGTTCACAATGAAATTTTGAAATAACATTGATGGATTTTCGTTGTCTTGCATTGAGCTAATCATAAACCATCATAAAAAAGACATTACCAATAATGGGTGGTTGAACCATCGGATAGATCTCAAATCGTTGGATCATGAAAATAACACTCACCATGTTGCACAAATTGCCATCACTCCCATAACATTTTCGTTATACAATTTTCCATTCACATTCTTCCATGCCAAGCAATACCCATGTTCCGAGAGAGGGTTCATCGTCAAAATCACAAAGAACATCAACAACGTTGCAATCTGTCTCCGTTCCAGAAACGCCATTTTTTTTAAAAACCTCAACGGAAAAAAATTCAACGCCTCAATGGGCGAGTGCCTCAAAAAGAATATTCACTTTGTTTCAAAATTAATGATCATGAAATGACCAATACGATATTACATCATACGAATGGAAATATTAAAACGATGGAAGAGGAGTTGTACGAGTTTATATTGTTAGGTAAGTGTTGGAGTGCGAGCCTTAGTGTTGCATAATCTATCGTTCCTGATAATGATCATCATCGTGATGACCTTAAAATTCCTATCCTCTATTACGTAGTGGAAAAGAAACAAAACTATCAAAGTCTATCGATATCACCTCATTATTATGCACATGTAAGGGATGTGATGGGTAAATGTGCTCCGAAGTGGGAAGTTTTTGAATTGTTACAACTTTTAGATTCCTCAAATAGTAGTAATAACATCAGCACCATGAATATCAACAATGGAACACCGAACAGTAGTGCACCAAACGAATTTGAAAATATAGTATTGCTTGGCCTTAATAGAGCTGAGGTTTTCCTTGAATATGGATATTTCGGAGAGGCTCACTATGAGTTAAGCCGCCTTGAGGATAAGCTTATTGAAGTAATATCTTTGAATTTCAATGTAAAGAGTAAGTTTAAAAATTCCGAAATATTTAGGCCATTCTCACTGATATAAACACAAAATAATCGTCAATATCAAGTTGAACTGTTCTACGTGAGAGTATTGTATCTATTTTCAAGAGTCATGAAAGGTGTAAAAAAGCATGATGAATGTAGTGAATATTTGGAGTCTGCTCGTGAACGAGGGGAAAATTTAATGCGACTTATATCTGTAGCACATGCTTTTCCAAATTCCTTCCCAAGACGTTCACCTTCTATTCTAATGACCACCTTCTCTCAATCCTATATAATTTCATGCACAAATTTAATTCACAGCATTCAACTGGCGTGTGCAGAAATTGTTCTAATGCAAGCGAAAAATATGATTGGAACCGATCAAGTTGGTTGTGAAATGCATGATCATGAAAAGATTATTAGAAGCTACTTGTTACCATGCCTGTATTACCTCATCGTACAAGGAAAAGAAAAATGCTACTTTTTGGACGACACCATTTGGCTGGAAGCTGTCGATCTTACGCTGAAAAGCCTGCTAAAACTGAATTTCAACAAATTGGGATCTCGAGTTTTGAAACTTGTTGAAAAAACACACAATTCTCAAGTAACAGAATCAAAAGCATTCCGAGACATTGAAGCGGAGCTGAAGAAGCGATCGACGACTGGAGACAAAACAACACAAAAGAATGACAAATTTCTTCAAATCATTCCGCCAATATTCGAACAATTTGATGAGGACGATGAAGATGATGATTGGGGAATTTCGCCGAGTACACAACTCAAAGGACTCTACGCAGGATATTTTTCTTCACACTCGTCTGCCAACAACACAGAAGACCCAATCCAAGAACAACTCTTCCCCAATAATTTTTCGCTTTTCAAAGGAAATAATTTGGTTGACAAGATCAAAAAATATGATGAAACAATTCCACAGCTATATTCTCTAGACTTGGAGGATAAAAGTATTCTTACTTGCAAAGATTTATTCTTGAAATGGATCCGATCATTGAATTTGGAAGATTTACACAAATTTCAAACTGAGGAAGAACAAAATGCTGAAAGAGATTGTGATTTTATTTTGGAACAGTTTCGACACGGAATCGATTATGTTGACTCCTTTTCACTCTCATGGGCTCAAATGTATTATGAATGTGCTTGGAAATTGGCAAGGATAGGTACAAGAGAATCTCAAATTTATTGCTACAAATTAATAGGTGAATACTTTTCTAAATTACCGTCAGCAAAAATCACCAAAGATGTAGATCAAGAAGACGTTCAACAATTGAATAGTCTCTTCAAAATAAGTTTGGCATTGTTGGAAATTGCAGCACATTCACTCACACCTGATTTTTACGATCGTTTTGTAAATATGAAAGAGAATTTGATTGTTTTCAATTCAAAGTGCCCTGACATTATAGAATTAATTGAGATGAAAGGCATGTGTCATAACATTACCTTATTCCTTCGAAAACAGGAATTTATTCCTAAATGCGAGAAAATTGTTCCGAAATTGGTTGAAATTTTTGTCAGAAATAGTCAATTTACATCTATTTCCTCAGCTGTGATGATAATGGATCCTCAGTCTCACCTGTTAAGCCCTCCAACACATGCTGAGATAGTTTGTGAATCTTTACTGATTTTGCACTATTTTATATTTGGCATTTCTCCATTGACTTTAGAGTTTATTGTGGATCCACACAAAAAAGACTTTAGGCTCGTTGGCCTTCAAAACAAAATGGCCAACTCTCTCCATCCAGATCATCACTACTTGCTAGATGTGCACGATAGGACCGAATTATTGAACATATTTTATCACAAATTGCCATGCATGTCTTCATTGAAGGCCTTTGTTGCCTTTTCCCTTGGGCTCTATTGTCGAAATATTTCTAATGACACTAAACAAGCCGAAAGAGTGCTCTTTGAGAGCGTGTACATTTTCCAACAAACAAGCGGTTTCACAAAATCAACACCAAGCCTACTGAGTCAAATTTGTACACGAGCTCTGGTAGAACTGGCACAAGTATTAACAGAGAATAACAAGTATGTCTATTCGTCATTGTTGTTTAGGGCGGCAGTAGAGAATCAAAAGCTTGTATCTCTGACATATGACTACACGCTTGTTAGTGATCTTGCTGAATTGAGTTTGCGTGAGGACGATTGGAGATCAGGTGTTTATTATTATACGTTACTACTCAGTCATGCCAACGAAGAAAAGATGGTTGCAAAATTTGGTCACTTGTCTTCAATTCTATCATCACTGCACATAGAGCGCGGAGACTTTAAGAATGCAGAGTCCTATATTACCAATTCTTTATTGTTTATGAGGTCACAAGGCAAATCTGGAGAGTACGAGTTGAATCTGCACCTAACACTTGCCAAACTCTTTCTTCAAAGTTACAACTTTGAAAGAGGTTTAGATCTATTAGCAAGATTAATGGACGAAAAATTGACTGCCGTTCAACGATGTACGGTTTACATTAATTTGGCAGAAGCTTATTTAAAGAAGAGATGGCTCAAAGAATGCGATTTTGTGTTAGGAAAACTTGGCATACTATTATCTGAGCAAAACTCAATCTTTGATACCAATGGAGCGGATCATATCAAGATACTTGAAATTACAGCGAATTGTTATCTTAGATTTTTGAGGTTTTCTGATGCCCTCTATTGTGTGAATATTGCCATCTCTCATTGTACAGCACCTTTCCTTTTGGCTGATTTGTTTTTCTTGAAAGGAAAAATTTTACAAAAGGTCAGCCACTACACCAGTCCTGTTTCCTTCCCTACTTCCCTATCTTCGACATCAAAGATTGATGTTGTTGAAACTATTAAGGAGTATTACTTCAGAAATCACAACACATTACAAGACAGTATTTTGCTGAGCAAGAGGCCACTCTACAATACCCCTCAGGAAGTTCTTATTGACGCCTTGGAATGTTTGCTGAAAGCAAAAGAGTTATACAATATTTGCACCAATCAGTATAAGGCATCCAAGGTCGATATACTTATTGCTCGTGCTCAGCTAGAATTTATGCTTCTTCCTATTGTTTTTTGCGGAGTAGATCCGACCATTGTTACACTACCTAAAAGCGTTGACAATAGAAATTGGTTAAATTTGAAAGAAATTGAAGAAAATCATATTATACCGGCATTGGAGGTTGCCATACGTACAACGTCTGTTTTTGTTGCTATTGACGCGTATGTAACAATGGCAGAGGCAAGATACTTGCAAGGAAAACGGTTAAGCTCTGAAATTTATTGGAGACAATGCAGAGACGTAATGTTCACGCTATTCATTCACGATAGTGAGATTGTTGTATCCAAAGGTTCTCCCCCTTCATTTCTTGAAAAACTACTGTCGATTTTGAAACGACTTGTGAGGTTAATGTTTTGTTTCGGAAACAAAGAACTAATCAATCATAATCTGACCATTATTGACTCTTATTTGCTGCTAGAAACGGAACTTGAGCAGCTACTGAAAAGAAATGGTCCAGACAGTGGTGAGTCGAACATTTATGACTCGACAGCATCAGGAGGAGATTCATCCTCAGAGTCTGAGGTCGACGAAATCTCACTCGTTTCAAGAAATAAGATGTATGAGTCTCTGTGTATTATTAATTCACAAATGGCAGCAATGACGTCTGTGAAAACGTTGCCCTTTCTGAGAAAGAGGAGAAAATCTTCTGTGCGAGTTGCAAGACAAATGAGATCCATGAATCTGCTGAAGATGAGTGGAACAGGTTCTCAATCTACTCAGTCCTCAAATGGATCAAAATCATCGGATGGCTTCATTGAAGGCAATGTGCAAGATTTAGTTAGTGAAAAGATTTGGAGTTGTATTTTCAGAATGAAACAACACGCTAAAAAGCACTATCTATCTGAAAAAGAGCTCAATTTCAGAAATCAGGAATCAATGAGGAGACTCTATCACTTAATCTCAATTATTAAGCAAAAGACAATTTCTGTAAGCGATCAGAAAAAGCTTTGTGGTAGTGATTCATCGTATGCCGTCAGAGGTGTTCAGAGAGAGGACATTAAGTCTTTCGATGATGATTACTACAGAAAATCACTTTCTATTGATGCCTCTATTGAATCAACAAAACATTTGGATATGAAAATTCTCGAAAAACTAGTTTATATTATTCATATGGATACAATTATTACATTTTATACTCCCAAGACAGGGCAAATTATTCATCAAAAGTTTGGAGGTTCCACTAGTGGACCATTTCTTAACACATTTAAAGGCTCTACATCTAGAAAATCAACAGACTCTTCCCAACACCAAACCAAATCTAAGGACTCTCTCTTTAGCGCACACAATATTCAAACCGTGGCTACATCCTCACAAACTGCTCAAGGTAAACCACAGTTCATGTCACAAATTGAAGCGTACCTCTACAGTTTACTTTGCCAGAGTCGTAAAGACAAAAAAGCAAATATTCGCGTTGATAATAATTATGAAACCATTGAATATGTCGCGAGAAATGTTATTCGAGGGCCCTACGACTATCATTCTAACTCGAGAAACAAAAAGAAGTACGAAAGAGTGCACAAACAATTGGAAAAAAGCAAATTTGACTATGTTGGACTTTTCAAAAGAATGAAGAGCAAATTCTTCTCGCTCACTCCGAGATCCATTGATTTTTCTGGTTTGCCTCGCTTGACAGAACTGCCCTATCCAAACTCGCACCTCATTTTACTTTGTAGTAGAAGTGTTCAGGCTCTTCCATGGGAATTAATGTTTGATCATTTCATGACAAGAAACTTTTCATTACAACGCATCATTTCACAAGACAGCACAAAAAACAACAAGATGAGATTTAAGCCTCAATACTTTTGTTTTTACTCAGAGGATGAATTGAAGTACATTGCCCCTGTTGAAAATGAAAGAAAAAGGTGGATCTTTGACACTGTCAAATCGTCGCTACATATTCTCACGGAGGAAGGCACCAATAGCGGTGTGTTTCATTATAGTCTACCCAACATTCCGCTTCATTGCCCAATCATTGGATATGGTCGAAAGCCTAAATCAAAATCTGAACGTTTCAAGTTTGTGAATTTTGTTCGACTCTCTTCGATCAGTGAGAACCCGACTCAAATCATCACACACATTGAATCGTACAACTCTCCTCAGGATTTTCCTGTTTTTGTGTTTACTTTTGCAGACTTGATTGATTTGAGTGAGGCCATTATTTGTTTGCTCAACTTTCGACCCGATTGTACGTTGCTATTCCTTCCAGAACCAGTATTGAGCACTGCCTTAGAATTTCTGATGGACATGCAAGTCGTGTACACGAATAGTGGCCAATTAGCGAATTCAAGATTATCTCCCTCAGAGAATGCACGGAATGGCTACAGATTTTTCATTCACTCTCTTCAATTAATCAAAACTGTGCTCAAAATTCCTGTCATTGTGATCAATCCACCAACTTATAGTAACAATGGAGGAGAAGGCTCTTCATCGTCATCGGAATGAGGATTGTTGAGACATTATTCCCAGAGAAAGATAAATTCATAAATCCAAGTTTTCAGGAGGAGAAGGCTCTTCATGGAGTGTTCAAAAGAAATATTGAAATTCCCCGCCAAATAAAAATATTACCGTTAAAAATCAAATAAAAAAATAAAGCCATGCCTCCGCATCAAGCTCCAACCGACTTGGAGAACGCCATTCCATTCGGTAGTCAAATGCACCTCTCTTCATCGGTGAAGTCTCTCAAATCATCATCATCCTCATCCTCTCTGAACAACAATACCATGAATAAAACCAAGAACCTCTCATCCACGGAAAATCTCAAAGGAACAACTCTCTCAAATCCTTCTGGAGCCAACCTACAAGGAAAGAAGACACAAGGAGAGAAACGAAAAGCACTCGTTGATATCACGAACCAATCATCCTCACACCACCTCCATCCACAACAACTCGCTCAACAACAGCAACAACCTGCTCTCAAGAAGGTAAAAACGACCATTCAAGTTTTCAATGATGATACGAGTAATAATAACACCAACCATACAAATACTATGAACACTTCCCAACCAAAACAACAAGTGAGCTCAAAATTGAGCAGCACTTCCAAATCCTCTCTGCGTTCCCGAGATTTATCAAAATCCTCCCAACAACAATTACCTTCCTTCAAACAAGTCGGTCGGTTGGAAACCATTCAAACGATCAACCTTCCTCAAGAGAATGAGATTGAGTATTGTCCTGAACCTTATGAATTGGCTGAATATCCAACACCAGTCTATTCAGAAATTAATAGTTTAACGGGTGAAGCAGAAGATTTATTCATTACTCTATCCGATGAAAAGATGAAGGAATTAACGAAATTACCAAGCAAGGATGGTTCATTCCTTTCCTTTCATGTGAATGAACTCATCCAAGGTAATAATAATACAGCCTCCTCTGATTCTGCAAATTCTAGTGTAGGAACCAACACTGTACCTCCTTCACCTTTGCCTCAACCTCTTACTCCCGTGTCCTTTGATGATTTGTTTAATTTTGAAGTTTTGTAAAGTATGGTCGATCTCTGATCATGGAAATTGTGAATCCATTGACCTTGTTGTAAAACAAAACCAATTGATGGATACTCTTGCATCTGACAAGAAGGTAATGTGTGATTGAGGTAGGTAACTCTTGCAATCCTCGTTTCTTTGAGAAATTTGAAATCTTACAAATTCAAGCATCATTCAACTGTTTGCAGAGACACTCTTCAATTTCCTGTTGTAAGTCATCAATTGCACTCTGTATATAAATAATCTTGTAAACATGTTGAATAATATCCACTTGTTGGAATGAAATCTTTCCAAAGACAAACAAATTAATATCCTCTTCAGATACCTCTTCATTGTTTTTAACACTCTCTTTGAAGAAGTGAATGAGTTGATGAAGTACTGTTTCAGAGACCTTTTCCTTGCAGAGTGTTTTGATTTCATTAATTTCATTCTCTTTCTGTGTAATTTTATCCAATATCCGATTAATGTACCTCTCTTTTGATTTCTCATGCTTAATGGTCACAGGCTGTGAAAGGTCTGAGGATGTTGCCGAAGTGAGTGAATTGTTCGAATTTCCATTGGTAGATATTTCTTCTTGTTGCTCTACGAGTGGTTTGGAGTCACCTTTTGAACCATTATTTGATGACTCTGACTCAATGGGAAGGGCTTGATTGGATGTCGAAGGTTTGAGTGGAATTTTAGGTAAATTTCTCACGAGATCAGCATTTTCTTTGACCAGAGGAGTTTGTGGTGATTTTGTGTCAACTTTTAAGCCAACTCGTTTTACTGCATGAGTGGAAGGAGGTACTATGCTCTTCACAGATGCAGCACTATTGGGACGATTTGAATGATTGGTTCCTCCTGCAATGTTGCTGTTACTTGCAGCTGGTCGATGAGAGGGTCGAATCATGACCACTTTTTTCTCGGGTGTGTCACCGTGAATAATGACTTTCTGATTGGTGGCAGATGTTGTCGGTGTGGAGGATCTTCTGTCATGACTACTGACCGAAGAAGTAGGAGAGTTATTATTGGTACTGAAATTTGGCAATGGAACCGTAGTAGGAGGAGGTGTCGAAGGTGTTAATAAGGGAGCAAGACTGAGACCTAATTCTTTTGCCTTATTTCATCACGTTGTTTTTTTTTCACCAAATTCGTCCATGACCAATTGTTGCCATGACAACAAGTTGTTCCATCAAATGTAAATGGTACATCATTACAAAATACTCACCTTCTTCACAAGAATGGGATGATTCAACAATTGATAGGTGGTTGGCCTTTGTTTTGGTTTCTTACTCAAACAACTCTTAATTGTTGAGGATAAATCCGACGAGTAGATGGAACTCAGCGGTGGATATTGTCCAGTAATGATTTTCAACACTAGGGCTCCTTGATTTTTGGCATCGAATGGATGTTTCAATGTAGCCATTTCATACAAGACACATCCTAAGGCCCATACATCTGATTTTTCATCATAGGGCAAATTCTCACACATTTCTGGACTCAAATAGAAGGGAGTTCCAATAACTGTGTGTGCGAGCTGTTTTGTATAATCGAGAACTTTGGAAACTCCAAAATCTCCAATTTTTGCATTGTTTTGAGAATCTAGAAAGATATTCATTGATTTAATATCTCTATGAAGAACTTTCATGCTATGAATGTGATTGAGTGCTGACAGAATTTGAATGAAATATTTCCAAATATCAGACTCGTGCAATAATTTTCCCTTTTGTTGTTGAATGAGTTCATACAAATTCCCATTAGCAGCATATTCCATAACAATATTTAATTTACGATCATCAACGCTTAGAAATGAGTCAAAATATTCAATAATGTTTGAATGATTCATTTTACATAGGATGTTCACTTCATTTAGAGCATCCTGATTTTCCGAATCCGCCCATATTTAAAATACAAGTTCATTAAGCGATGAAAAAACATATTCTTGACAATATTCTGAACCCACCTGCTGTTCCTTCGGAGTCATTCCAACGACATTAATTTGTTTGATGACATAATTCTTTTGATCTGCCTTCCTCCGAACGAGCCAACATTCTCCGAATGAGCCAGATCCAATCTGTTTTTGAAAATCAAAATCATTCACTCCACTGCTAGGCATCCCAAGCGAGATGTGTGCAATTTTTTTTTTTATTAAATAATTTGTAAACTTGGTGAGGCGCCAAGTCCTTTGTAATCTTTTTCATTCTTGGAATTAAGATTAACTCTGTCAATGATGCGATTTAAAGGAAAAAAAATTAAATCTTTTTTATTTCTTCAAGCGCTAATCGTTTTGAAATTTGCTCAAGTTGAATTTGATGTTTCCAACATGGCATATAATACAAGTGATCGAAGAGTGGATTTACCGATGATGCGGTCGTCGTTGGTGACGATGGAGAAAGTTGTGCATTCGCTCTTGGTGTCATGCTTGCCACGTCTTCCCTAAATGAATTCTTAGCAGAGTGATCTTTCTTCTTTTTAAGCTGATATCGCCAATTTTTAGAACATTTCTGAATTGGAAATCCAACTTCTTCTCGTGAGAGAACATCTTCGGTCGATGTAACACTCTCCGTGTGATTGGATTGATTCGATGAATTATTGAGGTTCGAATTTGAAGATTTTGTTGCAAGTATCGTGAGTGACGCTCTTCGAGAGGCATTTCTCATTTCCTCCTCAAATACGATTGGATCCAAAGTCATTAAATTTGGATTCTTTTTTCTCATTAAATCAACCACAAAATTATATTGAAGAATTTCTTGTGGTGTCATGTCAATTTCAACCTCTTCACTTGCAATTTGTTCATCAAAGATTGGATTATAAATATAATCTGTATATGAAATATTTGGATATTGTTTTTTCAATTCTTCGATCGATGAATTTTCGTCGAATTTCACATCATCTTTGGCGTGTGTAAATGCGATCGAAGCATCCATTCCATACCATTCGAGAATTTCATTCGGACGCATGGGTCTCAATCGATCTTGAACCTGCTTCTTTTCCAATTGTTGTTTTTGTTCTTGTAATTGTTGAGGTGTCATTAATTTCACATTTTGTGCAAGCATGGTGGCAATGCCTTGAACACGTCGAGCTGAATTGGGACTGTCACTTGTCGAAGAGGTGTCATTATTGACAAGTCCAGTATTAATTCTCGGAGCTGTTGGTCTTCTTACTTTCACTCCTCCATTAGAAGTGTCTTCTTGATTGACATTTGACACTTCAGGCGAAGCAGTGACTGGAGATTCATTTCCATATTTACCAGAATTTCGATTCACACCAACTCGAACCACTCGTTTTTGAGGTTGTTGATTTTGTTCTGAATTATTTTCTGTGATCGATGGCGAGTTAAATTTACTTTGTAATTCTGAAACACGTGTACTCAAAGGACGAGTTGAAGTGGTTGTTGTCGAACTTGTTTCATTTTCATTGCTGCCACTTGTCACTGATGATTGCTCAGAGAGATGGTTGGGTGTGGAAACTTGATTCGTGGAAATCGATTGGTTACTGGTAGTGTTAATATTGGATGATGATTGTGAAGAAGAATTTGTTGATGGAGATTTCTTTGGACTCGATTCGTTTTCATCTTGTTGTGATGTGACAGCAGTCGATGAAGAGATGCCACCTGTCGTCGAAGGTGTTGCGGTCATGGTCGAAACTGCTGCTGTCGATTCAGTGTCTTGAGGTGTCGAAACTGCAGTCGATTCTCCTTCGACTCGTTTTTTCACAACCAATCGTTTCACTACACGTTTCACTGGAGTCGTTCCAGAGGATGAAAGATTGGTCGAGGAAGAATTTTCATCTCCGTTCGTTGTTGGATCATTGGTTGTCGAAGGAGTGTTCGAACTTGTTGTTGAAATCGAAGGACTTGTGTTTTCATTATTGTTGTTGTTCACAGCGGATCCTTTCGAAAGGACTCTCATGACTCGAGGACGAGTCGAAACGGGTGTACTTGGTGAATTCGAAGCATTGGTGTCCGTATGATTTGAGTTGTTATTGGTCGAAGAAGCGGTCGATGAATTGTTGTTGACCGAGTTGGCTGAATTGCTGATGCGTCTGACAATGACAGGTGTGGTCGACATTTGAGCTCAACAAGATTGTGTAGATTGATAAATGGTGGTTGTTGTGTGTGATAATTTTGTGATTATCAAAATGAAGAGTGAGAGGTGTATTGTTGTTTTGTTTTTTTTGTGTTGGAGGTTGATGCGCACCGACGGATGAAAAAGTAGTACTCGAGAGAAATAGAACGATGCTGATGATGATGGTTTATGAAATTTATCTCTCTAATAGCGAAAGGATGTTGTTGGCGAGGTGGAGTGATGAAAAAATATAAATGTCAGGTTTTTGACAATTGACACTTGGAGGATTAGAGAGAAGGTTGATGATGATCAAATGGTGGCGGTGATGATGTAGGTTGTGGATGTGGACACAGAAACAAGCGTGCAAGAACAGCAACAATACATTCAAAGCGCTAAGAGATCAGCAAGAGAAATTATTTTTTTTTGACGCGTGAAGGCTTATTGACAAGTGATGTATCTTGTGGGAACCAAAGGCTCTTTGAGTGAAAAATATTGATTAATTTGTGAAAATCTTCGACAATTGTGCAATGCCGACTTCGATATCAAAAATAGCTCTGCAATAATGATGAACCTTGAACCTCTTAGAGTATTATTATTCTAAAAACAATTAGAGCAATTCTTCTTGTATTTTGTTGTAAAAACATTAATAGATAAAATCCTTCAATGATTACAGTCCAATTCTTCTTGGAGTAGTTTTTCGTCTTTCTGCTGTTCCATCGTTTGCATTTCTTGAGGTTGATGCGGTTAATGTTGAAGCGGTACTTTTTCGTGTGGATGACGGAGCACCAGGTGTCACAATGGTAGAAGATGATGTAGCAGTGGATCGCCGTGAGCTTGTTGAAGATTTTGTAGCATGCAGTTTTTCGTTTTGTAATTCATTACGGTATTCTTGTTCTAGTTTTTGCTTAATTTCCTTTCTCTTTGCCTCACGAGTGACATGTGGAATTTTCTCACTGAAAAATGTGGGTGCCAATTCTGCCAACCATGCGCCATCAATTGTTGTAGCCATTAAGGCATATTCTTTTGTGGTCATGACTAATTCGTGATAAACAATGTAATCTGGAGTGACTCCCATTCCATAAAGAGCACTTGTGGGATGCAAGCTACATGGCATACTCGTCATCATGTTCACATATTCTCCAATTCCTTTCAAAGATGCGGCGTGATGGAAGTAACCAGAGCAAATTGCTTTTTTCACAGACTCTAAATTCATATTGCAAGAGATAATTTCAATTCCATTCTTTTTCATAATATCTTCGATTTGAATTCGTACTTCTTTTACCTTTCTCATGGCCTTAAAATGAATAAAATGTTCCGAACACCACGAAGCAGAGTAATCGTGGTTTTTCCATTGTTGATAAATATTGAGAAGTGTTAAATGGTCACTGTCTGGAACAAAAAATTTCTCTCGAACAGCATCAGCTTCTTCCTCTCTGTCCTTTGGTCGATAGAATACAGTCGGCACAGAGAGCATACTTGCAATGGTTAATACTTCAAAGGTGCATCCAAGCTTTTCTGCATAGATCAACATTTTAGAGAGAGGTGGGTCGAGAGGAAGCTCCACCATCTTTTTTCCCAACTCTGTTAATTCTCCATTGTTACCAATTGCTCCTAGAACCCACAATTGATACATGGAGTTTTTCATGTTGTCCTGTGGTGGTGGATCCATAAAATCAAATTCCAATAAATTCTTAATTCCTAAAGATTTGAGAAGCAAGACCACATTTCCCAAGTTGGTTCTCTGAATTTCAGGAATGGTCGTCTTGTGCATTTCATTCTTATATTGCGACTCGGTGAACAACCTAAAACATTTACCAGGTCCTGTTCTTCCGGCTCTTCCTGATCTCTGATCGGCAGCTGCTTGACTTTCTGGATATACTTGCAAAGCGTCCATACCGACCTTTGGATTATATACTTTCAATTTACAAAAACCAGTATCAATCACATACAGAATACCATCAACTGTGAGTGATGTTTCTGCAATATTGGTAGCTACAATACATTTTCGTTGACCTTTTGGAGCTCTTTCAAAAATCTTTGCTTGCAATTCAGATGGAAGCATTGAATAAATTGGAAGCACAATGAGGTCTGGAACTCTACTCTCCTCAGCAACATGCTCGTCATCTTTCTTGAGCTCGGCAATTCTTTCTTCAAGGGCATAACATGTGACCTCAATATCTTCCTGACCGGTCATAAAGATAAGAATGTCACCATCGGTGGGTGTGGAGGTGTGAATTTGTATGGCTTGCCTCACTGCTGCTTCTACATAGTCTTGAACAGGGTTCTTTGTGTAGAGTGTATCGACAGGAAAGGTTCTTCCAGGAATGGTATAGACTGGAACAATTCCAAAGAAGCTGGAAAATTTCTGGGCATCCATGGTGGCAGAGGTGACAATGAGCTTTAAATCTCTTCGTCTGGCTACGACTTTTTTCAAAATTCCAAAAAGAACGTCTGTGTTAAGTGATCTTTCGTGAGCTTCATCCATAATAATGGCGCTGTATTGGTCCAAGTAGGTGTCATGAAGCGATTCACGCAAAAGTACACCATCTGTCATGTACTTGATAATTGTTTTGTCAGATGTGACGTCTTCGAAACGTATCGAGTATCCTACAGTTGAGCCCAAGTCACAACCCATTTCTTCAGAGACTCTTTTTGCAACAGACATGGCTGCCACACGTCTTGGCTGTGTACATCCAATTTTTCCAAGTTGTCCATAACCTGCTTCGTACAAGTATTGGGTCAATTGTGTGGTCTTTCCTGATCCTGTCTCACCTACAATGATGATGACATTGTGTTCCTTAATAATTTGCAAAAGCTCATTCTTACAATGGAAAATTGGTAGTTTTTCTCTTTTTTGTTTTGCCAAGAGTCGAAGTTCTTCCTTGGTTTGTGTTGGTACCTTGTCTGTCGATAAAGAAGCATCTAAAAGTTTTTTGTGGATCAATCTCTCGTCATCCTCATCTTGCTCTACGTTTTCTTTCAATATCTTGCCCAAAGTTCCTCTATTTTTGAATTTATCTTTCACAGCCTTCATTCTTTCTTTTTTCGTTCGCATTTCTTTCAATAATGCACTTCCTTTTCTTGAGGCAACAGCAATATCGCTTGTGACATCTTTAACAGGAAGTACTGGCTCTATTTGCTTGGTAAATGAAACATTGCCATCCAAAAATGGGGGTTTCACGTCATGATAAATAATTTGTACCGTTTGCTCCTGTTCCATAGATTCATCAAGATCAAAGTCTTGAGTATTGGCAACACCAGTTTGTAACATTCTATTCCTTTCCCAAGCATCATGATCTTTGAGTTGTTGCGATTTTTGAGCAGAAATTCTACGATCTCTTTTCAATAATTGCTTATTTTTCTTATATTCTTCTTCTCGTTTTTTGAGCTTTGCTTCATCTCCCAAAAACAATGATGAGTCTTGTGTAAAGTCAACAACTTCACTATCCTCTGCATACCATTGTCGTTCTAAATCAAGAATATTTTCGTCCGGATCTGTTTCTTCATTTCTCCAATCGAGAGGATCCTTATTCGATTGGTTAATAGACAAATTCGGTGAGGATCTTACAGAATTTCGTGATGAAGAAGCCACCGATCTATTCTCTGAGGAAGCTTGTGAATAATTTGAATATCTAGAACCTTGTCGTGAATAAGTATTCCTATTTTCTTGTTGATATTTTCTATTGTTGTATTGAGAAATTCCGCCGCTGTTGGCAGTACTACTACTTCCTAATCTTCTCTCGGAACCTCGATTATATTGTTGTGAAGATGATGACGAGTCTCGTTGAGGCCTAGCTGGTGATTTTTCCCAATCCGAATTTCTGGTATTGTTATTGTTCATATTAGGTGTTTTTCGTCGTTCATCCCTGTCATAGTCTCTGATTGGAGTCATATTATTTTCCCATTGATGATGCCTGTCGTTCTTGGTTGTTGTTTGAAATTTGTTGTTTGGTCCACGTTTATTCCGATGATCCTCTTTATAATAGGGTCGTGAAGGTGCAGGCATTTCATTCGAGTTTCCTCCATCATCATGAGCTGTGTTGGTCCGATAGGATGACGATCCTCTTTTACTTTGCGGAATTAATGAATGATCGTCTTCTCGCCCAACTCTCTCCGGAGTAGATGGTACATAATATGGATCGGAAACGGGTCTTCCTCGTGATTGGGATGAATTTCTTCCCGATGATGAAATTGTTAATTTTTTGGATGATTCCTCCGTATTTGACGACATTTTTTTTAACTGAACAAACAAAAAACAACACGTTCAATAAAGTCGAAACAGCTAAGATTATTCTTATTTAAAGAATTTCAAGCATAGGCCACCACAGGAGGTACTATAATTGCAACAATCAGCCCCGCTGCAATAAACAAGATATTCATGACGGTCAATATCCAACACGTTCCTTGCGAAATTCGTGCAATTCGTTTGGCTCTCTGACTTGGAGAGTCTCTATAATTGAGATAGGTAAACCAAAATGGAAAACAACTCATCAAGAAACACCCAAATAAACTAAAGAGCAATGAGAGACAAATGGACATACTTAACGAGGCACTGGCTTCGTGGGCTTCTAAAAATTCATCATCTTTGGCTTCGACGACATAGTAATAATGTTGAGCAGGTTGTGGATTTTGGGCTGTGGCAATGATTGGATCTTGATGTTGGGATTGGGAAGGAGTTGGTTGCATGTTTGAAGTGGTTGTTGTTGTTGTTGGTGTTTTTGAATGTTTGTGTCCCATTCTTTTTTGTGAGTTTAAATTGTTAATTCTGTATTTGGAAATTCAAATAAGGAAAATTGCATGTAAGGAAGCTTTTTTGAAGCTTTAGGAAATTGTACACTTTGAGAGGTGTTTCTATATAATATTCAAGAACAAAATCATCATGTGACCGGAATTAAGATGGTTTTGATGCTCGTGTCAACACCACTTGTGAAAGAATGGGCGGTAAAATCGAAACAATCAACACGATCCAGCACACTAAACACACATTACAATACAACAAGGCATGAAACAAGTGTTTGGATCGTTCCGACAATTGTTGAGCTCGTCGACTTTCCGAATTTCGAAACATTCGATACACGATCCAAAATGGAAGACAACTGAATGGAAAACAACCAATGCCACACAACACAATGGAAATTCCAATGGCCAAGTGAAACGTTTTGGGAGATCCTTGTTCATCCCTTAATATTTCTTGTTCATGAGGTGATAAACGAGGCATAAGAGAGAGATTCCCTTCTGGTGTTTGATTTTGTTGTTGAGTTTGCTGTGAGGATTCTAATTGATGAGCCATAATATTCGTAAATTCTAAATTTTGAATTCCTGAATGGTAAAATTCATCATGAGGAACTTCATAGGTACGCTCACTTCGTTTTTGACCCGAACGGTGGAGTAGTGAGTCGTCGACTGGGATGATACTACTTGCTGGAGGTATGATGTTTGGATCGGAGAGAGGTTGGTGGGAAGGAGATTCATGGATTGGCTGTGAACGAGATGATGGTTCTGTGGAAATGGGATTCATTTTCGAAAATTAATGTAGAAGAGTTTTTCAACAATCACAATCCATGCAGACGACGAAAGAGTAAAAAAATATGTTTACACGAACTAAAAAAAGGAAAAGTACTTTTACATGTTTCTTGTTTATGATGATCATGATACGAGAGTGTGGATGAAATATATTGAGTGTCTTACGAACCAGTCAATTGAAATTCCGAAGTCTTCGATGTTCACAAACATTACAAAGTGTTTACAAAAGAAAAAATCATGATGAAAAGAATGCAAATGGATCCATTCGATGAGGATCTTGCATTTACTTCCACTCACACTCGATTCATCGTGGTCTTGAAATTAATTGATTTCTTATCTGTTGTGGAGAGTAAATCCTGTGGTGATTCTTCTTCTCATGCTGTTCCAGTACCAACTCATGGAAATAATCTTTCTTGCCCTCCACTTCATGATGATGATTGTCCTTTACGGTTGATGAATTTATTGAAACAGAAATTTACAAGACAACAACTCGGAAAGACGTTATATTTGAAAAATAGAGTATTACAATATCATGATTTCTTTCCGATCGAATTTATGAATGACGAAGAATTTGTCTTGAATCATGTTAGGAAATATGGCTATGGATTACATCTTGCTTCTCAACAATTACAGCAAAATCCTAACTTTTTAATGAAACTTGTTGAAAGAGGCTTGGAATTAAATTTCATTGTTTCCAAGGCACAACCCCAAGATAGAGAAATAGTATGGAAGGCTGTTCAACACTCTGGTTATGCATTGTCATTTGCTTCCGAAGAATTTAAGAATGATCCACAAATAGTGTTGGAAGCTATTAGGACAAATTATGGAGCTTTCATTTCTGCACCAGATGAATTTAAACAGGATCGCGACTTTGCTATGAATGCTGTGCAATGTAATTGCAAAGTGTTTACTCTTTTCAAAAAACTTGATTGGGTCAGAGATTGGGAAATTGCTGTCGAAGCCATCCGACAAGAGGATAGCTTATTCAAATATGCTTCCAATGAGTTGAAGAATGACAAGAAGTTTATTATGGAATTGTTGAGACACAACCGGAAAGTGTTACATCATGTGGAAGCTCCATTACAAGATGATATGGATATTATTCATATTGCACTGACACATGTAAGCGACTCTACAAAACCTATTCAATGGACACACAGAGAAACAGTGTTACAAATTGTCAAGGAATTTGGATACTTGTTGAAACACGCTTCTCAGGAACTCAGAAATGACAATGAAATAGTTTTGACAGCTGTCACACAAAATGCAATGGCTCTAGAATTTGCGTCTAATTTGCTGAAGCACGACAGAGTTATCGTATTGACAGCCTGTCTACAACAACCGTACGTCTTTCTGACTCAAATTCCCCACATTTTCAAGAGTGATAAGGATTTTGTCATTCAAGTGGTGAACCGAGCTGGATCTATGCTCGAACACGCCTCTGAGGAGTTACAGAAAGACAAGGAGGTTGTATTAGCGGCCGTTCAGGCATATGGATGTGCCTTACAATTTGCATTGAATGATCTCAATAATGATAAACAAGTGGTCCTGACAGCTGTCAAACAAGATGGATTTGCACTCGAATTTGCCTCACATCAGATGGCTCTAGACAAGGAAGTGACGCTTGCAGCAGCTGAACAATGTATTGGTTCATTGGAATACGCTTCATATGAACTGTGTAATGACAAGGAATTTATGCTTCAACTCATTCACATAGACTGTGAAGCTCTGGAATACGCGTCCCAAGAATTGAAAAAAGACAAGGAATTCCTACTTGCTGCCATCACACTCAATGAAGAAGTGCTTGACTATGTTCCCAAACAGCTCCGTTACTCCAAAGAATTTATGTTGTCAGCAATCAAGAAAAATGGAAAGGCGTTTAATTATACTGGATTGTCTTTGCGTGGTGATCAGGAATTAATGCTGTCTGCCATTCAACATGATCCACGTGTATTGCGATATGGGCGGAACATTGCTCGAGAAGTGATATTGGAAGCAGTGAAAAAGGATGGCTTGGCTCTCATGTTTTCTGGAATAAGGAACGATGAAGAAATTGTTTTGGAGGCCATTAAATGCAATGGATTTGCCAACGAGTACACGAAAGAGTTAATGAACTATCGATTGGAACACTATTACTCTGGAGCGTATTTGGGAAAAAATTGGGACAATATTCATTGATATTTGATGTAGATTACAGAATTTTGAGACTTGATTAATTTGAACGTTTATCATGAAATCACAAGTGGATTCCATTCAAGTAACTGATCATGAGCTGAACTTGGGATTTAATTCATGGACATCCTGGATCATGTTCTACAGTGTTGTAAGGCTTTAAAAAAATTACGTCAATATTTACCTTCAACTCTCGCAATTAAGAATACAAAACGAGCGAAATGGTAGATGACCAGATAACCCGAGAGGTAATCATCCAAATATACCATCTCGGTTTTTCTCAGAGGATAGATATAGGATGTAATACTGGTTTCAAGAGTGATGTATTGGTTTCTCAATCGAACACCGAATACAACATTGACAAGTATGCCTTGATTGTAGCCGATCAAATATTGACTCAATTAAGCACCCTCAAAAAAACGAAAATTCTCACCAATGATGTCGATAGCTTTGAGACTCAACTTGTTTCTCTGACTGGTATGGTTCAAAGGGACGATCTACGACGTTGGTTTACACTGCTTTCGACGTTCAAGGAAGAAATGAAGGACATGTCTTGGACATGGAGTGGCATCTTTGATGTGATTCAAACGTTGATGGAAAGGATACTCCAACTTCGAGAAGGTGACAATGATCTCCGTGAAAGAATAATGCAATTGAAGAAGAATGAACCATCCAACATGGAATCCAATTCCTCACTTTCCAAACTATATCTAGTTACCTCTGCACTGGCACTATCGACTCTTGATCAACCAACAGCCCAAGATACGGAATCTTTAAAAGAAGCCTGTAATCAAATTCTGAACATGGAAACACTTTTACAACCTGCCGATATAACTTTTATCAGTATGGTAATGTTTGACATGGCACTCAAAACCAAAGATTCCACTTTTTTACAAGATTCTTTTATTCTGGCTACCTATGCCAATACTATTGACCCTGTTGGATCAGAATCATTAATGGTCAGGATTGGTGAGCACATTATCGATCACTACTCATCATTCCCGTGGTATCTATCTCATCAATTTGTGGAGTTTGTTTGCCGAAGAATATCTACATGTAACATGGGCTCCCCCAGATTTGCCATCAAATATTGTGATTTATTATTGCACAACATTGCAGAGAGTAGAAGAGATCCAATCCTCTCAAATACTTTCGAATACACAGAAGACCTTAAACGTGTGTTAGAAAAGGGATTTGAGACGAAGTACTTTAAAGAAGATATCGAAAGATTTAAACAAACCAAAGATCTTCATCACATCTATAAGGCCTTGAATTCGGTGTACAATACGTCTCAAGACACATTTACAGTCAATCGCGCTCACAAACTTGCAGAGATTGTCAAAGTAGTGAAACAGGCAAATGAAAAGATGGATAGCATTGAGATATTTATCATCTTGTTAAACAGTGTTCATAAGAAATAGCCTGTTTTCTATAATTACATCACAGAAAAAAGAGCCTATTCTCGAATTATTTCATTTGGACAATATTGATCGAATATTCCCAACCTTATTCATTCAGTACTGCTTCAGAGCATTTTGAAAACATTTGTAAGAATATTATTGAGCCCATTAATCCAATTAACCCAACAGATTTCAACATGGAAGTTCAAAGAAGAAAACAATTAGTTCAGAAGTATTTGAAAAGCTTACAAAAATTGCAAGAACAAGCAGAAGTTTTCAGTGCTGAACTAGCTCTCAAGAAACAACGACAAACTTTGAAATTTAATGAAGTTTATGAAAAACTTCAAAATTCAATTCATCAAGGTCACTTGACTGAAACTGAGGCAAAGTCGTTTTGCGAATTAGCAAGTCAATTCGGATATTCAGAATCATCTGAAGCAGACAGTGACGAGGAATAAGATAGAGATTGGTTGTATCATCACCAACAAAAAATATTATTGGTTACCTGAAGTATTCCCTAAAATGTGTGCTGTCTATTACAATACAAGGACACCACAAGACTTTGCGAAAAACAGAGACTCCGGTGAACAATAAATTGAAAAAAATGACAACACACGTCCACCCTGTCGGTTAAAAAAACATACACAAACAACACTCAGCGAAACAAATGTACGTTTTAGCTTTTAATGACACTGTTGACCACTAATACCCACAAGCTACATGACAACCAACAAAAAACACAAATCATCATCGAACGCAAAGCGTAAGAAGATTCAAATGACAGTATACAACAACGAATGCTTTACGCATAAAGCAAAACCAACGATAGTGGAAATTGGAGAGCAAATATTTGGATCCACTAAAAGAGGAAGAAAGAAGAAGATTGTAAATACAGCCAACCGTGAAGATACTGGGTTGATCAAGGTTCCCAAAACCGCCTCCAAACCTTCTCCTGTTCAAATTAATACAGACATAAATTGGAGAGAATCTCTCAAAGATATTGATCCTGCTGTGTTGGAACGATATTACCAATACAGAAGAATTCATGAATTCGGATCAGAGGCGTCGAGTATTCTGTACAAGAGACTTGAACCTAATTACAGCAAGTTTGGGCATTGGTTGTATCTTGGATCATGTCCGAAGCATTTTGTTGATATTTTGTTTACTCATCAGAATTGTTTGAAGTGGACACAATCATATAGAGCTAAAGAAAATGGAATATGGACTCAACGATTTAGGACTGTATATTATTTCAAGGGCTCAATGCCTGATTTATTGGTTGATCATGATTGGGCGTTGAAATTACATCCAATTTCTGAACTCTTCAACAACAAGGAAATGAGATCTTGGTATCATGAAGCAGTATTTATTGTCAACGACGACAATCGTGTATTTCTCCACTTTTCACAAGTAACTCAAGCATTTTGTAATTACTTCAATAAATGGGAAGACACAGCTTGAAATTTAATTTGAATGTGTGTGAATTATTGGCGACGACATAACATGTAATCTAATATTGATTCTGATGATTAAATTAATTGAAGAGATCAATTACATCCTTCATTTCCGAAGTGTTTTATTTGTCAATAAAAATGCCTCTACACTTCATCATAATCATCAACCGATGATTTATTCATCAATCTTCATCATCCATACCTCAGAATTGAACACACTTCATGGCTTTATCAAAAAAGTATTCATCAACAAGTATTTTGAACGGATTGTTTTCGAAATTGAAACTGATTAGCAAAATTGCACAGCTCTCTTTGATTATGGATCAGTTATTTAATTTAACAATTTTTCATTTTGTCAAGGTTGAAATTCAACTACGGTCCATACTAGTAACCTATATCAAACCCGAATTAAAGATGTACTTGAATATGGAATCATCGAGCAATATTTTGTGATAGTACACACCGTAGCAACAACATCTATCATAGTTGGAGACGGATTTAATCATTTCATTGAATGGAACTTGTTTGGAGTTGAAAACCTTGATGAGCGTTCTGAGTATGAAGGAGATTTGTTGGATAGGTTAAATCGACACCAGACATGTATCTAATATTACCATCATGTATGTAAAGTCCAATCGTCATGATTATTATGATGTGTCCACGATAATTCCCACATCGAGTGACATAGAGATACATATTTCACAGCTTCTTCTGCAACTTGACAGAGTGATGGTGCTCATTACTGCAACAACATCATCGTTGAGCTTCTCTGCTGTTCATCATGATTCTTGGATGGTAATTGTGATGGACTTTATACATTTCACAATTACCATGGTCCACACTTTGGATGTACAATTAATTCTAGTAATAGATATGGATATGTTTAATCATTGCGCCAAGCTTGGTGTGATTGTGACCACTCTGTGGATCATCATGGTTGCCGGAGGTATGTTACCTAATTTGGTAATTTAAAAAATTTCATAAATATTTATTCATTGACAATGAAGGTATAGTCATGATATAAATATTGTAGAATATATTATGGAGAATCTATGTATATGTATTGATGATGAATTGGATGATCGTATGTGGAATATCATGGCATGTTTGGTGGTGAGATGATACCAAAACATTTCCGACACTGAACCACCAACATCAACCGATATCAATACGTTCACATCGATGAGTATAATCTATCCATATTGATCGCGCTCACTGAATCATCATGTATCGAAAGCAACCTCCCACCTATTAATTTTAATTTTCTTTTTGACCTCACTACTCAACCGAGGATGATATAATCCTTCATTGAACAACATTTTACAATTGTATATGGTATGTAAGAGTTACAGTGAAATTTGTGGAGTTTATTGATTTAATTTAATCTTACCATTAGCCACCTGAGAACAGGAATCATAATTTTTTTATTTTTTTTCATGCTGTAGACAGAAGAGTGAAATAGATGATATTTTATATTTGGAGACACTATGAAGAGTGTATTTATATGGATTTTATAGAGTAATTATGATCGAGTCGAGCAATGCTGAGCATCTGAGATGAGATGACCATCAAGCCATTTCATATACAGAATTCATCATCAACAACTATCAACATGTTCATCTCGATGAGTATAACATATTTTATGTTCAATGTACTCGCTGAATCATCGTGTATCAGTCATGACGTCGCATCTATTAATTTTAATTTTCTTTTTGACCCCACTACTCAACAGAGGATGATACAATCTTCCATTGAACAGCATTTTACAATTGGAGATGAAATAGTAATAACAAAGCTGTGCAATGTATTGATTGAATGATTTTGCCACTTTTGAGTTTAGGAAAATTATTTTTGAATATTTTTGAACATATTGATTGGTTTGTGTGAGAAGTAGAGAGCAATTTATGAATGGAAAAGATATTATTCCAGAGAAGAAAATACAATCAGTATGTTCTTGTGAAGAGAACGATCAGAGACCTATGGAGCTTGAATGCAACGCTGCAGAGAAGACGTAGTACAGATAATACAGCTTCGACCATAGTCCCATAGTTATGGAGCTCTACAGTCACTGGCGTAAGTATTTCAGCGCATCTTGATTCATGTTCGAAGCAAAACGGCATGACAACCATCATAATTGTTAAATATGTTTCAACATGTGTCAAATGTAAAAACATAACAGATGGAAAGAATGGCTTAAACATTTGAAACCCATAATAAGAACATCCGTCGAAACACCTCACAGTGTGAACATGCTAATCAATGAGAAGAGCCTCTTTGATATTCATGCACATGATAGTAGTGACAATTCTGATACAGATTCACCTCACATGCTTCCGAAAGCACACGATGACAATGCTCTAAGTGATGATGATTTTTCAGAGAATGCCATTGTTCTCGTGAACATTGATTCCGAAGAGGATGATCAGGTCAAACTTAATGAGAAAAAACGCTCGACGAGTCGTGTCTTGCTGAATACTTTTAATTTGGAAGCAAATGATTCCAAACACACCAATGTTCAGTCTTCTATCTCCGCACTGGATCACCTCACACCTCCTATTCAGAAAGGTGATATTGTGGTATTATGTGTCGAGTTATCTGGAATTTTAATTACAGGAGAAAATGGTATTTTCACACGATTTATTCAACAAGTTCTAAATTATACGGATAGTGTGGTATTTTTTGTAGAGAGAATGGATCGTCATGAATTTCAACAAACTCCCATTCTTCACTTTTCTGGGTTAGGCTCAAAGAAATGTTGTTGTGGTATTATTTGGAGATGATCAAGATATGACTTGATATTAGGTAAGTAAGAAGTTGGGAGTTCAATAATTTTATTTACAAAATTGTTCTCAAAAAAATAGCTTCTTGTGTTTCTTCCCGACTTGTGTTCGTTGTATCAATGTTCTTGATACTAGCTTTCATTAACTCGTACAACATTCCTTTCCAGCTTCCAATTTGACGCTCTTCAGCAACCTCCAACTTCATGAGTAGAGTGTAAATTTGTTCTTCGGAGGACCATTCAAACATCATTCCATCATCACTACCATCATCAACAAGTTTTGCTTGCCATGGAATATTGTGTGTACTTGAAAGATAGATTCTACGAAGCTCTTGGAAAACTAATTGTACCATTGGAGAATTTTCTTTACCTGCTGCAGTAGCTCGTTCTAATCCGAGGATATGACCAGCATGAATATTTTCACTTCCTTCGTTTGCATATCTCCACAATGGACCGAATAGAAATATTAATTCAGGAATATGAACAATAAGAATATGAAAATAGAAAGCAAATTTTGAAGCTGGATATTTCTCTCTCAACAATTTGCCAAGCCATTTACATAATATTTCTAATCTACACTTAGCTTGCATATTTCCTTTGAGTGTATCTACTCCTTCAACATATTGGAACAAAATAACTCTTGTCAACAACCAAATCATGATTTCCATATAATCAAAAATTCCATCAAACACAGTTTCAAAATTGAATAAGATGACATTTGCTTGATTTCCATTTAAATAAGGCAGTTGTGGAAGAAATTGATCTCCTTTGCTATCATCATCTTCTTCAGCCTCAGTATTTCTAAATTGAAATTGAGAGCAATGATATAACTTGCTAATTCTAGTCTCAATTATTTCCCATAATGAAGGCGAGTTAATACGAAGAAGCACTTGGGAAATCAAATTCGAAACAATTCTAAGTTTCATATGAAGGGCGCAAATAATGGTATGAATTGTCACTTTTTGATCAATGCAATATTTAAGAGTACGAGTTGTATGTTTTTCATCAAAGAAATGTCTACGTTCTTTACGACACATGCAATAGGGACAAAAGCAACCATTTTCATTCAAATCAGAGACATGTCCAACCATTTTCAAATCATTAATTATATATGGATCAATGGCTAAGACAGTGTTGTTCATTTCACAGTAAGCAATTCCGTTTCTGATCTCCAATGATTCCAATACGTTGATTAGATAGCAAAATATTTTTTTAGAATTTTCCTTATTTTCATCATCATCCATTGCAACACATGAAATATAGGAATGTCTTGACTGAGGTGCCAATTTTAAATTTAAAGGACCAACTGCACCTACTAAAAAGGTTCTTGCTCCTTTATCAATTACAAATTTAAGCTCTAATTTAGACAAAGGTTGTGGGTTATCCTTGCATTCATTGTGATGAATTTTAACCATGTCTTTCAACACAGGTACGTAGTTGAGATATAATGTAGAATTAGATTGTTTCACTTCATATGCTGATATTATTGAATCATTGACCGTTTTACGTAACCTATAGAGCGTTTTGGAACAAGGTAACACATTATTCAGTCCTATGAAATTGATCATATGTTGATATCGTTCATCACTAAGAAGCATAAAATCTTTAAGTAACAACATTTCATATTTGGAAATACGCAAAGTTGGGACCTCTAAATTCATAAATAATTGTCTGAGAAATATGAACCTGGATTTTACAACTTGATCAGTACCAGGTTTATAACAAACGTAACACAAAAGTTCGACAAATGATGATAGATATTGTTGGAAATGTAAACCTAACACTTGTATGAAACCCAGGCCAAGCATTGAACATATTTGTTGAACATTCATCACAGATTTGACTTTGTTGGTTCGGTATTGAGAGGTGCATTCCCAAATCGGCTTTCTGCTAATTCTATTACCAGTAATATGACTGTGACCACATTTTGAGCAATGCAATCCAAGAGTATCCTTTACGTCAATGTTATCAGTGTCATCAATTACTGGCATTAGGGGTGTTTGGTACGATATTTGGTTCCAAAGAAGTTGTTGATACAACCAAAAAGCAACCCATTGCAAAAACTCTTCTTTTTGCTTGTTGTGATCACTGACAAGAAATGAAACAGCCCACAAACAATCTACATATTTAGCTGATGATGATTCATTCATGAAGCTGAAGCATGTGTATTTTTTGGGCAGATAGTACGTGTGGTCTTTTTTGACTTTTCTCAACTTCTTTGTTAGTTTTGTAATGTTGATATAGAGTTGATTTTGATAAAAACGAGTTTCAATATCTGATAAATCAAACTCTTCTGATGATTGTTGCTGTGATGAATGAGGACTTGGGATACCATTTGCTGTTGTAGTCATTGTTTATTTGACGACTTCAATTTCAAACACGACTACGGAGATAAGTGTTGTAAACTGTTTTGACATTGATGACCCCCCCTCTCCGGTCAAGGGGGGTCAGTTTTGCTGTGTCTCTGTATTGATTTGGACCTTGCAATATTTTAGAACAAAAAAATGAATGGTCACAAACAAGCTGCTCATACTCCTGTGATTCTTTGCTTTTGTGAAATGACCACATTACCCTGTTCATCAAGTTTTAATTTATTTCAAAAATTGAAAGAACATGTACAAATTCAAAAAAAGTACAAACATGTTTGTACTCGGACCCAATCCATTTCTAAGAAATTTCAGAAATGGAATAAAACCATTGAAAATGATTCCATGACACGTCCATTCGATGTGAAAATTTCATATCATCATGAATGTATTTTAGTGAGCGAATTACGAACAAATTCGATTCAAATCTTTGATTTGGATTCAAGGGAATACTTGAATTGTGTACAAATAGACAACACATTTACTCAACATTCGACTCCCATTGGCCTTTGTATTGAAGAAAATTATGACGGATATTATAACGATGCTTTAATTTTAGGATTTTCCAACACCATCACCAAATATGATTTGAAACATATATTCAATCACATGGAAGATGATGATTCGATCAGATTGTCCGAACAACGTGCATGTTGGACATGGCAGATATCGAACGATGATCGTATTAACAACATGTTGCGAATGAATGTTCATCCATTTCGAAAACAATTATTTATTTGTGAATTCGCATTACGAGTAGTGACCATTTTAGATTCAAAAACTGGAATGAAAATTGGTTGTATTCAAGATCGAACGTATTGCATTCCAGTTTCAATGGATTTCACAAGGGATGGTCGACTTGTTGTTGGGCTGTCAAATGCCATTCAAATCTTTGCCGAACGTGATGGACAATATTCAAGTCAAACAGTGATTGGAACGAATGGCAAGCTTGGAACCTGTGTTGGCCTCGCCCATGATCCCTCATCAAGAAATATTTTCACATGCACCAAACTTGGCTTTATTCAAGTCGTTTCCTTGGATGGAAAAATTTTGAGAAAATTTCAATCGTGTACAACCTCGACAAGCTCCATCTATAAGAACCACTGTAAAAGCAATGAATTTATTTGGGATTCAAGAACAATGCAAAGTGGAATGTGTTTGAACAAACTCACAGGTGAACTATTTGTGTGTGATTGGACACAATCAAGTGTTCAAATTTACAAATGAATCATCATTGAATGGTTATTCTATACCACTGTAGTACAACGATCGACATTTGAATTTCATCATTATTATTTTGATGTAGATTTCAAACTTTTTGAATTTTTCATAACTTCTAAATTTGGAAATAACTTGAAAAAAAAATGAATCCCAACCCTACTTGCAAAGTGGTGATATTTCCTCGTAAGCCTTTTCCAATGTCGTTGATGATTCTATCGGATCAGTTCAACAAGGCCAACGGAAAGAACATTCTTTTAAAGTATTACTTTATCATCCCTTCAAATTCCGAAGCTACTTTTATGGAATTTTTGAACAAGTACTTTGAAGAGAGGGATACCGTGGAATTTGTGGAACGATTTTTTCATGATCAAGATTGTTCATGTTTTCAAAAAGGTGAATGGGTTAAGAAAGTTGGGACCTTAAATGAAAATGATGATTTTAATGAACAATATCACAGTTCTTACAAAAAGACCAGTGTTTTGAATTCATCTTTGTTTTTCAATGCATTGTCCTATGAAGAAACAACGGATTTTGAAGCAAATATTTCTCAAAACTATATTCAGTTACTGGTTCAAAGACGAGAGTTTGTAAAGATAGGTTCAACCAATTTCAAAGTGACGTTGGATTTTACTGAATTTCCAAATGGTGATACTTTTAGTGTTTTTGCGTTTCATGCACTTGTTGATCATGAATGGATAGAAGAAATTTTGAATTTAGACAGTCATCAACCACTCATTGGTGTAGAAATTAAACCTGCCAGAAGTAAGATGATCGAATACTTATATAGACACCAACGAGATGTATATATGCAGTTAATGAAAACGAATGACATTCCGAACGACATTCAATATTACTCAAGAGATCATTGCCTTTCAAAAGGCTATCATTGCAACAGCAAGATCACTTTGTGGATCGATCGCTGCAGAGGAACAGTTCCAAACGTGTCAACACTGGCAAAGAATCTTGGTATTAAGCCAAACATGTTTTTGGCGTTTTTAAAAGAGCGTCATGTGAATTGTCGAATTGCGTTGATTTTCAAGCATTACATGAAATACTCTTCAAAAACCAAACAAGTTGCTTGCTCACTGAATAGCAGAAATGATGACGAAAAAAAAGAGTTCATAAGTGACTCCTTTACAGTAACAGACGCTTTTGAGAAGAAATTGGTACAGTTTCCTACCATTAACACGTATTCAGTGTGCATCATTTACGGATTTCCTGTGGTAGAAATTGAAACTAAAACTCCCAACCAGTTAGAGAAAGAATTTGAAAGAGAAATCAATACAGGGTGGGTTAGAGTGTTAGAAGAACAAAAGAAAACAACACTTTACCTCCGCTCCTGCAAATGAGAAACACGGCTTGATGTGTTGGTTAACGAGAAAGCAAATAACGAAACATGAACTTTGACCACTACACGACCCTTCTTAATTTTATTCTTAATCTAAGACAAAATCTTGGCGCAATTCGACAAACGTTCACAAATTTCTGAAAAACTTGGTCTCTTTGCATCCTCATCCCAACACTGGATCATTAGCTCACAATATTCCTTAACAATTAAGCAAACTTTGGTCTCCATACTCTTGGAAGATAAAAAGAAGCTAGTACCCTTTTCCTTCTCCAATAAATTCTCTCGAACGTATTGTTTCAATAAAGGATCAAGTTGCATGAACTTTCTTGACGATGAACTCATATTCTCATGGAGATCTGAACTCGATTGAATATTAAACGTTTTCTTGATTCTGAAAGGAATTATTGGTCGTAAGCCATTGACAATTTCTTTGGTCATGGACAACATGTTAAAACTTGGTACTTTGAATGAATTGAATGGTTCCTCTTCAATTTGTGGAGAAGGCGATTCGGTGGGGGAAGCAGGAACTTGAGTTGCTTCATCAATGTCCAATAATCTCACCTTTTCTGTACTTGTTCCTAATTCTCGGTCGTCAATATTTGTATCTTTTCCTAAATCAATGGGTTCGTAGGGTTTTGAAGAAATGAGATCTTTGTGTGCTTCCATGAATTCTCTCATGACATCAAAACTTTCCTTACTGAATGCCTTTTCCTCAAAAAGTAATTCCCACCTATCCCAACAAGTGATTATTTTCACAGAAATTGGTCAATTTTTTAAATTTGAAAATAATTTCACAATTTCATAAAAGCAGTAACCACAAGTGATTCATCAATGTTCAACTGTTGTTTCAAAAAAAAACTTACATGATAATGGAAAAACTATAAACGTCACATTTTTCTGTATAATGTTGATCTAGAATAATTTCAGGTGCAATATACGTAGGTGTTCCAATTTGACTGGTCATAATCGTGGTTGCTTCTGATGAGAATTCCCTTCCCAAACCAAAATCACATATTTTACAAACATTATTCTCTGCAATAAGAATATTTTCAGGTTTCAAGTCACGATGAATCAATGGTGGATCCAAGGAATGTAAATATTTCATTCCATAAGCAATATCTAGGAGATAGTTCAGTTTTTGAGCAATACTCAATGGATGTTTCTTCTTCTTACTTTCGTGAATTTTTTTTCGTAAATTTCCGCCCGAGCAGTATTCAATCACAATGAATCGATCGCTGGGAGTAATGGCAATTCCATAAAATGTGACAATGTTTGGAAACCGGAGAGTACTTAATATATATGCTTCTTTTTCAAATGTCGTATTAATGGTCTCCGTTTTCACTTCGTCGTCTTCGAGAGCAGATGTATCAACGTGAATTCTCTTAACTGCAACAATGTTATTCATCCATGTTGCGTTAAAGATGACAGACTCTCCTCCTTGCCCAATTCTTTCTTTTATCTTCAAGTCTTCAGGTTTAATGACCCAGGTTTTTTCTTGAGCTCCCGATGATATGGATGTGTGAGATTCTTTCAAACTATTCTTTGAAGAAATTAATTGATATTGCAACAGACGACGTTGTAAATCCTCTTCTGCTTGTTCTCTTCGTTTAAGTTCTTTCAACTTCTTCCTCAAGAAATAGTAGCAACATCCAGTCATCAATACAATGAATGTAAACACAAAAGCAACCACTGATCCAATGATGATCAAAAACACGCTTTGCACATTGTAATTCGGTGTGCATTCTGTTATATCATAATTGTAAAAAACTGGACAATTAGGAAGTATTTGTACTGGAATGCTAAATTCTCGAATCACGCTCTTGCAGGAGAAATACAAATACAAGGTTGAATTGAGATTTCCAAAGATGGTGATATTTGAAAAAGTAGCCGTGTCATTGGAGAAGGTAGTTGCATAATAGACTTTGCCTTCTTTTGATGTCGAATTTAGAGAGGATGTTAAAATTAAATCAATGTCCACACCTCTTATATTTTCCATTCTTTCGTTGAACAAATCATACGCGTCAATTTTAAGAGATAACTTTTGGCCGGAATACAGAGTTTTTGGCTCACTCTTAAAGACCTTGCTATCCACAAGCGAGTCTCGAATCATGTCAAGAGGGAATTGATAAAATAGTTGTTCTGGCATCCATCCATTGTTAGACAGCGTCAAAACTTTTGGAGTTGAGGCATAATTGTCTCCGTATAATTCTGCATAATTATCGTCGAAATAAGAGTTCTTGCACAGGTCTGCAATTGCAGTACTGACAGTATTTACAAGGAAGATCGCTCCTCCTTGCCTTATTGCACGATTTCCAATAAATCTTAAATTATCCAAAGAAAATTTCGATGATGGAAAATCCAAATTATAAATGTAGAGTGCTCCACCAGATTCTGCCGAGTTTTTGATAAACGTGACATTTGAAAGTTGTGTGGATGAGACGGATGGTGTCAATAGAAGGGCACCTCCTCTTCCTTCCATTTCAGGATTATGGTCAATAGCGTTTCCTTCAAAGGTTGAATTTGACATCAAGAAGCTTCTTGCTGAATAAACAAATATAGCAGCTCCTGATGGACCTTGCTCAGCGTATGAACTCTCTGTACTGTAGTAAATTCTATTTCCAATAAATCTAGAATTTAAAATAGTCAAATCATTTCCTCTCGAATGATAAATTGCTGCTCCTCTTATGGTTGCAGTATTTGAAATGAACAAACAATTGTCAATTGTAAAACCTGTCTTTCTCTCACCGTACAACCCGCCAGCTCTGCCTTGGGCCGAATGTGAAAACTCAAAGGTGGACTGTGAAATGTAGGCATAAACTCCTGCTTTCATGTATAAAGCTCCTCCATATCCTTCACTCTTGCAATGACTGACTTTGGACTGTTGCATGACAACAGTACCTTTCTCAAAGAATATTCCACCTCCATCATATTTTGAGTAGCATGATGAGGTATAAACTGAGTTCAGCACGGTCGAAGGTACATCCAAGTAAATGCAGCCACCACTGTCTTCACTACTTGCATGAGAAAATGTCGAGTTATATATCGAAACGCTTCCTACTTCAGAGGTGGCGTAAATGAATCCTCCAAAACTTGATGGAAAAACGTTCCTACCATCGAAAAATTGGGTATTATTAATAACCATCACCTTGTTGGAGTTTTCACTTTGTTCAGTAATGTATATCGATCCACCGTGACGCGACACAGTATTTTCAGAAAAGGTACAATTCAATATTGTCACACCCAAGCTATTGGAGTTGATTGCTGCACCGTGTTGAGCATTGTTGTTAGAAAATACAGTGTTTGAAATTACAAAAGCGTTCAAATCAAGAGAAGAATATTGTTGAATATCAAGGTATCTAATTGCTGGACCCATCATTCTATGGAATAGAGAGTCTTGAATGTTCACGTTTCCAATGTTTTGTAAAAACAGTGCTCCACCGTCATTATTAGTGAAGTTTGCATTCTTAACCTCGACGCTATCATTGAAAAATTTCGTCGAACAATTATTGTATCAATGAATCGTCATCATTGTTCAATACAATTATTGTATCAATGAATCAATTATAAGACAACAATTTAAAAACGTACGTGTCTGCATCAGAAATTTCCAGTATTGGCCATCCATCTACGCTCAAATTATCCACAAAATTTGATCTTGAAATTTTAACATTGTTCGCTCCTTGAATGGCAACATGGCTACATTTGGTATTTCTTAGCTCAACATCAACAAGGTAAAAACCAGAAATTATTGTGGAATCGCTAACGATAGTTTTGTAAACCACGTTTCCCACCGTATCCATGGTGGTATTTCGTAATGAAAAGTGATTGCAACCAATACAATTAATGGTTGAGTATCCAGAGCATACTCTTCCAGAAAAAATACACTGCTTGTCACTAACCATGGATGAATTAATCATTGTGACAGATCTTGTATTGGTACCGGAAATGAAGGCATGTTTTCCAACTGAATCTGAGCATGATGCTGGTGTGGTATGGTTCATTGTTGGTATGTCAAAAATCAACCTGAAATGCACGTCATTAAAATACGCAAAAACTTCAGAAAGCAGCATGAAATCCAACTCCACGAGATCGTCACGCACAGAGGACATTCTTCTCTGAACACTTGTACTTAAAACTGAACAATGATATCCACATTCAATGGTGCTATCGATTATATTCGAATTGTGAATTAGTAAACTTGGATAATTGACTTCACCTGTTCCATCAAATAAATGTTTCACATTCTCAATTCTACTCTGTGTGATGGTTACAACTGTTCTCACCTTATCATTAATAACATTAAATGTTTTCTCATGCAATGAAAAGACAAATGACATGTTCCTCAAATTCAAATATTTCAATTCGACCAATTGATACGCTTCCGACAACAAGACAAAGCTATTCTGACATGAAATGGAGAAATAGCTATTTTCTAGAGTGTTGTTATTAATTTCCGAAACAATGACAAGCTTCTTCCGTGCTGGACTTGTTGCAGTTGATTGCGGAAGTACAAGACCACAATTTTGGGTGTTATTGTGAATGTCATCAAGTAATAGGACATTCAATTCTTCCGTATCTTGCCAAGTAGTATTGCTCGGTGATGTATTAAACAATTCTTGCCATCGCTCGAGGACCATCTCGAGTGAGTTACACGGATGATCCCTCTCACTACAAGGAAAATTCTGTTCTCCTTTTGGATCGGGAAGAGAAGGGTTTAAATAAATACTTTTAGATTGAGTAAAGGCTTGAACATTATGAATGGTTAGTGTTGAGAATAATAGGATTGAAGAGAATAAGAGTACAAGGGATGTTGTTGTTGTTATTATTGAAATTGGATGATAATGACCTCGGAATGGATCATGATGATGATTGGATGATGATGCTCGGACGTGATGGTTCGTATTATTACACTTGCAAAGAGATTCCATCCTGCCAATTTTTTCCCTGTTTCGCTGTATATTGTAACACAATTCAATTATCGTCTTTGTGATTGGTTCAATTCATAGAAAGGAAGAACAAGAGAAAAGGACGACCTGTACGTTCAATATGGATGGCAATGAACAATTTTTTTCAAAGAAGAAATCGAAATCTCATGCCTCATTGGTTTGTCGTTTCTCCGTGAGAGAGAGATTCAAAAAATCATCTCTTCTTGTTCGACCTTTCCTTGAGTGGTGGTTGAAAAGTTAAACAATTTTGAATAAATTCCATGACCTGCTGTGTTATTTCAGGACTGCTCAAATCACTCGGTGTATCAAAATGTGTTAAATTTTCCATAACACGAACTAGGGTCTTGGATGACTCTCGTTGTGCCATCACTTCCAATAACGCAGCATACTCCTTGGGTTGAATATTGAGATCAGTTGGAGAATTCAATGAACATACAAATGGAATGAAGGGAGGTTGATCATCATTTTCCTCTTCATTACTACGACTACTACCATGACTCTTCATTGACAATAATTGTTCTCTTGTAATCGATGTAAATTCGTACGACGATTTCAAAAAGTATCCTGAAACAGCTCCTCCAATGGAATAGACCCAATTCAAAGGGTATTGTCCAGCCTTAAATTTTGGAAAGAAATCTTGTAGAGCCTTGATGGTTTGATTCGTGATGGGAATGGCTTGATTGGCGTTGAGAATGAGAGGCGAGGAAGGATCTTCCTTTTCACACACTTGCTTAATAAGTATCCACTTGTTCAATATTCTTTGATATTGATCTAGTAATAATTGTCCATAATCGAAAACGACACCATTCATGAGAAAGACATTGCTCACTCGTGGAGGAACATTGAGGAGGCGTGATTCATATTTTCCACAACTTGTTGTTGTATTGGACGAGTGATTTTCTTCATCTTGATGGTTCCATTCATTTCCATATTTGGTTGATCTAGGTCTTGTCGAATCATTCATCATCATGTTAAATACATTCATGGCCTTCAATACGACATTAACTCCTTCCGAATGTCCCAATAAACTCAATCTAGTGGTGTCGATCCATAAATCTTTGGAACGATTCAGAGCCAAATATTCCAATGCATGAACCACATCCCATACCAAATCATCCAACGTGAGAACATTCAAATCCAATAATTGAGGAGCATGTTGTGTTTGACAAGCATAAAAACATGAATCTCGTGTGAATTGATGTGTGACAGGATCGACACGACATTTCGAACATGCCGTATTCGAAACAGAACAACATGTTCTCTTATCATAGGTGAGAACAATCATTCCATTTTGAGAAGCTAATTGCATGGCCAATTCATGAAATGTATTAAAATTGAGTAACGTATATCCACAATAGGGTTTCTTCCATTCGGGTTTTGCTTCTGTATTGAGAAAGACGTAATTATGAATGGATTCATTTCGATTTTGAGGACCACTGCCATGAACGAGAACGACTGCTGGAAGTTTCTCAATATTATTATTGTAATTATTATTATAATTAATATTATTATTATTATAATTAATATTATTATTGGAGGGATGATCTTTGATATGATTAGGAATAGAGGAAGAAGAAGAATGGAAGGGAATGTAAAGAGTTCCGAAGAGAGTCAAATTACCGGAAGGAGCTTTGGAAGTGAATTGAATCGATTCGGTTCGGACTTGGAATGGAGGAGGAGACGATTGACAAGAGGAAGGCATGATGATGAGAATACTACTCGTGAGAAGGATTATGATGATCATTACGACGAGGATCTGACAGCATTGATGAAAAGAAGAAGGGTGGAAAAGTCTTGACAATGACATTTTTTGAATTAAGATTTTCAATGATTTCACTTCTTGTGACACAAGAGTCGTACATTTAGTGTTTCAAATGCTGAGTTACCATTCATTCGATTCAAAACGTGACAACTCTGACGAGTGAGGAGAAATGTTGTTCCGTGCGCATGTGTTCGTTTCCTATTAATACATGAAATTATTCGTCGAAATTCTAAAAACAAAATTAAAAAAAATGTTTTCTTTCTTCTTCTCTGGCAAAACTGCCAACCCAAATGACATTTCCGAATCTTCTCCTTCAATAACATCCACAACTACCACTACAACAAAAACATCATCAAATTCTGCTCCTCCTCGGAAACGTGAAAAAGTAACTCTCAAACCAGGATTTGGTCTTAGGCAATGGAGTATGCTACAAATGAAAATGCCATCTCCGAATGTCGCTTCTTTGGGATCCATTCCAATCGGTGAAGTGGCAAAACATGATACGGTAGAAGATGCTTGGATCATTTTACGAGAACGAGTGTATGATATTTCGAAATTTTTGGATCATCATCCTGGAGGTGTGGAGATTTTGAAACAAGTGTTGGGGAAGGATTGTACGGAGCTATTTGATGAGTATCATTCGTTTGTTAATTCGGATTTTTTGTTGGAAAAGTAAGTAGTGTGAAGATGAATATATATTATTATTGAACTAGTGTCACTTTTTTGAAAACATTGGTTAATATGGAACGAAATCATGCGATCATGAACATTTATAATTTTTACATATCACAAAATAGGTGTTTTCTAGGTTATGTAAAGAGAAATTAAATTATAATGAATTGACAAATTTTCAAGAAAGATTAATGAGTAACGTTGGTAGCAGCATCTGATCGATTCGGTATTTCCAATGAATATTTTCCTGGCTCTTCCTCGATCAGACATGCAAAGGTTCCACTGGCAGCTCTAAAAAGACGGTCAAAAAGAGAATCGGCATGTTCAATGTCAACATGCAACAAATTTGGAAGTAAAATTGCTTGAGCACTTTCAATCTTTTCACACTCTCTCAATACTTGAAAAACATTCTTTCGAGCGACATGAATGTCACCATCCTTAGATAAATCCTTATAGACTAGACAGTTATTACTTAAATGTTGTAATTTTCCTCCGAAATCGACAATAATCGTTTCTTGAATTGGAACGAGCATGTGGTTTTCTTTCATGGAATGTGACGTTGGAACTGTGACAACATTTTCCAAAATGTATGCAGGAACATAGGGTGCATAGTGTGTAATTAACTGTCCAGGTGCAATTTGAGCTGTTGTATCGTTCATCTTGACACTGTATGTTTTTTGACGTGTTTCAATTAGAATTTCTGGCTTGTATGATTCTCGTGTTTCTCTCTCCACAAAATCTTGAGCACACTTTCGGAGTTGTTCCACAGAGATGCCTCCTCTTCGTAACACTTCAAGTTTCAAAACATTCGATTGCTCTGAAGCAGTGATTTTAACAACCGTACTTTCAATTCCCACACTACATTCCGAATGTTTGACATCTTGTTCCGAGCTCTCCAAAATCAAAATTCTAAAAACATTTTCACCATCAATTTCTTCCATCTTGTAACAACCCAAGTCTTCCATGACATGAGAAGCAGTTGTTGGAGAGACATGTCCAAATCGATTTGCAGATGGTGCACTAATTGGCAATTTGCAATGCTCCAATAATTTTCGAATCACAGGATGAGCTGGAACTCTCAATCCTACATAGCCTGTGGATGCCGTAACACAATCCGGAATGATGCTTTCATTGGACTTGCTGACAATGGTCAGAGGGCCGGGCCAAAAACACTCAGCCAAATAATCATAAAATTTCATATATAAAGAATTTTCTTCAATTACAATATACTTTTTAGCTTCTTGCACGTTCAATACATGAACAATAACAGGATCTGTGAGAGGTCTCTTCTTTGCTTTGAAAATGGAATAGACAGCCTTTTCATCAAGAGCATTAGCTCCGAGGCCATAAACTGTTTCAGTCGGAAAGGCAACCAATCCTCCGTGTTTTAAATGTTCACTACATTGTTCATAATAATAGGAATCCAAGCTCGACGAGTCGGAAGAATTTCTACTTTCACTACTGGACTCCGAATTTAGACTCACTTTTAAAACACATCCATTATGGACATCATGTTCACCAAATGATATCCACAACTTGTTTGACTCGGCCATTGATGATGATGAATTTAAGGATGACGCATCAGAGGAAGAGGAAGAGGCGTTTTGAAGCATTTTTTTCTTGTGCAAATTTAAAATTGTATCTTGCAGATGATGATTGGAGTGGCAATGATGGAGAGAGAAATGAACCATTGTTGTTGCTGTTGAGGTGATTGTTAATGCATGAACAATAAACCTTTGGTTCTTCTTTTTCCGAAAGAAATATTTCCAAACTGTGAGCGGAAAGTTTTGATTCCATCGAAAAGCATTCCGAAATGGAAATTGGAAATGCTTGGGTTCTAGATGCATTTTTTTATTCCTTTAACTTTTCTAATAGCTTAAATAACAATCATTACATGATTTCATTCATGCCAAAATAAATTTACATGATATTCTTCATTCCAAATCAAATATAAATATTTTAATATTAAACATGATATTCATCATTCCAAATCATGTACTTAACATATTGATATCATGACATTATGGTTTGCTCACTTCTGTCAACTTGGCAACTTCCAATAATTGTGAATATTTCGAAGTAGGTAATGACAAACTTCCAGTATTCATCCAAACAAAATTACACAACACGCCACATGAATAACCACATGTCAAGGCCACACAATACACTTGTTTTCCTTGAACACTCGTCACACAACGAGTCTCTAACACTTTGGTAAATTTGTTGCATGACACTCGACTTGTCACGTCCATTTCTCGACTTTCCATCTCATATTTTCCATGACACTTGTCAGCACGATCTTTCAAATTTTTCAAATACACTTCCAAGAATACTTTAGCACCTTCATCGAATGGTAATGTTTTAAGGTCATTGTATGTAATGGTTAAAACTTCACCTGTTGTGGAATTTATCAACACTGCGACATGAGTTCCCAATAATTTATTGGACTCGGTCGTAATGAGTTTGAAACCTTTAGGAGCAGAAGGACGGAATTCACTTGGGAAGGTACCATCAATGAATCTCATGGTTGAACTTGAAGACGATGAAGAAGGAGAAGAAATTGAAGTTTTTTTGATTGTCTTTTCAGCAAGTCGATCGACTTTGTAACTCACTTTAAGAGTTCCAGATTTGGTATCTTTGAGAGGAAGATCAACTGTGTAGAGTTTTCCAAATTCAATGTTGGCAGCATTGATTTCGAGAGAGGCACGTCCAAGAAAGTCCTTTTTATCATGATAATAACCGTTACACAAAGATAATTATTACACAAAATGTCAAATGTGTGAATGAGATCGGAAGAAAGACTTACATTACTGGTAATTCGATCCCAGTCATAAACTTCAAATCCAATGGTAAAGGATTGATAAGGAGAGTTCATCATGTACAACAAGTAATGATATTCAAAGGTTTCATTCCATACGGGATTTAAATTTTTCTTAATGATCTATTTTGGTGATGTGTCCATGTACAAGGGATTGTTATTAACCATCATCATCGTCATCGCCATGGATTGTATTGATCAAAAAGATCATCATCATCATGGACATTCATTTGAAATATATATTAATTTTCACACAATATCCTACAACAAACCTACCGATGTTCTTTTCTCGTAACCACCATTGATCGAAACATCAACAAAAGGATCAGAATAGCCGTTCAAATCTGCGGACACCAAGTTCGAGGCACTTTCAACTCTAAGAGTGAGTCGATCGTGATGAGTAAAACAAGGTGTGGAATCAGTGGTGGTAGACATCTTGACGTATTTTTTCAGTTAATCGGAGCAGGATCGCGCTTAACGTCGTGACGGAAGCTTAGCCTGAATGTTCAGGGAGAAAATTATAATTTAATTACGGCCGAATAGAAAGGCGAGCCTTATCAAGCACCTCTTTCTTAATTTTGGGATAGTTGGGATGTTTTTGCAAAACTTTGTGACAAACATTAATGGCTTCAATGTTTCGTTTTGCTTTCAATAGATTGAATGCTAGTTTGTAACCACTACTTGGTGAGGTTTCACCTGACAGTTTCCAAGCCTTTTCATAGCAATTTGCAGCATCTTGGAAAGAGCCTTCCTTTTCATAAATTAATCCGTCCAGTTCCCATGCTCGTGTGCAAGACTTGTTAATTTCTAAAATTTTCTTAATGAGCTCTTGTGCCAAATCAAACTTTCCATTGCCAATATAAATATCTGCAAGGAGTAGCCATCCTCGTTCGAAATCATCCTCCCATCCAGGTTTCATGCCCATTTTAGAAATTCGTTTCAAGGTCTGTCTGGCTTTTGGTGTTTGTTTCGTCTTTTCAAAAGCGTACGAAAGTGCAACAAGGGCTGGTACATAATCTGTATCTTGTGACAACACTTCTCCAAAAAATGGAATACACTTCTCAATTTCATCCTTGGTTTTACATTTTGCAATCTTGAGATAACCTTGTAGAGTTTTCTTTTTGTGTGGTGAAATGGTTGTAGTGGTCAGCTCTTCCAATAACCTTTCAGCTGCAGTAATACTTTCCATTCTGTTTTCACTGACCACGGTCTTGGGATTTTTTTCTTTTTGATCGCTTTCAGAAAGCGAACTGTCCACAGTGGTGTCTGGATTGAGGTATGTCTCAATCATATACACAGTCGCCATTTCACCCCAATCACCACTTTTTCTTGCTCGGTTGAACCAAACCAATGATTCTCTTGAATTATTTCTGTACAAGTGAAAGAGACCATTGCAAAAGTTGAAACCTGGATCATATTCTTCTTTGGGTGAGAAATTTCGTGCTTCCTTGAGGAATGTTTCTGCCTCATCAAGCTTTCCAGCTCTTCTAAGAAGGGTTAATAATTGTACAAGAGCCTTGTAATTATTTGGTTTGTGATGTAGGAAGGTTTGGAAATGTTCGATAGCCTCTTCAAACTTGTTGTTTCTGAACATGATATCTGCCATCATGATTGTGGCTTGCTCGTGCGACTTGTTCACTCGAAGTAAACTTGTGCATTGACTTTGACAGCCCTCAATGTCGTTATCCTTCAAGTAAATTTCTGCAAGAGCTAGCATGCTTGACTCATGAGCTTCATCATATTGGAGCGCTTCTTTGAAGAATTGTGATGCTGTTTTCGAGTCTCCAGACTTTCTATTGTAGTCTCCCAATTCGTAGCAAATCTTGGCTGCTATTTGTTTTTCTAAATACAGACTGTCTTGTTGTGAATTTTGAAGCTTTGAGAGAATTCTAAAGTACGCAACGAATCAAAGGAAATTTTCAGTATGAAATTATTAGAACGAACTGTTAACACCGAGCTGAACACTTACTTGACTTGCATATTCTTGGCTTGTTCCAAATCACTCATGGCCACTTTCAAATCACCCATTTTACAGTGAACCTGTGAAAGTAGTAAAATGACTTTCACGTATTGGGACATTAAGCTAATTTGATTCGACTTTTTACCCTCAATCACAGATACTGTTTCGGTGAGGGTTCGTTCAGCCTCCTTAAACTTTCGAAGTTTGAGATATAGTTGTGCCAAATCATATCGAGGATCAATATTGTTTTGATCAAGCTCAATGGCTTCCTTATAGAAAGAAACGGCTTCCTCATAATTGTGAACCAATATCAGCGATTTGGCAATCTTATTTCTGAGAGGTAAATTTTTTGGATCAATACTAAGCGCTTCTTGATAAGCTTCGATGGCCTTCTCTGGTTCTTGAATTTTCATGTAAGCATCGCCCAAGAATAAATAACTTGAAGACGTCTTGATTGATTTTTCTACAAGTTCTTCATAGCATTTGGCATAGGAACGTTTATCATTTCTATTGAGATATATTTTTGCAATTTCTGACTTGGCGAGTAAATAGTAACTGGACTCGGGTTGCACCGATTGCAAAATTGAAATCGCAGTATCAGAGTCATTTCTACTGATGGAAAGTTTGGCATTGGCAATGATAATTCTTCCTTCTTGCTCAGTTCCAGCAAACTTTTCCAATGCTTGTTCAATGTATTTGGCAGCTTCAACATGTTCATTTCTTCTAGAATGGACTGCCGATAGCTCCAAGTATATCGAGATAATTTCATCATCAGAAATTTTTCGTTGAATGGCTTCTGCTTTCAAAATTCTCTCTAAATTTTGAATGGCATCTTTGGTTTCTCCTTTGGATGCAAGCACTTTGGCCTTCAGCAAGTTATAGTCTGCTTGTTTTGTGACAGCAAAATCATAGCTCACGGCTCTCTCCAATTCTGTGGTGGCAAGAGTATAATTTTCTTGGTAATATGCAATTTGTGCCAAAAGAATATGTGCCTGTGAACTCTTAGGATCGTACTGCAACACTCTTGCCAAAATGCGTTGTGCGCTCTCAAAATCTCTCATAATGAATTTGGTTTTAGCCAACAACAATTGGGGAAGCATTAGACCTGGTACCTCTGATGTTAGAGACGTGAGAATTTTCGAGCATAAAGCAAGCTCTTCCGTTTGTGGATCTGTAGGTCCCAATGGTTCGCTTGGAATTGAACGTATCAATTCATGACAAATTTCCAAAATAAATTGAGGATTTAAGGCGCCATAATATTCAATGCTTTTCTTCATGGATCGTAATTCCTTCTCATGGAGTGCATAAACATCGGAAAGGGATTTGGTAAAATTTTCCACATTCTTGTTACATCTATGTTCATAGAGAGCCATCAGAAATAAGAGTTCAGATTTGTTTTCTTGTGCTGACTCTTCGTGAGCATCGTCATCCTCTTCCATGATCACTTCGATATCTCCAAGAAAATCTCTGTATTGGGTGGCCACATCTTTCTTGTTCTGCAAAATGGAACATTTGAAAAGTCCCTTGTTGGCTGAAATACTGCCATCATTCAACTCGAGAGCTTTTCTGAAGGACGTCTCGGCATTAATAAAGTCCTTCATCATTACTTGGATATGTCCCTGAAGTATGAAATAATCGGCTTCGATCGGATTTGCTTTTTTAGCCAAGTTGAGTAAATCGATGCACTTTTTCAATAATTCTTCTTTTCCTTCGGAGAGTGATGAAAACGTTTTGGCCAAGGAACTGCATAATTTATCATTCTTGGCTTCTCTCTTTGTGATGACTTTGAATAATTCGTTGAATTGGTTCACAAGATCTTCATATTGCGAACCTTTCACAAACAAATATAATAAATTAATATACATTGCATCTACATTGTTGGGATCTTGTTTTTGGATTCGGAGCGCAGTTTCTCGACACTGATCCCAGTCATCTAGTTGGATGAGCAAGAGACATTTTTCAACCTGAGCGGGTGAGAAATTTTGGAAGGACAAACTAATTTGACTGCAAATATCGATGGCTTGTTGTATTTTTCTTTGTTTTTCTGCATTTTTTGCTTTTCCCATCATGGCGTCGAGGTTTCTTGGATCGGCCTTAATACATGCATCAAACAACGATTCGCAGTTCACGAGTTCAATTTCGTCATCTAATAGCGTGGCCCATGCTTTGACTGTCTCCAAGTTTGTATAGGGATCTTTGTATTTTTCATCAATCTGTGGAGTAGTAGATGAATGTAACAAAATGTTATTGGTGCAGAGTCATGATGTAGTGCAGCAACGTTCGAGAGAAAATTGATGATGTTTTGTTTTTTCAGTCAGATGTGTTAAAATCTTAATGGACCACAACTTACATCTTCAAGAATATTTCTACACTCGTCATACTCTCCCATGTGTAGATACAATAATGCTGCTTGCAACTTGGCAGAGTTTTGAGCCGATCCTCTTTCCATTTCAATAAATGTTTTCAACGTTTCAATTTCTTGTTCATCTTGGTTCGCAGATTGTTCATGAGCTGCCACCAAACCGATGTACGAAGCAAGTTGCACTTCCTTGCGTTCCTTGATCATGTTATATCCTCGGATGGCCTCACTCAAATTTCCTTGCATACAATGCCCAAACGAATTCCATAATCTCACGATCGGATCTTCACCTCTCGTTAAAAACAACTCACAAACTTCCGTGACCGAGCTGTAGTACTTTCTTCTACAATTATAATTAATAAAGGCCTGTAATTCTCCAACTGATGAAAACCCCGATGAAGCACCACCCTTCAAGGATGACAAGGTGGTCGATGCCATTGTTGTATTCGGACCAAAATTAGGGTTGTTGTTGGAAATACTGGCTCTCATCATTTCTTATTTTTTTTTTGTAGTATTTTTGGCGCGCTAATGTTTGTTGTTCGCGAAACGCTTTCCACAGAATCATTGTCACAGGGACATGTCAATATCATTAAAACGAGAAGGAAGAGACTCACTAATCATTCAAACAGCAGAATGCTATGAACATGCAAGTTAGTACACGTTTTTTCACTTGTAAGGTCGGCCCAATTCTGAAATGACCGATTCACCTGAGCGGCTTGCTGTAGTAGCCGACTCCAAGTTGGAAGAGCCGTTTTACTAGTCATTAAAGTCGCCGGCCAAAGCGAAGCATCATTCGACACGCTACATTCATTTCTCCTTCGTTAAGTAAGGGAGAATCACAAAAAATTCACTTCACATCCTCTAAGAGAAGTCTCACAACTGTAGTTACACTATAAGAATGAATCGATCTGCAGCTTTCAAGACTGTCCTTGGTAATCTCAAGAAGAGTTCTGCAACTACTTCTACTGCTATGGCTCAGCAACAAAAATCCAACATTCTGGTCCTTAGATTTACCTCGGCGCAACATCAACAACGATTCTTACAATCGTTGGCAAAGAGAAACAATCCTGGATTCTTTGATGTGGCTTCTGGAATGGTAAGTTCTTCACGAATGGTTGTCTGGCTCACTCGACTAACAAACTTTGTTTCGACACACTGGTGATGTTGAACCACGTCTCTGCACCGTAAAACAACACTCAGTATGAAAGTGATAAATACAAACTTGATAACAAACCTTTCGAATTCAGAAATGGAGAACCCTTCTTCTTGTTCTATTATTTGGGATCTGTCATTATCAGTATTCCAGCCACGATGGCCTGTGTGTTGAGTGCTATCTTTTTCTTGTGGTATTCCTTTTTCGATACTCAAGTGACAAGATCAAGATCCAATCCACATCCATTCTTGGAAACAAAGAATGGAGCTCAAGCGCAAGCAAGCTTAATTCCACTCTTGAGAGGTACTATGAAATTTGGTATCCTCAATGCTGATTACAAACAATTGTATTGGAATGAATTGAATAGAGCCAAGAAGCATGAACTTTAAATTGGGTCATTAAATTCTTCTTGTCGTCTTCCGACGGTTGATTCAACGTGGGTAAATTCTAAATTGCAATGTTTGTTTTACCTCATGTTAGAACTTCCTCAGTTGTTCTTCACTTCATTTTCAAAGTGCTTCAAAATCAAGATGATTTCACAAGTTCATGATCATCATTCACAAAAAAACATTTTCGAACATGCTTTCCTCATCCCAACAACAACAACACAGTGTCTATACTCAATGTAAAGTTGGAGATTTAGATGGAATTAAACAACATTTTCAATCCTCCACGAATCCATCGCCCTCTCTGGATGAACCCGATGAGTTTGGAAATACCATGCTCTATTATTCGTGCCTGTGTGGTAGATTGGGGATAGTGAGGTACCTCTCCGAGTTGGGTGCTCGCGACGACAAGTACAAGCGATGTTTTCTAAATGCTCTGAATTTAGACGTTCGGAGAATGTTAAAGTTATATAACGTCTATCATCATCAACATGGACAAGAAAATAACAAGAATCGGAACAAACCATCATCTTCGGAACAAGATGAAGAAGACGAAGAAGATAATCTCACTCAAGTATTGAAAAAGTATGCCATGAAGTGTGTTCATGAAAATAGGAATGATAACAAAAAGGATCAGTCTCAGGAAGGAGGTGAAGATCAAGAGCCTCTTTCAGAAGTTAAACAAGAATCCCCAGAAACAATCCATGAATCAAATGATGATCGTATGATTGTATTGAAATTTAAATTTGCTGATGAAAAATCCGTGAGCGAGTACAAGTGTCATTTGTGGATCTTGTTGTCCAGGTGGCCACAATTTTTACATTTTGTCCATTTGCAACGAAATAATTCTCAAAATCATAATTTAATTCAAGCATTACCTCAGAATTTTCTGGTTCGATTGGAGAGTACGGACATACCTCTTTTTAAATGTAACAGTAATAAGGAAGTGGAAGAATATGTCAATCGAACATTTCCTCAGCTTGGTGGAAGTGGAAAAGCGTTTAACTCTAAATGTAAACAAACAAAGCAACATTATCGTCAAATCAAAGAGGTTTTCCAATTTCCGTTCATTTCACAGCAGGATGTGATTCAAAAACTACCGAATCAAGATACTGATCTAGCTCAATTCATGAACGACCATTTGAAAGAGATTAATTTTGGAGTGGTTCCATTCAAGAGAAAATCCTTTGACACAGTATTGGTTTGGCTGTATAGTGGCCTCCTCATAGATCCTTCTCGAAAATCTTCATTTCTGCCGAGTGAAGTCGATTTCTGTACCGTTTGTCATGATTTGGTAGTGATGGCCAAATATTTACAACTCTCTTCCCTCATGGAAATGGTGACTGAACACTTGTACAAAATGTATGAACATTGTGGTACCAAATTCTTGCAAACACATGTCATGAAAAAGAATCAGGAATTATTGGCCAATGATTTGGATCCTCAATCGTATTGCAAAAGCTCGATCACTCTCACAAATCCCATAGACAAGATGAAACGAATGTGTTGCAATATGGGAATTACTCTTGCCAAAGATATTTCCCGTGATGATGAACATGCATCGTCAACACCAAGCACATGTGAATTTATTTATTGCAACAAACAATTCATGATGGATCGAAGTTTATTCTTTGAAGTCATTATTAATTGCTCGTTTGAAGAAGGAGAAAAATTTAGACGACAATTAGATCAGCATGAACTGCCTCTGATTGATTTTCAACAAGTCAGCCACACCAATGTTCTGTGTGAAATCATTCGATATTCCTATTCAGAAAATGTGAACATTGACAAGGAAACCATTTTGGAAGTCATTACATTGGCTCAAAAATTGGGCTTTCCAAAACTTATTGAAAGATGTGAATCCTATTTTTCAACATGGGTCACTACCGAAGATGTGGACAATGTGTTTGAATTGTTCAAAATTGCTTGTTTAGTTGGTAGTTCTAAATTGAAAATGTTTTTCGAAAGGAAAACCATTGAATATTTTAGAGAACAAACAGAGAACGGAATGATCACTGTAGATGAAGTGATTGAGAGTTTGGAATGTTTGGGATGTGATGAGGATGAAATTTCAAGATTCAGAGCTTATTTGAGAGCGAATTAAGCGATGGTCTGGATTTAATCTCATGTATTGATTTAGTTTATTCTTTTTAATATTTTTTACCAACCCTCGAATATTCATCAGATCAATCTTGATAATTTAATGAGTTTAATCTTTACAAAATTAATATCTTCAAATAAGTTAAAATCAAATTAATTAAATTAAAAAACCATAAAAAAAATGTCTAAACGAGATCGCTTGGAATTCATTCATTCAAACGTTAATCATGTCCACGATCTTCCAGCACACTCCACCATCCACATTCCGAAGAACAAACATTTAAAAACAACACATCACAGCAGTATCCATGAAACAATAATTATTCTTACGGACTTGTCATCCAACCACCACCCCAATACGTTACAACAACTGTTACAGCATAAATTTTCAATGCAACAACTCGGAAAGAAGAAATGGTTATTGGCACGAGAGAAGAAATACGATGGATATATTCCGATTGAATTCTTGAACGATCGGGAAATGATTTTACATCATATCCGAAAGTATGGTTATGGAATGGAATATTTACGATTCTGTAGCCGCTGCGATCTACTTTTGGATAAGCAATTTACCCTGCAAGTAGTCCGAACGAATGGCCAACAACTTGACCATGTTTTTGAGCCATTCAAACAAGATACGGAAATTGTATTAGCTGCCGTTCAGCAAAATCCAAATGCAATTTTTTATGCAACAGGATCATCTCGAAACGATCCACAAATTGTGGAGGCAGTTCTTGATCGACATGAGGAATTGTTGGAAACGTATTGGTATACTTTTCATATTAATGATGAAATGGCACGAGAATTGGCCAAGAAAAATGCTGCTGCAATAAGATTTTCAAACTGGTTGAAGAAGGATAAGGACTATGTGTTGAAGCTTGTTAAAAATCAACCACGGGCCATTTGTTATGCTTGTACTGAATTGAAAAACGATTTTGAATTTCTAAAACAAGTGGTGTCGTGTAATGGCCATGCATTGAAGTATTTACTTGTTGATTGGACCAAAAATTTGAATTTTGAATGTGTGGATCGATGCTCGAAAGAAATTTTTATGGAAGCTTTCAAACATTTAAACAACACAAAGAACCTATCAATTGATTGGACAGATATAAAAATCATGAAACAAGTGGTTTCTGAATGGGGTTATGCATTGAAACATGCATCTAACGAATTGAAAAACAATTATGATCTCGTACTAACAGCGATCAATTGTAGTGCATGTTCCTTAAAATATGCCAGCGACCATTTAAAGAACGATAAGACACTCGTATTGCAAGCAGTCAAAAACAATCACAACGCCATGCAATTTGCTTCCCAAAATTTAAAGAATAGCAAAACATTTGCAATGCAAGTGCTCAAGAATGCCAACGCTTGTGTGTTTCAATATTTTTCAGATGCACTGAAAGGAGATCGTGACGTTGCAGAATACGCTGTGTCACGACAAGGACAATTGCTGGAATATGTTTCGCAAGAATTGAAAAATGACTTTTTGACAGTTTTTACTGCTGTGAGTCAAAATGGAAGAGCACTGCGTGATGCATCCAATAATCTAAAACAAGATCGTAACATTGTTCGAGCAGCCGTTTCTCAAAACGGATATGCCTTAAACTATGCCTCAGAAAAACTGAAAATTGACAAGGACCTTGTGACATTCGCAGTTCTGACATATCCTGAAATTTTGCGAATGATTTCTTTGGACACTCTTGGATTGGATCATGAGTTTGTCCTGCAAGTGTTGTGTACACTTCTAGACCATTCAGTATTTCATCAATCATTTCCAACTTTAATGAATCATTTCATCCTGGGTGAACTTATGCATGATCGAGAATTTATGTTGCGAGCTATACGAGAAAATGGACGTGTTTTGGGTATGGCCAGTTGCAAGATTAGGCAAGATCAAGAGCTCATATTGGAGGCACTCAAAAACAATGGATTTGTAGAGAAGTATAGCAAGGAATTGTATCAATTAAGAATGGAGCAATGCTATTACGGAGCTTATTTAGGAAAAATCTAACACCCGTGCACCATATATAAAATTAAATGGTTGCTTTTTCAATTTCCAGCGCTCTGTTATAATGCACCTAAATTCATCACACGCTAATTCATTGGTTTATTATCACAACTACAAAATTCAATCAAGTTGAGAATGAACTACTCAATGCTTTGGAGTTCTTCTTCCCTTGTAAACAATAGGACGAAATGAATTAAAACACTGTACCACATGATCACACGCGAGTCTCTGAGCTCAGTATTTGTAATTTCAAAATATAGAGAGCCATCCATCTCGTTGAATGCATATTTCTCTGCTTCCTCACGAGAGATTTGCCTCATTTTCGATAAATCGGATTTAGTTCCAATTAAAATTTTCTCCATGGTTCCAACATTTTCTTTTGCAAATTGACGTTGTTTTTTAACGAAATTAAAACTTTCTCTATCTGTAATATCAAATAGCATAAAAGTTATGGCTGATCCTCGATAATAGATTGGTGAAAGACTTGACCACATTCGAGAAACATGTTTCAAACAACGAAATGCTAAACCTACGTATAAAATCTCTGTGAGGGAATAAGAGTTACCATTGTTTGTCGAGAGTACACAACTTACTTCAGGTCCTGCTTGATCCCACAACATTAAATTAATGGAACCACACTCTCCAAAAGAACAAATCTTTTGTGAAAAATCCACTCCAACAGTATAATTCGTTAAATTATTCAAGGTTAAATCATTCATCATGCAATTAAGAAGACTAGTTTTTCCCACACCACAAATGCCCTCCAGTATGATCTTACATCCATACCTGTTTGGATGATCTTTCAAATATTTTGGTCTGACATGATTTTTTAGTAAACGAATGGATGAAACTTGTTCGCTCGCATTGTTATCTCGAGTATTTGGTTTTGAAAAAAGTGATCCTAAATAAGTGAATACTTGTGAGAACAATCCATGGCTCTCGTTACTCGTACTAGAGCTACTGCTCGAAATGGTGTGCTTGTTGTGATTACTTTTCAAAGACGACGCAGGTATCAAGTGTCCATAAGTTCTATTGTCATACCAAAAAGACATGATGTATTTCAGTCGTTTCATTTCTTCATGTAACCAATTGGTATTCATGAGTGAAGAGACTGTTCGGGTGTCGTTATTACGAGTTTCCATTTTCAAACAATCTTCTACATAGGACAATACGAATTGTCGGATATAATATTTCAAAAGATGTTTCCCTTGATCGGTTTCAAATAGATCTGTAAATTTCAAAGAAAGGTTGTGATCAGGAAGTAAAAGCTTGGGTATGTTCTGATAAAACCTCCATTGTGGATATTCCTTTGAAAATTTCATTTCATCATCCTCTGCATTCATCGTATCGTTCTTCCATAAAATTCGGACAACAATTTCATCACGCCAATAACGACAAACATTTCCCATACTAAAAATCAAATCCACTGGCTGCAGAAAGGATATAATATGTAAAGTAAGCTCGGAAGGGAAATTTTTGAAAAAACAACTGATCTGGAGCGTTGGTGCTTGTAACGTGCTGCTGCTGCTCATTCGTGTGATCAGATGGATCCAACTGATGAAACACTGATATATTTTTTTAACTTCCGTAATAGAAATAACGGAATGAGTAACACATGCAAGTTTGAATTTATGAATTGATGTTGGCTTGGTATTTGATACATATTAAAAGAATTTATGAAGTGTGTTCCCCGCCAAAGCCTTGTACAATTTTAAAAAAAAATTGTATTTTGCTGATCACAAATTTTCATCAACATGTCGGAAGGAGCAAGAAGTGCTCTGGCGAGCAGTCGTGGAGGAGCAAGTCGTGCCTCCACTCGAGGAGTGTCCTTCCGAGAACAGGGACATGGTAGTGAGGATATTGAAATGATGGTTCAAGTGTTGAACAAGCATTTGAAAATGAATTTGACGTTGGTCTCGTTTGACGAATTATCTAGCTCAAAACCAAGCCGATTGTTGGACTTGTTGAATAATTTAATTGGATACTTGTCGAGCGATTACAAGGGTGATTTAAATAAGGAAGCACCGGAGCAAACGTTCCAACGAGTGATGCATTTTCTCGTTGTGATCTTGGGATTTAAACATCTCCGACAAGAGAATCAGTAAGTTTATTCGTAAATTCCACTTGTTGTATTCATCGAGATTTCTTTGAAGAAATGAATTGGCATCTGGAGTCATGAATGGAGATCGTAAAACATTGTATCCAATTATTTTCAGTATTTGTCAGAAAATTGAAGACATGAAAAAGAGAGTATACTTGGCCAAATATATGGTTGAAATCAAAGTTCCAGATGAATTCTTGATGGACCAAGAAGTCAGCAATGTCTATCAGCAATACAAACAACTCATTCAGAATTTTAAAACCACACACCAGCAAACATCCACTTTGAGAGAAAGCACTCAGGACCCAGAGGAAATCAAACAACGCATTTTCAAAATGGAGCGTGAAAAGGAGCAATTGAAAGTAAAGAATGAGGAGTTGACAAAGAAAATCCGTGAACTAACTGTAGGTATTTATTGATGTTTAACAACTTGGGTTTCAAAATGTCAACCTCAAACTTTTTATGAACGGTCCTCTACCAATTGAATTGCAACTTGTAATGTCTTACACAGAATGACTCTGAATCATTTATTGATCTCACTAGCAAACTTAACAAGGAACAGGATGAAAGATTTTCACTAGAAAAGAGTCAGCAAGATCAGCTTCATAAGCTTCGAGAGAGTGAAGACCGATTAGCTCAAGTTCAAAAGTTGTTGGCAGAAACAGAGCGAGATATTGGATCAGGAGACGTTGACTCTCTGATTGAAAATTTAGAAGACGTCGTTACAAAGCTTCGCGAAGAAACTCAATCCAAGCTTCCAACAGAAATTGGTGAGAAGCAATACAAGATTGATATTTTAAAGAAGGTGTCGAACATGTCCTCCATGACAGATGCCTTATTATCTGTAGATAGCGATATTCGAAGATTGAAAGAGGAAATTACAACCCTTCAAGATGAGCTCTCTCAAAAAACAGAAAACCAGCAAAACAAAGACGATAATAGGCTTACCTCAATGGTCAAAGTTGTACAGAAAAAGAAGCAAGACATGGAAAAACGATTACACACTAATCAAAAAGAACTCTCCAAAGTTCAAGCGAAAATCAAAAAAGTGGAAGACGATTTGAAACAATTTGACGGCCAGAAAATACCTACTGCTGAAGAATTTGAACAACTCAGACAAGAAGTCATGCAAAAGGCCAATATCGCCAAAAAGATGAAGGCCGAATTAGGAGAACTTAAAAAAGAGAACCTTGTGCTGCGACGAACAGAAGAAATTCTAAAATCTAAGGATGAGAAAGTTGAACAATTTTTACGAAAACTGGAACAAGAGAAAGGCATTCAAGGTTTTCGACAAGTGCAGAAAGAAATTATTGATGCATCTCAAACCAAGAATGAAATTGATAAGGAAAAGGGTGAAACATTGGAAGAAATATCTAAAATTGTTCAAGAACTGAACGAAAAGATCAATGCTCAAAAGGAACGTCTCAAGCAACCTGTGAAACAACTCAAAATTCTAAGAGAAGAGCATCAAACGGTGGAAAATGAGTACAATGATAAGAAGGCAGTTTATGATAACATCAAACTGGGTCAAGAGAGTGAGGTGACCAAGTTGAGAAGCGATATCAAGGAACTGCAAGAAGAGATTGAGCGTCAACAAAGCCTATACTACCTGTTACAGAGTCAAGGCACCATCAACAATGCAATGAGAAAAAGAATTGACGACGAGAAGGATTTTTTAGATCCCAAATCTGGCAAGAAGTTCAGCCTCGAATATCAATCTTATACATCCTTCTTGAAGGGAAGAATTGAGAAACTCGAGCAACTGAGTAAGGAATTAAGAGAAAAACAAAAGTACATTAAGGAAACGCATGACCCCAACATGAAACAAATCGAGCAGTTCACCAACTTGCGAAAACTTTTAGAGCTAAAGATGCGTCTTCAAAAAGAGGGTGTCACTGGCTCTGTTCACTTACGACAAGCGTTTGGAAACAACAACAGTGAAGCATTTGCTCCTCCAGGTGTTGATCGTTTGGTAATAAATTAATTATTGTTTGGTATTATTTTGGACAAACAGCCCCCGCCATTCAGCTTTTAATCAATGCAAATTTTCCTTTTAGATTCCATGTCGGGACAATCAAAAACCCACATAACAGATGATTGGTTTTACTTTCCGGGAACGTCGATGACTGGATCATTGTTGTAGATGTCTTTGGTTTGGAAAACTACATGATGATAAAACCTGCAAGAAGACAACAATTAAAGACACAACAACAACCTCCCAAGGGAAAAAACATGTGAGTACAAACTTGTTACAGTACACCACCAACTTGTCGTCTCTGGGCGAGATACACACAATTACTTTTTATACCGCCAAACGTCACTTGTCATTGACACAAAAGAAGAAGATTTAGAAAAAAAACTGTTACATATCAGCGCGACAGCTGCCATCTCACAAACACTCTGGCTGTCCATCATTTCCCGCACAAAGAAGAAGGGAACATTGCACTTTTCACTAGTTCAGCAACAGCAACCCATCAACCGTTGAGTGGTGTGTGAATCTATAATTCCACATCAATAATCATTAACACAACAATTCATTTCATTCACTTTCTCTCTTTTCTCATACAATTTTCATCGTTCAAACAGTTTTTATACACTCCCATCACAACGGAAAATTCTTCTCTCAAAATAATAACGACATTTTCAATATATCTATTACAACAGAATTATTGACACACAATACAAATGGGCTGTTTTGGAGATTCGGGAAGTAAACCATCATCCAACAATAATAATAATAATAACAACAAATCCAAGACATCAAATAACAATGCTGCAAGTAACAATGGTCCAAAGAAGGATCCCAATCGAGTGAGTGTCTTGTTGTTGGGTGCTGGAGAAAGTGGTAAAAGTAAGTATAACTTATCGTCAATGATTTCGTTTTGATGATGGAAAATGTGTTTTTGGAATCAACAACCAATAACAACAAATGTTTTGAAAATTAATGGGATGATTGGAATCAATGATGTATCATAATCACGATACTGAATATTATACAACATCTCCACCATGATGATGATCAACTCTTCATGATGTATGTGGTGATGGTCGTCATTATCATCGAACACACCTCTCGGATGATCTGTTGTTGCTTCTTGACACTCGATGATTAATACTTCCGCATATCCGCTGCTTCTACTACCATCATCGTGATCACACATGAAAATTGTGTACTCTTCAATCATCAACATTTCATCACCCACTCGAACCCTACTTTTCCGTTTATATTCATTTGCGGGCTGCTCGCATCAAAATCATCACGTTCACGATATTGAAACATTATGGATTCATTCCACTGATCGCCATCATCATCATTACTTTATGGGAATATTCATCATCATCATCATGACATTAAATCCATCATCATCCATTATGTATTATTTAATGAACCATATTTTCAAAATCATGATCAACATTCTTTCACAATATCATTCGTAATCCAACCAACCAACCAACTAACCAACAACCAACAACAACCAAACAACAACAACAACTATACCCATCCTCCATTCATGAACAGGTACCATTTTCAAACAAATGAAAATCATACACAAGGAACCCTTCACAGATGAAGAACGCGCCACTTTTCGTGAAATTATTTACGGCAATGTGGTTCGAAATATGAGAGCCTTGATTGAGGCTTGTGAGAACTTGGAAATTCCCATTCAAAAAAATGAATCGAAACGTATTGCGAGCGAGTTTATGCAACGCATGGATGATGATGCCTTGTTGAATATTGAACGACATTGGACACCCGAGTTGGCGAATGATATTCAGTTTTTGTGGACAAAGGAAGAAGCGATACAACAGGCTTTTACAAAGAGAAATTTGTTTCAGATTACTGATTCTGCTGCTTATTATTTTAATGCTTTGGATAGAATTAAGGATCCAAATTCGTATTTGCCAAGTGTGGACGATGTGTTGAGATCGAGATTGAAGACGACTGGTATTGCAGAAATGGAATTTCACTTGAAAGAAATTGGTAAAATTGTGAAGGTGATTGATGTGGGTGGTCAGAGAAATGGTATGTTGTGTGCGTGCAAGATGATTTATTCATTCTTACATTATTTTCCAAAATTGTGTTGTGTTATTGTTTGGGACAACGTTGTTTCACACATCGAATTCCATATATGTGACTTTTTCTTGTGATTGGCAGAACGTAAAAAGTGGATTCACTGTTTTGAAGGAGTCGATGCATTACTGTACGTGAGCAGTTTGTCTGAATATAACCAATTGTGTTACGAAGATGAATCGACACAACGTCTCAACGAGAGTTTGTACTTGTTTGAAGATGTTTGCAACAATCGTTGGTTCAAAGGTATGTATTTTTTGTTGAGGTGATCAGCATCCCCCGAGTGACCTTTGTATAATTTTGTAATGTCCTATGATCTCGTCCGAATGCTTTTACAAAATGTCAATACGCATTGTGCATGACCAACGTTCACTGTCACCACTTTACAGATACTGACATTATTCTTTTCCTGAACAAAACCGATGTGTTTAGAGAAAAACTCGAATCATTGAAAGATCTCTCAAAATATCAACCAGAATACACAGGAAATAACGACTATGACAGCGCCAGAGAATTTATTAAAAACAAATTCTTGGAGAAGAATCACAATCCAGAAAGAAACATTTATACAGAATTCACGTGTGCCGTTGAAACTGAAAACCTAGGAAAACAATTTGTGGAGTGCATTTCCAAGGTTCTTCAAAAGAGAAAGTAATTATCCTAACCATTCGTTGTTACACTGATGCATTTTGAATTTTTAGAAAGTTTGTAACGTATTACTATGTAACCATGTAATATTACAACAAGAGGAACCCTCTCTTCAAGTAACAACAACAACTCCTTTGCCACGTGATCCTTCCAAGAGTGTCAACCCCATTTTTGATCATCCACGACCAATTGTATCTACTTCCAATAAATAGAAGATTATTTCACAAGAGTAAGTATTATTTATTTTAAATTTGGTCAAGTATTGTCATGACAAACAATTCACGGTATTGACGGTTATTTCATGATTCCTCAAATGTTAAAATTCCATTGTGGTTAACTACCCTTAAAAAGTTAATTAATTTTTTATAGATTTTTTAGGCGAATACACTTTAAAACAACCACAACAACAACAACCGCACACAAGTGCTCCTTCCAAAATTGCAACCCTTCATTGCATCACTTCAATGATATTGCTTGCGAATATTTGTAAAATTATTCACACAACTCATGTCACTTCCGCCCGTACAAGCCAACAACCGCAACAACAACAGCAACAATTTTTCACAACCTCATCAGCAATACCATGACTTGTCATCACAAAATCCAAACCCGTCTGAATCAGAGGAATCCACCCCATCGAATCCCAGAAGAAGAAGACGAAAATCACTCACCTTTCCCAAAAAGTTTGCCTTTCTCTCAACATCGGATGGTCTTGGTCGAGATGTTTTCAAGAATTTTCTAAACCATTCAACAAGTAATCATTCCAATGGAAGTAGTCATGACAACAATAATCATTCAATTTTTCAACCATCTAGTAATAGGGAACCCAATTCATCATTGAGTAATACTATTTGTGCCAACAACAACAACAACAGCCGTAAGGAAACAACCAATTCGAATGCAATCACATCAAATTCCATGGTAGAACCCCTCACACTATTGGGTGGACCCAGTGCCATCACCGCTGTGGTCGCTCATAAGAAAACGATTGCAAGTCCTTCGACAAGATTATTTTCCACTCTGACGAAAATTTTACCCAAAAGCACAACAACACTCTCAGAAACCAAAACTTTCAATTTTATTGATGAATCTTTGGGAGATCGATTTGTCTTTTATCAAATTATGGCATATCTTCCCATGAGTGCATGTTTGGGATCAGCACTCGATTTGGCAACTTTGTTTGAGTTTGAAAATTCAAATCATTATACATGTTCGAATGGAATTTCATCCTTGCCACAACCACTGACACGAAAAGATATTTATCAACGATTTGAAAATGGTAGTATTTTGTTGAATTGCATGCTTGTACATTCGAGATGGTATCAATTATTGAATGATGAAGTATTTTACAAAATTATTGTGAATGAACAATTTCCAGTGTATTATGAAATGTATTACAAACATGCTCATGGAAAGACATTACACGAATTGGAGGCATTTCATTTGAAGGAGCCCTCGAATACCAACCATGTCACAACTAATCTCACTTGTGATCGAACAACAAATCAAATCTCCAAAAATCCATCTGAACCTCATGAATGTCATGAATGGAAATTGATTTTGATTGATATTCTTTCAGGAATGCGATGGAGTCCTTTCATAAGCCGAGAAAAAGAATATTGTTACTTTCATCCAAACACGTTTTTTGCTCGGGAGAGTAGATGGAAATCGTCACCCTCCTTCTCTTCTCATTTCTCTCATCATCATTCACCTTCGCTGACCATTGTGAGTTCGTCTCCAACCAACTCTCCAACTTTGCATTCCTCCAATGACACCAACATGTTATTTCATCAGAACTCTAAATGTTATCATTCCATGAGTGGACCATCATGCTCAACACCGTCAGTACTCAATGGAAACATTTCTCCAAATTTGCCATCACCTTCTACATTGTTCACATTTCCAAGACGGGGAGGAGTTGTGTGTGAAAATGGAAAAGTCATTAAGGCACCGGTCGAATGTATTCCACGACTGAAAAGTACCTATCAATTATTCCGAATGGATAAACCCATTTTGTGTGACATGAATGTTGAATTTCAAATTATGGAAGAACAACACAAAGATTTCAAATCTAAAATTCATGAAGATAATTTTATATTGCTTGGAATTGTCGACAGTGATTTACTGTATTCACATGGTGATGTGGTTGGAACTCCAACACAAACATCTCTCGTAAATGAACCTATGAGTGAAACCATTTCTGCAAAATTTAACTATCTTGGAGTTTACAATATTCGATCCAGATATTGTGGAAGATCGAGAGAAGTCGAGTTGAATTTAGGTTATGCCAGTAATGGATATTTATGTTATTCGACAAGTAATGCTGGGCTGTTTTATGACAAGTGGAAACCAGGAGATTTGATCTCATTCGAAGTGACTGGAATTAATCACTATTCTCGAAAACGAAAACGAGATCGAAAGAAAGAATATGCTCAAGTATTGATTCGACACAATGGAAAAAATGTGACCCTAATTGAAGATTTCATGTTATTGAATGGTCCAATTTCAAGACAAGACTCCATTACACCATTTCCCAAGCTCTACTATTTTGCATGTAATTTTTATTATGGAGGAAATATGATTCATTCAATGGCGCACCCAAGTGGAGTCAAGATTCATTCCATAAAATATTTGTAAATTTATTATTTGCAAATTTCATATGATTATTACACTCAAAGGATGGTGTTGAAATGATCTTGCTCCTTTACTCTTCCGATTGTTGTCTCTAATGAAATAAGTTATAAAAAAACAAAAAAATGAATTCATTCTCGGATGTGGTGATTATTTTAATTGATTTTTTATTACGAGAGGAATATCAAACAGATAATGATGATGATCATTGTAAAACGAGTTATTTACACGCTTCATTAAAAGATAAATTTGCAAAACAACAGTTAGGAAAGAAGAGATGGATAGAGGCTTGGGATCGGAAATATGATGATGAGGCCTTCCCTATTGAATTTATGAACAATTATACCTTTGTTTTAAATCATATCCAAAAATATGGATACGGATTGAAATTTGCATCAACACAATTAAAGGGAGATCGGGACCTTGTTTTGGAGGCAGTCAAACGGAGAGGAGAGGACTTGTATCATGCTTCCAGAGAATTGAAAAACGAGCAGGAAATTGTATTACAAGCAATTCAGCAAAATGGCAATGCCATACAATATGCAGGCTCTGAATTTCAAAACGATCTTGAGTGTGTACTGACAGCTGTGAAAAATTGTGGTTTAGCTTTACAACATGTTCCAACAAAGTTTAAATGTGATGAAACGGTTGTATTTGATGCTGTCGTACAAAATCCATCTGCAATCAAGTATGCGTCTAACAAATTGCAAACCGATTCAGATTTCCTATTGGAAATTGTGAACTACAACTTTGAGGTGCTCCAATATTGCAAAGATAAACAAGTGCATTGGAAAGCAGTGAAACAATACGGCCCTCAACTCGTGCAATATTTACCAGAAAATTTAAGAAATGACAAGGATATTATTGTTGCAGCTCTGGAACACATTTATCCCACGCTCTCATTTACTGAGATGGATCTTTGGTCTGACAAAGAAAACGTGTTGACAATTGTCAAACATTTTGGGCGTGCGTTGCAACATGCTTCTCATCATCTAAAGACTGACAAGGACATTGTCATGACAGCTGTTGGGCAAGATGGATGTGCATTTGAATTTGCTTCGGACACGCTAAAGCAAGACTGGGAAATTGCATGGACAGCATTACAACAAAATGCATCCTCATTTGAATTTATGCCTGATGAGTTTTTACACAATACTGAAATAGTATTAGAGGCAGTGAAAAGAAATGGCTTATTGTTGCAACATGCATCCAATGAAATGAAAAACGATAAACAAGTAGTGATGGCAGCTGTGTGTCAAGATGGACACGCATTCGACTACGTTTCAACGGCGCTCCAGGAAGACAAAGAAGTCCAATTTGCTGCTATACGACAAAATGGATTAGCATTGCAATACATGGTCCAAGATAAAGAGCTTGTATTGGAGGCGATCGATAATTGCGCATTTGCCATTCTATTCGTTTCGTCTGAACTGTTAATGGATAGAGAATTTGTTTTGCATAACTTTCCACTGGATGACATGACCATCGAATTGATGCCACAAGAGTTATATGATGAACGGGAATTTGTATTGGCCATAGTTAAACAAAATGGTCTAGCATTGAAATACATTCCTGAACACTATCTCATAGATTCAGAAATTGTGTTGGAAGCCGTGAAGCAGAATGGTCATGCCACATCTGATATTTGGGACAGGTGGAAGAATGATCCGGACTTTGTCAAGGAATTAATGCAATGTACCAATTTCTTCTTCCAAGAGTATAACGATGAGCTGTTTCTATCGAGGATGAAGTATTATTATTATAATGTGTATTTAGGAACAACCGTAAATTTACACACTCTACAATGAAGGAAGTAACAATGCACGATTAGCTGCTGTTCATGAGATTGAAGATTCTCTATCGTCCACAATATTGAAGAACGACAAAGAAGTGCCGTGAATCCAATCAATGGAAAAACGATCGAGAAGTGGTAATATTGAAATTTATGAGGATGTGAAAATAGGATCTGAAATATTGAATTTATAGGAATACTCGTGAGTATAGGTCTAGAAAATAATACCTCTCTGAAACAATGTCTTCTTCAACACAAGTGTGGTCAGAATAGCTCAATAACTCAACTCACGTCTTTAGAACTCCGCTTGAAAACTGCGCACTTTAAAAAAATGTCCTTTCGTTGTACATAACAACCATTCAAACCGAGTCATACATTTTGAAAACAAAAGACGGAGATACTTGCAAGCAAATAGAAGGTTTTTAAATTGACTTTTTTATACAAATTTTCAGAGAAGAATATAATTGTATTCCTCTCGGAAAACACGGAGTCCTGTATTCAAATGATCAATCCTTTTTGAATCCTTTTCATATTAAATTCTCAACACGATTGCAAAACTTGAACAAAACAAAATTCAGAAAATGTCGAGTGGTATTAATGATGATGATTTACAACCGTTACGGACCTACATGCAGAATGTCCTCGTGATGGAACAAGAGCTTTCTCCATATCTCTTTCAAACTCTATTGACATTAGTGTCTTCATCTTCCAACCACGACCTCTCTTTATTGAAAGCTCATGATGAAGGAAAATTTGAAAAGGCCATGCGATGGACCATTTTGAGAGGCATACAAAAGCCATACAGTGGAGTGAAATTGAGTGAGAAAAAGAATGCATCCTCTTGGTGGTTTCGAACAGGAACAAGTTTTTCACATTGTTTTCTCGTTGGAGAAGCGTTGGATTGGATGAAAGGATGGGTGGAACGAATGCAAAAGGAAATTATTCATGATACCACCTCTCCCTACAACCATGCAGCAAACACTTCTCAACTGGTCGAATTTATGGCACAATTAATGAAAGCATGGGGATGGATTGAATCTCTTCATGACACAAATTCACAACAAGAAACGACATTCAGTTTTGAAAAGAACAAGTCTCAATGGTTTCGAATGGGAGATCTTGCAAAACCACGTCTCATTGTTGTTGGAGGAGGTATGTCTGGTTATAAAGTAGCCAAACAACTTGGAGATTGGTTTGAATTGACTCTCATTGATAAGGAAGGAACCATGGACTTGGTTCCCATTTATCCAACCTTAATAACGGATAAGAATAATATTCATCATATAGCCATTGATCACAAGAAAACATTACCTTCCAATGTGAAATGCATTAAAGGAGTGGTGACATTGGCCTCTCAAGTCGGAGTGATTGTAGAAACATTGGAAGCTCAAGAAGAAAATGGTGAAGTTTTTAAAGTGGATCCTAAACTTGAGCACTCTCAAGAAGACTCTTCAACTATTACCAACTATCAAGATCTTTCATTGAAAGACAACGCTGGAATTAGTAGAGTGAATGATACTATTCCTCATCGATATTTTATGAAATTTGATTATTTGGTATTGGCACCTGGCTGTACTTGTTGGAACAATTTCCCAATTACTAAGCTTTCACACAATGAAATCAAATTTGTAAATCCCTATGACGCCAATTCATTGATAGAATCTCATTCTATCATTGAACAATTATCTGAAACGGAAGAAATTTGTGTCTTGGGAGGTGGCTATGTCGCCGTAGAAGTCGCTGGCTTTTTAGCTGAAAAATATCGAGACAAGAAAATCACCATCATTCAACGATCTCATCAACTCATGAAACCAAGTCGAGATGCTCACAATGCTGTGATGGATATTTTCAAGAATACACTCACCAATGTGAAGGTCATGTTAAACTCTGAAATTATTTCACAAAATGGTCCTAAAACCTTCATTGTAAAAACTAGAATCAGTGGTGAAGAGTCAAATGAAACTCAAGTGAACTGCTCGGTATGCTTTATATGTACTGGTATGAGACCTCAAGTCGGATTTTTGAAAGACTTCTTTTCTGCAAGTCTTGATTCGAATGAATTTATTTGTGTAAATTCACACATGCAAGTGGCCGTGCGTGACAATACTCTCACTACAAGTAACAGCAGCTACTATGATCATATTTTCGCCATTGGAGATGCCACCAACGTGAAAGAAACAAAATTAGCTTCACACGCTCACAAACATGCCAAAACTGCCTACACTGTATTACCTCAAGTGGCTCAATCCATTCCTTCCTCACAATTAGCCACATACACACCACGAGGATACGATCGACCTCAAACAGTGATTATTGGACCCAATCATGGATTATGGGTGAAAGGCAGTACCTTGTTGTTGAATAGTTCTGTCGTGGCTTATTTCAAAGAACGTTCACAAGCCATGAAAGGTCGATGGATGGCAGGTGGTAGAGCTCAACAAGAGGAAAATGAGGGGATGGAAGAGAACGTTATGCGTAAATAGTAGTTACAGAGACCCTGTAGGCGAATCCAAAAAGTTGTTGTCAGCTGATCAACGTGTTGTTTCGCACGTTTGAGTAAATTGTAAGTTCCAAATTCCGAAACATTTTGCCGCCACTCAAATTTTGAAACGTACAGTTTTAAAAAAAATGAAAAAAAGGAGCAGCTCGAATAATGTCTTTTGCAAATTTGCTCATTCAAGAGAGATATTACCTTTGGAACGAGCATTCTCTGTGGATGGGTGGAATAGGAAAGAACATCTTGAGAATGATGGAGGAATTCATCGGAAGAGCAGAACCATGGAGGATTTGGAGTTGATGAATAATAACAATGATGAACTTTCGTTTGAAAGTATTCAACGAGTGCTCTCCGAATTGCAATCTCAAACCATGCTGGTTTCGGAGAGACTGCTATCGTCCTCTCAGGACTATCTTGATGATGATCTAGGTAAAAACAATGAAACTTATCAATCGTCATTCAGCAATGATAACAAGGCAGATGACTCAGAGCAATACCAAGAACTGTGGGCAACATCATCTAAAAACATGGATCCACCTGAGAAAACGAGTAGTGACACAAAGCATTTGTCTTTATTTCTAAATGTTGATTCACAGTTGGACAAGGAAAATTATTGCCCTTCAAACAATTCTTTTCTGAATTCAAGCAGCAAAAATCCTCAAAATTCTTTCAACAAGAAAGAATTAAGCTTTCAAACACACAAAAGAAGTCGACCAAAGGAGTTTATTTTTGAAGACGAAAAAGAATGTACTTTTAAACCAAAAATCAATTCAAGTTACATGTCACACCGTACACAAAATTCTTCCATTCCATTTGCCGATCGAATGCTTCGATGGCAACAAAGAAAGAACGAACAAATGAAAAAGAAAAGAGAAGAATTGAAGAAAGAAGAAATCAAGCATTGTACATTTAAACCAACAGTGACCACCTCAATGGAGATGAAATCACGCAATGAAGAGGACGAACTTTCACAACAAACCATGATGTCAACCTCTTCATTAAACTCTCAAGAGACATGTTTAAAACTGTATGAAACAGCAGCAAAAAAGAAAATGGAAAAACAGCAACAGATTGAAAACCTCAAAGCAGAGAAAATGAAAGAATGTTCCTTTAGACCCAATATTATTGTTGATCCAACAGTTCAACCTAGATATTTAAACTGTTCTTCAGCGAAGAAAACCACGAAAGGAGAACCATCGTGTCCCAGCAGTGAACGAACTCCTTCATTGGAACCCTCCTCCAGACCCTCATCGAGCTGTTCTTACCTTAAACGACCAGGCTCAGCACCTTCCTTCCGAGGATCTAGACAGTGTGACTCTTTTAATATTGGTTCTGACATGTCATCTCGAGATTCGTTTGCAGAATTCATGGAAAGACAGCACAATACTTTGAAGAGGAAAGAAGAAAAAGTGAAATCCTTAAAATCATCACTCGAATGTTGTCACAAGCCTACCATTAATCGAATGAGCCAAAACATTACGAAACACAGTCATCATCAACGAATCGAAGACAGAGTTCAAAATGAAAAGCAACGAAAGGAAATTCAAGAAAAATATATGAAAGCCATGGCCACAAAAGACTGCACTTTCAAACCAAGGATTAATAAGACTTCTAAACAGCTGCCCTCTCGAACGGCAGAAGAAATGAGTAAGGGAGATTTGGAGACAAAACAACAAAAGATGGAGGAGGCTAAAAAAATGGTTCGAGAGAAGGAATTGAAAGATGTGACCTTTTTCCCAAAAACCAATAGAGAAGTAACAGCTCGATCTGTGTTGCGAGTCAGTACAGATCCAGACTCTTATCTTGAACGATTGCGTCTACAGCAGGAGAAGGCAGAACGAAGAAAAAATATACTTCTCAAAGAGAAGGAAGAAAAAGAAATGGCCGAGTGCTCCTTCAGGCCCAAGCTTACGCATGCAGAGGGAGCTATGAAAAATCAAATCGAATGGTGGCGATAAGGATTCTTTTGATGTGAACTACATGAATTGGATAGACAACATGTCTCCGCACATGCATGAAATTCTCTGTTCCAACGGATTGATGGATAGAAATAATGTCACATAGTTTATTACCAACCCACTCATCTATTTCATGGACATCGATCCATCCACCATTTCATACGCAAGATCCTGGTTGGTATGGAAGAAATACACTTGGGCTAGCTCTGAGAGGAATTGGATCTTGGTTTCTTCAGTGTCCGTAACGAACGAATATTGCTCAGAAAGGGATCCTTTGCAATTTTTGTCTTTGGAAGCCTTCTTTTTATCGAACACAATTTCAATTCCGTTGGGAGTCTTGGTGAATGATTTCACACATTTAATGTACTCCAAAGGAACAGAAAACTAATGTGGATTGGATTTAGTGAAATAAGGATAGTAGTAGTCAATTATGGTGTTGTTTTTGTTCAATCACATAATTCATTCAACACTTACCCTATGCTTAATTTTCTTTTCGTCAGTCTCACCAATAGCCATTTTGACATTGTACAGCTTCTTGTTTGAGAGAACAACTGCTCGCTTTTGAGAATCGTTTTTTTGCATGTAGAGATGGCTTTGATAAACCTCAGGAGAAGGAACGATCAATGCTATAATTGTAGTTTGGGTTGTTTTCCAAAGACCCAACAGGGTAAAATGAGCCATTTTGCAAGAAAAACAAACTTACTTTCAAAATATTCCTGATTATATTCTTTCAGCAGCGAAGTCAGAACATTCACCCAAATATCCTTGTCAGCCTTTGTACAACATTGAAAATCTTTTAGCTTAAACCCTGTGGGGCTTGCGCTTTTGTGGAACGAAATGGTGAACACTCTGTCGTGCTCTCCTGACAGAATGGAATTAATCATACACCATGGAACTTTCCATTTGACAAACCACTTGGATCTAAAGTTGACATCTTCTACAGGTTCTGTAATGTCGGTTTGTAGTAACAGTTTTGGACCGTTGTTTCCGAGAATAGGGTCACTAGCAAGTTCGGCAGGTAGCTGCTGGTCAACACTAAGGCCCAAGCGTTTCATTTCTTCTTCTCTTGCAAGCTTCATTAGATTTTTAGTGTTGTTCATAATTTCCTGCTCCACCTCTTTTTCATATTCGGATAGCTCCACTGTTTGGGAAGAGTCTTTTTCAATTCGATATATATTCAATTTACCAATGATTAAAATACAATCCTCAATGAGGGTCTGTGAAGGTGTTTGGTTATTTGCACCTCCAACACTCTTAATTCTTCCAAATTTTGAGCTCAAAATGAAAACATCATCCTTGTCCATCAGACAAGTCATTGGATCCATAACCATTCCATACTCGTCATAGTCATACTTGTTGAAAATAGAGTCTTTCGGAGTGGTGGTGGAAGGGTCCATATTCGTATGCCTTTGAATGATGGTATTGGAATTCTTGGATGAACGAGGGGAGTGAGCATGGCCATCTTCTACAAAATCAAAATGAAACACATCTTTGGTGGATAGAGCAGAAGGACTCAATCCGTGTTTAGAAGAAAATGAATCCTTTCTTTTAGAAGTTGTACCAGTTTGTTCAGGCTGAAAGAGTTTCTTCCAAAGTGGTGATTGTGTTTTCTGTTGAGGTGAGGAAGAAGCTTCACTAACCGACGGAAACATGGAGTTGGTGGGCGTCCTTATTGGGCTTGATGATGGAGAGGATGTTACCGAAGCTGTTGCAAGAGTGGGAGTGATTGGTATGCTTGAAGATGGGCTATTACTTGTGTTCGTTGAGGCTGACGGATTCTTGGGAGGTGTTGAGGGTGCCTCGTTTTTCTTATCCGCACCACTCTTGTGAGCCTTAGAAAAGAGTGCTTTCATTTTTTTATAATTTCTTTTCTCATTTGCTTCTTATATCAATCATAGGGTTGCAATGATTTTGCAATCGTCGAACGGAGAGTGAACATGTTGTCATGATAACACATTATAAAGATCATGGAGCCACAATTCTGAAGCTTTAAGGTTTGCAATGAAATGAGCAAGAACAAAAAATGAGAAAAATTGCAAGTTTGGTTCAAAAGCACACCAGTGCTGCCTATGGAGTGTTGGGCAGACAAAATTCCGTCATCAAGAGATTCAATTCTGCAGCATCGTCATCGGGTCATGGAGAGGTAGGTTGGAATGATAGCCACCATCATTTTGATGATAATTTTTGGATTCATTTCATCTTTCATATTTGGATTCTATTACTTCAATTATGAATCATCATTGATTTTCTTTGACGATGGCAAATTAATATTTTCGAATTAATCCTATGAATAATAATAATAACTCACGTATGATATCGGACTGGCCTCAATATTATTCTTGTTTTGGAAAATTAATAACTAGAAACGTACATTCCCAAAAGTTTCAAACATTCAAGACAAGAGAAATCTTCAATATTTTTATCTCATCAGCTCTATTGTCGTTGGTGTTTATTTGATGGAGAGAATGATCGGTACTAAAACACCAAAACCATTGCTCAAAGATGGCTACCAACAATAGATCATGGGCTTGCGGAACAACTATAATTTTCAACAATTCACGGATTTGTATTTAAATATTATAATTATCAAATTAAACAATAATTATTTAACACGATTCGTTAGTGATTATGTAATCTAGAGTGATATTACTTCAAATGTCACTCCAATTTGCTCGTAATGGAACAACCACAAAAACCAACATCGAAAAATGTCAACACAACTGCAGGATCACCAGCTCTCTTCCACGGACTCAGCACAGCAACAACAACAACAACTACCTTCACGATCCACGTCGGACGTTTCCGTTGCTTCCTCTCCATCACCACACTCCAATTCCATACAACCACCAACATTCAAAGCAACACCTCTCTACACGATCGATCTCAACACTCCACCCCGGCAACGATGGCAACCCATCGTACGGGAATATCTCAACGAGATGAAACCACTCAAGAACTATATTGACCAAATGGCCCACGAACAAGCAGGTTGGTTTGGTAAATTGGGAATGAAAATTTCAGGATGGGCCAGTCAACAACTCTTAACCACCGTGTCGGATTCCATCGTGGAGGAATTGAAAGGCATTGCCGAATTAACTCAACCTGCATTCGGTCTTTCATACAGTGACTTGTTGAATTTAAATTTGGGATATAACTTTTTAGCCATGTGTTCTTCGATTGCTGTCAAGGAATTTAACAGGGGTGAGTCGAAATCAACTTTGGGTAGTGGCGAGCCAAAATCAACAACATCTCGTGCATTGGATGGAGTGTATCATTTGCGAAATTTGGATTGGGATGTGGCCATTGCAGAACCTTTTCGTAATTTGACCATTGATGTGGAATTTGTGAGAGGTTCTCAATTAATCTATCGTGCCACAACATGGGTTGGATTTAATGGCTTTCTGACTGGTATGAGATATCGACAGTTCAGTACTACTAGTAGTGACAACACCAACACAACCACATCGAATGGCACAACCACATGCACGGCCACTCCTTTCAGCATTTCCCTCAATTATCGAAAAAACAAAGACTCGAATGAAATTGTTGGCTTTGTAAAGAATGTATTGGCAGGTTTCATGAATTATTATCCTGCCGAATATTTGATACGAAAATTGTTGGAAGATGCCGATTCCTTAGAGACGGCACTGAGATGGATCGATCATTATCCCATGATGGCTCCATGTTATTTGGTGTTGTGTGGAGAGGAGAATGCCTACTTGTTGAGTAAGACTCGTACCAGTGATTTGAATCGATTACAACTCAAGCATGAAATGCACAAGATGATGGAAAAAGTTGTTCAGCAACAACAACAACAAACAGGAGCCGAACAATCTCAACCATCTTCTTCAAAATCAGTGGCATCCAATGTACATCAGACACAACAAGCACCACCACAGAGAGCCTTTCTCGTTCAGACCAATATTGATCACTGGGAAACGAGTGTGGATAAAGAATGGGCCGGGGATGATGCTCTGTTACATAATTCCTTAGATAGGAAATGTGCAGCTCAAGCCTATCTGAGCCAATCCATTGAGGATTATTCCAAATTGAAACTCGTTGAGAATACTTCAAAGGAACAGCTCTCCAGCCAAATCCACAACTCGAAAATCATGTCCCAAAGTGCTCATTTCCGCAACATTCCTCATGACACTTCATATTTCAATTTTCTCATGCAATGCATCTCGAATTATCCGAGTTGCAATCAAGAAACAGTCTATCAAGTCATTTGCAATCCAAAGAATAATTTTTACTTTTCCCGAATTATTTACAATCCACCTACAGATCCTTCCAATAATTATTTGTATTGATTTCTATTGATTTTGTTGTTCAAGTGAGGTCAGTCCCAATGATTTTCAATAAACGAACCAAATCGTTTGATGTTCAAATTTTTTTTAAACCCAAAAAAAATGCCTCGCAGTGTGATTGCCAATAACCACTTCATTCTCAATTCCAAAGCGAAGAGTATCATTGAAGGGTATCATGAGAGCTCCGACGAGGAAGATGCCGGAATGGTTACACGTAGACAAGCTAAACAGGATTTAATCTTTACAAAATCAAAAAATCAAAAGGATTCCAATCAACAAATTATTGATGCGTTTGTGGAGAAACATCCCGAAATTGCTGTAGTCAATAGACAAAAGTTGGTGGAAGAGTCTGCTGCCGGAAATGATATGGAAGACTCTGTACATGCCATACAGAAGAAGATTAAAAAATTAAAGAAGAAACTTGAACAAATCGAGAAGGAGGAGGAAAAGCTTGAAAATGCTGACACCTCACTCGGTCAAGAAAATGAACAACGTTCCAAAAAGAAGAGAATTCTGAAAGAAATTTCACTTCTCAAAGAAAAACTTATAGTGAAAAATTCTCAACTCAAGCGAAAAAAGAATCAAGAATTTAGAGAGGGCAAGGAAGAGGAGGAAAAAGGCAAACAACTTGTTGTGAAAACTGTTGTGGATGTGGAACAAAAACCAAGTGAAGATGAGGAGAATACTAATATTGCATTGGATGGAATGGACATTAGTGATGATCATGACATGGAAAAAGAAACTGACAATAACAGTGAAAGCAACAACGAGGAACCTGAAACCAATAGCAACAAGATTAAGGAATCTATTGGCACTACATTATCTTCTTCCACCACTAGTGTTGTTGATAAGGATGTGTCGAAATTGAATCATACCAAGCAGCCCACAGAAAAATCATCCAAGCCAACCTCAGAGCCATCCAAGCAGCAACAAAATTCATCCGTTCCAAAAAAGAAAGTCTTGGTTGAGTACGTTCCTCCATACACACGAAAGAACTATACTGTTACGATAGCCATTCCAGGATGCATTCTCGACTCAAACATGTCAGATGAACAAAAAACTCTCATTTGCACCTCTATTGCAAGGGCATGCACATGCTTCAAAGTCAATGAAATTATCATTTACAATGAAAAGGGAGATTTACTTGATACATCAAACTTTTTACCGAATATTGAACCTCCTGTTGTGACAGAAATGAAAGAGAAAGCAAAATATGGCGAATCAAAAAAGAAGAAGCAAAAGCAAGACGACTACATTTCCCTTGCGATCGATAAGCATGTTTACTTGGCAAACATGCTCTATTATTTAGAGACGCCACCTTATTTGCGAGAAAAGCTCATTCCAAAACTAAAAATGTTGAAAACAGCCATGTCCATGCCACAAGACATTCTAGATAGTGCTCACCATTTAAACGCCATGGAAATGTCACACCCCTACAGAGAAGGTCTCGTGTTGGAAGAGGGTAATCTTGTCTATGTTGGCCACTCAAAATTGGTAAAATTGAAAAAGGCTGTACCACCTGGTTTACGAGTGACTGTGGAAATTTATAACACACTGCAAGGATATCATGAAGGAAGAATTGTGAGCTCAGAAACTCCTAAACAAAAGAAAGGGCTCTATTGGGGCTACAATGTTCGTCTTGCTTCATGCTTTAGCGAAGTTTTCACACAATCACCCTACAAGGAAGGCTATGACATGATTGTGACACATGCCGAGTTTGGTAAAAGCATTGATTCTAAGGACTATGACATGCCAAGTTTCAAGCACCTGTTAATTGTTTTGGGAGGAATGCACATCATTTCTGATGCTATTCAAAACGACGTGAATATTGTCAAAAACTACAACTCTAGAAATTTATTTGATCAAATTATTAACCTTTGTCCAAACAATGGCTTACGATCTATGAGAATTGAGGACGTGTTGACTCTTGGATTGGGAGCTCTTCGAAAGAAAATTGATTTTAATCTACCACCAGCTGAAGTTCCTCAAAAAGATTTATCCAACTTCCTCGTTTCGAAATGAGCGTTTTCTGAATTACAGTAAACAAGTGTTTCAAAATATTTACAACGCTGTAACTCGATGACTGACAAGAACGGAAAGACAAACCAATGTGACACCTTAATTTTGGTGAGTTTTTAAAAAAAATGTTTGCACCATCCATGTCACCTACCACCACTCTCCATAATGACCATCTTCGAATCACTTTAATCGATTTTGCTAGCAGTTGCTGGATCTCTCGAAAATTGAAAACGAAATTCGAAAAACAAATGAAAGGTTTTTGCAAGTGGTTTCAAGTTCGGAACCAATTTCTTGAATGCCAAAATTGTAGTAAGGACCGACAGGGACTTACGAAAGTTTATATTGTAAACAACAAAGCTACGAAGTCAACCAGGATTACAATGAAAGTTTTTTGAGTATAAATAGAATGGTAATTGTGCTCTTTGGTTTAAGCAAGTTTAAAAATTGCATAAACAATGAGTAGCAGCAGTCAACCATTATTGGATATCATTCAGAAATATCCACTCCCTATCATGTCAAAGATTTCAGCATCCTTAGTACTCCCACCGCCCCACCCTTACCAATTTAAAAGAACGAAAATATCTGGTATGTATTCTTGAACTAATTGTATTACTGCACAATTTTAAGATGATTATGAATTCGTTTTTTCTTGACATAGTTATGTCAAAAGTTTGTTTGAGTGTAGTTGTAACACTGACCCAGGGGGTTTTGTTACTAAGGTGTTGAGAGTTTCGAGGAAACTTGCACCTGCGAAGAGTTCTATTCTTTGCTTCTATTGATTTTCGGGGCCCGGTTGTGGCTAGTATATGCATAGTGAGTTTATTCCTTGTCTCTAAATTGTCCGCAAGTTTGAAATACATGGCAGCAATAGGTTAGTTTATGCAATTGTAGGTGAAGTAATCCAGCTAAGATATTGTTGGAGAAATAAACTCAAGTTTCTGAACGAGTAGCTGTTGTTTAATTAAACCCTCTCTTTTTCCCGATGGAACTCATGTTTGATAGTGAATGCTTTGAAAAATCGTGTAAATATTCACTTTTACGTTTCTTTTTCTATACTCCACCATTTGTGAAATATGTGAAAGAATGTGAATTTTCAAACAACTTGAAATGGAAATTCAACAAAACCATGATGTTTCGAGAAATTGAATTGAAAAATTTACATGTTTTCAATTATGCCACGAGAGAACTCTTACTGAGCAATGATTTCAAAGATGATTTAATCGATTACTTGTTGTATATTAAATGCTGTCCACCTGAACTTGCCAGAAATAAGAAAGACTTGGCAAAAAGTATTGATCACATTGGTGACTGCTTTCAAAAATCAGCACAATGTCAAACCAACCTCTCGGACGACCTTAAAAACGATCGAGAATTTTGGAACTGCTTCATTCTTGACCGTTATTATGAATTTTTCAATGTTCCAGAACATTTACAACAAGATCGCGAGTTCATTCTTCCATTGATTTCAAAACAAGGAAAATTATTACAGTACTTGGGCCCATTGTTGCGAAATGATTTTACTATAGTCATGAAGGCTGTTTCTCAGAATGGTCTTTGTCTTGAATATGCTCCTTTAGCATTGCGAAACGACCACTCTATTGTAAAAGCTGCCACTTGTCAAAATCCTCTCGCTCTTCAATTTGTCCCAACTGAGCTGCAACCTGAATGGAAGGAGAAATTTCTTGTTGAGATGTATCAAGATCCCACAAAAGCATGCGCCCTATTAGAAATATTTCCAGAAGAAATGGGCAATAATGAACAAGTAGTATTAACATCTGCCAAATGTCACAAAGAGTATCCACACGCATTCAAGTTCGCCAGTTCTAAACTAAAACGTTCTCGAGATTTTGTATTGAAATTCATCGAACAAGGAGGGGGTTTATGTCTGGCCTACGTTCCCATTGAATTTATAGAGGATTGAGAAATTGTGAAAAAAGCCGTCCAACAGACAGGCCAAGCTCTCTATTTTGCCTCTCACGAGTTACAACAAGACATTGAATTGATTGAAATTGCCGCTCGACAAGATTCCACCATATTCCCAATCATGGCTGAACAATTGGGTTTCAAATTTCAAGTCCACATGTATTTCAAGCATCGTCAACCTCCACGATTAGGAGAAATTTATTTACAAATCATGCGAGAAAGTGGAAATTTATATCCATCGATATTGGCCAGTAGTACGAAGAGACCATCTAAAGCTGCCCTCTCACTCTTTGAATTGACTCTGGAAGAGTATTGTCAAGTGATGAACGAATTTTTACCACAACGAATGGAATTTGCCTATGAAGGACCTTATTTTGAAATACCTTCTCGATTCTTATTGAATGAACCTGTTGAATGGTTGGAAGAGCAGTGCAAGCCAAATGTAACCTATCGTACGGAAATGTGGCGTCGATACTTGTTGGAAGAGAATGCTCCTCATTGGAGTGAAATTTTTGTAGTTCATCGATGAGTGAAAGTACAAATGTATGAATGTATGTACATACATATCAGACAGAAGAAATATTGTTATTGTAACACATGAAATATTTCACACAGATTAGTAAGGAGTATGAGATTGTTATTGTTCACAACCAATTTTTCAAAGAAGTTAAACTCTTCAATTTTTGACTCGTTCTTAAAGCTTCATCACCCTCAGAACCAATATCGTTCCAATGTAAGTATAAGGTTTTTAAATTTCCTAAATGGTCACTCTGAGCTAAATACAGAGCTCCCTTTTCATCAATCTTATTCAAAGATAAATCCAATAGCGTCAAATTTTGCATGTATTTACTTTGAGCAAGATGTTCAATTCCATCTGAATGAATTTCATTGCCATATAAATTCAACTCGGTCAAATTTTGAAAGTTCTCACTTTGAGAAAGTAATTTCACTCCTTCAAAACCAATTCTTTGATTTTGTAAATTTAAGACTTTCAATTTTTGAATGTAAGGACTCGCTGCTAAATATTCCACACCTTTCGTTCCAATAGTCGTTCCAAAAATCAACAAATGAGTGGATATATTCAAATAAGTCAAATTTTTCAACGAGAATTCGCATTCGAATGAAAGCATTTTGACCTGCGCTGAATTGAATTTGTTCACAAAAGTCAAACTTTTAGGAATGTTCATCGCAAGTTCGAGCCATTGTTTTGAAACTCTCATAATCACACTAATAACGAATGGAGAATCGAGAAATTCAAGTATATGAAAGAGAATTTGATTCGGAAAGATTTGAGAATTGGAGCTAATTTCAGAGAACGATTTTACGTTGGCATCATTCTGTTCAGAATTTGAAGTTAATTTTCTCTTTTTAAAATTGAAACTGAACTCACGAGAAGATTGAGAGGACATTTTGAATCAAGTGTTCTCAATTTTTTTTAAGATGGTGCTAGCGGAATGGAAATGCGTTTCATGTAGTATGGAGGGTGAAGGATCATACTCGAATCAGAGATCAACTGGTAATGATCCGCTTTCAAAGATTAAGGGTTCTTGTTTGCAGCTTTTGAAGACTTTGAATTTTTTTTTGTAAAGTTGCACTTAAAAAAATGAAGAGAAGCAATTTAAAGGAAAATCACGCAACTTCTCAAAAAAAGCAAAAACATTCATCATCGGAAGAGCCTTCTTCTTCTTTGGTATCAGACCAAGTGAAAAATAAGAAGAATACAGGTGTTGGAAGAGAGCGTGAGGATGGAGTTGAAGAGGTTATGGAAATTAAAAACATACCACCGAAAACAAAGAAAAAACAACCTCCTCAAAAACTCTATTCCAAATCAAATAGATTATTCAAAAAGGATGAATCGAGTAGTGATGAATCTTCATCCTCCGAGTCTTCATCATCATCCAGTGATTCCGATAGCGGAGATGAAAATTCAATTGTGCAGAAAAAACCAGCAGCTCGCCTCTTCCGAAAACAGGAGCTACCTACAGAAATGGCCATGTCCGTTTTGGAGAGGGATGAAGCTTTCAAACTAATGCACTGTGTTCGGAATGAGATGGAACTGTTACAGCCCCAAACACCTCAACAAGTCTATTTAATTAATGGCCTCATGAATACGACGAAAAAATTTCAATTCAAAAAATCGATTGATGTGCCTTTCCTTGCTTTGAAACATAACGAAACAGATGATAATGATTGTTGGTGGGACTTTAAGCCTCTGTTCCCGTTTTTATGCTCTCCTTGTGCAGAGAAGTTCACCAAGGCAGCACAACTAGGACTTTTCAAAGTTTTTGACATTACAAAACCAATTTCATATACCGTGAATATTAATGGACTAGCGACTAGTTTTGAAGATGTTTACGAGTCATCAGTGAATGCATATCGATACTATCGCACGTACAAACAAGAGAAACCCAAATTAACCTTCAATCAAGTGGTTATTTATATGAAAATTGTTTTCTTGGATGCCAAATTGGAGCAAAAAGTGTTTGAGGTTAAACCACACCATACCATTCAAGTGAATAATTTCAGAGTGACAGATAATAGTGGAAAATTAATTCCAACCGTACAATCATGCTCCTTCTCACGAATCATTCAACCCTCTCTATTCATGGAACATTTAAAAAGTGGTAAAATTTATGGAGTGAAGGTACGAATGCAAGCTTATTGCCCCGATTTGAAAGAAGGCGACGAATACAAGGGAAAATTAAATATTTCTTGGGATGATGACAGTGAAATGAGTATTGTCATGACTAATTAAGCAAAGTTGATATCCATCCACTGCGCTGTTCAATGGCATGTAGTAACTGTTACTGGGAGAAAAAGAACACACTTTATCATGATCATACTCGAGAATTTAGAGACATTAAATTTACCAAAGATTAAGGCAAACAAGTCCAAATGAAGCTCCAACCAAATTACATTAAGATTCACTACTAATCTCTGATATTCATCATTAACAATGACCTGCAATACTCACTCACCAACACTCACATCAGATTCATCAAAATATATTCACTTCTCTCCTAATCGACTTAATTTCACCAAAGACGTACAATGGATGACATCAACACCAATCAAATTTCACCGTAAGAGTCATCATCTCAAGACCTTTAACAGCATTTTACAGCATCCCATCATCCACTCTTCATTTTGTACTTTCCATCATCTGTTTTCTCTTGAAAATTAAGACATTAGATATTGTTGTTGAGAAGAGATGATGTCGCCCATGATGTCTGGCTTGATGGGCTCTTTCAGCAACAACAACATTCCAGTTTGGACGTCGATGACTTAAAACGGTGCATGAGCCGCATCATCATTATGCTTAACACTTAAAAAAAACAACCAGAAGAGGAGTAAGGTCAACGATCGACAAAGACGACTACGACGACAAACGACATTCCAAAAGAGAGATAATAACGACATCATCAAAACAAGTGCTTCTCCGAAATACATACTCCGCTTCCAAAGAGTTTTCATTGTTCCTTTCCCTGTTGTTGTTTGAGAATAGCTATTTGAAAAGCTTACTGTCACTAGTCAAAACATCATCATCATCACGACATATTCATCTGTAGTAGTAATATTGTAACCACAAACACACTCGTCAAATCTCCTCTTCAACCAACCACCTCTACTTGTACCCTAAATTCAAAACAACAAAATGCTCAGCACTCAATCTCTCCCAACCACTCCATCTACCTCCATTGCTGTAGAGTCAACCAATCACACTACCAGTAAGGCACCAAAAGGTTCCCTACAATCCTTCTACTTGTTATTAGGAGCACTCGATTACATTAACGATGCTCAAGAATATCCTCGATTAAGCACTGGAAGAATTTCAAATTTCTCGAATGCCTTGATGCAAGGAGATGATGACAATGATGACGAGGAAACACTCGAAGAGGATCACAACCATGATGCTGATGATCACACTCAACGTTCGAGAAGAAGAACAAGAAGAACTTCTCGTCGAACTTTTGAAGATGAAGATTTTGAAATGGATAACGACGACGAAGAGGAAGAACAAGAACTTGAAATTGATGAAGAGGATTCAGAATGGAGTGAAGAAGAACAAGCAATATCTTCAGGCAGTGCTGGTAAAAGTTCTTCTTCTCGTCGAGGTCAAGCCAATGCTGCTGCTTCAATGTCTTCTTCAACGACTGTCACTAATCATCATGCTAATAAGATTCAACACGTCAACAGTGAAGGTCTCCAAATTTGTGCCTGTTGTAAGAGAGACTCTACGGTTGTGAGTTTCCTCAAGAATTATTCCATCCATCAAGGAAATATTCACAATTATCGAAATTGTTTCCCTGAATACGATGTCATTCCTGGAATTTCTTGCATGACTTGTTATCATAAACAATGGAGATACACCAAAGGTCTCTATGATCCTAATAAGGCACGAAATGGAAGTGTGAACAAGAGAGAAGGCATTCAACGATCCAATCAAAAGAAGAATGTCACGAGTCAAAATTCTGATGCTCAATCGACGCATTCATCATCCTCTTCGAATCAATCTTCAAAGAGAAAGCGATCTTCTTCTGCCACTTCCAATTCACAAGCAAGTACTCACAAGAGAAAGAAGGGAATTGAAGATGCCCATCAAGGAGAACATCAAGTTGAAGAAATGAATCGAGATGATGTCTCGTCATCGAATTCATCCTCCTCTAAAAAGCCTCGAAAACTTGCTAAAAGAAAGAAGGAAGCCGTGATGATTCTTGAACCATTCACACCTGGTAATAATTATTCAACTTTGAATGTGATCATGGGAATGAACAAGAATGTCGTTGAAAATGTGGATGTGGCACGAACGCTTAATAACGGTCCACAAGAATATGGATTACCTTCAACTTCGACGAGTGGAATGATGGTGATGCCACCTGTTGTGACTGCGTATCAATTTTGAGAGTCTCCTAATAAAGAATTTATTCTACGATATCATTCATCACCAACTTGAGAAGGTTGAATGTGGTTGTTGGATGTGACTCATCACGTGTTTTACATGGGGTATGGCTCTCCATCTTTGCTTAACCGAATTTCTCCTGACCATTTTTCAGGCAGACTTGTTGCTGAATAAAGTGTACATGCACACAAATATTTCTGAGCTTTGGCAACGACCACTGGATTTCCACAAAGTACGAGTTGTGCGGCTATTTTCGAACACTCTTCAAAATCTTTGAGTTGAAATGAGAGAACCATTTGCGACAAGCCATGCTGAACATTCTCGTCATCAAAAATTTGTTGGAATTGTTGAAACCCATTTTCGTGTTGCCTGTTGGTGCAAAATAAGAAAGAGTAATATTGGCATAGCCGTCCGAAGTTAAAAGAGGGGTCGTAGCTTCGTGTAGTGAGAACAAAATTTGTGTTGTTCTCGTTGACATTGAATTGTTTGAAGAATGTTGTTCAACTTTGAGAGAATATTAGCTTTTTGATCACATCATTGAAAGAGATAGTAACAACTATTTGAAAGGGTTCAACAAAAAATTCGAAAAAAAAAGTAAAAAAAAAATGAAGCCTTTGGTCCTCTCGAATATTCTCTCACAAATTTCATCATCGGCAACAACAATTCATAATGATGAAGAGGATGATGATCATACACACAAGAACGAAATCAACCAACAATTTATAGAGGAAATTTTTGAATCCGGAGAACGCTCACAACGACAATTAAAGGAATGGATCAAGGGTGTCTATGAATTGGAAAAATCAGGAAAAGACTCGTTGATGGTTCAATCATCGGGAATGAATAAATTATTAGTAGAGGGGTATGTATTTTCTAGTTGGATGAAATTTCCGAGTATTCATGATTTTCCTATTGATATGAATCTCATCTTTTCAATATGCAATACTATTATTGGACTTGTTCTTTAAATCGGAAATGCTGTTTCATGATGATTAGATTTGATGAGGAGCAAATTTGGAGTCAATTAGAAACCTTTCACAAACCTCTTCTCAAACAACTTTCAAATAATATTGAAAACAAGTTACCATCGTTAGAGTCGATTGTTCCCGAACATGTTTTGGAATATTTACTTGAAGACGACGATGATGAAGATGAAAATGATGATCAAGAAATTGATGAAAGAGCTCTGCGACGAGCCATGACCAATGACGAAGACGATGATGAGGATGAAGAAGATGAAAACAATTTTGAAAATGCCGACGAGGAGGATGATGACCATTTTCGTAGTTCAAAAAAGAGGACACAGCCCTCATCTGTGGATGATGCACGAAATTATATTGCAGATAAATCGGAGGCAGAAACAGAGGAAGATATTAACAAGTTCCTCGAACTCATGGAACAAGATATGGACAAGTTGGACGAGATGGATTATGACATGAATGAACAAATAGTTAATAATAAGGAATTGAGGAAGGCCTTTGGAGAACTGTACGGAGATGAAGAGGAAGAGGATGACGACGATGAGGAAGAAGACAAGAATACTGAAGACATGAACGGAACTCATAAAACACCGTTCGAGCTGGAACAAGAACGATTGTTGGCAAAAATGGAAGAATTAGAAGGTCGACATATTGCAGATAAGGACTGGCAAGAAATTGGTGAAGTTGATGCAAAGAAAAGACCAAAGAACTCTCTGGTTGAGGAAGGAAAATTAACATTTGAACATGCACACAAAGCCAAGCCAGTAATTACCGAAGAAGTGACTCGAGATTTGGAAAGTATTATTATTAGTCGAATTGTGAGTGGAATTTTTGACGATCCCGTAAAACCAGAAGAGAGTGACAAGAATGAAGATTTAAAACAAGATGTCCAATTGGAACATGAAAAATCCAAGAAATCTCTGGCACAAATCTATGAAGAAATGTATCTCAAAAAAGTGGAAGGAGTTGATATTGAGGAAGAAAAGAAGGAGGACCCAGTTGTTAAGGCAACCAAGCAAAAAATTCTTAAACAAGTCTCAGATCTTCTGCAAGTACTCAACCAAATGTCGACCTTTACCTATGTGGCTCCACCTCGAATTGACCTTGAAGATGAATCCGAATTGAAGAGTGTCACAAATCTCGTCACTGGTAAGGAAGAAGGTGAGAAGAGTGCTCATGAAATTCTTCCAGCTGTCAAATGGTTGCCACAAGCCAATGAAGAAATGTCAGAACAAGACAAGAAACGAAAGAGAAGACAAGTCAAAGAGTTAGCCAGTAAGAAGAGTAAGAAGGCTCAAGAATTGATTGAAAAATTAAATCCTGGTGCCTCTGCTCATGCATCCAAGCTCATGGATGACATTGAAAAGAAGAAGGAGAATGCAAAGAAAGAGAAGGCCACCAAACTCGAAGATGCCTCTGCAGTGGGCTCAGATAAGATGTTTGGCAGCTCTAAACAATTCTTCAACAAGATTCAAGAAAATATTCGAAAAGTTCATGGAGCTCGAGAGGCTAAAAAGGAAAAGAGTGGCCTTGTGAGTCGATCGACTTCAAACAATGATACCAATAATGAATAAATTTATATGGATGATGATACACAGCGAGATTTATCTTCATGGCAGAATAATGGTTAGAAAATCATTTGGCATAATTTTACGATCGTAAATGAACGAAGAACTTGGTCGCCTTTGTCATTGTTACACATTTTCGTTTTGGTACTATGAAAATTCCATTGCAGTTCATGCAAACATACTCTACAATGTATTCCAGAACTTGTTGAACTTAACACTCTCCAACCATGTGTTATTATTATTATTCGTAGCATTGCAATTTTCTAGTATTCATGCTAAATAGCACACCATTCAAAAATGAAACATGAGATTCAGAAGAAATGGTCTTGTGTGAAATGGTTTGGAAATCTTTGGACAAGTAATAACATGTATCTCGAGTTCTTAACAAATATCCATCCGAAATGGGATCATAAATCAATGGTTTTGTTAAATACAATTGCAGTGAAATGGTTTTTACAAATTGTAAATTTCTTGTGAAAACTTTGAACACTGGCAGAAAATTGTGATCATAACATGACAGTAATAAATTGTCATTTCGATCCAAAGAACAACTCCAAAAATGTACAAGATGTTGTGGAAACGATTTCTTACAGTGTTGACCCATTTTGTCCAAAATTCGACCACTTTCATTACAAATTACATAAATTTTCTTTTGAGAAGTGTCTCCCAAATAAATAATTCCACGACTATCCATCACTGGATGAATAAAACTTTGATATCTTTTTGAATTGACCTTAAATTCTGAGAGACAAGTGTTCCATATCACTTTGCCAGTGTCCAAACTTAGCTTGATCAATCGTGGTTCATAATTCAATTCAAGACTTGTCAAAAAGATGCATGAATGATCCTTCTTATCATAAATAATTCCATAAATTGAGGGAGCATAGCATCGATTGGAAGGTGGATAATTAAAAGAACGAACCAGAGTGAAAGAATCATTTCGTTCCGAATTTTCATCACGTTGATGATTCATTTGTTGTTGTTGTTCAAAAATTTTAATTCCACTACAATGAAAATAAATTAATTCATTCGTTCGGTTTCCATTCGAGCGTTGGCAAGAGATGATTCCCATATCTTGATTCACGTTGAGATTGATCAGATCCTTTGAAAAATCAAAGGCTTGAGAATGTGTTTCAATGAATTGTCCAGAGAAGCCTTTTGGAGATTGTTCTTGAAAGAGATCAATGGCCGTAGGATTCCCATTGGTAATTTTCAATTTTTCTGCTTCCGATAATGATATCATTTATGTGGGAGAAATGATTAGATCCGTATTCTTAACAACAATAATTATTTTTTTTTACAAAGGAGTGAGCAAAAGGTTCTGTTGCGTATGGGACAGTTGTCAAATAATATAAGTATCTGAAGTCTGTATTGTCCTGTTCAAAATTTATTGGATGCCATGGACATTAAGAATTGTAACGTTGGAACTTGCCTTTTGAAGCACGCAGGTTGACTTGGCATCGGGCAAAATTTTGATAGTGTCGAAAAAAATTTTCAGTCTGTACTGGTGGTGCCTTTTTGAATTTCGGCAAAATCTGTTGGCTCTTTTGCTAACCGCAACGACCGTACGGGACTCTGTGAGTGTTGGATCTATTATAATAATAACTATAACTACCACCGATTCACAAGGATTTAAACATCCACGTGTGGTTTGTTGGAATAGAGAGAACAACAAACCATCATCCTCACGCAAAATATTTTCTAATTTCGTCATCCTTTAGTAGTGAAGTGCTCGTTGTTGAAATAGAGAGATACTTTTATCATCGGACTTCTTTGAAGAAGAATTTCAAACATTAATCATCACCACCAACACACGAGTAATTCATCCAAACAGTAGCTACTATTGTGTTGTTGGTGGTCCTAGTACTGTCATCTGCTGTTTCTTTCAACTACTACTACTGACACTTACGACTCATCATGATGAATAACGGAAGCAACGGCTTTCAATCCTCCTCTGCCATTCATACTCTTCAGAGTATCATCAATAACAGCAATGGCAATAACAATACTCTTCCTCCACGAATGAATAATAACAACTCTCAAGCTCCAATCGGTAGTGAAATTAAACGTAATGCCACTCCTTCTAACAATGAATATTTCGGACTCTCCATGCAACGAGCTATTAGTGCTCCTCCTATCATGACTGAACTTGACAGCAACAATATATTTGCCTCTCAATCCAGATATTCTCACTTATTTGGTGATATTCGTTGTGAATCAGACTATGCAAGTTTCTATAACTCGTACTCGAACAAGGATACGTTGCCAACACCTCTCGAGATGGTAAATTCGTCGTTTTTTAGTGGCCATGCTGCAACATCCTATGATATGTTTGGAAAGAGCCAGAACAGCAACAATACATATGCATCTTCAACAACAACGGCACCATCCTCTTCTGTGAGTGGTGGTGTTCATCATCATCATGTCAATAACTTTAACGGTCAGCAGCATCATCTTTCTCATCAAGGAGGAGGTGGTCAGTCCTATCCAATCATGCAGCCTCCATTCAACATGATGAATACTAGTAGCCCTGGACCCAACAACAATGGAATGATGATGGATTGGAATATGCATCAACAATCTCTACCTCCTCAACAACAACAACATTTCATGAATGGAATGACCTTTGAACAACAACAACGTCTCATCATTCAGAGTAAACAATTGGAAGAGCTCAACAGACAGCAACAAATGTTGGAATATAATAGACAATTATTGCAACAGCAAATGCAACAAAATAGTCCTGGTAGTACAGGTGGTGGTGTTGGTAACAATGTGTTTATTCAAAAGCCAACTCCTATTGGAGGTGGAAGTGCCAATGGAAATAACAGCCCAATGATGCAACATCATGGTGGAGCCAATTTAATCATGACATCACCTACTCAGGCTCATCCAAACATGATCTTTATGGGAGGAGCTTACCAACAACTGCCTAACAGCAACAATAATGTGATGATGGTTCAGGATCCATTAAGCAGTCCAACAGCAACAGGTAGCAACAACATCAATCAAAGCTCTGGTGGAGGAGGCCGATCACCAAATCAAGTCACTTCAAATCCACCAGCTTTCAATACTGTTGTTGCAAGCAATTTGGTTCCTCCTGGAAACAGTACCTCACCAACCATTGTGACTGCTTCTCCAATGAGCAATGGAACAGAAAACAGTTCAACAACACCCAAGTCCTCCAGCTCTCCATCTGGAGGAGAATCATCGGACGAGTCTACCACGAGCAGCTCACCAGCCCTTACTTCAAAGAAGAGCAAGTCTAAAAAGAGCACTCAAAATAGCCAAAGCAACAACAATGGCAAAGAGAAGGAACTTTCTGAAGAAGAAAAGAAGACAATGAAATTGGCAAGCATTCAAGACGCAATTGGAAAAGTTTACAGTTTGGCAAAAGATCAATATGGATGTCGTTTCTTACAAAAGAAGCTCACAGACAGTGATCAAAGTCTTCAAATTATTTTCGATGAGATTTATGGCCATATTGTGGAGTTAATGACAGATCCATTTGGTAATTACTTGTGTCAAAAATTGGTAGAGCATTGCTCAAACGAACACAAGACACAAATTATTAGGGCAGTCTCAAAAGATTTGATTAACATTTCAATGAACATGCATGGTACAAGAGCTGTGCAAAAGCTGATTGAATGTCTCAATACACAAGATCAAATCTCGCAAATCATTGAAGCTCTCAAAGACTCTGTAGTTCCACTCATTAAGGATTTGAATGGCAACCATGTGATTCAACGTTGTCTCCAGCAATTATCAACAGAGAATAAGCAGTTTATTTACACTGCAGTTGCTGGACGTTGTGTTGAAGTGGCCACTCATAAACACGGCTGTTGTGTTCTTCAGAGATGCATTGATCACGCTTCAGAGGGTCAAAAGATGATGCTCATTAAGGAGGTGATTAATCATGCGTACACTCTCATTCAGAATCCTTTTGGAAATTACGTGGTACAATATATTTTGGATTTGGGCGACGATTCTGTCAATGAAAAGATTATTGCCAGATTTTATGGACATATTACTTCCCTCTCGACCAACAAGTTTAGCTCCAACGTGGTTGAAAAGTGTCTCAGAATTGGCAATGAAAATGTTAAAAGCGCAATGATTGAGGAAGTTTTAGAGGACAAGAATTTATCCATTCTATTACAAGATTCATTCGGTAATTATGTAGTCCAGACAGCCATTTCCATTTCTGATCACGATCAATTCCAAAGATTTAACATTGCTGTAAAGCCATATCTCCCACTCATCAAGAATGCGCCATATTTCAAAAAGCTTGAAAGCAAGCTCAACAGAGCACCAAAGCAACCAACTTCACCATCTCCAAAGTCCAAGAGCAAGTAGTTGGGAAAACCACTGTCAATTTCACATACATGAACAATTTGGGGCAAACACAACTCATCTCTTGTTTACACAAGAGCATTTACTTGTACAAGATTGTAACATACACTGTACAACAATACCAAAGAACATTTTTTCGTGTAACGTAGCTCATTAAATTATCTTGATTTTCTAACCTTAATTTTGTGGGATTCTTTTCTACCCGCAATTTTGTATAGCTTTGCTTTGTTCACACCACATGACCATTGAAACCACTTGGGAATTCTAATTAACAAAACACAAAAAAAGTCCTTCCAAATGGTCACTTCTCATCATCATCATCTACCTCCAGAGATTTTTGCCGAGATCATTTCCTTTGGTGATCTTTATGATTATTCAAACATGAGACAACTGTCAAAAGCCATGAACGAATTATGTTTGAAATTCATGCCACTCGACGTTGCTTGCAAAAAAGCTTACTTGGATCAATTCACCGATTCAGAATTTCATCAATTAAATCCTTCCGTGAAATATCATCGATCCTTTCTCAAGAATTTATTATGTGGTCAACCTCGTAAGATCTCTCTTCTCTTGGATGAAATGGTTTCAAGAAATCATCATTCTGGATGTCGTTTGACCAGAGAGGATTTTGATTTTTTCGTTTATTATGCCATAATTTGCAAGATCATGAAGAAGGATGCTTCTCCGACTTTTTCAAGGTCCTTGCTGATGTCAATTTTACCTTATAGTTATCGGTTGGAATCAACATCCTCCTCTTGGGATGTCACACAGATTGTACAGAAAATTCCAGACAGCTTGTCAAGTATTGCCGAGCAATTAGATTCTCGTTTGGTCTCTACATTAACTTTCCGACAACAATTACTCGAATATTCAAAATTGATTCGTCCACTAAAAGAATGGTCCACGAAATCCGAAAAGGACATCTTGTCCATGTTGACATTGCCCTCTACTCCAATGTTATGCAAGTTATGGTTCTTTTCTCTTCCCGTGTTGACCTTTCACTTGTTGGAAAACAAGTCTTTAAGTAAGACGATTTTCGAACAACATTTGGAACAAGAAGATCGAACACACGAGTTGTTGTTTTTACACCATTTCCAAAAGAGTCAATGGTTTGGATCTGAGAGCGACTTTTTCCATAGTCGATTCGTGATGAAAAGTGTCATTGTCAAAAAACCTGAACTATTTTCCAAGTTACCAAATTCGATACAAAATGATTTATTGGTGGCATTGCCTGCCATGAAGACGGATTACAAACTTTTCCAATATTTGAAGGATGAAATGAAAAAGGACGAACAAATTCTCACACTCATACTGTCATCCATCAAAAGCTCAGAGTTTCTCGAGTTCGTGAGAAAACACACGACAACCGAGTCACAATTTTTGAGTATTCGAAATGTCATTTCCAACTCTTTCAAAATTATTGATCATTCCATAACAGATAAAACTCTCACCAATTATGAGCTTTTGGAACATGCTAGTTCTGAAATTAAGGAAAATGAAAAGTTACTTTTGAAATGTCTGGAATTATTTAGAACTTGTCATGGATATTCCTTCCTTTCTATTCGCACCAACCATGAAGGGGCGAAACATTGTGCCAAGCTTGAGACATTTTATGAACATCATCTAAACAAAGATGTTCTATTTTCGAGGCGAGTGGTTGAGGCCTGGCTTAAAATTTCATTTCCGAATTATCTCAAAAACAATTTCACCAAGTTTGGAAATGATTTGGAATTGATCAAGATGGCTCTGAAACATGGAGAGTATGGTGTTTTAAGACAACTCCCACCTGAAATGCAACAAAATTCGTCTCTTGCTTCGTATCTTGTGGAAACTAAACCTGAACTGTTTCCACTTGTGTATAAATTAGTGCAGAATGACAAGGAAACTGTGAAAAAAGCTATTGACTTCAATCCGTACTTCTTTGAGCTCGCTTCCGAAGAAATTAGGAGTGATGTTAGTTTCGTTTTAGATTATATCACGAGAAATAAGAAATTTGGTATCTTGAAACATGCTTCGAAACACTTATTAAGTGACACCAAGGCAATGATGAAATTGGTACCTATTTTCTTGCAACAAAAGTCGGGAAGTTTGTGTTATTTTCCTTCGCATGTGTTTTCAGATTTAGAATTCATGTCCTATGTGATCCAGAGCGATCCTCGTTATGCCAGATATTTGTCACCATTTGTTACCAATGACTTTTTGATCAAGTTATACGTGAAGGTATTTTCAGAGATTCGTTATCAAGACTGTAGTGTCAAATTACATATATTCTGGCAAGTACTTCCTTATAATTTGACACAAAAATCCTTTTTCATGGAATTCATTCCTACTTATCCACAATTAATTATTTCATCTCCATTCAGATCTGACAAGGAAGTGTGTGAAGTGGTCATTAAGACGGATCCTCAATATGTCATCTTTTGTTCCATTGACGTTGTGTTGTCAGAGAAGCGTTTTGTGGACCTGTTTTTACAACACATGAAATCTACTCTTGCCAATGTCTACAGACAAACCATCTCCAGCACTGCATCCTGCGTTAACCATGCTTCCGCTTATACTCCTTTTTACTTACCTTTTGCTAGCGTGGTTTTAGAACCTGTGAAAACTTCACAACACACCACACGTGGCAACAAGCAACAAGGTTCGAAACAAGCCAAGCCTCCATTGAGCACATTGAACTCGGGCATTCACTCGTCATCAACAACCTCTACACCTGAAAAATCCGCTTCATTTTCCAAGTCATTCGTTGAGGTTGCAAGAACTTCTTCTGTGGACAAGAATTCTAAACAAGATGTGGTATCATCTAACAAACAAAATCGTTCCAAAGTTGCCAAAAAATCATCCTCGAAAAGGGGAACAAAAATTGACCTTGACACCCTTCGTAAATTGTAACACTAACTGTTGATCAATTTATAAAACACTACAACCTGAACCATTGTGGGGTGCTTTTGATGCAGTTGTTGGTTGATTTTGGGCAGTTGAGCGTAAATTTGTGTACTTTGGTTTCCATTCAAATGTCACATATTTGAAAAGTAATTTCGGAGCATGAGTAATATTGAAAATAATCTCTTGATTGGGATCAATACTTCGAATGGAATGTATAATGACTTCTCTCAGTTTGGGTGCATTCAAGGTCACAGAAATATTGAGGTTTTTCAGATTTTCCAAATAAAAGAACTTGAGATTTGTCATTGAGTGGTTGCAAGTAATTTTCACATCTATGCCATCATGAGAGTTGACGAATTTTGTAACAAAATTGTTGATCCATAAATTCCAAACTAGGACCTTGGTCAATACTTACTTGTCGATGATGAAATTGATAATTCTTCTAAAAAGTGTGACAATGGATCCATATCAATGACAAGGTCCACACAATTGGCTAATATTAGAGTTTTCAAGTTTGGAAATCCAGCAATGGACAATTTGGTAGCGCTCACTTCAAGATGTTTCAAGGATTGGCTGCTACAAATTTTTTTCTCAAAATTCAATTTCGATCCAGAGCACAATGTATGTAAATGCTTATACTCGTTCAATACTTTCTCTACGTCTATTTCTTGAGAGTGAGTCACTATTTTACAAGCCAATTTTGATACTTCTGTTTCAAAATCACGAGGATTCACCATTTGTTGCTCAATGATATATGTATGTAAAGAACTCAATGTACATTTCAAATGATTCACTTTTTTGAAACTAGAAATAATATTGTTCAATTTTGTAGGATTTTTGTCCGTACAATAAATATATAACCAATCCAGTGTCATATTATGACTGTTTTTTGGTATTATATCTGACCAATTTGTAGTGTAGTAACAATTTAAAATTGATATGGCTTTGACATCTATAGAAAGAAATGCAACCGATTCAGGAAGAATTAATTTTCCACAATAATCACCAACAATTGATACTTGTGAATGCGTGTTGGTACATCCAGAAATTGCCACAACACTGTAATACTTGTTGTGAAGTGAAATTTGGTTCGTTTTTTCAATATACACTCGTTTCAGAGAAGGGCAATTCATGATGGAAATTGCCTTGAGGCTACTCACGTGAATTATTTCCAGCGAAGAATGATTTTCAATGGAAATTTCTCGGGTACTTTCTTCAGATATTCCTGCATAATAAATGTCGGTGTCTGAAAGTGAAAGGGTGGTGAGGTGTGGATGCTGACCAAACCAAAACGAAGGGTCGTAATGACAATGGCCAAATTTGATTGATGTCAACTTGGGAAAGGTCATCTTATTTTCAGTGTTTTCATGAGCGGTCATGACAATATCTGCTGATTGAATGGATAATTGGTCGAGAGATGGCATCAATACATTGTCCATGGTTAAGGTCATCATTGAATTGTATGATAGATGGAATTCTTTCATGTTTGGAAATGTGAAATTTTTAAGGGTAAGTGAGGTTCTTACATTGTTCAAGACAAGTTTGGTGAGGTGGCATAATCTTGTACCAATGAAAGACCCATTAATGTCACATGTATCAATCATTAGGGAATTCAATCTGGGTAAAAGAGGAGAGCGTGAAATTTGCTCAAATTTAAATCGATAATCAATATCGAGTGAGTTCACGTGTTTCAATAGAGAATCATTCTTTGAAAGTGTTTCCAAAAAATTAGAGTCTGAGAATTTTGGAGAGAAGGCCACAGATGTAATAGTGTCATGATTTTTGATCAGTGACATGAGTGTGACGCTATCAAAATACACGCTCACATGATTGAGATTTTTCCAACACGAGTCCTTTGAAACGTTCAAATGATCGTAGCGATTGGCCTTATCAGAAAAACTGTAATATACTAAACTTGAGACAGCTGGAAATGTATTCACGATCAAATCTGTCCATGATGCTGATTCTCCATTTTTGGTATCTTTCAACATGCAGCTCACTTTGAGCTTTTTGATATATTCGGCCAATCCTAGTCCTTCCAGAAATTCAATAGCAATCTTCAATCGTTCTCTCTCAGCCAGCATGATCAAATGTTCATCGGAAAGACAACTGCTCCAATCATTAATTTTGTTCATATAACGAAAGAGTCGGTCTGATTTGGCAAATTCCGATAAATCAAGAATAATATTTTCATTCCAAATATACTTGTTATTCAAAATCTTCTCTCGGATGGTTCTATTCACAAATGCCAATGGAAAAATATCCACAAGATCATCAATGGTAATGGCTTGAGCCTCTTCATCGCTCATCAATGAAGAAATTTCTTGTTTCTTTAAATTCCTCTCTACAAGATTGGTTTTTGAATTTTTCATAAAAAAGGAGCAAATGGAAGCAATGACTTCTTCTGGTAAATTGGAAAAGAGATCCAATGAAGATGGAGAAAGATGCGGTGATGATGATGGTGGAGTGGAAGAAAGCATTTTTTTGTAAAATTAATTGATGATGTCACCGACAAATCTCAGTATTGTTGTGTTCAAAGTTTTGCTTTTAAACTGAACTTGGATCTTAGACGTTCCATAACAAAAGCAATGCATCATGACAAATGCTACTCCAGCTCTCAGAGTTATTGGATGGAACAGAAAACAATGTTGTGCAATATGTTGTTGTTTATCTATCATGATGCTCGGATTACAAGAGGACCTAAGGGCCTCTCACCCTTGGAATGTGCTCAAGGTGTGATCATGTTCATGGTCTGTTCGGGAATTCCAAAAAGAAGGTTTTTCATTTCCATATGGTTTTGAGATGGACAGAGATAATATTTTTCCTCGCTTCTTTAAATGATAACATCTTATTCGACACAAGTGGCATTGGGTACTTTCCATGTGTTTAACGAAGTCGTTGGTTGGTTCCAAGTGTCAATTTTAAATAAAGGCGCCAAAATCAGTTAGATTCAACTACAAAAAAATAACCAACGATAAAAAAAAAACGTTGGGCTGGTTGTTGTTCGCGGTTGGATCAAAGAATGAATCGGTTCAAACTCAATCAGCTTATTGGAGCCGGAACATATGGAAGTGTGGTCAGAGCAGTCAATAAGGAAACCGGAGAGGTGGTATGTACAATTTGTTGTTGTTGGAATGAATAATTATAAAAAAAATGCATTTGTGGTGATGAAAATCATTTAGGTGGCCATCAAGAAAATTAAACGAACCTATTCGAGTTGGGAAGAATGTATAAAACTCAAAGAAGTACAGGTAAGTTGGTGATGAGAGATCTCTCCGATCAATATACGAAACAATTCCTTTCTTGGTTTGACACATGTTTTACGCAATCTGATCACTCCTCCAAAAAGACCCTCCGAAAATTAAATCATCCCAATATTATCAAACTCAAAGAAGTGATACGTGAAAATCAAGAATTATATTTTGTGTTTGAGTTTATGGAGGCAAATTTATATCAAGTGATGAAAGATCGCGACAAACTCTTCTCGGAATCAAAGATTCGAAATATAATTTATCAGGTCCTTCAAGGTCTTGCCTACATGCACAAGAGTGGATACTTTCATCGTGACATGAAACCAGAGAACTTACTGGTTCATAGAGATACTGTAAAAATTGCAGATTTCGGGTTGGCCAAAGAAACTCGCTCACGACCTCCGTTCACCGAATATGTCTCTACGAGATGGTATCGTGCACCTGAAGTTTTAATGAAATCACAAAATTACAACTCACCGATTGATTTATGGGCTGTGGGTGTCATTATGGCCGAGTTGTACACTTTTCGACCACTCTTTCCAGGACGAAGTGAGCCAGATGAAATTTTCAAGATTTGCTCCGTATTGGGAACTCCAACTCGAGAGACATGGGAAGACGGCCTCAAACTAGCGGCCAGTATGGGAATGAAATTTCCACAATTTGTTCCAACTCCATTAGAGAATATTATTCAAAACGCGAGCCATGAGGCTATTCAACTCATGACAGATTTATTGAAATTTGATCCAATGAAAAGACCCACAGCAAGTCAAGCCTTGCAATATCCATTTTTCCAAGTTGGCATTTCAGTACCTATCCCTCTCAAGTATAACATGAATAGCAGAGTGCAGTCTGGTGTGTCACGTAAGTGTCATTTGTTTTTTTTCATATCCATTGGATTAACATTGCATTATGGGTTTTTCAACTTTGGATTGTTAATGGTACATCATGGCCTACCAATCTTATCAACGGCATATAAATATAATGACAGGAAATAACAACAATGAAAACCTCAACCAAAATAATAATGCACAAAGTAGCAGTAATGGAGATGATGTATCTCCATTAGCCAACCTGAATAATTTTGGAAACAACAAGAAACCTATGAATGTACAGTATCAAGGCGTTAAATCTTACCCTCCTTATGCAAACCAACAAGGTGGCCTTACTCACCATTCACAACAACCACAACAACCACCGATGGTACCATTTCCAAATTATAGTACACGGTCTCCCAACTCCAACAGCTCCTCATCAGCTGCAGCGTCCAATGGAAATAAGTTATTTTCATATTCAAGATACAAACCAGGTGTTCAATCGAGTGTAGATAAGTCACAAGTCACGTCACGAGATGGACGAGGGTCCTCCCGTGGTGGAAGTGGCCTTTCTAGAAAGCGGCTTCAACCACGAAGGGTTGAAAACCAACCAAGCCATTACTCGAGCAATTCGACACAACAAACTCCACCCTCATCGTTGTATGATTTTTCCAGAAAATAATGTTATATAAATAAGTATCTTTATTAACCCTTAAGTGATCGCAGCCCTGGGGACACAAAACACTGCAAGTGCCCCTGAATCTTTATTGAATCTGGTCCCTTGGGAACTTGCAACGACAAAAATAGTTATTTTTTTGATTTTTTGGTAACACGAAAATAAAATGATTGGGCTTCTTGTGTGGGAGTGTTTGAGCTTTGTTGTATTGCCCTCTTCTTTGCTCTTCTTCAAAATCATCAACATAAAAATCCCAATCCGCTTGATGATCTCCAACAAGATCTTCGAATTCAATTTCTTCTGTTAAGTCACAAGTTGGATCGTTTATTTCATCATCCACATCTACTTGTATTGGCCTAGGAGTGGGGTCATCCCACTCCAATGTTTGTGGCCAACCGACAAGCATTTTTTGCGTATAAACGGGAGCAAAAAACAATATTTTAGGGAGGGTAGCCATATTGGCATTTTTACCCTGGGGCGATGTACTTGGCCAAAGTGTTCAGCATGTCCCCCTGTTTGCGATCACTTAAGGGTTAAATACATCTCTGTACAACAATTTTTTTGTAAACCTTTTCTAATTTAATAGTCAAATAAAAGTAAAAGTGTTGATTGCTTTAAAAAATAATAGCTCTAATTCTGGTCGAATTTTAATTCGACAACTGTCATTTTGGCATCCTTGTTACCTCGAAGACCCTTGATATAACGCGTATGTTTGATTGGATTGGTACCTGTTTCTTTAGGCGTTTGAGTGTCCTTTTCTCTAATGTTCGATGTAAATTTGTCAGACTGCTAGACTGTGAAACACAACAAAATACATACTTTTTGAGATAAACTTGACAATCATTGTCCCTCCTGAAATGCGATTGAATCGTTTGAGCCTTACTATCCTTCTTGTTTCTTAAATCTGCAGCCTGCACGACATTCTTTCGAAGTTTCCATTGCGAAAATTCATACTTGGGATCAATGTATGATTCCACCGGGTGAGTTTCTGTTTGAATTTCAATTTCTTTGGCAAATTTGTTCGACTTGGGTCGAGGTAAATCATGTACCAATTGTTCATCTTTTGAGTTTGCCGGAGACGAAATAGAATTGTTCTCTTGATTGGAAAATTGCTTGTTCAAGCTCTTCCCTGATCGCCCACTTTCTCTACTTTCTGGAGAAGTTCTGGTTTGAATTACTTGTTCCTTATCCGTTAGATTGTCATCGGTTGTTGAAAGAACTTCGGATGTGTCTGTTTCTGCTCCCGAGGTTGTAAACTCTTCTTGCTTGAATGGATCTCCAGGTGCTTTATTGCTTGATCTGGATCGAGTGGAACTCGCTGTGGAGTGCACCGATGCAGCACCTCCTTCCGATGATGATGCCGTTGAACTTCTTCGTGATGATGTTTGAGACATTTTTTTTAAAAGTTGTAAACGAAACAGTAAAAATTGGAGGGAAAAATACCGCCCAGAAAGTTACAAAAAAAAATAAGATCAACATCTACATTTTATTCTCCTCAACAACACGCATACATCTGATCGGATCCAATACATAGGTTGTCAACACATATCTAAATTGTAACAATTTCAAAATGTCGGATCTAGAGAACAATGTTTTAGAGTTGGAACACGTCATTGGATATACAGGAAAATATGGTCATACAATTTCTATTCATCCTCGGAATAGTAAATATATTGTATATCCCATTGGAGGAGTGTTGGTAGTTGGAGATACAACAGATCCTCATAATCAACAATTTTTAACCGAGCACGATGAAGAGATTACTTGTGTGGCTTTGACCAATAGTGGACGATTATTAGCAACTGCTCAAATGGGAACAACAAAGAGAAAAGGCCAAATGGCAACCGTGATTGTTTGGGAATTGGCAAAAAAGAAGGTGCTATTTAGAATTGAGAGTCATCTTAATCGAGTCATGTCTTTATCTTTCACTCATGATGATAAATTTCTTGCAGTTTCAGGTGAGTTTGAAAATTTATATTCCAAACAACCCTCCTCATCACCACTCGTAACAAACATTTATTTATTATTTATATTTTATAACTGTTGATTTAATAATAATTGTTCAATATTCATTTCGGATTTCATCATTCAGACGGCTCGGGAAAGGTTTCCATATGGGACACACAAACTGGACAGCTTGCTGGAGGATCTAAAATCGATCGTCCAGCGTTCTTTGTGGCATCGTCACCACTCACTCCCGATTTCAATCCGAGACGACCTTCCTATACTTTTATCATTGCCACAGACAATTCCATTCAAGTGTGTTCATGGGCCTACGAGGCAAAGGCCATGCAATTTGTTCTTTCAACCCGCGTATGTCAGCTCCCTGGAAGAATTGCAGGCTTTCAAAGAGAGTATCTAGAAGCATGCATTGATGAGAGTGGAGAATTTTGTTATGCCGGTACCAAAACAGGAGAGATTATGATTTTCAATATCAAGAATGCAATATATAGAAACTCCATTCAAGTCTCGTCGAGTGTCATGTCCCTGTGCAACGAGAAAGACATTTTATATTGTGGATGTAGCGACGGCTCACTTAAAATGCTGCAAGGAAATGATACCAATTGGAAAATTAAGAAAGAAACAAAGCTTGTAGGAAGAGTCACTTCATTGAGTTTGCACTCGGAACAACGAGTGATGATGGCTGGAACTGACAGTGGAAAAATTTATCGGCTCAATATGGACACTCTTGAGAATGAGCTCATTGAGGAGAGTCATGTTCGTGAGGTGACAGATGTGGCATTTTCCAGTGAAAAGAGTGACCAATTTTGTTCATGCTCTTCAGATGGAACGATTCGCGTTTGGGACTTGGAAAATTATTTCACTCTCAATACCTTTGTCGTTGCCACTCAAACCTCAAAACCTACATGTATCATTTATGTGGGTGAAAAGGTCGTGACAGGTTGGTCTGACGGATTTATTCGATGTTTCAACACGAAAACAAATCAGCAAGATTGGCAAATTGTAAACACCCACAAAGGAGGTGTCACTAGCTTGGACTCTGACGGTAAAGTTCTTGTGAGTGGTGGCCACGATGGTGTCGTAAGACTGTGGTCCATGCGAAATCAAGAAATGTTTGGACAATTTTCAGACCACACCAAACCTGTGACAGGAGTGAAAATTGATCATGGACAAGCTCATTTACTTCACACGACGAGCATGGATAAATTTGTCTACACCTACGATTTACAAAAGAATAAGAGAATTGTTTTCCACTCCATTGCCGATCGATCATGTCCAGGCTTTACAGGAATTTCACAAAGACTTGATCATGAACTTGAAGTGATCACTTGTGGCGGTGACGGAAAAATTCGTTTCTGGGACATTGATTTTCCAGATCAAGTAGACATGCTTGAAGACAAGAATACTCAAATTAGCAATATCAGTATTAGTCCAAGTGGAAAATATTTAGCCTCTTGTGGAAATGACGGTCTTGTGAAAGTTTGGGACATTAAGACGAAACAAGTCATTGGAAAAGGGTCTTGCACTGCGGTTGTATCCAAATGTTCATGGTCACCCGATGAAAAACAAATCATTACATGTGCCGTTGATGCCTCAATTTCAGTATGGAATTTTTATTTGGATTGATCAATAAACGTGATGTTCCTGATATATACGTATTGTTTGCTCCAAGATGGTGCTGAATTTGTGAACGATCAATTTACTGTAGAATATCATATTGATATAAGGTCAAGTAGACATTCTCGTTGATGTCCATGGAGTAGCAGAGGTATCTGTACCAATTATAACATCTTAAGATGCCATGGAAATAGTGCGACATTACTAGTTTGTCCTTCCTTACTCTCACTCCAACAGAGGATAATTTATTACTGAGGGAAGAAAATAACAGTCCTCCACGGCTTTTCAAAATGTCCTCAATTCAACTATTTCTCTATGAATCCAACAATAAAAACAATTGTTGCAACAAAGCATTGCAAATTCCATTCAAAAAAACAAATAGTTTCAAGTCAACCAATTTCAATGAATTCCACAAGCTCTCAATCCAATCCAAAAGTTCGAAAGGGTTCATGCCGTTGTGGTCAACTCGCCTTCTCTGTGACTGGCCCTCGCATGTTCTCTACCTACTGTCATTGTCGAAATTGTCGAAAAGGTACAAGTGCTCCCTTCTCTTTACTCATTGGAATTACAAAACTTTCAATGGACCAGTGCTGAGAACCATTCTTCATCTCCCAACAACAACCTTGAGACGACCAATGTCAAAAAAGTTGTCAATCTGAGTGACAAATTTGAAGGTTATTATTGTTCCGAATGTGGAGGTTATGTCTCTCAGAGACCACTCCACGCGCCATTCATTTCCACCATGGCTAGTTGTTATGAAGAAATGAAGAAGGCTTTTTGTCCTTTGGAAATGATTCAAAATGAGGAGAAGCAAGAAGAAAAATTCTTCCAACCTGAACGTCATATTAATTATGAAAATCGAGTGTGTGAGGTGAAGGATGATTTGCCAAAATTCATGGATTTTCCATTACCTGTTGGAAGTGGAAGAATGTACATTGAACAACAAGTAAATAAAAAGTGAACCGGTTCTTTGAATACTGTGAGATGTTTATTCAAAATGTCTTCTTTTAATGCAATCATGTTCTCAAAACCATTCAATAGTTATTCATCGTGAAATACTTAAAAAAAAAAGTGAACCCATGAGATTCGTGCGCCAAGTGTTGGAGGTCATGGTTCCTCAATCGGAACAAGACGATGAAACTGTAGATGTACAGAGAAAGGATGATTTTAAACATGTTTGTTTTAATGTGTTCAGGGTGGACGAAGGCTCACTGATTCCACCGAGTATTGCAAAATATGCAAAAGATAAGTTATTCACCTTGAAGAGCATTCAACCGTTATTAGATAAAGCTCGATACGGAATGGCTCGCATCGGTCATGATGAGGGAACTGGTACTTGTTTCTTTTTGTTGCCGAATACAGTCATCACGAATACGCATGTGATTGATTTCAAATATAAACCTTTCGTTTTTAAAGAAGCCTTAAAGGAAACAATTGCTTCAACAACTATAAAACTAATTGAAGAACAAGTGCTGTTCTCAGGAAAAAACATCCCTAACGCCATGAAAAGGAAGTACAATCACATGGAAACCCAAAAGTATTTCCCAGCAATTGAAAATACGTATCAAGATCCCATTCTCGCAATGGAAGGAGATTTTGGTTTCTTAGATGTTTCGCTGCATCAACTTGAATTAGGTCCTAACAATAATGAGGAGGAGGAGCAGGAATATGGATCCAAAGTACTGTTCATTCCTTGTCCCACAGTATTACAAATTGGTCATCCAAGCTTTACCTTACATTACCCAGGAGTAGAAGGACAACCATTTTCATCGTTTCTCTCATCGCACACGAATTATAGGAACTGGGCACCTTCCGATGAGCTTGTTGAAAATATATTTCATGGTTTCGGAAAGCTGTGTTTGAGTACAGGAAAAGTACTGCCTCCATTCGTGGAGAAGAGAGACCATGATGCCGAAACGGAATGGGTTCCCAACTATGACCACCAGTATCAGAGAGATCAAGAGTTCATCATGACCAATGAATGTGTGATGACTGGATCTTCAGGAGGTTGTGTGTTATCGATGGAATGTCAACACATGGATGTTGAAGGTATTACTCTCATAGAATTTCATGGTATTCATTTTGGAGGTGAATTTGTGAAATGTAAGAATTGTTTACGAATTTCAAAACAAGCGCAAGTAGCAAAAATCATTGACAAGACTTCTCAAAATCCTCAATCATGGAATTTCTGTTCAGAGTGTCAGAATGGTGTAAAACCATCGAGTTTGGTTTATAATTACGCAGTTTCTGTTCATCATCCATTGTTCAAAGAAATGTACAAGAAATTGGTCTTACCAGAGTTGTTGAAAGTGTTGAACAAGACAATTAATGATCCGCTTCTTGTGAGACTGCGTGAATATATACAACAGTGAACTGAACAATACGAAGAGTACCTTGAGTTTGTAATTTGTTTTTCTTTTGAAGATACAATTCCTTCTAATCGCAGAGAGACAACCTGTCACTAACACAACCACTCAAACGGTTTGGGAAACTTGAATAGCTCACCCTTTTCCAATGTCACATACTGAGTAAAGTCGAGGCTCATGCACGTTCATCAGATGATGTGGTGTGTTGATGTTTGCTGTGTTTTCCAAAAACGAAAAAAAGCATTCCCGCCAAAAAATTCTACAAAAAAAAATAATATAAAAATACCGTCATGGCGAGTGCTCTTCTCAGTAACAACAACAACAATCCACAACAATTATTGGAATTGAAAGAGGTCGTTTCTCAATCTTTGACTTGTGCCGGAGTGATCGGAAGGTACAAGGCTCAATTGAGGGCAAGTGTCTATGATGTCTTGCATGGAAGACCGAGAGGAGGAGAAGTGTATTTCCAAAATCAGAAAATACAACAAATTAAAAACAATTCAGAAAGTAGGTTGAATTACGGGACATGTAATTTTTGAAATGTGGAACGCTGTTTCATTTTACAATCGAACCTTATCAGATCACTTATTGTCACAATTAATATTGGAATATTTCGATTTCTATGATTTGAAATTTACAAAAAGTGTGCTGTTACCAGAAGCCAATTTGGAACAAGAAAATAGAGAGAATGTCTTGGAACAGTTGGAAAATTCTTCAAAAAATTGTGTCACAGAGTTGGGAAATCAAGAACCCTTGTTGTTACAACTCTTTTCTCAATGGTTGCACAGTAGTAGGATGACTACTACCGAGACCATCGTCTCTGAACCTGTACAACAACCTCAGCCACCATTCGAAGAAAAATCTCCATCACCTCAACAACCAGCAACGAATGTGTCAAAACCAAGCAATAATTTCGTAGCCGTAGAAAACAAAACTACTCTCAACCAAACCACACAACCATTAACAACGACAAAAGAATTTGTTGCCAACACCGTGTCACCTTCACTCTCTCTAGATGACTCGTTTGAAGAGGAACAATTAAGCTCCACAATGAAAAAACGAACCAAGAAATCAAAAGTCAATAATGCATCACCCTCATTAGATGGAAGCAAGGAAAGTAGTCCCTCAGAAAGTTCGTTGTCAGACCTTCCAAGTCTTTCTCAAAAATTGCCACCTCTAAAACCATTGGTTGGATTAAAGACTCGTGATTCATCACCTCCTCTTGGAAGTGGTGTGACAGGTGGAAATAATACCAACATGTTGGGTTCCCTTTCGAATAATTCTTCAGCAGCAATAACCATCGAAAAGAAGCACTCTCCCAAAGAATCCACATTCCTTACCAGAGCATTTGACGACTCGGAACTTGACATTTCTGACATTGAGCCATCTCCCAAGAGTGAAAGAAGTAACCACAGTCAATATAGCAATCAAAGTCCAAAGAGTAATCATAGTCAGCTCAGTACTCACAGTGTTCATAGCACTCACAGTCAAAAGAGTAATCACAGTATTACTCATAGTGAACATTTGAGTGAAAAGAGTGTTCACAGTACGACTCATAGTGTTCATAGTCATAAAAGTAACACGAGTGAAAAGAGTAATAGAAGTGCTGGTGGTAGTGGTTCCACTGGAGAAAAATCAAGCCATCATCATCACGATGACGATCGGACATTCCAAATTTCGGATCCTCATCAAGACGACAATGTGTACAATTTTGATGAAGACTTTGGAGATATTGATGGAAATTATGCAGAAGATGGTGATGAATTTGGAGAAGAGAATTTTGATGATGTGGACCATCACGATGAATTGCATCATCCCGTAGTGGATCATCAAAATGATGAGGAAGTTTCTGGATTTTCTGGTTCTGAATTTAATGATAATTATTCAGATGATTTTAAAGATTATGAAAGTAATCCTAGCAATCAAAGTAATCATTCTTTGGTAAGTCTAATTGTGTGGAGGATTTCACATTTTTTAACAGTTGTCCATCTTGTTGTCAATATTTACAATTTTGAAAAATAATAGAATGACTTTAGTGACCATACTGCCCATTCCGAGAATTTTGACGATGTGGAAAATGTATTAGAAGATTCATTCTAGCCCCTTCGTCATCATGTAAATAAATGAATTAATCTTGTAACAAATTCTCCATGGTGCCTTCCTAATTAATTTTCCCTCTCAGATGACACCTGTCATCTTGGAAATTCATGAAACACACCATCTCGCATCATCATCAACAAAAAAATGATCAACAACTTTCGTCGTCTTTTCCACTCGAGCACAACTGATGACGACCTTCTGCACACGCTCGATGACTTTGACCGAGCCAATAACAACACTCCTCGATCGGTAACAAGTGGAAGCACGAATGACGAACAACAACAACTCGTCTCGAACAGTACTTCTTTACAAAAATCATCCGATTTGGAATTTTTAGAAAATTCAAATACAACTTCGACGGCCACCGATTGTTCGCAACAACACAATTATTATGAAATATTCAACAAAATTTCTCATCACAAGACTCATCTCAACAAGGTCATGAGTATTTCTGTGGATCATCGACATAAAAATAACATTTATTACACGACAGCTATGGATGGTGTCGCGTGTCGATGGAAGTTGGTCGAGTTGGTGAAAAATCGAATGAGTGCTCAGATTGAATTGCCATCTTCGAGTTTGACATCGAGTTCCTCCTTTTCCTTTCCAAATATGGAAGACTTATCCAATTTATTGGAATTGGATTTTATGTATGAACGACAAACAGGAGCTGTCCTTTCACACTGTCTATTTCATGAATTTTTATTGACAGGAAGTGACGATCATTTTTTAACACTCTTTTACATTCATAATGAAAAACCCATGACACGAATCAAGTGCAACGATGTGGTGACTTCAATTTTTGCGTTTGATTATTTGGCCAATGATTTTAACATTGTTGGAAGTGTTTTGGTTGGTTTGAGAAATGGTGAATTGAACATGTTCTCAATTTTGAAACAATACAGCAAACTTGGAAAATGGACAGGTGTTGCATTGATTCCCAATGAGACATTTAATAGAAATCATACACCACGTCATGCGCGACAAATTAATTTCATGACCATTTGTCCTTCGAAAGAGGTGTTGGAAAATTATGTCATGAATCAATCGCAAGTTCCATCGGCTCTTTCGATTTTAACGTCGACGACGAGTGGACAACAAGGTACTGCAGGAAGTGGTGGTGTTGCAAATCATTCACAACAAACATTGAGTCATCATTCGAACACAACATCTTCGACGGGTCATTCCAACAATGTCTCTACTCACAACAACAACAACAACCATTCGATCAATGCTTCCACTCCCGAAATTGATTACTCGACTGTGAAATCCAACGGAGGTCCCTACTCGGATCCGTTTTTGATTGTGTCAGCAGCCAATGATTGTTTTGTCAAGATTTGGTCACCCTCGACTGGAGATTTATTGTTTTTGAAAGAATTTGATTCGCCTTGCACGAAGGTCATTACAACTTCATTTCGACGCGATTCTGTTCGACATCGATTCTTTTTCGTGTCACACTACAATGATCTTTCCATTTTCACAGTGAATACCAAATCGAAATATGCCACTGATTTCAGAGTTCACTACAATATTAATCAATTCTTTCTGCATCAATTTTCTGAATTTATTGATAAGAATTTGAATGATTCATCCACCACGACCACAACATCATCATCGACAAGTAGTACCAAAACTGAAAAATCTCAAAAAGTCAAAACCCAATCCTCTCATTCTGCTGCTACTTCACGCCGTGATCGAGGATATTCCACAGCACTCTCTGTGAAGGAAAATTCTCAGACTAGTAGTAATACTAGTTCAACAACTGTTCACAACAACAACAAATCAACAAGTGTTCACACTCTGAACGAAATTCCAGTGAGTAAGAATGGATATATTTATCTGATTGGTTGGAATTCCATGCAAGCTCGATTAGAAATTTGGCTCTATAATTTGTTTGATCAGAAAGCAAAACCTACTTCTCAATATCAACAAAAATTACAAGGTGTGACATTTTTACAAAATTTAACATTGGACAGGAGTAGTGTTGTTCAGGAGAGGACCGATCTGATTACGACCTTTTCAGTCGTGTACAGCACGTTTAAAAAAACAAGTGTGAAAAAGTTAATTTTGAGAAAATCCCTTATAGAAGCAAGTTCAATGGACACGACATCATTGTTAGTTTCCTCTTCGAATAATACTGTGACCATTGTCAAGACTCAATCACCTTCTTCTCCTAAAACTCCACCGACAGCTTTGAAAATCATGCCACAACTGTATTGCAATGCTGAATTTAGAGATTTGTATCATATGGCCACGACAAAGAGAGCAGCTGAAATGAGAAATCCAGTCAAAATTGCACAATTGATACAAAATTTTAGTAAGGAATTGAGTGAAATTGGATCCATTGGTAAGTTGTTGTTGTGTGTTCCAATTTCCTTGGTTGTTTTATTGAAACATTGATTCATTGTTGTTTTATGATGAACAATATTCGTTGTAAAAATTGACATGTTTTAAATGGAACACACACTGTTTTCCACATCATGTCATGCGTCACACAATTGTCTCTCACACTTTCTGTTCCACATAATTGTCACTTACTCACACTGTTCAGATGCAAAATTAACATTCCTTCAACAATTATACACCAATAGCAACAATCATTCACCAGATTCCAAATTTAATTTCATTTTCAACATTTCACACACCATTCTCTGTGACGATCAAGAACTTGTTCAAAAATCCAAACGTGCACTTTCTCAACTCAATCAAGAAGTTCTCACTTCAAGAAAATCCACTTCTCTCCACAAGAAATTCATGTACATTCGTGAAGTGTCTCTCAAAATGGGTGAAACCAAATTAACAGTGTTGAACTATGATCATTACATTTCATTTCTGAAAGATTTTTGCAATGAAGAAGGCATTCACAAATTAATTCATGTTCAAGTGAGTTCAAGTTCGGCTCGAAAAATTGCCATTCTCGTTCAAGATGTGATCAAGACATTTTTCAAACCTGTCAAAACATGTCGACATTCGTACAAGTATCATTTGAAACCTTTTCATGAAATTAGAAATTATGAAAAATGGCTTTCCAATTTGGGATGTGAAAAATTTCAAGATATTTATATTGGATTGGGTCGAATGATGGGTTTCATGATGTTACAACCATATTTATTTGTCGAAGATTTCTTTCCCACTCGAGTCGTTGTCAAGACCATTTTAGGACATGCCATTCAATTTTGTGATTTTTCAGATTTTGGAGTTGAATATTCTGTATTGAAACAAGTGATCGAGAAGAGACACGATGGAACAAAAACTCTCGAACAAGTAATTCATGAAATTTCACGAGATGAATTTTATGAAAATTTATTATTCAATAATGAACATTGGAAAAAAAAAGAATTCTGGAAATCTCTCATGCAATCGAATCGCGTCACGGAAGACAACAAAGTGACACTCGTGCAACAAGTGGTGTCATACTTGTTATTTTCAAACATTTCACAAGAATTACAATGTTTATTGAAAGGACTTTATCAATTTTTACCTTCTTTGGATTGTATTCGTGAATTATTGGATGAAATGGAATTGACATGTTTATTGACTGGAACGAAATTGATTCATTCGGATTTTGTCATTTTTAACAATCATCCTCCATCCACCACAACTCAGAATTCCACACAACAACAACAAGTTCCATCGAATCAAGCACATTCAAATACATCATTCACGGATCCTCAACTCGGTTCATCGATTGAAACGGATCCTTGTATGGCTTGGTTATGGGAATTTATTTATGACGATATGGATGCATCGATTGTGGCAGATAATTTGAAAACTTGTTTACTTTCTAAAAAGTCACTCTCTCTCAAGAATGATCTCATGTATTATACACCCATTCCTATCATTTGTCGAGATGATCAATTGAAAGAGGACATTCAATTTAATGCAGAGGAACATGAAATGAGAATTGGGACTTTCCAGAATAAGCAAAAATTCTTTGAATGTTTATTGTATCATATTGAACAGAATGCGAGTCGAAGATCGACAGTGAGTGGAAGTGGCGTCTCGTCACCACGTACTCCATTATTAATGTCTCCTTCGACGCAACCATTGAATTTACCACCAGTTGCTGTGAATTCTTCACACATTCCCACGCCAGACATTTTTGACACACCACATGCGGCAGTTGCTGACACCACCTCCGCACCAACAACAACTACAACAACAAATGAACCTTTGAAGCTCATGATTGGTGGTGATTCGACGACGAGTTTAATTTCCACTTCGGTAGACACGACTGGCAGTGAAGATTCCACCTATTCTGATTTGAGTAATAAATAAAACATGAACGACCGACGACCCTCAGTACGTTGTTTTTGTTTTTAATTCTCAACATGTATTCTTTTTAGCTCACAAAAACTCTTCATGTAATGTACATGGCCAATGCTCATTCTAGAACTGATGAATGCAACAATGGAGGAGCAGACTTTTTAAATTTCGAAATCAATTTCAACGCCTTATCGACCGTATTTTCAGGTGTAATTCCAACTTTTTTGTAAATATCTTGATACGCTCCACTTGCTCCAAAAGTAGTCATTCCCAATGCAAAATGTGAAAATCTTCCAATCCAACCCTGAGGCGAAGAAGCTTCCACAGACAAGACTGGAATTCCCTGAATGAAAATTTGATCCTTATACTCTCGTGGTTGTACTTCGAATAATTCCCAACTTGGCATGCTCACAGTATTGACTTGAAGTCCATGCTCGTCTCTCAATATTTTTGCTGCTTTCACAATAATTTGAACTTCTGAACCTGTTGCTACTAAAATAATATCTGGATCTTGTGTCGATTCAAGTACATAGGCTCCTTTAAGAGTTTTGTGAATGTCAGTGTTTCGAATTTGAGGTACATTTTGTCTTGTCAAAATTAAGCATGTAGGAGTGGCCGTGCTCTTCGCAGCAAATAAATAAGCGCCTGACGTTTCTCGTCCATCTGCTGGACGTATCACTACGAGATCTGGAATGGCACGAAGAACAGGCAACACTTCAATAGGTTGATGAGTAGGTCCATCTTCTCCTAATCCAATACTGTCATGTGTCAAGACGTATATATTTGGAATATGAGCCAATGCAGAGAGACGAATGGCTCCCAAAGCATACGATGCAAAATTCAAAAAAGTACCGACATAACTTCGCAACAAGCCATGATACAGAATTCCATTCGAAATAGCAACCATTCCGTGCTCTCTCACTCCAAATCGAATATATCTTCCGTGACGTTGTTGTGGTTGGAAATCCAATCCGCCTTCAATATCGGTCAAATTTGATGGTGTTAAATCTGCAGAACCTCCCACGAGACCAGGCATGACACGAATGATGGAATTTAATACCATATGAGAGGTCATTCGAGTGGCGAGTTCTTTTCCTTCCTGTTCTTCTTTTTCGAAAGTAGGAAGTAATGGCTCAATGTCTCCATCGAGTTCTTGTCGACTCATTCTCATGATCGTTTCCCATTCGGTTGGATATTTTTGGGAATATTCTTGAGCGAGTGTATTCCATTGTTCGTAAAGTTGTGCATTTCGAGTGGCTATTTGATTGAAATCTTTTTGAACTTGATCGGGAATGAAAAATGTTTTCTGTGTGCCAAAACCACATAGTTGCTTCAAATAATTGACAGAATCGATACCGAGTGCTGACCCGTGTGCTTTGGCAGACCCTTCATGCTTGGTAGCATATCCAATAGATGTTTTACAAATAATTAGCGATGGTTTTTGAGTGACAAGTTGAGCTGCCTTAATGGCATTTTTCACACCCAATAAATTGGAATCTGCGTCGACCACTTCAATGACGTGCCATCCAAAACCTCGTACCACTGTGGCTGTATCTTGTGTGAAAGCCAGTGTAGTACTTCCATCGATGGTAATCTTGTTATCGTCATAAAACATGATGAGTTTGTTCAAACTTTGATGACCTGCAAAAGACATGCCTTCGTTACACATTCCTTCCATCATGTCACCATCACTACAGAATGTAAAAACATAATGATTGAAGAGTTTCAAATCTTCCTTATTGAATCGAGCTGCTAAATGTGCTTCTGCGAGTGCCATTCCTACCGAATTGCAAACACCTTGTCCAAGAGGACCAGTGGTAGCTTCAATTCCCTCGGTGTGACGCCATTCAGGATGACCAGGTGTCTTGGAATCAATTTTTCGAAGACGTTTCAATTCTTCCATGGGCATGGACTCATAACCTGTCAAATGTAAAAGAGCATACTGTAAGGCACATCCATGTCCATTGGAGAGCACAAATCGATCTCGATTAAACCATGCTGGATTTTTACAAGTACTTCTATAGAAATACTTCCACAAGACATAGGCCACAGGTGACAAGCCGATGGGACATCCTGGATGACCACTTTTTGCATTCTCAACCATATCGACTGTGAGACATCTCAGTGTGGCTACTGCCAAATGATGTAAGCGATGACGCAAAATTTTGGCCACTCGTTGAATTTCCACGTTGGTCATTTCTGGGTCGAACTGTAATACCGAAAAATTGGATTCACGCTCATGCTTTTCAAGGCAGAATAAGACGTCTCTATAAATATTCGAATTGGATGCCCAAAGATTCAGACGATTTCGATCACATGGAATGACTAGTCCACGTTGCAAAATTTCATCAACGTGTGTGTCTGAGAAAAATTGTTGAATATAGTTGAGAGCCTCTTGCTTTCGTTGTCCTTGTAATTGAGAGTTTAACACAATGCATGATACAGTTGGAGTAATTTTCGTAGCACCTTTTCCTAACAATGGTAAGAGTGTTAAATTCCATTTTTCATCTTCTATTTTGCATTTGAGACCACACATGTGTTCGAGTCGTCCAATATAGGCTCCACATGGAATACACTTTCCGTAACGACAACTCTCGACCAAATCTTCGGCACCTTCAATTTGAGTGGCATTCAATATCGTGCGGTAGGAGGTCACAAAGTGTTCATCAGCGTGTTCAGGTTTTTCTGGAAAGACACTTCTTGAAATCATGTTCGTTCTTCCCTGCAATGCAAGTGAGGCATAATTTGTCACAATATGTAAAGCATCTGAAGAAGCAACATCAGGATACACCAACGAATCGTATCCCTTATGTTGAGCCAAATCAAGCACCGAGGCGAATTCACTTGGAGATTCTTTCTGTAACACCACATTGGTTTGAATTAAATTTGGAATTCCATACAATTCAGATTGAATGGTACAACTTGTCAATGCAAATTGAAAAGGTTGATAATTAGGAATGAGTTGATTCAAATCCTCCTTAATGGGAGCAATGAGACCATTCTTAACCAATAGAGGAAGAAAGGCAGCATCCACACTGAATACATCTGGCAACTCGGAATTCATTAACAATACTTGATCCGAATAGCAATTGAATTCACCTTCGTTTTCCGAGACTTGAATGTGTTTGGAACCTGCATCTCGTAAAAAGTGTGCAATTTTAGTTCTTGATTCACGAGATAATTGATTGGGTAAGAAGAGGGAAACTTTGATGCGTTCGGATTGTGTTTGATCTACCATTTTGTATAAATGTTTGGTTGTGTGGATGATCCGAAATTGTTCTTGATGATGAAGAAGCCTTTGATGAAGACGGAAACTACACTCGGGTAATGGCTATCTTGTTTTTTCGCTGATGATGATGAATAGGCAATATGAAGTAGCAGTCCATGACGAAAGTAATTCATCACCACAAGAGTATTAATTACTATTTTACCAAATATCCAAATCCATACGTCCAAAGCTCATCATGATGATACAATTGTTCATAATCCACTCTCGGAAATCCATTTACAATTTGTGCTCTCATTAGTCCCTAGAGGGTGTTGTTGTTGCTGTTGTTGATCAACTCCTTGAAGCAACTCCATTTCATCCTTCGTTCCATTCCAAATTAAAATTCAATTCGAGTACCTAGCTCTTTACGATATTTTTTGCATTGTGTGGAAGTGTTGAAAACATAATAACTATAATCCCGGGATTATAGTTATTATGTTTTCAGTTCACGACTTTATGAAGTGGTGTTGGAAAATTTTACTGTGTTACGGTTTGGTTCGAGGGAACGGTTCAATCACCCTCCATCCAATGATCTTTAACGTTTTAGTAATTTCCAGTGTTCTGAGAAAACCTTAACAATGTCTAATCAAAAAAAAATGTTCTCAACTGGTCCTGTCATCTCGCTACTAGTGTATCTTTTGATGCTCACACTCCTCTGCACGATTACCAATTCCCAACCTATTGTTCATGGTTATCACGAAGATGAGTTATCACACGAAACTGTTTACAACCAATCTCCAAACTTGAAACTCACAACTAGTCGAGTCGTTACACCAGATTATACCATCAAGACACATTTACCTCTGTCAGGTTATGTCGATCATGTCTTTCTAGATGCCAATTCGAGTTCATTGTTTGTTGTTGCAAGTGGTTTCAATCAAATCAATCAATTGGATCTTTCAGGAGGAAGGTCTCATACCTTTCCAATTTCCATTTCTGAAAATTCATTAAGTTTGAGAACGATGGGTTTTGTAGAAACTTGTGTCTGTGGTTTGTATGATCCTGTTCAAAATTCTGTGTTTTTGGTGTATTCGACAAGTCAGAATTCTGCTCAACATTCTGGAATTCCCAAATCGTACATTGTCAAAGTGAATTTACAAAATCCAAAAGTCAATTCAGTAATTTCCTTAGGAAAACGTGCTCAAGTCATGAAATGTGTACAGAATACAGATTTGAACTTGCTTCATATGGTAACAAGAAAGGAAAATTATGAATTGTCATTGTCGACATTTGATCCAAGAGATTCAAGTTTGTATGAAGAAACTATACCAATGATGGAATTGGCACAACTTGAATTTAATGCCAAGATTGGTCTCGTTGTGGTTGCAGTGAATGCTTCTCAAACCAATTATTATGTCTATTCACCACAATTAGAGTTACAATTTATGACAATTGACATGAATCCACAATTTTACACCACATGCTTGATTGATTCCATGTACATTTCATCCGAAGGTTTATTACCTCATCTCACAACGGCCTTTATCAAATGCAATAATCAAGCAACGTTAATTCAAAAACTTGTCATTGACATGAGCAAGAAACAATTCACATTCTGGACAAGCAGTCAATATCCAAAGGTAGTTCGAGTTTACAAATTATCTGAATATCATTGGAAATCATTTAGTTTTGATTATTATTTCGATGATTTTACTGAAATGGTTGTATGGAATTCGACTGCTGGATGGAGTGAACAGAATCGTTACGTATTGAGTGGAAATTCAAGATCTACTTCTTCTGGAAAGTCATTGCAAATGAGTGTAGTGATACGTGACGATGAAGGACAAGAATTTTTGGCCATTCCTCAAAGTTTTGTTGATGTCAATTTGTCCTATCAAGTCGACATGTACAATTTGGAGAATATTATGGAACCCAATAATTTTCTTAATAAGGAAAAAGAGAGAGGAAAATGATGAAGTTACATTGTGTTGTTAATGTTTGAAAGAATGATTTTAAATTTTCATTAAATGTTCGATTGAACTCTTCTTTCAAATCCTGATGAACGAAAATATATTAATAAAATGAAATCAAAAAAAATGCGCAAATCATCAGGCGAGGTTTCATCATCCTCCAACACTCAAGATGTTCATCATTCCGATGAGAGAAAATTACTCCAAAATTTAAAAATTGGAACAATCAGCAAACGACAATATCAAATTCCACTGTTGTTGTTGAGTGATGTCGGATTATTTGCTTCCATGATGTTACATTTTATGATTTGTCCATATACCAAAGTGGAAGAGAGTTTTAATACTCAAGCTACGTTTGATATTTTGAGCAAGACGAGCACAAGTGATTTTGATCACATGTTTTTTCCCGGAGTTGTACCACGTACATTTATCGGAGCTAGTATTGTTTCAACGTTGATTCAGATGGTTCGTCCAATTCTCTCTCCGATCTTTCAAATGTTTTCTTTAATATCTACAGATGCTCCATCGGATTTGTTGTTGATGCGATTTGTTTTGGGATGCTTGTCGTTTACGGGATATCAATTTTTCAAAAATGGAATCCGAAGCAGATTTGGAGCGTCCATTGCTCTTTGTTTCAATATTATTAATTTGGTTCAATTTCACTTGCTGTATTACATGTCGCGACCATTGCCAAATACTTTTGCTCTAATATTAGTGTATATTGCATTTGGATTTTGGACACGAAATAATGTGAAATCCATGTTCTTTTTACTTGGATTTACAGCAGTGGTATTTAGGAGTGATGTTTTTGTCTTGATTGTACCGATAGCATTACTGTGTCTTGTCACTCGACAAATCAGCTTATTCTCTGGTGTTTTGGTTGGTGTTACCTCCATTGTGTCGGGAGTAGCTTATTCAATAATGGTAGATTCATATTTTTGGAGGAGATTCATTTGGCCTGAGGGAGAGGTGTTCTTGTACAATACGGTTGAAAATAAGAGTATTAATTGGGGAGCATTACCTTTCCATTGGTATTTCACGTCAGCTCTACCTCGCTCCTTGTTGTGTGCTCTCATATTTATTCCATTTTCATTGGGAGGATTGAAACGAGCACATGCCGAGTCGGCAAATGAAACTTCCAAAATTTCGAAATTGGTACTGATTGGGACCATGTTTTGTGGAGCCTTATTATTTGTTGTGCTATACTCGTTTCTTCCTCATAAGGAGTTGCGATTTATTTTCTATGCTTTGCCATTATTGAATTTGGTTGCTGCCCTTGGTTTGAGCTCGTTGTTAAGGTTAGTTAACATTTTTTTGTAATTATTTCTCACACATGTGAATTCGTAACGTGCTTACGTTGTTGGTGTTAATCACACCCATGAAATTATTGAAAATCCATATATATTCTCAGCGGTAATATTGTGAAAATTGGCTTTGCAACGCTACTTTTGACTGGTTCTCTTTTTGCAAGCTCACTCTTCTTGCATGTGAGTTCACTAAATTATTATGGAGCTGGAGCTTTAATGAAATTGCATGATTATTTAGGGAATAGAAATAATACGGATCTAGTACTCATTCATATGGATGCACATGTGACCATGAATGGTGTTTCTCAATATCTCTATCGCGATCAGTACTCGTATTCCAAGCTTGAAATTCTCGACAATTCTACACTCAATACTATTCATCAAGAAATGTTTACACACGTTCTAACAGGCGAACAAATTTTGAACAATGCAAATTTCAGACTCATCGGTAGACAAAGCGGATTTAAGAATTTAAATTATCGAAAAATCCTCTCGAATCCAAGTGAACTCATTGGAACCGAACACAAAATTTACATTTACGAACGAGTGAGTCAGCCCGAATATCTTGTTCCCATAGTGAAATGGGCCCAAAGACGTGACAAAATTTTATTGACTGTCGAATTATCGAATGCCAGTGAATTGAGTATTCACTTGACGGATCGAGATCGAATCAGCTTCAGAGGCCAATCCTCTGGTCGATGGTATGCCTTTGACCTTGTATTATTGGATGATATTGGCAAGTTGAATTTTGAACCTGGTATTCGTTGGATCAAAATTACTCTTCTCAAAAGAAAACCATATTTTTGGACAAAATTATCAAAAGATGCATCCAATCCCTTCAAGAAGGATTGGGATAATTGGGTTGAAACTGAAAACGAAGATGACTATAACCCCGAGTTGGCACTCTCTTCATTGGATCCTTCTGTGATTCAACAATGGTACATTGAGGGGCATGGCACTACTGAAACAGTCATGTTGAAAAAGACAATGTCACTTTTCACAGGAAAAAGCGACGCTGCCAGTTCCACTTTTAATCAAGTATTGATTCGAATTCACAAAATTATTGATCATGCTCAACATGTCTTTTCACCCATTCAATTTTCACGATTAGTCACCTTGTCTTTATTTGGAATGGTCATTTTATTATATTTGAACAATAGTTTTGTACAGGGTTCTAAATTGAAACAAGATTAGATTATTATGGAATAGATTGAAATTTTAACAAAAAACACAAAATTGATTTTAATGGAAAATTGGGTTGTTACACGGTTAACGTTTGTCAAAAATTAAAGATCATGAAAGAGCCACTTTCTATTGGTTATCACAACTATATTCGTTCCTTGAAAAATGTCAAAAATAAAATTTTGTCAAAACTGAAACTTCTTGGACAAAATTGAAATTACTTCTTGTATGAGTCTACTTTTTGATGTCTCTTCTTGTGGTGACGTCTCTTTTTACAATGACGTCTAGTCTTCCTGTGACCATGTCTTTTCTTTTTTCCATGACACTTTCTTTTGTGTCCATGATGTCTTTTCTTCTTTTGGGAATGTCTTTTCTTTTTTCCATGACAAGTTCTTCTCTTGGAATGATGATGCTTCTTATTAGATTTACTTCGTCTGACATGTCTTTTCTTTTTTCGATGACATTTTCTTTTACCATGACGATAATGTTTTCGAGAAGTTGTGTAGGAACGTAAATGTTTTCCATCAATATCCACAAAATGTTTCACACCAATTCGATGCTTCTTTGAGTGTTTGCGAGAAGTATAATGTTTTCTTCCCTTTCTTTGTTTGTTGTAATGATCGACTTTCTTCTTACCCTTTTCTAAATAAGTTGAAAGAGAAAGTCCTTCGGCTTGGACCTGGAAGGAATCGCTGCCACTTGCCAACATCAAAACGGCAAGAGTTATGGCGATAAAGAAAATTGCGAGTAAATGTTTCATTTTAGCACGGTTGGAAAGGATTGATTTTTTTGAATTGTATTCGGAAGGAAATGATTGCGTTGTTGCTTTTAATAGGAAATTTTATTGAATTCGAATTTTGGAATTTGTCATGAAAAAGGTATGACAAGTGACAAGGTGAGTGAAAATTGTGAATTGGTCTAAAACAGAACCAGTACAAGAGATGGGAATTACTAATAATGGAAGATTGTGGATGATGGCTTCTTTTAAAAAGGAAGTTTCTGTCCCTTGTTCATGAAGTAAGTTGAGAGGAAAATAAACTTTCTAATTTTTCATTTACAGTCGCATGGGGTATTATATGGAGTTAGGAGTGCCAGGAGAATTTCAATGAACAAACAACCACAATCAAAATTGAACACTCAATTTCAAATTGTTTTTTCTAAAATAAACAATTTAGAACCTTTCTTCTGTTTGTTCATTCTGAAAAAATGGCTTCATTCAAACCCTTCCTCAATGTGGCCGTCTCACTCCTTGTCATCCTCTCCATGACGTTGTTGTTAATTTCATGTGTCTCTTCAGTGAATCTCAAAATGTGTCCAAACAACCATGGTGCAAAATGTGAACTACAAACTCAACAACAAACCACCATTTCACACACTCAACAATCCTGTGGACATGGAACCTATGATCCTCGTACGAGACGCTGTAAATGTGCATCTGGATGGAAAGGATCTCAATGTAACATTCCCATTCACAAACCATGTCCAAAAAAGTGTTCCGCCACACATGCAAGTTGTGTCAATGGTAAATGTCAATGCAAACCAGGTTATCATGGTCCTCAATGTACATGCCATGCACCAACCACATGCAACAATAGAGGAAGTTGTACTTCTTCTGGAAAATGTCAATGTAAAAGTGGATGGACTGGTTCGGATTGTAAAACTCCAAAAGTTGTTCCATCTCCAAAACCATCATTGACAAATAGCACTTTTTGAATGATATGATATAAAAATTACATATCAGAGAGAAAGTTTTCATAAATCTTACGTATTTCCATGTGAGAGGAATGTAAAAATTTTGTTTTCAAAAAAACAAATGAAACGAATAGGTTCGGTTCGATGTGACAAATTACCACATCGTTTCAGTCCTTCTTTTGTAGTGAAAAAGTGGCCTCTTTTTTCAGGTTTTAAAAGCATTATTTGTTGTTCCAGTGCGAAAGGAATTTTCGCTCAATAGTCTCCCATGAAATTAGGACCCATTCAAATCAATGAAGGAAACACGACTTATCATGTGAAAAATTTGGAAAATTTGTGGCTATTTTAAAAAGTTTTTCCAGGAGAGGAAGAAGAAGCAGTTGCTGAAGATGGAACTTGTTCGAGAATTCCAAATCAGGAATTCTTCGAAAGAAGAAAGGAAGGTTGGGAAGATTCTAAAGCACATTGTCATGTCAAGAAGGGCGTAAAGCCATTGTATTCTTGGTGGCAAGGACAGAAATTATCACTGATCGAAGCAAGAAAACAAATTTATTGTAAACTCTATTCTGAAAAAGTCATTCATACAGAAGCCTATAAAAAGTTAAAACAATTTGTGGAGGTAGGAATGAATTTACAAATACTGGCTATGATTATTCAAGTGAAGAAAAGGCCTTAAGTGAATGCATGACTCTTCGAGACCTTTTGGACACGAATTATTATTGTGTGGATTGTTAACCAACGAAAAAGTTTGGGAATAAATATTATGGAATTTCCGTTCCAACAGCATGTGTTTTTTCCTCAGTCTTAATTAATTATTAATTAATTCAGTAACCAACCTCTCAATGCACTTTACAAAAACATTCCCATAAAAAATGAAGCGAAACAAAACCATCGATTCACACAACAGTGAAAAAACATCCAAAAAACACAAAACGATGGAAGAAGAAACTATTTCTTCGGAGGCCTCTTCTTCTTCAGTTCAAGAGAAACAAGACGTATGGACTGAAGAAGTAATAATTACACCCGAAAATATTGTGGATCTAGTGGAATGTTCATTTCGGAAACGATCAATGAACAGCAAGTCTTTGGAAAAATCATCATTATCCATTCATGAATATATTTCCCAACTGATGGATGTTCTTTCTAAGAACTTTTACCGAACGAGTCTTGCTGACCTTCCCGTGGAAATAGTTTACCAAATTACTACCTTTCTCGATGAAATTACACTATTGAAAGGGAGATTTCATCGTATTTGCTCTCATTGGTTTTGGATTTTATATTATGATTTTGGAAATCTGTTTTGGTCGAGAATTTGTAGATATTTATCAAAAGGCAAAATCACTGTCCGAGAGAATGGAAAATCAGTTTGGAAACCGAAACAATTGAGAAAGTATTGTCTTGCAAAATTGAGAGCACAATTATTAGCAGAGAAGTGTGGACCTTTACGATATTTATATGCAATATTGGACTATGATGACTCTAGTTCCTCCGATTATGATTATGATGTGGTCAATGAATTGAAAATTAAGGAGTGGAAGAATGGAAATAATGATAGTATTTTCGACACCATGTTTGTCATTGACTATGACTTTGAAAATTGCAAGAATTATCATGCGTTTTGTTCATGCGAGCCTCTTCAATACCAAGTGATTTGCTTCGAGAATGTTGTTACCGTCCACTTTTGTGAATATACTCCCTTTTATTTTGTTCTCGTGTATGACCTGTCGTACAGGTATGAAGAGGATTGTGATGACGATTTTAGGGGTTTTATACATGTCGCCAGAGGATTTCATGAATATGACAATGATGATGTGAAACCACTCGCCGACGTGGAAAACGGATCTTTGCAATTTGCAACTAGCAAGTATTTAATGTTAATGGAATGGTTGCAAATTCCAAATCGATACTCTCATAAAAAGCAGAGGAAATTCATCGAGAAATTATTACGTCGCTCCATTCCTAAAAGTTTGCTAGGACATGTGCTCAAGCATTATGGTGTGTTTTATGACGGCGGACCAAAGGCTGAGGATATTCAAGAGGAAAGTGATTCTGATGATGAAGAGGATGACGAAGAGGATGATGACCATGATGCCAAAGAGGTTGAAGTTATTGAAATTGATTAAGGGTTGGAAATGTAGAATAATGTAGAAATTATCACCTAAAAGAAAAAACTCTAAAAAATTTAAAAAAAAATGAACAGTGCAACATCAGCTCTCAAATCAGCCAACCGTTCACAAATTCTCATTCTCTATCGAAAATTGCTCCGAGTGGGTTATCAATGGCCTCGATGGGAGGATTCCGATGATGGTGCATATTTAGGAGATTTTATATTGGACAAAACGAAGAGGGAGTTTAGAAAGAATATTAATGTTGCGGAAAGTGGTCCGTTGATGGAAAGAGCACGACGGGAATTGAGATTTCTACAAACTTTACAGGCTGATATTTTCAAAAAACAATTTGTGTTGAAAAGAAATTATGCAGAGTCTGCGGAGGAAATTGATCATGGCGCAAAATAATTTTTGATGAAAGATTAGTTTGAAATATTTAAAAATTAAATATAGTTTTGAATTCTATGATAATTGACTAGATGACAACTAAAGGATGAAGATCGAGTATTATTCCACAACAACAATTTTGGTAACTCCACAACATTAAATAATTGAACAATTATTGTGTATACTTATTGAATTTTAACAAAGACTTTTACATTGTTTATTTGGAAGTTTCGTCAACAACACCAATGAATAATTCTTGTAATTGCTCAGGCTCTACTTGTCCTGGTGCTTGCGTCATAATTTCATTACCAGAAGCACTCTTTGGGAATGCAATCACATCTCGCAAAGTCTTGGCTCTCTCCTCTCCACAAATAAGAGCAACCAAACGATCAAAACCAAGTGCCAAACCACCATGTGGAGGAGCTCCATAACTCAAGGCCTCAATAAGGTGTCCAAATCTCACCATTGTTCTCTCCTCACCCAATTCCAAAACCTTTTCTAGAACATATTTTTGCATGTCAGCATTGTGAATACGAATCGAGCCACCACCCAATTCGACGCCATTCAACACGCAGTCATAATGTTGTCCACGAACTTTCAAAATATCCTTCACATTGTCACTATACAAATAACCAATATCATCTGGATGAGGAGCAGTGAAAGGATGATGCATACTCGAGAGTCCTCGTGAGGTGTGTAAATGAGCCTGACCAAATTGATCTTTTGCTTTTTCAAAGAGTGGGAAATCAATGACCCACAAAAATCTATACTTTTCCTCGATGGTGTTAAATTTGTAAATACCTTGTTCAGTCATGTATTTGGCACATTGTTCTCTCACTCTTCCCAATCCCTTGACTGTGGTTTCCCAATCAGGGTCCACAGACAAAATGAGCATGTCTCCTTCAGTGAGTTCAAGCTTGTCTCGAAGATATTGCTGTTGCTTTTCTGTGAGTTTGTTGTTGAGGAAGGTTGGTTCGCTACCAATCTTGGTGGCCAAAATGAGACGTGTTTTTTCAACACTCTTGGCCTTTTCTACAATTTGTTCGATTTGTTTTCTTGTCATGGATCCACCAATTTGTTTTGCCTTGAGAGCATAAACAAATCCATTTGTACTGTCACTGGCAATGGTTTGATTAATAATGTCAATATGACACTTTTCATTTCTGAATACTTCAGTGACGTTACTAAATTTCAAATCTTCATATCTTAGATCAGGTTTGTCACTGCCATAAAGCTATGTGTGTAGAATAGTAAAATCACAAAACGACCAACGATCATAGTGTTATGAATCACCAGATTTTCACATTCACCATATTGTGTTCAATTGTTGTTTAAATCATTAGGCTTTTCACAAAATTCCACATGATTCACACACTACTTACATCCATGGCATCTCTGTATTTCATTTGTTGAAATGGAGTCTTGATGTCAATTCCTAAAATATCCTTCCACAGCATTTTCAAAAAGTTCTCAATTAAAACATAAATATCCTTTTGTGTGAGGAAGGAGAGTTCAAGATCGATTTGAGTAAATTCAGGTTGTCTGTCCATTCTTCCCGACTCGTCACGATAACATCTAGCAATTTGGAAATATCTATCCATACCACCAACCATCAATAATTGTTTGTATTGTTGTGGACTCTGTGTGAGAGCATAGAATTTTCCACGTTGACGTGTTGGAACAAGAAATTCACGAGCTCCTTCAGGGGTAGATTTGAAAAGAGTAGGTGTCTCAATTTCAAGGAATCTATTCATTTCTCCAAAATATTTTCGCGTGATGGCCAAAGCTTTGGAACGAATGGACAAGTTTTCAACCAATTGTCTTCGTCTTAAATCGAGATATCTGTATTTGAGACGAATTTCTTCTTCAGCGTTGACTAGTTGTAGTGGTAAGGTCTTGGCTCTGTTGAGGAGCACCAATTCTGTGGCCTCAATCTCAAAAGCTCCAGTTACCATCTTTTCATTAATCATTTCTTGAGGTCGCTTATTCACTTGTCCATTCACAAAAACCACACTTTCTGGTTTCACTTCATTATCTTTCAAATAGTCAATTACTTTTAGTTTTGTTGTTAGTTAATCAACAATTCAAGTTAATCATGAAGTTGAAAAAGAAAAGGATATTCAATTTGCATCCATAACATACATTCTTTGTTTTTCAGAATAACTTGTACGACACCACTGACATCACGAATGGTCAAGAAAACACACTCATGTTGATTAATCACTCGAATATTCTCCACCCATCCATTGATTTTGACTGACTTTCCGACCAAAGATTCCTGATTAATTTCTCCACAATATTGTGTTCTTTGATGATATTCTCCGAACGATACGTGTGGTGTATGTTCTTGTTGTTGTTGATGAGCTGTCTCTGTTGGAATGGTTGTTGAGAAGGCTCTTCCTCCATTGCTTGTTCCGATGAATGAAGAATTTGAGGAATGATGATGATATAGAACTGGTACAGCTGCCATCTTATTCCTACTACTTCTTCCAAAGACAGCACCGTTTGTTAAAAGTCTTTTGACCGATGAGGAAGATGATGCCAGAAGCATTTGTGATGATTTGTTGAACATTTTTTTTAATTACCAAAATTGTTTCTATCCGTTAGAACATCGGGTCATCATACAGATGAATTAAATCATCATCGGAACGAGACCTTCTATTCTCTTTCATCTCCTTATAATTTTCATCGTTGTTCAATGATCAATAAAATCATCAAGAAAAAATTCTCATCAACATCAACCATCACTACTACGGACAAAGATGAGAGAAACGCAACACTTGATTGTCGAAACGGAGAGTGGTTCTTTCCATATCATTAGCTCACTATCAAGACGGAGGGACACTCAGATCATTACCATTGAAAGATATACAGGTCAATTGTTATATACGGGACAACCAAATGTTGATCTCTTTAGCAATCCGCAAGAGGCTTTGAAATTTCTCGCGAAGGATAAAAAGAATATTAAAAGTGTAACGTAAGTAACTGTTGTTGTTGTTGTTGGAGAGTGCTCATCGTTGTGGTGGAAAATATTTGATGGATTTCAATAATTTATGAATTTATGGGAATGATTGAAATTATGGAACAATGATTTTTAAATGTTTGATGATGATTATATATTATTTGTTAAATAATATTTTAATATCATGGCATGTGAACTCGAAATCACACACAACACCATCAACAACAACCAAACTAATTTTTTAAAACATTGTCATCATCAACGACATTTTCACAATTTTTAACTTGGTTCATTCATCAACAACCATTTGACAATTGTTCAGAAAATGTCACGCCATTATTGGATATACAGTCATCGGAATGTGTGGATATTTATTCATTTGTACCAAAGTGAGCCTCGATTTATTATTGCCACCCTCTCATCAAGTTTTCACAGTTCGAGAAACTGAAACCATTACCATACCATTGCAATATCCTCATAGAATCACTCGTGCCGAAGTGAAAAATTGTGAGCTCATGGCCGAGTTTCAACTCAAGGGACTCCATTTCTATTGCGAAACCTATGATTTGACAAGACCTTTTCCTTCGACTCATTCGCCACAAGATTACACGGAAGAATTTTGTTGGAACACTCACCTCACTGAGAGCTTTAGAAAAATTCGAATGAGAAGTTGGTGTTGTGTCTTGTTGCAAGGAGTTGCAAGATCTTCTGGTCCCATCCAATGTAAAGAAACAGATGAAGCCATTTTGACACGAGGGCAACATTTGTTTCAAGGTCAACAAAATGGTTCCTCGGATGAAGTTAGTGTGACATCTTCACAAAATAATGTGAATGGTGGAGACAATTCTGGAAGTATTAATTTGGCAATTATTTGTCGAAAGAGTTGTCTCAATCCTGGAACTAGATATAATGCAAGAGGATTGAATGATAAATCAAGTCCTGGAAATGAATATGAATCGGAACAAATAATGTGGAGAGTGTACAATGGAACCGTCATGTTTAGCACATTTGTATGGAGGAGAGGAACTGTCCCAATTCATTGGTAGGTTTTGTGTGTTGGAAATGATTGAAATTAATATTTTCCATCTATTTTTCATTTCGAATGTCATGAATAATTTTCGTTATTGAACTATTGTACTATTATTCTAAACTCTGCATTTACTCACACAGGCGAAGCGAAATTAACAATGCAGTACAGGATGCAAATATAGTCATATCGGATCGACCCTACGAAAACATTGATATCTATTACAAACGTATTGTTGAACGATATCACAATCTTCCAATCACCATTATCAATTTACTTCGAGTCAAAGAGGTTCACCCAGAAGAAGGAAATTTAACTTATCATTTCAGAGAATCTCTCAAAGTAGTGAAAAAATTAATGGCCATCGATCAACTTGAAATGATTGAATTCGATTGGCACACGATTCACAAACAAGAAGGTGTTGACAAGGGTGTTAAGAGATTGTGGGAGCTTGTTTCACCAAAATTGAGAGCAGCGGGTGTCACCACAGGTATTATGCGCGTCTCGTCTCACGGAACTGTGGTTGACATGAAGTTGTGGAAGAAACAAAACGGAATTTTGCGAGTGAATTGTGCTGACTCTCTCGATCGTACTAATTTAATTTGTTTCTTCAATTCCATTCAAGTCATTGCAGAACAGTGTCGACAATTAGGAGTTTCTTTATGTGATCCTTCATGCGATTTTTCAGAGAGTTGGAAATCATTGAACTATTCTCTTCAACAAGTTCGTGAGCAATTTGATCCTATTCTCTTGTTGAAACTTGCTGAAATTTATGTCAATGTTGGAGACGTTTGTGCCACTTTGTACACAAACACTGTTGCCATGCACACATCACCCATGCGTGAATTTGCACAACATTTAGGAGCAGCACCAAACAACACCAAACTCATTGTTGAGAGAAGAATTCAAAATGTCCTCAAAGACAAAATTCGGCAACAACAATATGAAATGTTCCTAGGACTGAACTTGGCAAAATATTTTCCTTCTCATATTGTGAATACCAAACATGGCGAAATTCGTTACATTAGTCATTATCCAACCTTTATTTTCAAATCTGTTCCAAAGGAAATTGAATACAACACAACAGAAGAAAGAGCACTCATTCGAAGTGGATTCTCTCATCAATGGATATGTCCAAGAGATTTTGATTTTATCGAAGTTCAAATTTATTTACCTTTTTATTGTAGAGTTACTGAGCTAGCGCTCACCATCAAGCATGGACTCAATGATGCCACTTCTCCATCCAAGATGGACGTTTTTGTTGGTACACACATTGATGACTGTTTAATGGGATTTCAAGAATTGAATATTCCTCGTTGCGAAGATGGAACTAAATTATTGTACACACTACCTCCTCAAATTTCAGGAATTCCTGAAAACTCCTCACTTTATGACTTTGAAGGAAGTGATGCCAGTTCTAAAATGAGAGTGATTAGAATTATTTTCTATGGTATTCCTCCATGTAGTTGCATGACCATTGGACAAATTCAACTTTTCGGAACCATTGACACGCTGTTAAATCCTTCGCAATCACCAAAAGAATTTTATTTGGAACTATTGAAAGCTTCTTCACAGAATGAAGTGGAACAAGTGCTTTCCAACTTGGAGAAACAACAACAAGAAGTATCAAAACGAAAAGCAGAAGAAATTAAAGAGTTGGAAAAGCAAGTAGAAAAGGAGGAAGAGACTGAGCGAAATGAAATAACTTTCAGTGACATGGTTAAAGATGGCACTGCCGTAGAATTTACGCATGACGAGAATTCAGTCTCTGACACTCACTCCACAGTTCACCACAATTTAGATGAAACCACCAATTCTTCTGCAATGAACAGCGCTTCAAATCTAATGGCTCTCGACGACAATACATCAGAAGTTAAAATATTAGGAAACGGTAACGACTTGTCCCGCACATTTGATACCATTTTCGATGATTATTTTGAACAAAAGAATGAACCAAAAAATACTGACAACTTGGAAACATTCCTTCAAACTTCAAAAACTACTGCCACCGATCATGATCTATTACGAGACAAGCTCATTGAAATGATCAATAACCAAGATGAATCATTGAGAGAACTTCGTAATGACAAGACTCGATCTTTGGAAAAGTATTTGAAATTTATTCAAACCAAAGTGCCAACACCAACTTCAGAAATGACCTTTACAGACGCTCTTGAATTGGAATTGGCTCGTTTGAAACTCTATGTCACAGCAAGTGAAAGAGACAACCTTCTCATTCAACACGGATACAAGATTGACAAATTTGATCCCAATCAGTATATTTATTCGAGAGACTCAAAAGTTGAGAAATCGATTCGAAAGAGTTTAGAAAGCTCGACTTGCTCTCTCTGTAAAACAAGTATCAAGCTTCGAAAATCTTCGTGTCGCTATTGCAGACATGCATTCTGCAAAAACTGCATGTCCAAGACCAAAGCAGACATTATTGAATACAATTGGAAGAGTTCCAATGTTTGCATGGAATGTTTCTCCAATATTCAAAAACAAAAAGAAATGATCCATGAAATTCAAGAACACATCAAAATTGAAACTGGAAAATCCAAGCTGGCCACCAAAAATATTTCTCGGCTTTTCACAGAATTGTATCCTCCCATTTCACAATCTCGAAAAATGATGAACAAACACGCCAAAGAAACTCTATGCTCAGAATTTCCTGGAAGTGGAATTTTGAGTACGGTTGAGACTGCTCCAAAATCTCCACCCATTGAATCCATCTTATTTCCACCTGACATTCTTCCATTGGAGTATTGGTATGCACCTCCCAGTACTGATTCTGTTACTATCATTATCGTATTGCAATCATATGCCAAACTCTCACGAATGGTCTTACTAGTCGATCAATTAGGATATTCCAACGAAGACGCTCCTATTTTTGATATTGCCATTGCTGAGCGATTGCCAAGCTTTAAGAGTATTACTTCATGGAAGTTGAGTGCCAGTAAGCCGAATGCCATGTTAGAATTTAATTTTCCTGAGAATACGATGTCATTGCTGTCACAACAGGAGCAGAAACATGAACCCATGTGTCGTTTGGTGAGATTGACTGTGAAGTTACCATCCCGAGAGGAGTTACAACAAGAAGAATCACAAGCGCTCCTGTCGTTGGCAACTGAATCTACTACATCGCAAGATGGAGTACTACCAGAGAATGCACTAGCAGTAACTAATATACAACACGAGAATAGTACAACTAGTACTCTGAGAAATTCCATTACAATGCAAAAAACAAGATTCCTTCATCTTGGAAGAATTCTTTTGTACGGAAAAGTCATCAATGACGAAACAAATTTACACAAATCTGAAATTCCACTTCTCAATTCTCAACAACAAGCCACCATGGATGAAATTCTTCGTTCAAAACCCACCATTCAACGAATTCAATTGAAAGCTGAATCCAAATACATGAAAGAAAACAATTGTTTGGATTTAATTTTATCTCCCGAAGCAGGTTATGTTGTGTCTGGATTTAGAATTAATTTAACACACACACCAGAGAGTATTCATTCGCAAGTGAAACATATTCGAGTGAGTTTTTTATTTGGAGAGGATGACAAGGCAACAGAAGGAGCCACCTCCCAACTTGTTGTGGAGAAAATTACTGTACCAAAAGTAGACGCTGGAACATCATTAATTTATGAATTTAACAAGACGTATAATATGAATGTGAAATTGGTGAGATTTGAATTTTTATCGAGTAAGTATGAGTGTTGTTGTTTTTGTGGCACGAACGAATCATAATATTTTGTGTTCATTCATGTGTTTTGAATTATTATTTTTTTGGATTAGCTTATGGATGTCATGTGAATGATATTTCTGTACCTCAAATTTTCCTTTTCGCAAATTCTGTTTGAAATTTGTTTTTCAGTAACAATAAACATTTTTAGTAATGTCACTCAGAGACCACGTTGTGAGGCCGATGCTTACGTATGTAACGTTGGAACAAAGAAACAAAAATTATCGTTTTTTACAATACAGGTTCAATTCAAATTTTCTTTAAAAAAAATTCACGAAAATGGTAAGGCTTTTTTCATTTGAACCAGAAGATTACGAACGTCTTGTTGATAATGAATGATCGGATTGAATGGTTCACGGAATGTATGAATACAAATTATTATGATTCGTGCATGATGATGATTGGATGGTCGTTGGTGTTATTATTAAATGATTTTTATTTGGATCTTCTTTTTTGTGGATATGATGATATTTGAATTTTGATCATCAATATACACAACATCATGTCGGATTGGATTGTTATTATATATTAATGATTATTATGACCAATACCTATGGATGAAATATTTAATATGAATTTTGCAATGACATTGATCTTTACCACAACAACGTTATCTTCATCAACCATCCGTTTCATGGGCATCTATACTCCGACCATCATCATCATAAATATTTCTCTTCAAATTCTCATCATCTACACACCATAGTCCATGCCAAAAACCTCTAAATTATATCAATTTCTCAATTACCGAATGAGAATAACACTTCAAGATGGAAGACAAATCGTCGGTAAATTCATGGCCTTTGACAAATTCATGAATATGGTTCTGGCTGATTGTGAAGAATTCCGAAAAATCATTCCAAAGAATAACAATGGAGAAGAAGTTGAACAGAAAAGAACACTAGGATTTCTCTTAATTCGTGGAGAGAATATCATTTCAATTATTGTAGAAGGCCCACCACCAGCAGAAGATTCTCGAGTGAAATCCATATTAACCAAACAAGCTCAACAACAATCGGCAACCACCACTCCTAGAGGTGTCTCTGGTGCTGCTACAGGTGGTGTTGCCATGGCAGCTGCTCGTGGAATGGCTCTAGGTCGTGGAGGTGTTGCAGTTCCTCAACAGCAACCCATGGTGGCAGTGGGATTAATGACAGGTCCAACTGTTTCCATGACGCCAACAGTGGGCATGACACCCATGCAACCACAAGGTGGAATTGCACAAATGTCTGCAGGTAGAGGAATGGCAGGCGGTAGAGGCAGAGGATCCACACAAAAGTAACAGAGTGAGTTATTGAAATTGGAATGATGATCATGCAACGCGAATGACCTAATGTTATTATATAATAATTGCTGTTAAGTTTGTTATAAACCATATATATATATTGAAAATGTCAACGAAATAACGCTGTCATCATGACTCGGAGAGATATTCCCTTATGTGTCAAAGTCTCTCTAATTATTTCCTTTTACATTCTCCACCATTTCTTTCCAAGAGATTAATCTCTTCAGTTCGTGTGGATGATGGCATGGAGATTGCAACCAAGGTTGACGACAAGAATTGACGTTATGAGAGAGATTTGACAGTTGTTTCTTACGATTTTGAATACAGCTTCGTGTGGTTGATGGTATAGAGACAAGAGACATAGAAACAGAGCTCACTCTCCTAGAGATGACACAACCATCATTTAAAAAAGATTGAAAACAATCATCCTCCTCATCATCCGTTGCGCAATTGATTACAGCAGCTAGATCTTTACCAACCGCTTCAAACTTGTAACTTTGAAATATCAAATCCATCACTTCATGGCCAAAATACAACCTCTAGGTGCTCAAAAAGATGTGGCCGACGAGCCTGCATCGTTGAACAAACATCACAATGAAGAAGATGACTTGCTACTCGATGAAGACGATGACAAGGAAAGTCTTTCTTCCAACCAAAAGAACAAAGTCTCCTCATTCCATCTCTCCATTCGTTTCTGTCTCATCTTTCTCGTTTGTTCCTTAATCATGTGCAGCATTGTCGTGTTGAGTGCAACATGGCTGTCAAGTTTTAGTCCTACCATTACTGAACTCAGTTCCAGAGTGAGAGATTATGAATTTTTATCAGTCGTGGATTATGCCAATCAAACATTGAGAGAAATTGCTATTTCGAGTGAGATGATTGCTGGACAATTAGGATTTTCTTATAATTTTCGTGATTATAGTTATACAGAAACAGTGGTGTATCGTGCCTTTGTGTCAGAGAAGAAACATCATGACGGTGTAGTGACCACTACGTACACGTGTAATGCCTTTCAGGAATGTATTGGAGTGATTGATTATGGAGGCGTTCCACTCTTCATTAACACGAGTTTGGAGTACAATACGCAGTATTTGTATACGTGTCATGGTTTAACGACGGATTATTGTAACAGAAGTTCAATACCAGATGATGTTACGCCTCCATTTGATTTTACCTACTTGACAAGTGTGTGTAATGCAAATCCTGGCCGACAGGTCTATTCCTTGTCATATGCAGATCCAACGGTACCTGATATGGTATTTGTGACCTTGTTGAATTGTCGACCTAAAATGAAAGAGAATGGAAAATCAAATCAATTTGATTATTTTTATGCGTTGGATTTGACGACTGACACCATTTCAGCATTCCTTAAACAAGCATCGAAAAAGATTAAGGCATCTGTTGGATTTATTGTCGAGGTGGAAACTGAACAATTAATTGCAGGTGAGTTTCTATCTTTTGTATTGTTTTTCTTGCTAAGAAGTAATTGTCACTTGTCAAAACAGTGGATGGTGATGTTAAAATCTCCAAATGGGACGACAAAGGAACGACACTACTGAGATCCACTCCTCTCACAGTCGAAGATCCCAAAATTCAACGAGATGCCAAACTCATTCTCGAAAAGTACTCGAACTGGAAGTCTATCGAAAAGAATACCTTAATCGCATTAACTAGTGCTGAAAATTACATTCTCGTCTATCATCTCGTGACAGATTCTCAAATCGATTGGATTCTCGTCTTATCTGTCCCCATATGGAACTATGCTGGTTCTACAGCCATTGCAATCATTGCTTCAGTGATCGGCTCCTTACTCGTTGTTTCAGTAGGAATGGTGGTTGGAGTGTTAGTGTCTCTCCGCATTGTCAAACCGTTCTACAATTTAATTTTACTATTTAGACAAATTTCACAAATGAATTTGGAAAATATTGTCCTTACAAACAGCTCCTTCTCAGAAGTTAAGGAATTACAACAACAATTTATGGACATGGTGAAAAAGATCAAAATGTATCGAGCATTCATTCCATCTCATTTATTGTTAGAATTGGATACTGGAGAAGGTGGAGAACATGAAGATGTGAAAACTGAGGGTCCTCGTGGCATGCAACAAGAACATGCTTCTTCTGTCGGAGATTCTTTGAAACATATTAATCATGCAAGTCATGGACGTCGATCGAGCGTTGCCTCTTCCTCAGCTCCTGGTATTGGAGGTGGTTATTCGAGTTCTAGAGGCTCTTCCTCATCTCGGCAGAGTTCAGATCGACAATTAGTGGAACGAACTCAAACTTTTAGAAAGAGAGCGGCTAATTTTGGAAACAAGTTTTCACTACATTTGGAAATGAAGAGAATTTCGTTGATGAATGTGCATATCGATGGTTTGAATGAGTTTGTGTCGTTTTTCCCACCGGAACTTGTCGTTCAAATGTTGAGTGATATCTTTGAACAAGTTCAAACCATTTCGAGACAATTCACTTGTCAAATGTTATCCTTTGAAGGTGGTTCTATTACTTTGGCGTTTAATGCTTCCAGTCATCAAGCAAATCATGAGTTGAAAGCCAATAAGGCAGCCTTACAATTTTCAGCCAAAACTAAAACGATTAAGGAACAGAAATGGCGTCGCTTGCCAATATATTCTAGAAATCCAACACTCATTGACAGCATGTCACTAATTTTTGCAATTTGTGGACAACAAAGTTTGGCAGGAAATGTTGGAACCAAAGATTCGAAGAATTTCAGTGTGTTGAGTAGTGCCAGATACAATTTAGAACAGCTCACAAAATTAGCTCGATTTATGCAAATTCCAATTGTCGTGACGGATGGCATTCAAAAATCGACAGAAGGTTCCTTTATTACAAGATTTATTGATACTTTGGAATTGACACCAGAACAACCACCTTTGACGTCAAATGTCAATTCAAGTCTCATCACTTCACCACAACTTGTTGACCATCCAAGTTATTATCCATGTGACGTTCATGAATTATTACATGATGCAAGTAATGAAGTTGCTGACGAGTGGATGTATGAATTAGAGGCAAAGAAGGGTCAAGCTCAATATTTGAATTACAACGAAGGTGTGAAATTACTGAAAGAAGGAGAACATGCAAAAGCATTGGAAATATTTGAAAACTTCCTCGTACATCATCCACAAGACAAACCAACATTGGTTCTTATTGAAAAGTGTCAAAAGATTTTAGATCATCTATGACATGTTGACAGCTCCAAAAAGTGAATGGTTGAACTGGAAAGTTTATCAAAAAAAAATTAAAACTCCATTTCCACACACATGACCGAACAAGATCCATCATCAACCTCTTCACTCAACAATCCCTCGATCCGATCAGCTCTCAAATCTCGATGGAAACAAGCTCACGACTTGGGTTTGAAAATGACTTCACAAGAAACACTCTCGGATGGAACATTCAAATTCTATCACACTCGAAATAATATTAATGTGTTTTATAAACCAACGGAAGAGACTTCTATTGTGAGAGGAGAAGTCATTTGTCAAGATGTGAAAGCGGATGAATTTTTGAAAACATTCTTGACAAATGATATGAAGGTGAAAGTGCAGTTGGATCCTCATGTGTTGAGAAGTGAGATTGTGGAGAAGTGGCAAGATGAAGAGGGAAGTTGGAATGTGGCTTATTTTGCTCGATCGACTGCACGTAAGTAAGAGTGTGAATTTGGTTTGAATGATATTTTGGCATTTGACATTTTTTAATGAATCTTCTTGAAACACAACAGCTATGATTGCACCAAGAGATTTCATCAGCATTTTCAACATTGTTAAAATTCCCCAAGATCAAGAAACCATCTATACTTCCGCGGGCATTCCTCAAGATTTCTCCTCGTATCAATTACCCTCTCATTTCAAACCATTAGAAGGAGCCGTCCGCGGATTTAATGTTTTCACGACCTTACGTCTTAAAGAATTATCCAATGGAGATTTGAAAATGAGTTATGCCAATCAAGCATTGCCCAATGGATGGATTCCCTTCAGTATTGTCAATGCAGTGATTTTTTCAGTGCCTCAAGCGTTGGGAGAAACTGCAAAATATTTGAGAAAAAAATTGAGACATTTGAATGAGGGCAGTCATGCAAGCGAGAAGTAATTTGTTGTTATTTCTGGAATGATGAAAGGATGGAAATATTGAAAGCTATTTGAATGAAAAATATAATTTTATTGTTATTTTAAGTGTCGAGTTATAGTAACAAGTGGAACAAGATGATGAAAAGGATTGACCACTCTAGCAAGCCTATTTTGGCATTGGAGGGTGCATGATTGGTTTTTGTAGAACCTTGTCTGTTGTTATTATTGGAACTTGCTCTTGGTTTTGGTGAAGGACTAATATTTGGTTTTGGAGATGGACCCGTACTGTCAGTTGTCACAACAATCAGTTCAGCACTCAATGCTTCCATGCTAAAAGATGCTTGTCCATTCACATTCGCAGTAATATTTCTTGCATTCACAATTTGACTTTGACTTTGTGAAAACGTGTACATGATCAATGTTCGTGTTGATGTAAAATTCATTCCTTTCAAATTCAAATTAATCGTTTGACTCGATGTCATCTTATTCACGACAATTAAATACAAATTTCGAGTCGAATTTTCATGAAAAGCATACGAAGTAACCATTTCCAAAGTGGCGTCTGACAAGGCACGAACAGATTCTCCTCCAACTTTTGATCCCTTTCCATCAAAATTCAAATAAAATTTAAAAGCTCTCTCTGTCACACTTCCAACATTTGGAACTGTCCATCTCGTTGCCAAATCCACTCCTTCTCTTCCAAAAATACTTAAAATTTCAAGTTGAGCCAAAGCCGAGCTCCATAATCCATCGGCTCCAAAATTATATTCAGTAATTGCCAATTTCACCCAAGGACAATATTGTGAAATGTAATTTTTCATTCGAGGAATGAGTGCAACTTTTTGATCGTCTACAGTTGGAGCCGCTTGTGAAATCCATGATTCATCTTGATATGAAAAATCATACAAGGATCGAACCGTACGCAATCGAAGTGCAGAAAATATATCTGAGGTTTGTTGTGGATTGTAAACTCCATCGGCTTGTGGATAGTAATGAATGTCCAAATAATCCACAAGTCGTTTCGAGTGCAATTTTTCATAGTCACACAATTGTTTCAAATAAAAGGCAACGAGTGGTAAATTCGAATGTGCTTGTCGATCGGCACCGTTCGAACATCCATCGAGAGGTGAAAAATAATACGAACACCAACCCCAAGCAGAATATCCAAAAATTTTCACACTCGAATCTTGTTGCTTAATGGCCGACGCATAAATTCGAGTCAAATTCCAAATTTCATCGTAGGACACTTTTTGAGGATGAACATCTCGATGAGTGGAATGCCATAAATCCATTTCATTGTCGAGTGACCACAATTTCACTGGAGTTCCTCGTTGTTGTAAAAAATTCATCCATTTGGTGGTATAACTTTCATTAATCACTTTTGAAGTATCGAAAGGATTATTTCCAGTAATAAATGTAGAACCATCTGTTTTCACACCATTTCCAGCATCGGGTTGACACCAAGAAGAGTCACCTTGTGTGCATTCTGTCTCTTGTTGAGCTCCATATTTAGAAACTGAAAACGACCATAATTTTTGACGTGTGTCTTTGGGAGTGAAACCAATCATGCTGGATGTGAGCATAATTTTGGATTTGTAAGTGTTACTTTCATCAATGAAACGAGTGGCGGCAGTTCCTTCTGGAAGTGCATTGACATTGGACACGTCGTCAACAATATTCATGTAGTACCAATCTCTTGCAGTGTTGTGAATTCCCTTTTCCCAATTGTAACGAGTTTCAGAATTACCTCCTTTACGGTTGACTGTGTAAGCAACACTGGAGAGATGAGAGGCACTTGCATGGTTGACTCCGAAAATATCGGGATTGATCACACGACCACTTCGTTGAGTGAGATCGACTTGAATGTTGACCGAGTGGATGTAATTGGTTAGAAACAAGATGATCATCATGGTTGGAATGAAGATCTTTGAAGAGGTGAAAGTCGTCATCCTTGTCGTCGGTTGTGAGAGCTTTGATGAGACAAGAAGGTGGTTGTGTTATTTTTTTTTGAATGTTTCGCTCACATCAGTCAAAAGTCACCGGATCAAATTGCGCCTTTCGTTTCAATTAGTCTGGTCCTTTCATTTCAAGGAAACCCAGTTGCTGTTTCAGATTAAAAGTAAAGAGTCCTTACAAAAAAAGATGGTGTTCAATTTAGTTTAAGGTGTTCAATGAAATCGCCATTTCTTTACAGTTTCGAAGTTTGCTGTAAAAATTGGAACACCTTAATGTCCTTGAACATATAAGTTCAGGCAAGAAGATCTTATAGAGTTGGTCTCGAGATGATTGCTTTGATTTGTTGTTGCCTTAAAACTAAATTGAACCCTTGTCGTGAACTGTCACTTTTCATGAAAGCGATTCAGGTTCACCTACTGTTTTGGTGTCAGGTGTCACCATTCCCTTTTGAAATTGTCCTAAAAAACAACCGTAAACAACAACCTCTGTTGCTCTTCTCAATCTATTCATCAACAAGGATGAAAATTTAGATCTAAATTTTCTATATCTAAATTTTCATCCTTGTTGAAGAAGATGTCTTCGATGGATGGTAAAAGTCAATCGACTCGATTTAATTCAAAAACTCCAAGAAAAACATCTCAACATGTTGCTTTGAACACTCCTCGAAATACAATTCATGAACCTACTACTACAATGAATGAACCACTTGTTTCAAATCCAGTCGTGATGATTACAACGACACATCCCTCGACTATAAATTCTCAATCGACTCGAATTGGTAACAATTATGTGAGTAAGATTGCATTGGTGGATGAGGAAGGAAAGATTGTTGCCAATCTTGAAAATGATACTCTGGGAGTTGTCACAATTAGTAATAGTTGTGGCCATGGACAAAATATTCGAAGAAAAAGTAAATCTCAATCGACTCGAATGAATCATTCGATGGCTATGCAAGCAATGGCTGTGTTGTTGACAAGTACTGAAACAATTCCAACTTGTCAACAACGTGTCATGAAAAATACTAACCAACGACTCTCTGTGAATATGAGTAACAGTGTCAGCAGTGTGAAAGACAAGAGTGAACAAGATGGACCAGTTTCACAATTCAAACAGAAAATTCGTAGGAAGAGTATTGCATTTACCAAAAAGATGAGATTTTTTGATTCAGCGGATTCCATGGAAGGAGATGCGTTTGTGGAATATGCTTAATCATCATCATCATGAACTCGTTGTTTTGATAACTTTTCTAAAAAACAACAACAACCATTTGCAAAAATTTCATTATCCATTCAAGTAACAACCAATTGTTTGTTCAGGGTAATGTATCTTCATTGTTAAATATTCACAAATAATACAATTACATGACTCGTTCGAGGTTTACCAAATTTTCTGAAAAATTGTAATTCTTATAACATACTCCTTCTTGAAGAGGTTTCATTTCGTTGTACATGCTGTTCTATAGACTCCAATACCATATGTTTAATGTCATCAGACCATACCAATGGAGTACTTGTACAATCTCGAGGATCTAAAAACAAATTCCATCCATGTGTCAATTCTTTACTCCCGCCCATGATAAAATTCCACACTGGTTCTGTTTGGGGAGGTGACGACTTGAAGTTCTTTTGACGTTCGAAATGACATTGGTTTTCTTGAGTTTGTCTGAGATAGTATAAACATGTTTCATTGTCTTGAAATGTGTATGCAAAAGATCCCATACAGAGTGACGGATTTTGTAAATGACGTTCACAAATGAGTTTTCTAACGAATGTACTTCCTGTAGAGTACACGATGGTACATTCTGTTGATGGGAGTGAATGGTCTGTCAATACTAAATTTGGTAAAATTTCATGTTGCAGAGCTGTTTCAATAACATCGAATTGCTGAACTGAAATATCTCGTATTTGGTTGTTGATTTGATTTTGTGTTGGTAACGGACTCATGTTAATGATTAAGAAAGCATTCAGAGTCTTTTTTTGATCACCTTGAAAGTATTCTGCTTTTTTGTAATTCCAAACTGTAAATGTCAAATTGTGTTCTTGATTGTAAAAGCATCCAATGAAATTTGGATGAAAGAAAAGTTTTGTTAAATGAGTTCTATCCAGAGAGAATCCGTCTGAATAGATTCGAGTCATGAGATGGACATAGTCGTCGAGGGATTGCATTTTTGTTGTGTTGGATTTTGAGAGATGATTGTCAGATGTCAATGGCACATTGACGCCAACCACATGCAATCGTAAAGGAGAAGGAATCATTCCACTCTTTCCAAGAAATCCCAAACTTCTTGCATTATCCTCAAAAACATGTCCATACAAATATCTTAAAGTGTCAATGAATGAAAAAAAGTCAATTGTCAACAAATATTAAGCATTCAAACTCACCTCACTCCCAACGCTTTGATCATTTGAATTTGTAAATACCACAACACCATGGTTGGTTCTTTTCTATACTTGTTAGAAACCCATCCGGACCCAGAAATGGCCATTTTCATTTTCTGATTATTGACAATCATATCCTTGACACCAAATGCCAAAGTTCCAACGACATCAAAGGATGGTTTTCCAGAGCGAATTGTTTCTTCCTCATTCAGAGCCTTCATATACAGACAATAATAGTCGTGAGAAGCACTTGAGTCATGACCATGAATTGGATGACAAGTGGCATTTGAAGAATCAAATTGATACCATCGTTCATAAAAGTGATCATGAGCTCGAACCATGGTGACCAATCGATGATTGTTTAGAAAATAAAAGATTTCATTAAATCCCTCTTTTGCTTTGTCAATGCATTTCATCTCTTGATCCATCCATTGTTTCGATTCCGATTTGGATTGTTTGTTATTTGATTTCGAAATAAAATCATCCGATGATTGTCCGTAAAATCGTTTTAAATGTTGATTTTCAGGATGTAGAATAAAAACCACATATTTGAGTTTGTTTTTTAAAGGTGCAGAAAGATCGAATTGTTCATGCGGAAGTACATCCCATTGTGCGTTGAAACCGATCACATCGTGTTGGATGAGTTGTTTGGCATGTGACAGAGTGAGTTTTTGTGCTACTTGCATTGAACGTATCCGAGTAAACAAGCATGGGAGGGATTGTTATTTTTTTAATGATGTGTTGTTGGTTGGAATGATGATGAGATAATACTAATCATTATGAATATCTTGAATGATATTGACAGGCAGCGGCAGTCGATACAATACAACGATTGCTTGCACTGTCAAATTGTCAGCTGTGTGCTAGGATGGGCGATTTCTTCCACCCCTTACGGTCATGTATTGTAAAAATTTTCCTCTTAAAATTGAGCAATACTTGTCAAGACTTTACTTTTTTAAGAAATTAAGCAATCAAAATGAGTATTTGCTTGAAACTTGTGGGCATCACTTTCATAAATAATTATTGAAAAAATTATTAGAGGGATACACTGATAAACGGAATGGAGAAACATTGTGGGCAGTTACGGATTTGTTGGTTCCAGTTCGACTAGAACGACGTTACTTTGTAAATAACAGTCACTATGAGACAAATCATTGAAAAGTAGATGACGTCTAATTAGGAACATATCCGCGTAATCATATTCATTAAATTCATTCCAACACATTCGTTTTGCAAATAAAAATTCATTGAGGGCCACATGGATGACACTTGTCAGAACTTGTTTTCACTTACTCATCAAAAAAGCTTCCCAAGGCTCCATCACAAAATTAGCACTCATAATTTGATAGTACATGTACTTTCTCTTAATATATTGGAAGAGGGACATTTTTTTGTGACTTGCTGTTGCGGAGGTTGAAGGTTGTGAAATCGCACAAAAGTTGTAGCGCTTAGCCAAGTGGACAAACGCACTAAAACGGATTGACTGTGGATGGTGTGATGTTAATAAGTGAATAGTTGAGGAACATCTTTGGACTAAACAGTTTGGAAAGTATTTTGAGACCTTGGATGACTTTGCAAGTCCATTGAAATTGAGAATGATACTTACAAAGAAACCGTTGTTAAGGGAAAAACATCATCATGGTACAATTTGAATCGAATTTAGAGCTGGGAATGTACACCAATCGCTGCTGAATAACAAGCCCACACAGCTAACGGTCTCATATACCCCAATGCTCGATATTCACCATTTTCAGTTATGGCTTCAGGTGTTTGGAACCAAAAACCAAATTTTAAAGACCAAGCCCCCTTAGAAAATATTGATTCTACTAAATCAAAACCGTCCTTCTCGTGGCCTAAAAGTAAGGCAAGAGCTGCAACGACATAGGATGTACCTGTCCAGACTTCTCTCGATTGTAAACTTGTAGAATCTACTTGTTTAGTGTGTGGTCGTATACCATTGATGACTCCTCCAATACCAGTTACTTTCTGGAAATGCTTGATATTGTGTTGTAAAACAGTATCAAAGGATTTTCTAACTCGCTCCATGTTGAATGGAAAAATTGCGTACGGAGATTCAATTTCTCCCTGTTGATACAATTGGTGACCAATTAATAATAGCATGAAAGGTCCATGTAAATGATCTGCCATAATTGAATCATGTTGTGGATGTGAGCTTGTGTCATAGTGATAATAAGAATTTGTGTCATCCCAAAGTTTTGATTCATACGATTGAAGGGCAGAGGGAATTAATTGTTTCAATCGGTCACTGGTCTCAGTGTCCTTCAAAAGAAGGGCCATTTGATTGGCACACTGCAAGGCAGCAATCCATAATCCACCAGAATAAGCAGAGACACCTGTTACTATCCATGCATCGTAGGTAGTGTCTGGAAAATCTTCATTTTCAATAAGACCATCCTTATCTTTATCGAAATTTTCTAAATGATAGTTCATTGCAAGCAAGACTGAAGGATAAACTTGTTTGAGAAATTCTTCATCTTTGGTATAGACATAATCTCTATAAATGGAAATAATAAATTGAGAATTGAGATCTTTCCATTTGTTGGTATCTTGCATTGGATATGAGTTGACCATTTTCCAAGGCCTTTCACATGGAGTTCCAACATCATGTGGAACGCATCTTAATACTTTTCGTTTGTTTTTCATGTTCGATAAAAAAAAGGTAGTCTCTTGAGGCAGCTCTTGTTTGACGTAAAGAGCATTATCTCGTTGAATAGAGAGTTGAATAGCTGGCCAATTAACAATCATAGCATGAGAAGCATAAAAATGAACGTCATAGGTGTTATGCATGAGATATTCGTGACCTTCCAAATAGGAAAAGTAATCATTGATGGATTGGCTATTCGAGGAGGAATTGGATGAGGAGCTTTTTTCTTGCGGGCTGGATTCTTGTTGATTCATTTTGCATACCAGTTCATGTGCAGTTTGTGAAAAATCCAGTTGATCATTTCGCAATTCTTCACCAAATGTCCACACAGTACCTCCATCAATCACATAATACAATTCATTAAAGAGAGCGGAAATGGTCATGGCAGTAGCATTTGGCATGGAAGAAATGACACCCGTGTACCAGCGATCAATCTCATTGCTCCACGATGAGGATGACTGTAAACTCAATTTACACATGTTCCAGCAAATATCTGAGCTATTCAATGGTTTGTCTTGAAAGTATTTCATGTAATGTCTAAGGTAGATGTATTCGAGAGAGGGACCAAACCGAACAATTGGAGAATGCCAATTCATGTTAAATGTAACTTGTCGTTGACTTTTTGGAGGCAAGTGAATTTTCACACAGACTGCACTAGATGAAATGACTTGTTGTGTTGCAGTATGACTGCTTCCAGTGGTGGTGAAACGTTTTGAAAAGTTCTCATCATCGAATGAGCCAAAATTTTCGAATTGTTTCCACATGTCATTCAATTGGGTCGAATCCATGGCATTGAAGTATTCAACACACGAGATGGAAGATGTTTCTGAGATTCCATAACTGGCACAAGTAGCACCAATGCAAAATTGAAGTGGATCTTGGTGCGAGAATGAGTCTTTGATACTCGTCTCCATGACGACACCTTTACAGTGTTGTCCATTTTGTAACGTTCCAGTCATTGTGGAATGCTTATTATGGATTCGTTGTTGTGGCTGGTTCTTGGTGATGTCAGCATCACTCTGAAATGTAAACATTAATGAAATATTGAGATCTTCATCGCCTTCATTGAAAATAGTCCAATTGAATAATGCAGTTGGATAACTACTTTCCTTGTAGTTGTGTGCAATCACGGGAGAATATTTTTCACATACCAACGTTAATTGTTGATATCCTCCCACCGATTTGTACACTGTCCAAGACTTGGGAAAGAGTGACATGAATTCTTGCTCAAATTTTAAGCCCTTTCGCGTATTGATCCACTTCCAATTACTTTTTAAATTTCGTAATAAATTCTTGTTCATAGCTCCATCTTTAAAATCGACTATTGGATTCAAAACAAAAGAAGTGGCCTTGTTGACATCATTTACATTTTCCACACGAATGCTAAATTGATTTACAGGTAATATAGTATCATTATACACTCCACCAGTTTGATTAAAGATCAAGTGATGTCTTGTGAACCACCCATTCAAACTCATTGTGAACGATCCTGATCCAATTCCACCCAATGGAGGTCCCTTTCTTCTCGGGTCAGTAACACCCTTCCTCATAAAAAAATCGAATGGAGTCTCTCGTTTATGATAAAGCCTCTCGGAAATGTAAGATTGTGTTAAAAATCTGAATACTCCAGGAATAAAATGGACAACTTCTTTCAGGGAATAGGTTTGAGCCCGTAAAGGAATTTTGCATTCAATCATCGATGAGTGATTAGAATGATCGTTGAAGGGAGTATCATCATTGGAATCAACATTCGGAATGTAAAATTTAAATTTCCAACAAAATGATGGTGGTATTGATGGAATTTTTTGATCAGTAGCATTCATCCTCAGAGAGTGATCCATCAAGTCTTTCATTATCATGTCTTCCTCGGATGTCTGATGCATTTTTCGGCACAAATTTCTTTTAAAATTAATTTTAAAAAATGATGATTTAATTATTTCTTCAACATCAACAAATGGCCTACAAACTAACAAACGATTGAAATTCAGAGCTTTTGGCTTGAACTTCTCAAAAGAAGTTAGAGCGTACGCTTAGTGGGGACCGTAGCGGGCTTGTGTCGGGAAAGCGACCTATGAAGGAGCTACCCATGATGATGGCATCCTTTTATTCCCATAAGAACAAAAAACGAGCGTTCAATCAACAAGGCCATTTCCTCTTCATTCCAAACTCTCACCATCAATGACTCTCACCAATCTTTTAGTTCAATTGTGGACTTCCTACAATGCCAAGAAGGCCATCTTCTCATCGGGAACACCATTATTATTCCAACCCATCACGTTCCGAGGTCTCACTCTCAAAAATCGTATCGTCGTTTCTCCCATGTGCCAATACTCTTCTAAGGATGGATTTGCCAATTTTTGGCATGTTCAACATATTGGCAGTAGAGTCGTGGGTGGTGCTGCCTTGTTCATTGTAGAGGCTTGTGCCGTATCAGAAATTGGTAGGATCACTCCGCACTGCTTGGGTTTATGGAAAGATGAACACATTGGAATGTTGAAACAAATAGTAGATTTTGCGCATGAACAGGGTGGTAAGATTGGTATTCAATTGGCTCACTCTGGACGAAAAGGATCCACTCGTGCGTTGTGGGAAGCGTTTGGACGAACAGCTCTGTCCAATGAAGAAGGAGGATGGGAAGTGGTCGGTCCTTCTCCAATTGCGTTTGATGAACAACATCGAATGCCACGAGAACTGTCAGAGCACGACATTGAGCAAGTAATTGAGGAGTTTGTGCAGGCTGCAAAGAGAGCAGTTGCAGCTGGTTTTGATGTCATTGAAATTCATGGAGGTATGGTTCTCACTTTTCACAAACATGTTATAACATTCTTCATGGGTTTTATATTGATGAATATTAATTTATGGTTGAAAAATATGTTCATGGACTGAAAATATGGCTGAATACATGGTGGAATCATTGATTGAAATGGTTGATTATTATTTATCCAATACACACAGCTCATGGCTACTTGATCAATTCATTTCTCTCTCCGACCTCAAACAAGAGAACTGATCAGTACGGAGGATCATTTGAAAATCGAATTCGACTCCTTTGTGATATTGTCACAAGAGTACGACAAGTCATTCCACAAGAAATGCCTCTCTTTGTTCGTATTTCATGCGAAGAATACACAAGTGAAGGGTGGAATATTGAGGATACCCTTAAACTCGCACCCATTCTTAAAGATTTGGGAGTTGACTTGATGGATTGCTCTTCTGGAGGAAATGCTTCAAAATTAATGTCACTTGCTATCATGGTCTTTCCAGGTTACCAAGTACAATATGCAGAGAAGGTCAGACAAGTAATGCCTGTAGGAGCTGTTGGTAAAATCACAGAGCCCAAATTTGCTAACAAAATCTTGGAAGATGGTAAGGCCGATTTGATATTCATTGGAAGACAAGAATTGAATGATCCTTATTGGCCTATTCGAGCTGCCAAAGAGTTGGGCTATTCTGACATGCCTATTCCACCTCAATATAAATTTGCTGGTTTTTAAACATTCAATGGTATCGGCCCTTGCAAGACGTACTCATTATTTTTGCATGTGCCAGTTATTTAGAAGATCAAGAGCAGGAACAATTGATATTACAAAGAGAAATGGGGATATTTGCCTTGTGTGGCAGATCGTTTAATGGACGCAGACGTCATCTTACAACGTGTGAAAGAAAATCCCACCACCTCCGACTTTCTGATGATTACTTGAAAACAAGGACTCGAAAATTCTTGTAATCACAAACATATAATTCACCATTTCTCTCATCCAAACAAATTCCATTTGGATTTTTAAAATGTTTTTGGGGACTTTGTCCCTTACTGCCATGTTGCGTTATAAAACTACCATCATTCTTATTATAAACAACAATTCGATGTCTTTCATAATCGCTCACAACAATTCTCATGGACACTGAATCGTACGCTAATGAAAATGGGTGATACAATTTTTGTTGTGTTCCAAATTCAATTACAAAATCCCAAATTCCCTTTGACCGTTCTTTGTAAATTTTGACACGGTTTGATGGATCTACTTCAGTCAAGATAAGTTCATTGCTGTCTCGTGTCACAAGCATGAAATAAGGGCTCTTCACTTCTTTTCCCTTAAATTCAAGATTTTTCACAAAATTTCCTGTTTTAGCATTGAACATTTTCACGCTATTGGCATTATAGTCACTCACAAGTAAACAATTACGCATCTTCTCTGAACGACGAGATAACTTGCTCTTCTGCTTTTTTCGAGAGTCTGACATTGAACTCTTGTTGTCATTCAAATTTTCAATTTCACATTCCTCCTTATTATATTGGATGCACATACAAGATCCTAATTCGCTGACAGTAGAGAAATATTTCCATAGATATTCACAGCTCTTGTTACATAACAATTGTTGTAAATCGTACTTGTAAATGACATGTTCATCTTTCGTGACACATTCAAAAATCAATGCGTCTTGATTTCTTTTTCCATCATAATTTTCTTCCAAACATAAATAATAAGGTTTTCCCGTAGTTTGAATTGAAAGCTTCCATTCTCGTGTAGTCAAGTCAAACACGTGAATTCTCTTGACATATGCATCACTCACCATAATACAATGATGATTATTTGAAATTTTGATGTCAAATGGATGCGTAAACATGCTCTCCAAGAGTTGATGCCAACCTACTACTTGGCCGAACGAATGGATGAGATCAAAATTGAGAGAAAAGGCAACTCTTTTTTGAAAGAATTGAAGCTTGTTCGAGAGTTGTTGAATAAGCAAATGAACATGATTTGCATGATCGGAAAGGGATGAAAGTAAAATTAAACGAACACCACCATCTGCCACTTGTGTTTTCAATTCTGGAGTTGTTGTTTCGGTGGGTTGGTTTGGAATCCAATCCGAGAAGGAGGAAGGGTTTTCCATCTCTTGCATTTTTTATCGTCACGCAGATTTTTCAATGTTTTTAGAAAGTTTTAAAAAGTTCACAAAAAGGTTACATGACTTGCTCCTAGTTACAAATATGTATTAATTTTCGAACAAAGTCTCCCTTTCATCGTTACTCTCTTCTTTGCAGAAGCTCCGCCATAGGTCTCATTCTCAGAAAAACATGATTTGAATTCACACTTGTCTCCAAACCAACCATTGTTGCAAGAGCACACATTTGGTCCAATACATTCACCATTTCCACTACATACGAGACCATTTTGAAGACAAGAATACTGGTCACACCAAGTTCCAGTATATCCATCGTTACATTTACATTGATTCCAAGCAACACAATGACCATTTCCAGAGCAAACATTGGTCTCGTTTTTCAAGGTTCCATTACAAGAAAATAAGGAACAATCATTTCCTAGAACATTGCTCTTACAGGCACATGTATCGACGTCGACACAAATTCCTGATGCAGAACAAACATTGGGATTTGTAGAATCCATACCATAACATTTCCAGCCGGATGAAAGTGCCACTACTTGAAGGTAATTATTTGCAGAAATCAAGTACGGCACTCCTCCCAAGGATTCCTTAGTGGCATACAGAGTGGGTGTCAATAATTTTTTCACAGTTGGATCTTGTGAAATTTGAAAATACGAGTTGTCAGATCCCATTGTGTAGATGTTACCCAATGAAGTGACAAAATAAAAGAAATCCAAAGTTCCATCTCGAAAAGTTGTTACATCAATGACATGTTCTTGTGCATTGGGTAACGTAATTTTTTCTGTAATTCCCAAATGTCTGTACAATTCTCCATCTTGAGTGATTATAAACAAATAGAGTGAAGTGGGTGGTAAAATAATTTTCTTCACTTTCTTTCCTGCGAGTACGGTTTCCCCAATGGGAGATGTTAAAAAATAACTGGTCTCTTCTCCAACTGCTATTTGAGCGATAAGGACTCCCAGATAATCGTTAACTCCAGTTTTTCTAAATTTTGATTCTTTTGCATTCATGTCATAACTTCCCAAACAGAATTGACCATTTGAATTCGACCCTACTCCATAAACAACACCATCTGAAGTGAGGGCCAACGTGTGACTATTTCCAGTGGCTACACTTGTTAAATTATTGAACTCAGTGACCTTGGTTGGAGTGTCCAAATATCCATCTATATTATCGATACCAAGTCGTGCATTGGTGGCTTGTCCCCAAGCATAAAATGCTCCGTCTGATGTCAACATGACAGCCGAGTCACAAAAAATATCCAAGCAAGTCATATTTTCAGAAAATGTGAAAGGAAATGTTTGATTCAATACTATGGTAGGATCGATAGAACTCGTGTTAGACACAATGTTCAAATGTGACCCTGCTCCCCATGCGGTGATTTGAAATTTGTCACTTGTCGAAGAATTGGAAATCAAGGTAGAAAATATCAAACTGGTTCTAGAAATGGTGAATAACTTTTGAATGTGTGAATTTTGTGAGACCACCAATGACTCGGATGGCATTTTCACCTCTAATGGAAACTGAGCTAGTTTTAAATCTCCCACACAGGATTGACCAAATGAATTATCACCCAGTACATAAATTTCATTCAAATCGTTGAATGCAATAATTACTTCTCCAACAAAATAACCTTTCAAAAGCCTTGCTGGTACTTGTAAGTATGGGTAAGTTAAAACATTCACATTGGTGTAACTTCCATCTAATTTGGTCAAGTCTCTACCCCACACTGCAATATTTCCTCCATCCATAGGACATGATGCACCAGAAGTTTGATAAGTGGCGAAAATTGTTGTCACTTGACAGTCTCCACCAAATATTCCATTTGTAATATCAACAGGAGAGTATTTGATGGTATCAGTTGAGGCATCAATTTGATGATAAGTATTGTCTCCAAATCCCCAAACTTTTGAATCTTGATTCGTGGCTGTACTTTTAGCAAGGCAATGTTTCTCTCCACATGCAATCTGTGTAAATACATTGGTGGTGTAATCGAAAGGTAATAAAGTAGGAAGTGAAGTTTGAATGTCATTATCAGAATCTAGCAATAATCCATATCGATTGCTTCCCCAACCATAAATACAGCCAGAAGCATTGAGAGCCAACAGAGTG